GAAAGGGCGTCTGGTCCTGGTATGGAAGTTCGGGGTTGAGGGCCCGAGGCGACAGCTGTTTTCGCCCCCTTGGAGGGAGGTGGAGCCGCGCCGAGAACCCGCAAAAGGTACGAGGGGAGCCTGATGGCCTGGAGTCCGATGGCCTGGAGTCCGATGGCCTGGAGTCTGCTGTACAAATACTGCTGTACCGTATGTGTAATAGCCTCAGTTTGGCAAAGGCCATTAGCCTTCGTGGTGGCATCCGATGCACTCGGCGTCTCGCCCAAGGTGCGGCAACAGAATCGGACCCAACGTTGCACATGGAGCTGTTCATGTGTTTCCTGCACCGTGAACGGACAAGAGCATCATGCGCAAAGCGCAAGACCGGCCATTCTACGGTGCATCGATGCGCGGCCGGTGGAAACATCCGTCTTGGCTCAGGCGGATGCTTGTCAACAATGCGGCGGTATCTCTCCACGCAAAACGGCGTAGCCAGTACATGCTATCTATCTGTGGGTACGAATACCTCGAGACAGATGTGGTATCCTCTACCCTCGGCTTCTCGTCCATGCTACGAGCACGCCCCGGTTATATCAGATGGGGCTATTCGTTTATTATTGGATGGGGCCAATGTCGAATCCTTCTTGCAGTCTTCCGTGCATGTTGCCGGGAACAAGAGAAGAGAACGGTCGAGTCAAGGCAACGGGGGGGTTCTACCTGTAACCATTCGGGGTTGTTGAGATTACAGCCATGATCTAGACCATCCGGTAGGCTTTTGCATCAATGTCATGCCTCATCTCCCTCTATTGCAGAATGTACCGATTTAGAGCACCAAATTCTGTCTTCACTCCGCAATCCAGACCCATCCAGACCCACGTGAAGAAAAAGTCGTCAAAGGTGGACTCCGGTCAGAGGGCGCGACTGCAAAAGTCTCCAGTCTTTACAATGGATATGTAAGAAATCGCCAATGACTTTAAAGATATAAAAAAGGGATAAATTCATAAGAGGTAAGGGGACAAAGCATGCAATCTCGGTCCAACTTTCTCCATCCACGATCCACATAAAGGTTGAGAAATAACACAAGCACGCCCGGGTCGTTGTTCCACTCTGGAACGGAGACGTGCCCGTGCTTTCGGGCCTTTGCTGCCGCCTCCCACCTCGGACCCGGGATACGGAACTGGGGCCGTCGCGCGCGCAAACGAGCATTGTGTCGAACTTTCGCTCTACACTGGGGTAGAAAGAGGAGGACGGACGAAACAAGCCCGGCCCGAGGCAGCCGCCCATGTCTCTGCCTCAAACCCTCCCTCCCTCGTCTCGGTTGCCAACGGTTTACAGCTGCTGCTGCCAAGCACAGTATACTGGCAGGAGGGACATTATGTGCGTTGCCCGTTTGCTAGCCATCCGTCTGTCGACGACGATAACACGTCGATGTATAGGGTAGCCAAGAATCATTGTCCTAACGTATCCGTAGATTGAACCATGCACGTGAGGCTTCACCCCGCCTTTCAGTGAACCCCCCTCCCTCCCCTTGCTTTGCATGTGGCTGCTGCAGCCTGCAGAGACGCTCCTCGTCGTCGATGGCTTCTCGCCTTGAATGCGGACATGGAGGCCTCAGCCAGCAGCTCTTTCGCCCACCAAGGCTGTGTCGCAATCTACGCTCGGGCACGCAGCCCATGCACGACGAGGCAAGGCACCGCCGTCCCACGTCCCTGGATTTGGGGTCCCGTTCCCCCGATGGATGGATGAATGGATGGATGGATGGATAATTAGATGGATGGACAGACGGACGAAGGAAAGAAAGAGAAAGGGGAAGACGAAACCATCACGATACGTACCCGCCCTTCCTCCGTGTGCGGCGAGCGAAACCGGCCGCAGGAATTCTGTTGCGCGCACGATGCCACAAGGCAGAAAAGCAAGCGAGAGCGAGGTCATGCGCCGGGTGCGCTGAGCTGTCATACCCGTGACATCGCAAAGGATCGACGCCCAAGCATTGGATTGGGCACGCACCTCGACGGGCGGATGCAGGGCCGCCACGACGATTTCGGATTCCCCCAGGACCCGAAGCCGAGACGGGACCACCTACTAGCCGCCGCAAGTCTGCTCAAGTGACCGGCTACGTGGCAGCTCTGAGGCTGGTGCGTAATGTCTCATCGCGGGGGGCGTGTCAACGACAATCAGGGACGGCAAGACTGCATGTCTTGAGTACCGACGGTCCTCAACGACGGCGTCGTCTCCCCTACGGACACGGCAAAAGCCGCGGTGACGGTGACGGCTTTTGCAGTATGCAAATCACTTGGTCACGCACCTCGGATACGCATATACATACATACATACTCCGTACATGTGTGCGTACGTGTATATTGTGCGTCAAATCCGTACATACATTGTACGTGCCGTCCGATGCTCGCCAAGGCCATGCTGCCCTCTTCCGAAAAGCAAATAGTGCCGTGACAACAACCCTTGGACACGGGATGGAAGCTTAACATCTCTGACCGCCAACGCGGACTGAGCCGGCCGGCGCGGTGAGGAGCAGCATCGAGGGCATCGAATGCCGCGGCATGGTGGGCGTGGCGCGCGACTGCTGACCCCCGTCAGCATTTGACTGTGCGTCTGCAGCGTCCCGGCAAACAAGGCCGCTCGACGATCCCAGGCTCTGGGCTGCATTACGAGAGGGCTTGGTGCCAAAGAGGCCCGCTCTGCAAAAAGCAAACGACAGGCCAGCATCGTCGTCGCAATGACCGGCCAACGACAGCCAATTCAAATCTTTAACCCGTCCCCCACGCGCACGGCTCGAATCCCCATGTCCAGAGCGGCGACCAGAGCAACAAGGGTACTTGGCCGGTATGGCCCCCTTGCCGTCCCGGTTGTGGCGGTGGGAGGACGCCACGTCGCCAACGAGAAAAGCTGATGTCGGCCGCCTCCGGTCACTTCACCTCTTCCGGCCGAACCGTTTGCGTCAAGGGCTTCCCGCCTTGTTGGACACATACAACAACCTGAGTCGCAGAGGGATGCAGTCGACAAGGAGCTGTCAGCGAACACGGGTTCCCCCATAGCCCATAGCGCCATGCCCCCGGCGCAAAGTGAGTCAAAGGTGTTGGGCAGCGTGTCTGGAACTTATTTCGGACGACCAGGTGCACATGTGCCATTTGACAAGAAGGAACAAAGAATCCAGATTCTTCCCCTCCCTCCAGTCCGGTCCTCGTGCGCCCGCTAGCCCTCGAGGCCGATGTGACGGGGCCGATCCAACTTTGGCGACTTCAAAACCTGAGGCTGGCCAATAGAGGCCTCATAAGTGGACAAGGGCATCCCCCCCGCCTCCTTGGTAGGCCGGCGAGATGCCGTTCGCGTAGCCTAAGCAGGCAGACGCACCACCCGCACGCCACGCGGCTGAAGGACCGTGGCAGCGTGGCCACCATGAGACCCTTGTCAGCCCGGACCCCTGAATGACAACCCCCCAGACCAAAGGCCCATCGCTCCATCAGGCACCGGTCTGGGGACTCATGCGCAGCTCGCAGGCACGTGAGGGCCATGACCATGCTTAACGGAAGGAGGCGTGTGAGAGTGTGCGTATGCCTATTTATCTCCCGTGTGTGCAATGTTGCGTGAAATAGGAGTCTATGGGGACCCCAGACGGGCTCGAGGCACTGGAAACGGGCAGTGCCTAGGCCATGAATGCTGGGACTATTCTTGATCTGCGCCGCGGCGCTGGCCACTGGCCACGGGGGTATACATGGGCATGCAAGTCGTCGGCTGGTCTTGAGGAGGGCCACCGCGTGCGATGAGCACACTGAAAGGGGACAAAGGGGGCACGAAAACAAAACAAAGCACACTCGTGTCTCTCCGTGGCCACCACCACCTCCATGGATGTATGCCGTTCCGTCTTGTCCTACCGGACCGACCCCAGCTAGTCTGAGGTCGGTCAGGCCTACGTACCGGCGAGTGCCTGCATAGGCATAGCCACGACGATACCGGCGTCCTCGAACGGAAACGGCTTTCTTGTTTGCCGCTTCATAGCGCGAGAATGTATGTATGCGCATACACCTGCTACTCCGCTATACAGTCGTGATGCGGAGAGCTGGGGAAGTTGTGGGGCGACACGGGGTGGCCTGGTGCATATGATAAGATCCAAGTTGGGGATCCGTCTTACAGTACTTGCTCACAACGACAACGCGTAGATTTGATTGCCATCTTTATCGTCCTTTTCCTTGCTGATATTTCTTGTCCTCTATTTCGCAGAGGAACTTTTTCACCGCTTACACCCCCCTCGCACAGTCAAGGCTGTTTGTCCAGCTGCAGCGTCCATCTGGTCCAAACAGAGTGCCTCGAGGGGCGACAAGGCTCAGTCAGCTCCATCGAGCGCCGACGCGAGCTCTCCGTGTAACTGACAGTCACCCAGGGCCCGTTGCTGACATGACGAACAGGAAGGTCACATGGACGCAACAAAAAGGGGGTGAAGGACAGGGCATTCGGGGCATCGGAGATGGTGGCGGTATTCGCCAAGAACAAGACGCTTTATGGATACAGAGTACTGTACACTCTGCTTATATGCGTCGTGGTGTCCGATGCCCTTGTCTGTTACAATCCCCCCTATAATCTCGGCTAGACCCCGAAGCAGTTGTGTTAGAACGTAGGTCCTACGGCTTGCCTGATAGGATAAAGGCACGGTAAAACAAGGACTGATTATTGAGATTTAAGACGTAAAAAGGGTTTCTATACCTATATAACTTTGTACAAACAGGGGAGGTTCAGTGTCAAGCAGCAGCGAGGCTTTACCGAGAGCATATAATGCACTTATACAGCAACTTGGATGTGGGATGCTTACATTCCGAGAGCTTAGCCAATGATGCAAGTAAACAGTGCCACTTGTTTAGGAAGACGCATTCTAGTTACATTTATCAGGCTAAATACCAGAACACTCAGGACGGACTACTCAAAGAAGCAAACAGAGAGACACCCCCACCTCTTCACCTTTTCGGCAGATAATAGCAGATATGTCCATGATCCATCTCCCGACACCGTACCTATTTAGCACACAGGGTCAAGGTGACATCTGCGTCCGCGTTGCAGGTCTTGACCTGGCTACCAGCCGGCGGAACTCCATCCTTCCAAGTAATGACTCCGCAATCGGGATTCTTGCTGGCCTCAACAAGCTTGTGGCCTTTGAAAGCGTCGCCGAAAACATCGCTCAAGTCGTACCAGATGGTGTTGCCATCGAGATTGTAGGCGAATACAGTCTGCGGCTTCCCGGTGTACAAGCCGTCAGGCTCAATGGTGATTTTGATGGCTCGGCCTCCGGTCTTTGGGTCCCGGGTGAATCGCTCGCTGTAGCTGCCGCCGCTGTTTATTGTGTTTGCCGGCGAGACGGCGCTGCCCACGGACCAGGCAGTCACGGAAAAGGAGCAGTTGTTCACCACGCGCGCGTTGCCGGCAGCCGAGGCAAGGGGGGCCACGGCGGCTCCGGCAGCGAGGATGTAAGCGCTGTTGACCATTTTCAATGTTGAGGCTTGGTGGTGGGTGAGGTTGAGACAGTTGAAGTTTCCGTAAGACGATTGTGTAAATCTCTTTTGCTAATTGACAACGAAGATGGGAAAATCAACTTTGACGTTGCGACGGAGCCTTTTATCTTTGCCTTTCCAAAGAGGCGGAGCTGCCTCTCGTATAGTCGGCGTTGTGTTTGCCCGGATGATGAGCATCGAGGTGGTGTAGAGTGCGGACTGCTGACCGTTGGTTCTGTTCGAATTGCTAAGAATAATTCAGACATGTGAAGGTTTCGTAAGATGGCGCTGGAATACGAGGTTCCATGACGCTGGAACGAAGAATAAGTGGCATTGAATTGTGTCAGCCGTTACCGCGCCGTACGAGGCCCAAGTATTCGGGCAACAGTCGTGGTCAGCTGGTTCCCTTTCGCGTTCTCGGCTTTGCCGTCATGGAACCAACGCTTGTGTTCCAATCAGCCATCTACGCCCGACGACTATGGGCTTTCAAGCCGGGCATCGTATTCAATGCAAAGGCTGCCATGACAAAATATCTGGGCATTACTAATTGGGAGTTAGGATTCTGTACGGTCGATGTTGGGAATCAAAGATAGGAGTTTCATATTGTAGTAGGCTGGTGTGGGCGAAACCCCAGGCTCTGGACTTGGACACAGCTCAACTCAACAGGCTGATGATATCAGGCTCGGGCTATGCTTCATCGCGGAGTTGCCATTTCAAAGGAACATGGCCAGAAAGCAGCAGAGATGCAAGTAACACGCCGAGAAAGCACTACAAGTCAACCGATTCACAAGGAGCCTCAACGGCCAAGCAACGTTTTCTAGACTAGTCAGGGTGCCTAGACAAATATCCCAACCTCAGTGCACCAACACTCCTACCAGATGTATCGCCGCCTGAAGGTCCTTTCCGAGAATGGGGCGTCTGCCGAGGGTGAAGCGTCGCGATCGATTTAACAGAGGCGTGCTAAAGCGAGGAGGTAGCACGGAGCAGGGTGTGCCACATACGTCGTCCGGTCCGGGGTATTTGGTCGGCGTATAATTCCAGTCGGCTGAGCATCATTATTCTTCTATATTGTTATTCGCAGGTAAAGGAAAGCTCCCCGCTCGATAAGAGCGTATTTCATTCGTCAAAGGCCGCAGCGCACGATTTGCTTCGCGGATAGGAGACCAAGCGGGACATGCGAATAAGCCCCTACCATTTCCCGTCGACGCAGAACAAAACAGGGGCAAGAGAGTGCTTGTAGTCCCCGCAGGACTGCAAGAGGATCAACTCTTTGGTTCTTGATATGAAGGGGCGACTGGCTTCATGAACGTACTAGCGGGAAGAGAACCCGGTGAAGATAGGAGGCGGAGGCTTGCTTGTCTCGAGGCCTCGAGCCGAGACTCGGTTGGCTGCTGCTGCCTCCTCGACGTTGTCGTTCAATCTATTCTGATCTGCCCTCTGACACTGTACATTCAGTACCAAAAGGGTAAAGGCATGTGCATGCCCTTGGTGAGACGTCGTTGACCAAGCAGCCCGGGCTCTCAGCTCGCCGCCGTCCGCCGTCATACATTCGACAGCATCTCCCTTCCCCCTATTGCGTCCCCTCGCTCTACTAATATTCGATAGAGGCTGACATGATCGCCGAAGCAAGGTATCAGCTTGAATTTCACGTCATCGGCGCAAGATATGAGCGATTTCTTTGCTCTTCTTCAGGCCTCGATGCGAAGCCCTTTTCGCCCCCCTTTTCAGGGCCGTGGAACCGGGAACCGGGTATCAACGTCTGGGGGAGCCGCGCCCCAATTCCACATCTCTGTCTCGTCACGACACGGACTCGATTGGAGAGCCAGTTTACCGGGACCAGCAGCAGCATGCTGCAGGATGATCGGGGCGCCCGAAGCCTCAAGCCCACGACCAGCCGTGGGCGAGGAAGATGGCGTCGTAGCTGCGTGAACCCCTGGCAGAGCGGGTTGGGAGGGGGCAAGGGGGGAGCGGGAAGGGAAAAGAAACCTAGGGCAGAAGGGGGGTATGTTCTTTTTTCGTGCTACATGAGAGCCGCCGCGGCCGCGCCCGGAGCACAGCATCCCGTCTCGTGCCTTGAACAGCAGGCCTTTAAGCAGACGCGATATCAGAATAGACGTGGCGTCTGACGGCTAACTGCCCCCGGAGCCCATGGAGGCTCAAGACGCCGTCCAGACGGCACGGTGCGGGCGAGACAGGTGACTCGAACTTCATACTGCAGAGGTGGCAAAGGAAGGGGGCAAACAAGGAGAAGATCTGCCATTACCCCGTGGGGTATCCATACTCCCAAACAGCCTCGAGCGATCACGTTGAGAGCATCCCGCTTCCCTGGGAGCCGCTATGCTGTCCCTCCTTTCCCCTCCCCATGCCGTCGTCCTCCCAGGGGGAACCTTGGAGCCCAGGAAGCGACCAGGCCTGTTGCCAGAGGCCGTGGCAGAATGCCGGGGACAAGAAATCTCGCGCACATTCTGCAAGATACGATGACATGAGCTCTCCGTGGGGAAAAGGGGAGCGCCGTTTGCTTACCCCCCCCTTCTGCTTCTCCCCTCTCTCCCGCCGCCTTTTGTTTGCTATGGGGTGCGTATGCGGTGATACGAGAGATACGCCTGTGTCATGATGCGACTCGACGACCGGGCCGAGGGCGAGCCAACGCTTCTCCAGAGCCCCCCCTTCTTCCCCGTTTTCATGTTGGAGGATGGCTCGAAGTGTTGTTAAGATGGATGGCCACCCGTCATCGTCATTACCCCCGTGGTGCACGCCCAGGAGGCCCAGGACAAACCCGGCCGCGGATGTGCACGATGAGCCAGGAAGAGAGCCACGGAGATGGCTCAAGCCGTGTATGTGTAAGCGACGCCACCATCAACGCCCTTCTCCTTGCGGGCCTTGGCGATGCGTTCCCCTCGTTTGAAGGTCTCGGCGTATGAGAACGCGCGAGTGAGGGAGTAGATGCGGCTCCGGGACCAGCATCGTGGGCAACATCCCGCAGGCTCCGCTGGTGCCCAGTGAGCCTCCTCCTTTCTGCAGGACCGTCGAGTGTTTGTGTAGGTGTTCTCTTCTTTTTGCTTTCTTTTTCTGCATGCAGAGTCATCCGACGCGGGTCTTGCGATTAGTCGTCGTCGTCGAAGCCAGGAGGAGTGTCTGTAGTGCTGTGCGAGGTTGACGGGAAGAGGTTGCTGCTCCGGAAGCGGCCTGAATATTTCATGTTTAAAACAAAAGAATAAAGATAAAATGAAATTTGAATAAACAAACCAAGGAAATGGCCCAGACTCTGCTCCTCCCCCATGCCCGAGGGAACAGGCGGAGAGCCCGTGTCCGACGGCATGACGCCTCAGTAGCGGTCAGGGACCCACGCGCGCGGGAGAGAGCATTACAAGAGACAGAGAGAGGCAAAAGGATCGTAGTAGTGTATGTAGTAGGTGTCTGACATGCAGAAAGACGGCCACCTCGGAAAGACAAGCACGAAAGAAAGGTAGGCGAGGCACGGCGAAGGGCGCTCTGGGTGTGTTTAACAGCATTCCGGGCGGGAATACGAGTAAGTGGCTTACGAGAGAGAGAAACAAGGCGGCCGTGTAATGGAAGGGATGGCGAGTTGCTGCCGGTGGTCACGGGATGGCTGTCTCCTGTCCGAGTCTTGGTCTCTCTTCTCCATCGATGCAGGATAGGGTCCCAGAATGGGGGCGTGCCGGGAGCCCAACGACGGAAAAGCCGGCCATGTCTCGGATATTCTGCATATCGTTTTGCGTCCACGTAGAGATGGAGAGAAACAAGACTCTGCGCTCTCGTATGCTAGCAACATAAGTGATGATGGCTGCGAAGAGGTTGATCTCGTGCCGGAGAACATGTGTCCGTGTGCTCCGTTTCCTCAGCCCGGTTCACAGCGTCTTCCGTAGGGAGATGGGAGATGCGATTACTGCAGTGTCGTACGCAGAGCCGCCGGGGATCGGACCTGGACGACGCGACGCCCTCCTCCTTCGGCTACGACTTACACCGTATGGCACTGAGACACTGAGACCCGCCCTTCCGTCTCGGCTGCGAGGAGAGTGGTCATGTGAGCTTGTGGGCTCAAATCGAGCGCAGAAGCCCAAGCACCATGGCCAAAGTGAAGTAAAAAGAAAAACATATACAGCCAGAAGGGGGGGGCAGACAGCAGCCAACACCCCCTCCCTTCTCACTAGGAAGCCGTCACGAGCAGATGACCTTGACCAAATAGAACCTCGAAGCGCCCACGCCTCGCTAACCACATCCAAGCAATGCTCGTGGCTGTGTTTCATATGCACAGTGTTGTTTCAGTGGCATCTGACCTGTCATGAAAGCCTCTCTGGGATCTCGATGGCAGATGCAATAGCTCTGTTTAGGGTACCCAGTCTGCCAATATTGCCGACTAACAATCCAAGATTAATCTCGCTACTGGACCGGCTTTCCTTCTTCTTCTTCCACTTCTCTCGGGCCAGTCTGTCGCCGGTGCTGGATTCGACGAAGATGTATGTTGGTCAGCCCGTCCTACGCCAGCAAGAAATTGCCTTCGCCAGCCGAAGATGATGCCTGACAAATTCTCATTCATCTGCCCTCGTCTACGCCCTCGCCCCTTCTGCGCCTTGAGAACCATCATTCCTACATCCATCCAAACTTCCAGAAGAAGAGTTAACAGGCGCAAGGCCATGCAAGGCTGCGGAGAGGGCCCGAGCCTCGGACGAGAGAATCTCGATGCCAGTGGCAAGGTCTAGCATCTCCCGCTAACTCGTTAAGAATCCAGGGACCATGTATCACTCTACGAAACCGGTTGTAATGAATAGAGCTGACATGATTCACCCAGGATCCGGGTGCGCTGCTGGCTGGTGTGGGAGGCCTCGTCCGTCTCGGGTTCAAGAGACACCGGGATACCAACCTCGAGCGCATGAAAGGTCGGAAAACAAAGAATCCGAGGGTCAAGGTTGGATACTGACTGCCGTTTTCTCATACTCCTAGCTATGCGCATCCTATTCAACGCCGACCATCAAGTCAACGATCCAAGCGAGCCGCGGCTATCGCATGCTCCGTTCCCAGGGTGAGCGGTATACTGCGCGCCGAACCCCATATCGAAGGATGAGCTTGTCCTAGAGCCCAATACCGGAAAGACAACGTAGACCGGGAGCTCGGGGGTCAACATTGTTGCGACTGGCGCAAAGTCCGGCGTTGACGACAAGCCTCCATTTATCCATGGCAAAGAACCCAGTGCTGCTGCTCTCTCGTCCACCTTCACCTGGGAACACGCATTCCGTGGAAGCCCATATAGATATCGGGCATGGACAGCTTGCCCGTCCCTATACCACCGACTCAACGAAACTCGCTTCGTCGCCTCCAGAGATGTCATCGACTTCGACCCTGTTCTTTCCACCCACTTCTAGCCCAGTCTTACGCCTGATCGTGCCCCGTGGCTCCACGTGAAAAAATGAATTCGGGACTGCGCTGCGTGATGCGGGACAGGTGTTGATGACGAGCGTGTAGCAGACCGCCGTAACGGGGTTCCAAGCCCTTACGCCCTGGGGTCGTTCTGTCACCTCGCAAGTAGCCTGCATCATTTTGCGCCAGGACTTTGAGTCGCGGAGCTTCCTGCAACGACCAGCGAGCTGGGTTGGGCAGAAAGCTTCAACAATGAATGTGCGTCGTAGCGGTGGTAGGTTCTTGACAATGGCTTTGCCACTTGCACTGCTGCATATGAACCGTAGCTTGACGGCTGCTGGTAAAGCACCATGCTCCCATTTATATACAATTAAAGGTAGGGCATTTTATCAGAGCAGAGAAGAATGACTGGACGGCTGGGTCTTCGCCGGTGACAGACTCGACGCTGAGCGGATGAGAGAAAGGCGCGTAATGTGGGACGCGTCCCCAGAGTTCCCATTAAACAAGCACTGACACTCATTCAAAGAAGCTTGCACGCATTACGGAGTACGAAGAGAACTATATCGAGCCTGCGCCCCCTCTGTTGCCAAGACTCTACTGCACAATAACTGTCTTAAGAGCAAGCTATGGGGCGGGCAGGACATGACAAGAGTTTATCATGCATGCTTCGTTCAAGGAAACCGTTGACAAGACAAGCCAACATCATATTTAGCAAGACAAGTCAACAGTGAGCGGTGGGCATAGTGCTGTTGAAGAGGGCTACCAGCAAACGCCACAAAATGGTGAACTGCGTCGAATCCAATGGGATGGAGACAGTCGCGCTCCCCGATAGCGTAACTGTCGCCCCGATCATCCGAGCCTGACACTAGCCACCGACCATCCCACCCTCTTCGAACAGCACACACGAAGCGAGATCTGGTAGTCTGCGGCCGCTGCCGAGACAAGACGGCAGGATCGGTTGATAGATCCAGGCTTGGCCCACAAAATAGACAGATTGGGCCCTCCCCCGAGATTGGAACGGCACCTTTCATCGTCTCATCAACCGTCTCCTCCGGGTCAAGAGCAGTTCACGGACCGAACCTTTTTTCTCCGGCCGAGACGGTGGACAGAGCGGGCGGACCTCAGTCCCCGAATAGTCTAAATATCCGGGAAATGCGGGCCGGCGCCGGCGAAGGTGCATTTTAGGGCCGCGGCAAGGAGGGCTGTTGCGGGAGCGTTGGAGACGCTTCACGGAGGCACGGCCATGTCGGCCGGCGTAGGATGCCGATAAGTGTCTTTGGTCATCCGGCAGGACATGTGAAAAGGGGCCGAGGAGACGGAGAAATGCGCGAGGGTAAAATGGTCAACTCGCTGTCCCAGAGTCCGATAGACAGACAAGCTCCTTTCACGACCAGGGGTAGGCGATGGGAGTTTGAAAATGTAACATAATTCCTCTCTGGTCATGACATGTGCCTGGACAAGGCGCCGACGCCAGCGAGAACAGGTCGCCAAACATTCTCCACAGAGGAGAGTGAGGATCTGGTTGATCCGAGGGCTCTTTGGAGGCTCCGAGGTTGACCAGGGACCCACCCCTGGAGGATCCGGAGTCAAGGTCGAGAGAGAGAGGAGTGGGCTGAATGGGCAGATCGGGCCAGAAATATCCGAGTTTATGCATCAAGGTCGATTGCTCCTCGGCCGGCGCGCGCCGGCGGAGCCGCGGACGTGCATGAAAGTCAACCAAAGTCGGGCTGCGGGGATCGTGTGCGTCTTGGACGGGGAGAATCAGGTAAGTATCAATCTCCGGGCCGCGGCCCAGCTGAAATGGTCAGGACGAGGATAGGGGGCGCCGACGGCAACATGTTGATAACACAAGCGAGAGGCGGCCTTGCAGGACGCAAGACGTGCATGGCCCATGGCCCTCTTTGTCAAGCTCAGTCGCCGCGGCTACCGAACCGTGGCCGTAGCTTTGGCTTCCGCTTTTGGCCATGTGTAGGCAGAACTGGCTTTGGCCAAGGACGGACAGCTGTTCTTTCCATTAGCTGAAACGTGCCCAAGCATTGCGAAGCTCTTCCCGTGGGGAGGATTTGTTGGGCGAGGGCGAGAAAAGGATTGGGGGTGTGGCGCCGTTTCCGAGCTAGCCAAGGGTTGGAGGCTCTTGGCCATGACCTCACTGGACGGGGCTCGACGAATGCGAAGCTCGAGAATGGCCGACGGGGCTGCCACCTTGCCGGGATCGCGCGATACGTGCGTGCTTCTGGCTCGGCGGCCGCGTGGAGTCCTTGCGAGTCGCTGCCTCGGATCGATACCTAGGGTTATTGCCTCGGACTGCTGCTGGCTGCTCTGGACTGCTGCTGGCTGCCTCGGACCGCCGCCAGCATGCGCCATGCCGAGGGTTCGACCAAGCCAATTTTCTTTTTGGTGGCGTGTGGGGGAAGCGAAGCTAGGCGGCGTGAGGCGGCGTGAAGAAGCCCGGCACTTGAAGCTTGTCGAGATGGGTACCTCATCGGCAGGACTGCGGGACCCGCGCAGGTACTGGACCGGGTGCCGTCGAGCGCCTGAGGCACAAAGTATCCTTAAAGCGCAGCCAATGTCTCCATCCTCTTGAGCAAATGTACCGCCGGCCTCTTGAGCAGGCACTGTGCTGGGGTAGCAGGCGCCACTAAAACATACCTTCCTCCACTGCCAGCTAGAGGCCAAACCCCAGATGGCACCTGTCCAGAGGAGTTAGTCTCCTCAGCTTAAGGCCAGGGAGAGGGGGGAAGGGATCCACGCTGCCCATAGCAGCTTACAGTGCCTTATTACTGTACTGTCGTCGTACCTAAGCTGCTAAGCTACACGCTGGAGCTGCAATCGGGGGGGGGGGCCTGCTGGGAAAAAACAACACTAAATACAACCTTTGGCCCTCGCCCTCGCTTTGTTCCTCGCTTTGTTCCTCCTCCTCCTCCTCTTCCTCCTCTTCCTCATTCAACCTCCCCCCCTCTTCCGGCCAATGCTGGCCTTGACATCACGGCCCTCCTCCTAAACACGTCGGTCCTGCGCCCCCGTCGCTGCTCCGAGTCACACAACCCGCCTCATCGCCCACTCCAGCGGCCATCCCGCTCCAGCCACCGCCAGCATGGACTACTCTTCGAGTGTCATGCCCCTGAGCCCCGTCCACAAGCCGCCCTTCACCGTCGAGGCTCCCGGCTACCAAAAAGTGCCCGGCGAGACGATTCCTCGCCGACATCCTCGCGCCAAGAATGGCCTCCTCAACCGCCCCGCCGCCGACGTCACGACCGTCTTCGACATTGTTCGCCGCAGCGCCCGCAACTTTCCCAACCACCAGGCCGTCGGCTCGCGCAAGCTCGTCAAGCTTCACAAGGAGCTCAAAAAGGTCAAGAAGACGGTCGACGGCCAGGTCCACGAGGTGGACAAGGAGTGGCAGTTCTTTGAGCTCACAAAGTACTCCTTCCTCACCTACCAGGAATACGAGACACTCGTCCTCCAGATCGGCTCCGGCCTGCGCAAGGTTGGCTTGACCTCGGACCACAAGGTCCATCTATTCGCCACCACGAGGTCAGCCCTCCCCGTCCCCTTGTTGCGCCTCAACTAACCCGAGTCTGCCGCTAGTGTACCATGGATCTCCATGTCTCACGCCTGCGCATCACAGTCCATCTCTATTGTCACCGCCTACGATACTCTCGGCGAGAGCGGCGTCCAACACTCTCTCGTCCAGACCCAGGCCGATGCCATCTTTGTCGACCCTCATCTGCTCAAGACTGCCACCAAGCCCATCAAGAACTCAAACGTCAAAACTGTCATCGTCAATGCCGCTTGCATGTTTGCCGTCGGCGGCGAGATCGAGGAGTTTACCCAGGCCAACCCCGACCTTACTGTTATCACGTATGAGGACCTACGCAGGCTCGGCGAGGACAACATGGTTGATCCCAAGCCCGCCAAGCCCTCCGACCTCTACTGCGTCATGTACACGTCGGGCTCTACCGGCCCCCCCAAGGGTGCCTGCATTACGCACGAGGCACTCATTGCTGGAAGTACGTCCCGAGCTGCCTCCCCCTCCGTCTCGGCGCATTGCATTGACCGCGGCGGCAACAGTTACCGGTCTCTACACCAACGTCGACGAGTGCGTCACCGACAGGGAATGCATCCTGGCTTATCTGCCCCTCGCACACATTTTCGAGATGGTCCTCGAGAACCTTGTCTTCTTTGTTGGCGGTACGCTGGGATACGGAAACCCGCGCACTCTGTCGGATACCTCGGTCAAGAATTGCGCCGGAGATATGCGGGAGCTGCGGCCCACGGCCATGGTCGGCGTTCCACAGGTCTGGGAAACGGTCAGAAAGGGCGTCATGGCCAAGCTCGAAACCTCGAGCCCCGTCCTCAGGTCCCTCTTCTGGGGTGCCTTCACCTACAAGAGCTTCATGGCGAAGAACAAGCTTCCCCTTGCCAGCATCTTTGATGGCATTGTATTCAGCAAGGTGCGGGAGTTGACTGGCGGCCGACTGCGGTTCACTATGAATGGCGCCAGCGGTATCGCCGACAGCACCAAGCACTTCCTCTCCATCGTCCTGGCCCCCATGGTTGTCGGGTACGGCCTTACCGAGACGTGCGCAAACGGTGCCCTGGGTTGTCCGCTCGAGTACTCGCCCAATGCCATCGGTCCTATCCCCGCCGCTATCGACGTCAAGCTGGTTTCCATCCCCGACATCGGTTACTCCACCGACGCCAAGATTCCCCAGGGCGAAATCTATATCAAGGGCTTGCCCCTCATGACGGGATACTACGACAACCCCGAGGAGACGGCAAAAGCCCTCACCTCGGATGGCTGGTTCCAGACTGGAGACATTGGCGAGTTCGATACTGATGGCCATTTGCGGGTCATTGACCGTGTCAAGAACCTTGTAAAGATGCAGGGCGGCGAATACATTGCCCTGGAGAAGGTCGAGTCCGTCTACCGCGGTGCCCAGGCCGTGGCCAACGTCATGGTCCACGCCGACGCCGAGCATTCTCGGCCCATCGCCCTCATTATGCCAAACGAGAAGGTCCTGGCCGAAAAGGCCAAGGAGCTGGGCGTCAACGAGCACAGCATGTACCACGACTCCAAAGTGCGTGGCGCGGTGCTCAAACAACTACAAACCATGGCAAAGAATGGCGGCCTGTCTGGCATGGAGACTGTCGCCGGAGTGGTCATCACAGACGAGGAGTGGACGCCGGATAGCGTAAGTTGATTTTCTCTCATCAGGCCGAGCGAGTTTCGTGTTGTGCTCACATAATTCCTCGCAGGGCCTCGTTACTGCGACCCAGAAGCTGAACCGGAAAGCCATCCGCGAGAAGTTCAAGAAGGAGATTGACGCGTGCCTCAAGAACGTCTCCTGAAGAGCGGGATGTGAAGGGGAAGAAGAGCGCGTGAGTTTTGAGTACCAGGCAACGCTCGCGCGTTTGAGTGATTTGAAACAGGGGCAGGAGCGATATCTTGACGGTCTATAATGTAAACCTAGGAGGGGGCGTTGGCTCATTAAGAGACTTGCAAAGTAGATTGTCGCATGCCTTTTGTGCACCTGTGCCTTATCTTTGCGGCTGGGTCCTTGGCTGAGAAACCTGAGGGTTCGAGGACAATGGCGTGCTCCCATCGCCGGCACATCCCGAGACGGGCTCGCGGTGACGCAAAGATCAGGACAATCTTTGGCAGCATCGAGTTTGGGAGGCCCTCGCAGCGATCTGGAAAAATGACGTTTCGACATTAGGAAGCTAGAAGCGCGCATACTCAAGGGAGTTTGCTGAGAACAGACCGCGGAGATGTTGGTCTAGTCTCCCCCCCCTCTTTCGTCGCCATCGCACGTTGCAGAATAAAAAGGACGAGGAATTGAAGCCTCGTCAACACCAAGCCCCCGTTGACCAGAAGAGCGTCGTGTCATTGTCATCTCGTCCTGTTCATGCCTATCCCATCAACCCTAGTCATCATCATTCCTCTTCTTCTTCGTGCTCGGCCACAAACATATTCACAAGCGCACGCATTACCCGAAAGCACCTTACTCCGTAACCATGCTTGCGCCGGCCCATGCCGCTTTACCCAAATGTCCATGTATATGTATCCAAACGATGAAGCAGGGCGAGAAAAGACAGATAGTTGTAGGCTGGACTGGCAAGAGCGCGCTGGATGCCTCGCCAAGAACAACAGCAGCGCTGGGGGAAACATCTCGCCTCCTAATTTCAGCGCATCTCAGGCATAGATCCAGCATCAAAAAAAAGGTAAGAAACCAACTGAAATCAGGAACATGCAGTGGCATGTAACGCAAATGCAAACGCTTGAGGGTATCGTGCCTCACCCGTCTTACCACGCTTCAACCAATAATCAAAAGTCTCGGCGCTCTCCCACTCCCCGGCCCCGCGGGCTCCTCAAGCATCCTTCCTCCTGAAAAAGACCAGGTAGGGCACCCGATCATCACCGGAACGGAACACCTCCTTCTGCATGTCGTTGCTGTCGCCACTCCCGATGCGGACCTTGCTGACCTTGCTGTCGTTGCAGCAGTACCACGAGTGCTGGTCACGCGTGCTCGAGTCCCGCACGTAGGCATAGTAATGCCCTATGTTGAGCTGTCGTCCGGCGTGCGTCACAACGGCATAGCATTCGTAGCGAAAGGGCCCACTGAAAGCCCTGTCCTTGGCGTCGCCGTCTTGTTCGGACGCATCGAGAAAGTAGGGGGCAAAGTCAAAGTCGTTGAAGTCCCAAGATACGATCGTATTGGACTTGGACAGAACCTGCCCGTGGTAGTGGAAGCGACGGAAGCTGACGCACAAAAGAGGCGGCATCCGGGCAAGTGACAGGGACTGCGTGGCCTTCTTCTCGCCATTGCAGTGGTCGCATCTGAAGTCGTCCAACTGGTTTCCCGCGACGTAGTCACTCAGGGCCTCCGAGAGTGTCATGTCCTGGTCATGGGTGACAGGGACGGGGATCAAACCAAAGGGAGAAAAGGTGTGCGTACGTGTGTCGCATTCCATGCATTTGACGGTGGACAGCTCGATGCCTCGCCAATACCTGTCAATGATGGACTGGTTGAACTCGGAATGATTCGCCCAATACTCCATGGCGGCCCGAACCAGCGGTCGCCCGCTTGTCGTTGGCTGCTTTGCGTTGCCAGCTTTATTTCGACAAGGGTTCGTCTCGTCGTGTAGCTGCTCCATGATGAAGGACATGAACTCCTGCGCGTCCTGCTGGTGTGATCCGCCGAATTGCGACTCTGCCTCGCTGGATTTGCAGAGCTGTCGAGAATAATCCTGGAACAATGTCAGCCTCCTCATCAACCCCTTATGCCCGGACCGAAGCGGCCTACCATCAGCGTCTGCGCTTTCATTGTCTCAAACGTGCCAGTGCTCATCCAGTGAAAGAGATTGGACAAGATCCGAACCATGAGTTGGGGTGGGTCAATCTTCTCGTCCTCCTTTCGAGGAACCGAATATTTGTGAACCCACTCCGAATCAGCCAACTCTCTTCCGAACCCGGGAGAGCCGAGAAGCGACTGGAGCGTGCTGTTGGCATAGCACCAGTTTCGAGGGTTATTGAGCCCGGTATATGCCTTGACAGCCGCCGAGACCTGCTCCGTGGGTTTCTTGGAACGGGCCGTTGACCTTTGCAGCGAGGACGAGCCGGGCTCGCTGTAAGTCTCGTTGCCGTCGTCTCCTTGTGACAGGCCGCTGTGGCTGAGACGTTGCACGGCGGCGCGCGGCCGAGCCGGAGGAGCAGGGAGCGGTGTTAGCGAGCCAAAGCCATGCTGCTGCCTCTCTTCGATGGCGGCGGGAGACTTCATGGATTGCTGTTGAGCCGCGATGGGGGTGGAACTCAAAAATTCCCTTGCTGTGCGAGGGAAACTTGGCCGAGCGGCAGTCTGATGGGCGTCCTTCTCGAGTGTGTTTTCCCACGCCTTGACGTCGGCGGGCTGCAGCGACGTCACAACGAATTTGTGTCCCTTACGTTGAATGAAGCCATTTCGCTTCTGTCTTACCAGAGTAGCTGATGAGGTCGAGGTCGTGGAGGTGGTCGGCTGCAGCGCCAGAGGTCCCATGAGGTCCACCCACGCACCCAAGCCTCCTCGTAATATTCTTGGCGACCTCTTGAGTCGCCGGCCGTAGTTGAGATGCTCCAAAGCCCGATGCAGAGACACGACGACTAGCTCATCAGAACTTTTCGGAGATTGAGGCACTCGCTCTGAGTCCTGGTCGTAGAAAACAACGAGGTCGTAACTGTCGCGCCTCTCGAACAGGGCCTGTTCTGGATTGGGCGAGAGCACCATGCTCTCTGAAATTTCCTCCGAGGAGATATTTTCCCGCAGGAGAATACTCGGCTCGATGCAAATGATGGACGATGACATTATGTGCCCTTCGTCAAACTCTTCTCGAGATCGTATATCTATGAGCAAAATAGACAATTTTGCCTTCATGACTTTGCAGAGCTGTTCGGCAGTGATGTTATCCTCCTCGGGAAGCTCGACTGGCTCCTCCTCTTCCTCAGGCACAGCGGAGGTCGGAACCGCGGGGGTAAACTCATTGGTCTGCGGTGGGAGCATGCTCGGCATGCTAGAAAGTGACGTTGATGAGCCGGTGCGGCTGAAAAGCCCCCGGGGGGTGCTGGTTGGAAGTCTGGATGCTTCCCCGGATACACTCCCTCGCGCCGGGCTGTAGATGGCATCGGGTACCTTGGGAAGAGCCGAGGCTGTGGGGTCCGAGTCGACGTCGAGTTCCGGGCTGCCGGGCATCTGCCACGGTCCTGATGGCTTCTGGGTGGGAATTGGATATGTTTTGATGCGAGGATCCTGCCCGGGACAAGATTGGGGGCCCCTGAGATTGGCAAACCGAGCAGTCAGGTCGAGCTTGGGATTATTGGCCGGCGCAGAGCGCCCAGAGCCCGGGACTATGGCATTTCCATGCAGAGATTGGGGTTTTGGGAGCACAGCGGGCTTAGTCTTTGCCGGAGAGCCGTTCACGGGCTGTAGTGTGCGGCCGTTTGCCTTTGTCTGCGGTCGCGAGGAAGCCGCCTCTCCGTTGACGAGGGAAGCAGGCGGCGGCCCGGTTCCTTGAGCTTTTGATGGCGACGGTGGAGCGGAGCGTTTGACTGTCGGCTGGACCCCGGTCCTCTTGTTGTCTTCCATGATATTGCGTTTGATGTCCTCGTAGATGTCGGTCTGCTGAGATATCCTTTTCAGGATGGCATTGTGTAGTCGGCCAGATTCGCTGCGGGAATCCCTCAAGACGGGGTAGTCTTTGTGCTTGACAATGACCTGGACGGCGAGGATGGAGGCACGGATATAGTCCTTGAGGGCGAGGGCAGGCCTGTCGAAATTGCGGCTTACTTCGGACTGTCGCAGCGATGTTTCTGTCATGTCCAACAGTCTCTTGATGGACTGATTCGGATCAATGTCCTTTGGTACGGCGAGCAAGTCGTCTATATGAGGAAAAGGCGTCGAGGGGCGGGCTCTGCCTTTGGCTTGATGACCTGGCGAGAGGCCATAGCTGGCGTTGGTCATGACAGACATGCGGTTGTCGCCAACGGTGGACCCCTAGTCATCAAGACACTGAATGCGATATATGGTCGGGGACAGCGGTCATATCTCGGCCGGGTATGAGGAATCGCAACGTAGGAGAGGAGGCGCGGCGCCTGGTAGTTATGCTCGGGACAATGGGCGGGAACGGCGCATGGGCGATGGGATCTAGCGAGAGGAGGGCAAGAGGGCGGGTTCCCGGCAGGCCGAGGGCGCGCGGCGCATGCTTGATAAGACGAGTATTCGCCCTGGATGGCGACGATGACGACGGGTGCGTCTTTGTTAGGCTGCCTGGCGCAAGGCGTGGGAAACAAAGGGGGCAGTTTGTCGTTGTTGCCTTTGAGGTCGGACATGGGCCTCCGAATTTGTCTGCTCCTCACGTCTTGTGCTGTGACAGCGCCCAGGTACCAAGTACCGCTCCAGGCCAGAACCCTTTTTTGCCGCGCCTTTCTTCACTGGCGGCACGCGCCACTACAGGCCATCTCGGGTATTATTAATAGTACCGACCATGTACCGCTATCGAAGGTACGGGCACAGCGGACGGGTCCCGCCAGACCCCACGAGCCACCGCACTGTCGCCGCGCCCAGCGCCTCGGAGGCCTTGTAATCTGTCCGGCCAGCCTCCATCCCGCCCCCTTACGGATGGGCACCTTACTGAGGGCTGAATTCATAGCATCAGAAGTGTCCTGCTGACGTTGGAAGTCTGACTAGTATGGCATTTGATTGATCGACATTGCCTAACATGGCGATGATGATATCCATTGCCCGTGCAGGGAACCAGGAGCAGGCCGCTTGCCCAGGAGGTACCCGGAACTGTTTCTTGAGCCGACGTCTCAGGCCCCTCCCCTAACGCACCCGCCCACTGTAGATACCCGCGACGCCCAGTGGATACCTTCTGTAGGTAGGTACTTACCTACAGTACGGATACCAGACGCGTAGAACCCTCCACTGCCGTCATCAGGTGAGGTACCCGCCCCCAGTGCGCTGTACACCGACTGTGCATGAGCCGTACAGTACTTCATCGCCCACCAGCAAGGCTGTCGGCTGACTGCTTTGGCCTCCCCGACGACAAGCCATCTCGAAGCCACCATCCTCTACCTCTGCACCCCCAGTTGCATCCGCCCAAACCCATCTCCATCTCTCGGCTCGCCTACCTCGCCGTCTCCTGCCCGTCGTTCACGGTAGCTTACTCCAGTTACCTGCACGACGCCTCCCTGCTCGAGTCCCGCCTGGTCGTCGTCATCCTCCAACATGATGAGCTGGTGGTCGTCCTCGGCCAACTCGGCCCTGGACGAGCAGATTGACAGGGCAACCAGCAGCAGCTTGTATGCACCTCTCTCGCCGTCGGTCAACTACCTTGCTTCTCTAGCTAACGCGACCCCAGGGAGGACATCGCCCTCAATCTCGAAATCTCCGACGTCATCAGGTCCAAAACCGTGGCGCCTAAAGAGGCCATGCGATCTCTGAAGCGACGCATCGGCAACAAGAACCCCAACACGCAGCTCAGCGCCCTCCACGTAGGATATTCCTCCCGACTGCCGCGTCGTCACTTACTCACCGACGCAGCTTACCGATACCTGTGTCAAAAACGGCGGCGCACACTTCCTGGCCGAGATCGCCTCGCGGGAATTCATGGACAACCTTGTGTCTCTCCTGCAGGCCGTGGGCCCGGGAGCCGTCAACGCCGATGTCAAGTCCAAGATTCTTGAGCTCATCCAATCCTGGGCCGGTGCGGCAGAGGGCCGACACGACCTGGCATACATCGGAGAGGTGTACAGGACGTTGCAGCGTGAAGGCCACCACTTTCCACCTCGGGTCTCGGTAGCTAGCAGTATGATTGACAGCAGCGCGGTAAGATCTTCGTCCCCAGTTGTGCGTGCCGGGCTTCGTCGCTGACTCTGCCATCGTTGCAGCCCCCTGAATGGGTCGATTCCGATGTTTGCATGCGTTGCCGCACTCCCTTCACCTTTACAAACCGAAAACACCACTGTCGGAACTGTGGTAACTGTTTCGATCAGCAGTGCTCGAGCAAGACGGCCGCGTTACCGCATCTCGGCATCCACTCCCCGGTTCGAGTAGACGACGGATGCTACGCCAAGTTGACGAGCAAAGCGTACAAAGAACAGAACGCCTCGCTTGACCGATCCCCGACATACCCCCACAAGACGCGCAGCACATCGGCTATGCAGCCTCGAAACGCTCGGATCGACGACGGATTTGACGAGGACTTGAAAAAGGCGCTGGCCATGAGCCTAGAGGAAGTCAAAAGCTCGACACGCGGCTTTGTCGAGCCTCTCACGAATGGGACCAGACCCAACAGCGACGCCGCAACGAAGCAGGCGGAAGAAGATGACGCGGACCTCAAGGCCGCCATTGCCGCCTCCCTGGCAGATATGGAGGAGCAGAAGAAGAGACATGCGGCTGTTCTGAAAGAACAAACGTCGAACCCGTCGAGCAACGCGACAACGTCCAGCTTTGTGCTGCCCAAGAACGACTACGAGTTGACGCCCGTTGAAGCCGAGAACATCAACCTCTTCTCCACCTTGGTCGACCGTCTCCAGACGCAGCCTCCAGGTACGATTTTGAGGGAGCCCCAGATTCAGGAACTCTACGACAGCATCGGCACGCTGCGGCCGAAACTGGCGCGGACGTACGGGGAGACGATGAGCAAGCATGGTGAGTCCCAGCGATGAAATCAGGCTGCTGAACAAAAGCTGACTGGTGCCCAAGACACTCTGCTGGAGCTTCACGCTAAGCTGTCGACTGTGGTTCGATATTACGACCGCATGCTGGAGGAACGGCTATCAAAGGCGTACAGCCAGCAAAGCTTTGGAGGCTACAACCTGCCTCCGCCTCGTCAGCCATCTGGGCCGTATCCCTCGATAGCGACGCAGGCACACAACAGTACCGGCAATGCCGAAAACTTCTACACGGGCCAGCAGCCTGTCGGCTTCCAGATGTCTTCCACCCAGGGTTACCAGCCGCCCTCACAGCCGACGCCGCAGCCTCAGTTCACCTCGTACGGGCCAGGACCAGGACATCATCCTGGCCAGACACTACCTCCGCAGGAGACGCAGAGGAGTGATAGCTGGCAGGGCCTACCACCCTCAGCTCCCCAAGACCCGTATCAGCAGCAGCAGCAAGCTCCCCCTGATCCGACGCAGAGAATGCAGTCTCCCCAGCGGCCGAACGCATCGCCTGCCACGAACCGCCGAGGCTCATACTACTTTAGCCCTCCTCACTCTGCTCAGTCCACGGTACCATCAGCTCCTGGTCCTGCGCCAGATGCAAATACCTCGCCATATCCAATTCTCTCACAGTCGATGCAGCTCCAGTCGGGGCCCAGCCCGGCTCAGCCCCAGCCGACGCCGATGCAAGCCCATGGCCGACCCAGTCAGCCATCACAACCCCCTCAAACTGTGCCGCAGCCAGCCCCGTTCCAAAGTGCACCTCAGAGTGCACCCCCACCGCCACAAAATGCACATCAACCGCAGCAGCAGCAACAAGCGTACTGGCAGCAACCCATCCAAAGGGCAATGCCGCAGCAAGTACCGCAACAGCCACCGACGGCGCCGCAAACGTGGGCGTACGCGGGCTACACTCAAGACTCGTTCCCCTCAGTGCCTCAGGACGATCCGATCAATCAGCCTGCAGCGGAGGAGGCCTTGATCGAGCTCTGAGGGAGCGGCGACAACCAACTGATTGGCCAGCCCTGGAGGCCGGAAAGCGACAGCTTTTGCTTGTGTCAAATTACTTATAACGCTCAAGAATGATGAGAGAGGGTGTCCGAAGACTTTAGGGGCGGACACTGGGTTCGCCAATGGCGCAACAGCCTTTTTGATACCAATAAGTCGGCCAACTTTGTAATACACTAACTCGAAAGGCTCGGTCGGCCTGGGAATGACTCCAATAATTCCAACAGTCCCAAGGTGACTGTTTATGAAGAGTACACGATGGATCACGGCCATGGTCGTTCATTGAAGCCCTCTCCGTGTTTCCCTTTTTTCCTTGTTCATGGAAGCTGCGAGCACCTATCAGTACTCGCGTCTGCAACACATTGCGAGCGGGACGCACATTGGACAGCACTCGAAGACGATGACCCGCATTGCAACGGCGGTGAAGGACGCGCCTCGGCGGTCAGGGTCACGACATGGTTTGATGTTGTTTGCATCTCAAGGTCAGGAGAGCAAGCAGAGGGAATCACCGTGACTACAAAACGGGAGAAGGGAGTGAGAAGGTGCTGCCCGGAAAGGGGTGGGAGTGATTCTCAGTGGTATGGGATTGCCCGAAGATATGTGATGAGGCCTTGGCCTTTCCATCCATCGATAGATCTTCTGAGAAACTGAAGGAGTTGTTTACTCGAGTCCATACCCGTTATCCGCGCCACCTCTATGGCAAGATCAGTCACATCATTTAGAACTCGGTCAGCATAGCTCGCTGCGGTCGCTTTCCGTCGCACAGCCATATCAAGTCGTCGAGCAAAGCACAGGATCGTCCAAATCATGCCTCCCCAAGCCGTCCAGTGCTCTTGAGATTTCCTTCCACGTTGTCAGCCGTATTTCGAGGATTACAACGGTCCATCCCAGCTCCGATCGCGCGTCGGAGACCAGCTTGCACCTGCAGTGACATTTTGCCCCGGCCCTTTGAGGGTACAGGAATGCCTTTGCCGCACAATCAAGGGGCCCGTCTGCTTCCTAGCCGAGAAGAGCGCCACTCAAGTACGGGGGGGTTTCCTTGAACAGGTCGCGGAACTGAAAGTACTGCTTCCGGTAAAAGTTCTCGCGACTCGAGTAGAGGACTCTGGCGTACCACTCAAACACCACCAGGGGCTGGTTCTTGTACATTTCAAGCTTCCCTTGCACCATTTCCTTGAGGTGGAAAAAGGTCCTGTAGGGCTTGCTTGGTGAAGCCGTTTCGGGACAAGTTGGTACCCGAGCATCTCTAGATGGTGCCGAAGCTGCCGGAGTGGGTAGTGCAGCGCCGCCGCCCCCGTGGGCTGGCGGAAGCTGATCTCGTTCGGCCTGGTTCATTCCTTTGTGGCGGGGTTCCGATTGCTGGAGGTCTCTTCGGATGCTTTCCCAATCAGCCTCTTGGGTCAGAGGCAGATCGGGTGGCTCACAAGCGCCGTCTCCCGTCACGGTAGAACTTGACTTTGGCGGCGAGTGCAGCAGGTTGGGGTCGAATTCGTCGGCCGATCTTGAGCCGCGATCGAAGGCTCTGATGACGCTGGAAGGGGGTGGCTGAATGGCTGCATTTGCGGCCGCAACCTCGGGTGGAATTTCCGGCAATGCTTCATCGTAAAAGAACGATCCGTCTATGAGATCATCGACAGCCGGTGACACTTGTGCAGCCGTTGTGGAGTCGCCGAGATTTGGCAACTCGGCATCGAGGTCGTCGGCGAAAAAGATGGAAAAATCCTCTAGCAGTGCCAGGTTATCGGAGATGCCATGGCCATCGGAGTAGTTCTCCCCCGAGCTGTGGCACTCTTGGCCAACAGGGGTATCGCAGTGAATAGCACGGCGTTTCGCGAGTGGCTCTCCCGAGTCTCCAAAGGGCTCACCTCCATGCCTTTTACCCGGCTGACACATTGGTCAGGATGGCGCTGTATTTGGCAGATTTCGAGTAAGAAGTGGAAGAAGCAAGGACTGGACGACACGGCGATGAGACTAGATTCGCTGCAGATGAAGTTTAGCAATACTCGATGCGCATGGTGCTCTGGGTATGATTCATACGAGAGAGGATGCCGACAAGCTGAGCCCGCCAAGCGTTGCTGAGAATCGGACGCCTCTAGAAGCTCTGCCGCGAGTCAGTCGGCAAGACGCAATGACGGCGAGGTGTTCCATGGGGAGTCAGAAGTCTTGGCTTGATCATGACATTTGAGGAATAATTTCTCGCGGCCAAGGACGAGTGAGGGGCGGTTGACCGTCATTTCGCCGGGTGCCTTCCTTCTTCCCCGACCTCCTTCCGTCTTCAGCCTGTGCTGCTGACAAAGACGATTGGCTTGCATCTTCCATCATGCAACCGCTGGACCGCAAAGACTCTTTCTCATGACTGCGTCTGCGTATTCTCCGACGTCATCACCAGTCAACATGGTCGGCGTCACGACACCGAGCCCACACCGAGGCTAAAGATTGGGGAACCTCCAAATAACCATGCGACAGCAACCGCCCCCCCGCAGATGTTCCACCAATGAGCCTAGTCCCCGCGCCTCTTCAAGGCCTGCGCTAGACGTTCCCCGAGAGGCCGGGCAGCGGAGCCTGGAGAGGCACATGCCCTCATACTTTCAGTTGGTCTGAACTCGGATCTCGGCCCCCCCCCCGTGGGGACTTCGTCCCCGTCCGCCTCGAACTTTTGCGTCTTATCGCAACCCACAACCACGGCTCCGGCATTTCCTCGATACCTCGGATCAGATACTCCCTCCCTCCACCATTCAAGATTCTCCCCCTTATCCGCAGGCGCACAAGGTTTTCCCACCACTGCCCGCCTTCTGGAACTGTTCACCCTTCACAAGGTTGCCATTTTGCGGGGGAATTCCGGGGCGTCTGACCCTAACATGTCCGACACGTGCGAGGCCAAACGAGCCCGGACCTCCGACGCCGTCAATGGCACGCCGAATTCTCCAAAGGAAGACGTCTTCGTCGGGAGCGTCGACCAGGGCACCACGTCGACCAGGTTCCTCATCTTCAACAGTGCTGGCGAACCCCTTGCCAGCCACCAGATGGGCTTCGACAACAAGCATCCTCAACCCGGGTAGGTTGGCCAATTGGCGAGCAACAATAAATCCGTTGCTGCTAACTGGGAAATCTGCCTATAGCTGGCACGAGCATGATCCCCTTGAGCTTCTCCAATCGGTCGAGACGTGTATCGAAAAAGCAACAGCCGAGTTCCGCTCAAAGGGCTACGACCCGGCCAACATCCGCGCCGTTGGCCTTACCAACCAGCGCGAGACCCTGGTGCTGTGGGACAAGACCACGGGAGAGCCACTCTACAACGCCGTCGTCTGGCCCGACACCCGAACATCCTCGTTAGTGCGCGAGCTCAAGGCCTGCGACAATGCAGACAAGCTCCAGGACCTCTGCGGGCTGCCGCTGTCGACGTACCCGTCCAGCGTCAAGCTGCTGTGGCTGCTTCGCAACGTCGAACCCGTGGCCGAGGCCTACAAGGAGAACCGCCTGGCTTTCGGAACTGTCGACACCTGGTTGATCTACCGCCTCAATGGGGGCAAGGATCGGGAGGGCGGTCCCCCCATCTATGTCACCGACTCGACCAACGCCAGCCGCACCATGTTCATGAACATCCATACTCTCCAATACGATGACGACCTCCTCTCCTTTTTCCAGATTGACCGCTCCAAGCTGGCCCTGCCTGAAATCGTCCCCTCGTCGCACCCTACCGCCTTTGGCGCACTCGCCCGCGGGCCCCTCAAGGGCGTTCCCATTGCCGGCTGCCTGGGCGACCAGTCCTCGGCCCTCGTCGGCCAATGCGGCTTTAACCCCGGCCAGGCAAAAAACACGTACGGCACGGGCTGCTTCCTGCTCTACAACGTCGGCTCCGAGCCCGTCATCTCCAAGAGCGGCCTGCTGGCGACGGTGGCCTACGACTTTGGCAAAGGCAAGAAGCCCGTCTACGCACTCGAGGGCAGCATCGCCGTCGCCGGCTCGGGCGTGACGTTTCTGCTCAACAACTTGGGGCTCATTGAGAGCTCCAAGGCCATTGACGAGGTGGCCCTGTCCGTCCCCGACAACGGCGGCGTCTACTTTGTAACCGCCTTCAGCGGCCTCTTTGCCCCGTACTGGATCGACGATGCCAAAGGGACGCTCTGTGAGTTTTCTTCCCCCGCCCTTTGGGACCGCTGTTGGCTTACACCCGTCTCACTCCCCAGTCGGCATGACGGCGCACACGCAAAAAGGCCACATTGCGCGCGCGACGCTCGAGGCCACCTGCCACCAGACAGCCGCCATCCTCGACGCCATGGCTGCCGACTCGGGCCACGCGCTCGAGTCACTCGCCGTCGACGGCGGCCTCTCCAGCTCGGACCTGTGCATGCAGACGCAGGCCGACCTCAGCGGCATCCCCGTCGACCGCCCCGCCATGCGCGAGACGACGGCCCTCGGCGCCGCAATTGCCGCCGGCCTCGCCACCGGGGTCTGGGCCGACCCCGACGAGCTGCGGTCCGTCAACGCCAGCAACAGGACCGTCTTTCAGCCCAAGCTCGGCAAGGCGGACAGGGCCGGCATGCGCAGGCAGTGGGAGAGGGCCGTCGAGATGAGCAGGGGGTGGGTGCTGGACCAGGAGTGAGGGCCCTTTATTTCTCTTTGGGGAGTACAGCCGTTTTTTTTTGGGAGCCGGGTGCATTTCATGTATGATATCATGTGGGGAGTAAGCTTGGGTCGTGTACTTTCTTTGGGGTTAGACCAACAAAGACGTTTGGAAAGAGGCAAAATGGCCGTTGGCTGTTGGACATGGATGAGCGCCGCCGCAGACAGCATGCAATCTACCTCGTGACCCTACCCCTTGAAACGCCACGCACAACACGATGAAAAGAGGCACACATGAGGCTGAGCGCCAGAGTCCCCGTTCATCGGCTACCGTCTAATTATACGTCCACCCCGCGCCGCAGCTACAGCCATGCAACAACACCGCGCCAGTTTCCGAGGCCCCCAGCCCCAGACGACACGTACATCCCGCTTGCCGCCATACAAATCATGAGTCCTTGGTGGCCGAAACGAGCCTTCCCCCGAAACGATTGTTTTGCCAGCCTCGAGCATCCCCCCCCCCCTTGCCCGTGACGCCACATGGTGATCTGAGAAAAAGCACAAAGCGTGGCCAAGGGAAACAGAGAAGTAAAGAAAACAGAAGATTCAGGGGAAGATTCAGAATAAAAAGGTAAAATAATAAGTATATAGGGCACGTGAAGCAGAAAGGGTTTTTCGTCAAGAGAGGCGTCTCGCGTTCCCGCTTCCGAGCATAGCCTTTTCAAAGATATTTGAGAGTGGCGATGTCTGTGAGTGGTGGTAGTGGTGGGTGGAATCTGTTTTTGAGTGTCTTCCCGGTTGGTTGGGCCGTGAGTTTGCCGCGCCTCACATGATGATGGCGGGGACGTCGACGTTGGCCTTGATGGACTTGTGCGGCAGGACACTGCCGCCGTTGACGTAGATTTCGTCGCCGATGGTCACGTCGTCGCCCAGGACCGTCACGTTCTCCAGGCGCGCCCAGCGGCCAACGATGCTGTTCCAGCCAACAATGGTGGACTTGACCCAGGCGTGGTCCTTGACCTTTGAGCCGCGCAAGAGGACGCAGCGCTGTAGCCGCACGCCGTCTCCGACCACCACGTTGGGGCCAATGGTCACGTTGGGGCCGATCCTGCAGTTCTTGCCGATCTTGGCAGACGGGTCGATGAGGACATTGCCGCCGTGGACGTAGGACTCGGTAGGGGGGGTCAGCTCCTTGCTGGCGCGCTTGGTGAGGGAGGAGAGGTAGAGGCAGGTGCCGCTGAGGAAATCCTTGGGCTGGCCAACGTCCATCCAGAAGCCGTCGAGGTCGAACGAGTGCAGTTGGTTGTCGCGGACCATGGAGGGGAACGTCTCCTTTTCGATGGAGGTGGGGCGCAGCTCGATGCGTTTGAGAACCGACGTGTTGAAGATGTACATGCCGGCATTGATTCTGTTGCCCACGAATTCGACGGGCTTCTCGACGAAGCGATCGATGCGCGAGGGGTGGTTGGGCTGGTGGACGACGACGCCATACTTGGAGGGCTCCTCGACCTTTGTGACGACGATTGTGCCCTCGTCGCCGTGGTTCTTGTGAAATTGCAACAAGTCGGCAAAGGGGTAGTCGCAGATGACGTCCGAGTTGAGGACAAAGAAGGGGGAGTCGTCCTTGAGCAGGATCTTCTCTGCCAGCTTGAGGGGCCCTGCCGTGTCGAGGGGTTCAGACTCGACGGAGAATTCAATGTTGATGTTGTATTTTCGCTCGTACTGGTGCGAGACGTGTCAGCGAGTGATGCGGGAAGGGAACAAGAAGAGAGCGACGATGCGGGGCGGAAAACGCACTTCGGCGAGGAACTTTTCCATAACCTCAGGTCGGTAGTTGACAGCGAGAATAATGTCTTTGACACCAGCAGCGACAAGCGCCTCTATCTGGTGGACAATCATGGGCTTGTTGCAGAACTCGACAAGGGGTTTGGGAAGCGTGAGAGTCTGGCGCGCTGGCGAGTCAGTGGAGTGCGCGGGGTTTGGTCACCAGGACGGGGAAGGGCATCGCGTACGAGGGGGCGAAGGCGGGTGCCAAAGCCACCGACCAAAATAAGTCCTGCGTGTCGGTCAGCCGGGCCGAAGTTGGCCAGAGCGAGGTCGACGAACCCTTCATGGTGGCGGGAGAGGGCTTGGACTCGGGGAGCTTGGGGTGGCTGATGGAAAAGGCGGGCGACGCGTCCGGGAAACGAGGCGAGGTCGGGGAGAGGAGTCGAGCGGGATTGAGACGACGGCGGCCGGGAAGAGCGAGCGAAGGCGACGACAGGAACGAACGTGTATAGAGGCGCGTCAAGGGACGGTGGCGGGCGGTTGAAGGCGGGAATCGCGGAAGATGAGGAAGAGTTGGGAGCGTGCGGGCGAGATGCAAGGTTTTTGTGACGAAGGTGGTCTGGATTGGGAGTTGTCGACTGCGAGGAGTCGTTCGGAGTACTGGACTCGACACGAGCGAAGACGAGGGTGTACTCCGTATCAACGGTACAGTGCAGTACCTACGGCGACGCGACACGAGGATGCGGTGGGGGCCGAGGCGGGCCGATGGGCGCGTCCTAGGGATATGCCTCCGTATGTCTGTATGTAAGTACTACGGATACTTATACTTACAGTCAGGTAAGTAGGTAAGGTAGGTAGGTAATTACAGACTCGAGGCATTGGTCCCCGCTCTGCTACCCCCTTTTGCCCCTCCCAGGACAAGATGCACTGCATTCCTCACCAGCAGCTTCTAGAGGGCAACGGCTACTAATCACGCCCTTTCTCACGGTGTCATGAGCGTTGATCTACGTCATTGCCCGTCCTATTTCCAATGAGCCATCGTGAAAACACCATGTTGGGACAGCAATGGGTGTTGGCCTAGGGAATGTACATCTGTACAGCTGTGGAAGCCCAGTGGAGGCGCTGCTGGATAGGGCAGTAATATCCACAGAATGGGCCTTTTTGGGGACAGCGCTAGGCACGTTGCAGTGTGCAAACAAACATGTCTTCGGGTGACGGCGACGGAAGTGAGGAGACGGGACAACAGGAAATGGGATGATGCGAGCCTCCGCCGCAGTCTTTTGTGCCCGGCAATGAAGCCCTGTATGCGAGTCGGCTGTACCAAATAGGTAACTTACACCGTCTACTTGAGGAATTGCCTGCGTCGCCTATCGTCGGAGTTGCAATGTTCAGGTACCTGCCAGTATCCTTCATGCACGTGCCAGTACTCGACGAAAGTGCGCTCAAGTATCCGCACGCTTGGAATCGTCGCCCGCCGCACTGTATACATGCGTCTCGGCAATGAACCGTCTTGGCATATCAGTACCTGACAGGGCCAAGCGCCGGGCAGTGATGAGCGGCTTCCCCCCATTTTGCATCAACAACGGCCAACCGCTCTCTTCTCGCCTCCCGCCGAGCGATGAGCTACGCGCGCCGACATTTCCATCATCGACGAATCCTCTTCCTCTCTCCGAGCGAGCCGCCGACCGACCCACGCAAAGTCCATTCATTGCAAACTGCACATGTCATGCGATGCGACGTGCACAGCCCATCCGTACGTTTATGCCAGGGTAGACGCTTCATTACCTACCCCCTTCCCATCGTCGACGAATCCGTCCTTCGACGACCAAGGGCAATCAAAATAAAGGGGGGAGACCGTTGCAAGCCGAGCTCGGGCATCCCGCGCCGTCGTGGCCAAAGGGTCCGACTCGTCAGGATCAGTGGCCGGACGGGAGCCAATTACGCTCACCAGGCGGCATTGCGAGGTTTGTCGTAGAATTAGACGGGACCCTTGTAATCTGTCCAAACTCTATTTGATAAGCTTAATGACGGACAGTCACCTTGTCACGCGACGCCGTCTCGCCTCGAAAGGTCCGACAGGGGGGCCCGTCTGACCTGTATCAAGATAGGGGTTGCGTATTCGTATATGAAAATCACCGGCTCGTCAAGGGTTTCATTAGCCAGGCCATCATGTCTTACCCCCTCAACCTCCAGCGCTTCTAGACTTTGATCTTGGAACTGGTCTCAACTCCGAACTCGGGGTCGTCTGTCCCTCATGGTTCCCGCGGTCCATTCTCATGCATACCCAACAGCTTGTAGCCTTGAGTCATGGCATTGGCCCTCGGAGCAACCAAAGGCCTTCTTCCTGGACTTTCACAACGCTGGCTCTCACGTAGCAACTCTTGCCACTCGTCGATGAGATCCAAGCGACCTGGCAATCCCCTTGGCATCTTCGACTCGGGGCCACCCACCAGTCGGCTTCCCATGATCCGTATTCAATAACTCACCCGCCGTGAGGACCGCGGGACAAAACCTCATCTCGAACAATCGACCCAGTCATGACCATGCGGCCGCTCTGCAAATGCGAAAAAGGAAAAGACAAGTGTGTCCCTTGACACCTCGCAGCGCCATTATCATGTCGAGGCCTTCCCCGCCCTCAAAGACCTTGTCCTCCATCTTTTGCAAAGGTAAAAATGCCTCCTTGACAAGCTCTTCTCACACTGTATTTTACGAGACTCGGTCGACCGGCCCTGCCATCGAAGCCGCCGGGCCAAAGAGCGCTCAAGTCGCATCAAAGCTGTGTGTGGCCGACTCCTGGTCACGAGAGAGAGCGCGTTCCGTCCTTGGCACGCGCGCGCAGGGAAGAGAGAGTGACTGCCATGGAAAGCCGAGGTGAGTAGCGAGAAGGGGAAAAGTGTCATGATCGTTATCATAAAGCTCCTGGGACATCATCATAATCCATCAAGCCAACGCCCAGCCCCGAGTGGCTGGCGCACACCCGTTTTGCCCTGCATCCAAGCTCAATCTCTGATTTGCCCCCTTTTTCTTTCCTTGTCCTTCTTCTTTGTTGAACTCATCATTGCCATCATCGCTGTGTCGCACAATCCACAAGGGCAACATGGGGGCAGAGGACAAGGAAAGGTAGAGACGAGGAAGAAGAAGAAAAACATCTAGCGAAGGGAGTTGGCCGAGAACGAAAGACTGCTGCTGCTGCCGTCCCTCGCTCGCTCGCTGGAAAATGCCAAATTATGAAAATAGGAAAAGGAAGAATAAGATCAAAGGCAAAAGCCACCGCCCCCTCTTGTTTCTCGTCTCGCTGCAAGAACGAACAGTTGCCGAAACCAAGAATCGGACTCAAGTCTAGCCTCCCGGGACCAGGAACGGACAAAAGGAAGAAGGAAAGAAACGAGGAAAGAGACCGGAAATGCCCCACGGCCATGATTTCCCCAAACACGAAACACGGCCTCCTGTTCCGAGGCAAGGCAATAAACATAGACGACGGCTCCCGATCCTGGTGAAGCGTCCTTTTCCAGCGGATGTAGGCCGGGGAAAACAAAGCCTGGATGAGAATGGTTGAAGGTCAGGCATCCATCATGCTGGTCCTGTCCAAGCACAACACGAGCGAGGCCCACAATCAGCCAGCCTCAAGAAAGCGAGCCAATGCCCTGGCGGGAGTTTTGAATACCAAGAACGTCCAACGCAAGATAGCCCAGCCAACTCTGAGGAGAGAAGCCCAAAAGTGGACGAGAGAAAAAAACCGGGAAAGTAAAGAGAAACGGAAACAAATCCAACATGACGAGGCCGTTAGGAGCTGAGGTACATCGTTTCTAGATGAGTCGTTACGTATCGTCGTAAAGTCGTGGCAAAATAAGAATCGTGAATGCTCAAGGGACGCGTCGCTTTACCTCCCTTATGTTGGCCAAGTTTCCTCACCCTTGCGCGCTTCAATCCATGCTCGTCGAGGGGCGGTTGCCCGGGGATGATGATGCACTCGGTATCTCCTCTAGGGACTGCCGTGAAGCTTTTCAACCGCTTTCTTGTACGTGTATATGTAGGTGTGTGTTGGTGTGGGTGTTGGTGTGTGAGAGGCACCGCTGGCTGCTGCGTCGAGTTGTGCCCGGGGTCGGGTTGGAATAGGAGGAGAGAGAAGGGAAACGGACACGGCGAAGACCCCCAACTCGGTGCCCGTCCGGAGGCTCCCGGTGCGGCCAAACTCGACGTGAGGGGCCGTCTCAGTCGAAGGAGGCGGTGGAGCTGCTGCTGGAGTGATTCCCGGACCTCCGGCCACGGCTCTCGCCGCTGTCGCGCGACGAGGCGTGGCGGCTCTTGCGGTGGCGGCCCGTGTCGGCGGCGGCGGGTAGCCCCTGGACGATGCCGTTGCGGGCGAGCATGCCGCCGTTGACGGAGAAGTTGCGGCAGACCATGAAGGCGCGCATGGCGGCGTTTTCCTGGGCCAGGACGTCCGACTCGTAGGCGAGGTCGGTCTGGTACTCGCGGCCGTTGACGAGGACGAGGCAGGTGTAGCCGTTTGAGTCTCGGTAGCATTCGTACGAGGGATCGGTCCATCCTCGCCGGCGGCAGAGACCTAGAAGGGGGAAGGCCAGGGGTCAGCGACGTCGAACCGGATCAATGCAGCACCAGGCCCCCTGAGCAGGCAAGGGGCTGCAGATGAGGCTGCTGCGTCGAAGCCCAAGCAAGCAGAGCAGAGCAGCATGGTAGTAGGGGGACATGACGGAGATGACGGGCCGTGCCCAACTCGCGGGGAGAGGGAACCGCCAAGCACCCAGATAGATTGCTTTTATGAGACGCAGGTTCGTGCCGGCAGTGTCCAAAGACTGCATGGCTTCTGGTCTCGACTCGCTCGTTGGCAGCAATTCACGCACATACTGCAACCGCCTTCCGCCCCCCCACTTACACCGCTCACGGCCAACTCTGGGAGAGGGACGGCCACGGCGAAAGGAAACAAGATATAAAGGGAGGCATGAGTGAGAGGGGCTCAATTGGTCGACTTACTCTCCAGGTACTGCATGTAGAAGCCACCCATGATGCTGGTAGACGGCAATTGACGATGAGGCGGCGGGCTGATGAAGAAGCGGAGAGAGCCGGGGGTGGGAAAGAAGAAGAAAAAAAAGGATAAATTCAACAAAGAAAAAAGTGGGAACAGCGTCGACGACGGGGTTTGCACGTGTCGTTGCCCGCGTGGCAGCAGACGGGACGAGTTCTTTTTTTTTTTTCGAGGCGAGCCAAGACGGAATATGCCACCCAAAATTTGACGAACCCGAGAGGGGGAGGCAAGGAGGGGGCGGGAGGCAAGATCACAAACAGGTTGTCTGCAGTGAGGCCCAATGGACACGGGGAGGCCGAAGAAGGAGGAGTGAGAGGTGAGAGAGAGCCCCAAGGGAGAGGAGGAAGAGGGTGTCGGGCAGAGAGTGAAAGAGAGAGAGAGAGAGAGAGAGAGAGAGGCAATTAGGCCGCCGGAGGATGGAAAAGATAAAGGGGGATGGGGGAAAGGGGGAAAAGACAAATAGACGAGGCCGCTGGGATGTGTGAGGCAGGGAAACGGAGGGGTAAAAGAGAGGGAGAGCGAGTCGAGGTCGACGAGCCTGCAAGCAAGCGTCGAGGTATGTTGTAATTGTGGGAGATATATGTAGGCAGGCGGGCAAGCTTACACCGGTTCGTGCAGAGACATGTTGTGTGTTTTTATTGCAAGCGCTCTCCAGGGGGGGTGAAGAGGGGTGTGTAGGAGGAGAGAGGGAGAGAGAGGGAGAGGGAGAGCGAGGGAGTGGCAGAGTTGGGAAATGCACGCGCAAAGGTAGATGGGGATGCGAGCCCACGATGCGGCTCTCGGGGCCACGTTGAGGGCCCGAGTGTGGACGGGGCAGGTACTTTGACGGCGACGAGTCGGACTGTACACAATGCGGAAACGTCTACTCCGTAGCATAGAGAGAAGTGTACGGAGTACTGTAGTGTATGCCGGCCAGGCGAGGAGAATTGGGCAAGGAAAAGAACGAAAGAAAGAAAAAAAAAGGTGTGACCCGTGGGGTGATGTGTTGGCGTGCCTCGTTACCAGTTGATGATGGGCGACAGCAACCGCTGGACGACGCTAGGCCGCTCCACCGGCGGGCGCATCTGGGGGGGGGGGGTGGGGGGGTAAAATGGGGGTGTGTGGGGAAGAGACGACAGACAGGGAGGGAACCAAGGGAACCTTGCTGGCCTGACCTGCCTCTCCGCCTCTGCCTCGCCTTGCCTCGCCTTGCCTTGCCTCTGTCTGTACTGTACTATACTGTACTGTACATGTCTTCTGTAGATAGGTAAGGTAGGTAAGTTACCTAGGTAGGATGGTAGATAGGTAAGGTAGATACTACTAGTAGGTGTATATATCCCACATTCATCATTAATGCACCGTTATTAATATTTCCATCCCTCTTTTGGGCCTTTTCCGTCTCTCGTCCACTCTTGCTTGTCCCTGCCAGCATGTGCATCGTCGTCTTTTTGCAGCGGCTCGCCCTGCATCTACTTGCTCTCTCTCTCTCTCTCTCTCTCTCTCTCTCTCTCTCTCCCCCTCTCTCTCCCCCCCCTCTCTCTATTGTATGGCTTTATATGGGCAGTAATCGTATCTCTACGGGCAGGCAGTGGTCTACTCCAGTACATACATGCCGGCCGAGGTGTCGCTGCCACTGCCCCGTACTGCACTGTACAGTACTCCATGTGTGGCCATGCATGCACAGCAGGTCCATCTCCGGGCCTGCGGGTGCAGGAGCAGTATCCACGATGCACGCAAAAGGAACAACAACAGCAGCAGCAGCAGCAGCAGCTCTTTGGGTCCTCGGATCAACAGGGCCTTGTCTTACGTATGTATAAGCTTTCAATCCCATCCTGTCCCCAACACAACCAAGCACTGTACTGTACATGTCACTGTGTATGTATGCCGACGACTAACACCCAGACAGACACACGCACATCCCCCGGCATTGGCTGCCACCAACTTGGTTGATTTTGACTTCATCATTCTCCCTGCCTCCGTGCTCACTCTGCCCCCCAGCCCGGTGGCCGTTTTCATCGTGTAGCCGGCCTCGACCGGCGCCCGCCAGACGCCGATGCCCCGGCCGGGGGCGCCGCCGTCTGCACTGTAATTACACGCACGCACACAAGTTGCGCGCCTGGGCACCGTCTCTCCCCATTTCTCATCTACGGTGCATCCACATGCGCCCTTTATTGCGTGCGTCTGTCTGCCTTGTGGATCGGGGTGGACGACGTTTTGCGACTTGACGTCGTCGTCGTGGCGAGAGCTGAAAGACGACCACATAGCCCAGACGAAGACGGACAACAACGAGGCCAATGCAATGCAAGCCTTCGCGCCTTTCTTTTTCCCCCTCCTTTTTTGGGGGCGGGCTTTTTCGCCCTCGCCGCCCAGACGTGTGGTGCCTGGTTGGCTGCCGCCTCCAAGATCTCGGTTTCTGCCCCCCTCCCAGTTAGCGGTACGACACGGCGAACCATGCAGAGGAAATCAAAAGCACACACGGTGGGGGAGAAGAGGGGAGGGGGCGTGAGGCGTTTCCCCATCCATGCGTTCCTGAGCTGCAGCACCAGCTACGCAACTACGGTACATACAAGGTCCCTTGCGGCCGGGAGCCAGGTCTGCAAAAGGGAACAAATGGAGAGGGGAAGGGGGTGGTTCGTCCGGCAGCCGCCGTGGGGGAGGGGAGGGAACCGAGGAAGAGGGAGTGGTTGGCTTGTGAGACGATGCTGATGGGTTTGTATCGACATGTCTGCACTCATCCGTCCGCCCATCCACCCATCCACCCATCCATCCATCCATCTACGGAGTACCCGTCCATCTATCCCAACCACACGACGTTGACTTGAGCGGTTGCGGGCGATTTGCCATATGACGTACCAAGCGCAGCCAGATGGAAAGTCGAGAGGGCTCGTCAACAAGGGCCACCCTCCTCGGACTTGCCTTGATGCACATCTCCATGTGCATGGCTGCAGTCGGATCCAAAAAAGCGCGGGAGCCTCAATTGGTCCAATCGCCTTGTTGGCGGGGGCCTCCATTGTCCAGTGAGCGGCCGTCGGTGATGCGAAACCTGTCGGTGAGGATTTGTGGGAGAGCGAGAGAGAGAGGCAGATGAAGGCGGGCCGGGGGGGGGAGGAGGGGGAGGGGAACACACCACCGATGGACGGAGCGAGGAAGGAAGATCTGGACTAATTAGACAGGGCTTGTACTTATCAGTACGTACGTCGAGATCGTGGCGCATCGTCAAGGCGGGCGGCACTCGAGACTGTGCAACAGCCGCAGGGCATCTCCTCGGTCCATCATCATCATCATCACCATCATCATCATCATCATTGTCAAGTAGGCATGCTCCGTACCGTACAGGGCATGCATGCGGCGCGTGCATACATACATTCACTGTATGTATATGTATGTGCGATATTTGGGGGGGGAGGGGGGGGATATGGTGCTCCCATGTCCCGCGTGGAGAAGACGACGGCGACAGCCCTCAGGGGAAGCAGGAGCAGGAGAGGAGGAGCAGGAGCAGGAGCAGGAGCAGGAGGAGGTTGGGACCGTCGACCCAAGAAGGACCCAAGAAGGACCCAAAAAGGACCCAAGAAGAGACCCCCCACCAGCTTGGCTGCAGCGAACATGTCGGTCGGCGAGCTTTATAACGGTGAAGGAGCCCTGGCTGATTGGACCGTCGCGGGAGGGGTCGCGAGGCAACAAGGCGCAAAACGTTTCCCTCCCTCAACCCTCATGCAATGATGAGCTGGCACTGCTTGCTGCGTTGATGGCATTGGCAGCAAAGGAAGGGGGAAAGGAAGGAAGGGAGGGCAAGGGAAAGAAAAAAAAAAGACGTCGACAGCGGCCAACCCCAAAGCGTCCTGGGCCGCCTTTTGCTGGCCAAACGGCGCGGCCCCGCGCTCTCTCTCCCTCTCTGTCGTGTGTCATTCTCCGAACCGCCATTTGTCTGGCACCAGCAGCCATTTACCGACGGGCCTTTCTGCCCTCCCCCCTCCTCCCCCCGGTGGTGCGGTCGGCAGCAAGCTTTTCGGCGACATGGCGGATATAGACCCGAAGCTTGCCCGGCAAACCACGTTCCCATGCCACGAACCCACTCGCCCGTGATTGGTGGCGCGCCGGTCCGTTGCTCGCTGCGCAGAGTGAAGCCATCCCATGCACACCACCAACCAGCCAAAAGTCAAGGCGGGCGTCACGCCGGCCCCTCCATGTGTGCGCGCGCGCCCGGGCGGCTGTCGAATCGGAAAAACATGCTTGCTCGTGTCCCCCGGCCCCCCGGGTTGGCACGTCGGAACCGTTGCGGAATAAAGGGGGCCGGCCAGTGTCTGCCACTGCCCATGGCGACAGAGAGGGAGAGAGATGCCGTCGTCGAGACGAATCCGGTTCGCCGGGTCTTAGTTGGTGAACCCTTCTCCGATCCCATGTCGCACCGCGTCGACCCGAGCGACACACACACACACGGAGAGAGAGAGAGAGAGAGAGACACACACACACACACACACTCACTCACTCACTCACTCAACACCACGTTGCTGACGCAAGCTTCCTTCCACCTTGCTTTGTCTGTCTGCTTGTTTCCATGGTCCATCGCAACAGCCTTTCTTCTTTTCCTTCCATTCATCTTGGTCTTCGCCCTCCAGCCGCCCACGAATGCCCATGTGTCATCTCCCCGGGCCGCCATCTGTCCAAGGCTCCGCGCAACGTTCCCGCCCTGAGGGGGCCGTTTGCCTTTTCCCGTCGAGATGGTGATGGTGTGTGCATCTGCCCACTGCTGCGTTGGAGGTGCTGCGTGGGAGGTGCTGCGTTGGAGGTGCAAGACGGACCGAGGCCCAACATGATGGCGTACTCCATACCTGCAAGCACACACGGCACTCAGAGACGCCCGCCCAGGCCCAACGCTCCTCGCAATGCAAATAAAGACCCCGTCGTATCTTCCTTGTACCTCGACACACCTGACGCAGCACCCGTCCAAGGATGCCAATCCAGAAACAAGCACATGCAAGACGCATCATCGAAAAGGTGCAGCATCATGCCCTTGGCGAGTACACATGAGCCGATGCAATGAAGCTCCCGCCCAACGAAGACGCAACGTGCTCGCCATGTGCCCACCGACCTCTTCTTCACTGTCTCAACGTCGCACAAGCCGAGACACTGCCGCTCTTGCTCCTCCCCGCCGCCGTCAGCCGATGCCCGCCAGCGCCTCCCGGACCGGTAGCCCACGTAATTACTCGTCTTATCCGTGCCTACAGATATAAACATGCCACACGGCGTCGTGTCCACGCCCTGCTCTACTATATTGCACTACTATATTGTACAGTGCCATCATCAACATCAAAGACACTCTTTGATCCTTGGTCCATGAGCCGTCTCCAGGTGGCAACATGACATCAGCCCCTTGGCCAGCATCCATCTGCTCTCCCCCGCGCACAGCAGATTTCCGTGGGCCCAGACAGCGTTTCCCCTGCTCTGTTTACCTACCCACTTCCAGCATACCTGCCCATCTGCCAACCACGCGTGCAGTATTCCGTCCGTATATACATGTACGTGTGAATGACCGCAGCGGCTCCGTCTGCGCGCAGGACATCGAAAAGCCCCCCTTCCCCTCCCCGGCAGATACAGATGTTGAGAGATAGTGTCACTCTTACATGATGAATTACATACTCCCCCCCCCCCAGTCGACGACGAAATCAAAAAAAAAATAGACAGCAGCCCGTCCGGGAGTATCTATACATCACAAACGCAGATGCATTCGTACATACGAAAGAGCGGCGCGGACGGCCGCATCTGATGCGGCCGCGTCTGACTGAGTGACGAGGCGCTATCTGGCTGGCCTCGAGCATGCTGCATGTTAACTAATACAACGTACGCCTTTATTAGTGCACGCTTTCGTGCAATCTTGGCCCGTTACAAGAGCCCGCCGTCAGCTTGCGACACCTCTCCAGAACCTTTCCTGAACAAGAGCCCATGCAGCCTGATGTAAGTTCCCTCCTGGGTAGGGTCTCCCCGTCCAGGGCCAACGGCAGCCACCCCGTCGAGGCCCCTCCCGCCCGCATGGCCCATGTGTTTCTTGCCCCGTCGTCACGACGCCATGTCGCCTTGTCAATCTCCCTCGCCGTCAAACGCGGAGCCCTCGCGGCAGCTTGAGACATGCTTCGGGCAGGTTGCCGTGCAGGGCCCCTGTTGGGGACACTCGACTCTCGTTGCTCCATCCAGCAATGGCCCCAGGAATGATGTGCAGCCCGCCACGCCCTTCCAGCGCCGTGTGGCTTGACGGCTGTGCCCCCTGTCCCCTCTTTCTTCCCCCATCCCCCCTCCTTCATCCCAGACATGCAGCCATATCTGCTGGGTACGCACGACGGGGGGGGGGGAGGGGGTCGACCATCAGGCTACCTGGAATCGGATGTGCTGGCCATCCTCGCGATGCACATGTAGCGTGGGCGACGCCAACGGGCGGGCAGAGATTGGCGAATGCAAGCTATAACGTCCAGGCGAACCATTGAGGCCGACTGGCCTCGGTGCATCGCCACGGCCGTCCATGATGGCAACCAGGCCGGGGCCGGGGCCACGCACGGCTGCTTGTCAATTGGCCTACTCGGCCTCCCTTTGAGCTGCCCTTTTTGTTCTATTTCAATCTTGAGTCACCGGCCGCCGCCTCGTTACACGGCCACCTTCCAGCCGTGATAACTCCGCGATGCTGGGTTGATGAGTTGTCCACCATGCAACTAGGCCCGGTGGCGGCCTTGCCTTAGCATGCCGCGTTGACGAGGCCTCTTCCTCCACGCCGTCATCCATCATATACTCTTGGCCTCTTCGCCTCCCTGTAAGGGGCGTCTCGTCAAGCACGTGACGCAGTTCATCCCAGCCTACAATCTATCACCGTAGCCACGATTGATGTTTGGACGATGGCGACAACTCGCCTTCCTCAACGGTATCCGTCCATGCTCATGCCCTCGAATAAAGTAGTTAGAAGCCCGGCTTGGAGGCAAAGTAGTTTTGGCAGTCGTCTGCATTCTCTTGCGGGATGGCGTAGACGGGATGCGTGGGGCGTACGCGATCCTGCTCGTCGAATATCTGTTCACCCTTGTCGTAGGTGGACACGGTCCAGACTTCGCCACCCATAGCGGTCTCGTCGGCACCGGCGCGGGCCAGGTTCCATTTGTGCTGAGCAGAGCTCAAGCCCGACAGCACGTAGCAGGTGTGGTATGCGTCGGAATATCTTCATACGGGTTAGCTCTTGGGGTCATCAGCGAGTGGGCTGGGCCATTTATTCCTCCCTTTGGCCTTTTCTCTTCCTTTTCTCTTTTTGCGGCGGTGAAGGGGACGCGGGAAGAGGTGGCCATGCAATAATCGGCACCACTTACTTGCTTGGCTTGTCTCTCATCCCGCCGCGCTTCGACATGTCCTGGCCACAGCAGAGGATGTACCGGATCAGCCCGTTTCGACTGAAAAGGCTGTTGTCTGCCTGCATGGACAGGTGATCTGCAGTCTCGGCCGCTGGCCGCTCCGGCCCCCTCAGGCTGGCCTCGAGTAGCGGCCAGCATCCGCCTACCCAGTGGCTGTAGCAGCCGTCGACGAGCTTGTTCGTGCGACCGGAAAAGCCACCCTCGGGTGCGTACTGGCGAGCCGAGAGCCAAGAGACAAGTCGCGGGACATCAAGATACCTACCGCGTCGGGAAACGTCAGCATGCAGCGCTTCCATGTCGAGAGACTCTAGCGGGACGGAGGCATCGCGAATTGGGCGCCATACCTGGGGACCGCTTGGTGCGGGGGATCAAGGATCGAGAGGCATCCCAGGGCGCAGAAGGCGTACGCCCCGTGGGCCTCGACGCCCGGCTTTGCCGACACGCCTCCTTCGTACGTTTGGCCTGGACATTGGCGACCGTCAGGCAGGAAACCAGGGCGGTTCCGGCGCGAGAGACCTACATCGTCGTACCCACTCCCCGAGGCCGCTGAAAAGCCCAGCGTGGCCGGCTGCACATGCAGGCGAATCGGGTGACAGGCTGAGCGGGATGTTGAGCAGCGAAATGATGACGGCCGCGCAGTAGGCTCCTCTGCAACAAGCATTCATCAGCGTCGGCTTCCTGTCGCCCAGAGCCGGCACGGCAAACATACCTCACATCTTCCTCACCGCCAATGGCCATCTGGAATCCTCCATCGGGCTGCTTCAACGAGCACAACCACCTCCACATGGCCCTCCTATCAACCACCTCGTAGGCCTCGTCCCCGCCGACCAAGCAGAGCGACAGGACTGTTGCATAGGTGGTGGCGAGATGCGAGGTCTGGCCGAACCCGCCGCCGAATCCGCCCGTCTCGTTCTGCATGGGGCGGACCGTCTCGACGAGCCTCGAGCGATAGGATTCCACGTCGTGGCCGAGGAGTGACAAGCCAGCGAGGCACCAGTAGAAAATCCAGGGCCGGCTGGGGTCTGCAGACATGAACATGGATGGCAGGGTGCCAAGCTGCTTGTGCAAGAACTTGACGTGCCGGTCGCGGTACAGGTGCGGGACTCCGTGGGCATTGAAGTAGTCATGTCCCTCCCCTGTCAAGAACGGCAGACACTCGTCGATGGTCTCGTCCTGGAGCATGGAGCTCTCTGTCTCCAGGGCATCCCGGACCGGCGGGCTCGACGTGAAGATATCCGGAATCCCCCCGGCTTCCTCCAGAGTTGTGTCCATGGCCATGTGTCTAGTGCGATGTTTGAAGATGATTCTCGGACGGGTGCGGCTCGGGCCTGCTCGGGTTCTCATGGCGCAGCTGCTGGGCTTGCCATTGCTCTGACCAATCCTTCTGCCAAGTTTCTACCACGCACCCATGTTATTGGGACTCGTCGATGGTCTATGGAAGTATTGTCGAGAGTCTCAGACTCATGGGGACAATAGCAACAGCAGGGTCGAAGAGTCGATTGTTGTCGGGAATTGTCCGGGTAGCATTCCTCGCCTAATCATGTGTGGGGCCTCGCCCAACGCCGGCTTCGGAAAGTCCCGAGCTCCGACGTTACGTCCACCAAAGCGGCACGGGTCAATCAACTCCATCCCGTGGCCTCGCCATCCATCTCGCATCGAAGGGATTGAGGTCGATGTGCACTCAAAGGATCAGTGCTTCAGACCACCGCCTACCCGCTCAAGCTGCAAACGATGTGCTTTGCGCTTTCCAAGCCTCCCTCGCGTGTGCAGAAGCGAGGGCTCCGGAAATGGGGATTTGATATTTGCCTCGGGCAGTCGGCCGGATGCCTTGTGCCTTTGGCCAGAGACAAGTCGTATCGGAGCTTCATGAGTTCATCTACCGCGGCCCAGTCCCTGGAGGCATGGCAGTTGTGCGTTACGGTGCTGACGTGGGTCGAGTCGACGTCAATGCGAAACTCTGTCGTGGGCTTCTCTCGGGCCAACCTCCTTGCGCATGCCACCTTCGACCGGTCGCGAGAGGATCACTCTTGGTCATGAAGCTCTCTCCGGCCTTGGCGCCTGGCCACGCAGTCTGCCTTAGGGCCAGTTTCGGTCGGTCGTAGGAGTAAATGACGCGTCTGGTTTACTTGCTTGGCTTGCCACGCAATGAGTCCAGGGGTAGCTCGTCCCATCTCCCCTGTCACTCAAGGTCACGCTCCGCATGTACGAGTCGTTGATGGTGCCCGTCGAACGTTACTAGGTTGATCGAACTCGGTGTACCTACCGCGCAGCCTGTCTCGCTCGCGCCATTCGGCGAGGTCCTGGCCGGGATGAACCACCGTTGCTGTAGGTCTTTGTCGAAAAACTTGGATATGGCAACATGGGCACTTGGTGCACATGGCGCGGGCGGATGAGGATTCTTGCAGGCATTGCAATATCATTTGCCGTGGGCCTCGAAGGATGGCGTGATGTTGGCTTCGAGTATGGGGTAGTAATGGGTGCGGCATTTGGATTCACGACGAATCTGTTGGTTGGGAAAGACGAGCAGCATAGCCACGGTGTTGGATCAGGCGGAACCTGAAACATGCAACGATGGCAGAGAAGACTTGTCGCACGAGCCGTTGTCTCATGGGCGCACTTTACATGGCTCACGATGCAACCGGGTGGTGAATTCACGCACCGGACCGGCTTCACCTCAACGGACGCTTCCACCTTTACACGCTACTATTTCCTCCGCCTCAAGAGTGCGCACATGAACACGCATGTGAGTATTCCTGCCGATACACGACCCTCGTGATGTGTTGACGAAAGAGCCGATAGTTGGCTGGCAGCGGAGGGTTGATGTCCGATATAGGGTAGCAGAGCTCCTCTCGCGCCGCAGCCAACCACTAACAAGAGAAACAAGGCCGTAGCACGGTACCGACGGTGGGTCAGTGGGCAGGCAGGGCATGACAAGCCGTTAAGCTCAGTGGACCGCACCGGGATTTGACCGGCAATTCACAGGCTGCTGGGCATCCGACGTTGGTGCTACTAACGAGCCCTATTTCAGCTAGGGCGGGTGGAAGCCGCGTGGGGCAGGCCGCACTGTGCCCACCGCTTCTGTTTCAAACAGTCGTCCCAATCACGAACGTTTCTTCGTCCCCACCCACGAGTCTAACTGACCTGGGGACGAGCGAGGTTGGCGCTTGCGCAGCGACGTGGCTGGACACCGGCCGGGGCTGAGCTATTTCTGATGAGAAACAGGTTGGGAGCGTTGAGTTGGCAGTTGGCTAGACATGGGACCGGGTGACCCTTTATGGTCACGAACCATGGCCTTTAATCATATCGCCGAGAGTCGAGACGAACCAACCCGGATCGCGGCACCTCCGACGATGAGTGGTGGCTCGTGGCACCTGGCGGTGATGGTGGGCGCGAATCGGTAGCAAATGCCAAGCGGTCGACGATGGCGTGGGCACATCGAGGTGACGCTTCACGGCGAGCGAGAACCCAAGTTGCCAGCAGCCGGCCAACTGGTGGCTGCGCGCTGGCCTCCAGTCACGAGCTTGGTGGGATGCAGGGAGGGGGCGACGTTGCGACGGATGATGACGAGAGGCCGTGTGTAAAGACTTGCCTGGACGACCCGCTAGCTCAAGACCGAGGCTTCTCGCCGTGCACGATGCATTTATGATTTGTCTGTGTGTATGTGCATGTGAATCGTAAAGTAATAATCTAAAGGTGGGCGGATGCGAGGTGGATTTGGCCGACGGAGGGTTTTTCTCGTCTTGGTAATCGGCAAGAAAATGGGGGACTGGATTTGCACAGTACTGCACTGTACAATTATCCAGTGACAGCGCACGGTGTTAATGAGGCTATGCGCACAGTGATTCCGACGACACTGCAGCAGAGTCCATGGTCGGAGATATCTACCGACTGAGAGGCCCATGTCGTGACGATGGCTGTTTCGTAGCACAGTGCGAGGCCGGCCTGCGGCATTGCCCGGAAGCCCTATCGGTGATAAGGCCGACTCTTGTGCAACGAAAGCCCCTATCTGGCGCAGACGACGCACTCTCAGCGGAGCCCCCCACGAATCGCACCGAGGCGGTTATCGTCCACTTTATGCGCGGCCAGCATACGATGCTCCGATTGTCGCCGGGCAGGCAGCCGATACCCATGCTCGCCCATGGACGGCAAAGGGTCCGGGGAGGGCAGGATCGGACGGCCATCTCGGAGAGCAAAGATCGGCCAGGCCCACCACAGGCGAACGATCTACACGGCTCCGCCAGGCAGTTTGTTGTTGGCAGAGGAAGAGAGGGAGGAGAGGGGGTGAGCTTTTAGCACCTTGTTTTTCCGCCTTGCAGCCGCCAAGCTCACTCGACAAGTTGCAAGGCGCATGCTCACCGGCTTGCTACCCTCGGGACATTACAAGCATCCCCTTTCCTGTGGTGCAGCTGGCGCCACTTGTGTATTAATGCCAGAGGGCCCTGGATTTGGGAACCTTTTGTCGTGCATGCGGAACGGGACAGTGGGGGCAATGGTTTGAAGCAGATCATGCAGGCGATTGCCTGATGGGGAGACGGGGAGATGAGAAGGCGCTCGACATGTGCGTCGATGATGTTTTGCTTGCCTGCAGGAAGCGCCAGAGGCCGGAGAAGGACTAAGGACTCTTCAGAGTAACACACAGTACTAGTACCTTGCGAATGAAGGACCTGTGCACACTACATTAGTCCTGTAGACGGCTCGTGAGGACCTACAGTACATGCTCTGGCTTCCCTGCTATCCACCAACACGTAGACACCTCGTATCGATTCCCTCTTGTTCCCGGATCAACCTTGGTAACGTGCGGCACGACGCTTGGTACTTTCACCACGCACGTATGTAAGTACCTTGGCACCATGGACTTTGCTGAGCCCGTCGGCTTGCACACAAGCGGTGGATCCGACACGAAGAATAAACCAACTACTCGAGCGCGACTAGAGTGCTGCCCGAACGCTTGTACGTGGGCCTTCGCTTATCTCAGTCATCATAAGCCTCTTCTGATCCGCAGATATTGACCTTGAGGATCTGGGCTCCTCATATCCACGAACCCGGCTCAGTAATGCCATGTTGAGCATGCAGGCATCCGCCTCTTCTCTTGACGCCTTAGTAACCAACGCTGGTTTGCTAGGACCATGTCGACGCGGCCTAACAACCCTGCCTCTACGTACCAAGAAGTACATGCGGCAGTACGGAGTACTTGGCACCTCACGATAACCCGCGCCCAACCCAACCACCCACGGCCACAGCGCGCACTGTGCGGCCGCCGCCTGATTGGGCGGGCTGCGCCGGGGCGACCTGGTCCGCTGGATCGCCAGTCCAGCGCTCCACAGGCGTGCAGATGCACAGGCGCCTCAGTGTGCTGTCATTGGCTGCAACTCCCAGACGACGAGCTCACCGCCTCTTCATCAACGAAAGGCCCCCTCCTCGTTTCTCCCCGGCTCCCCCATCAGTTGTGAAGCAGCGCTGCGGCCATGTAAGCCTCTGCAAGCCAGCCTGTCAGTCCACTCCCAGAGCAAGCCAGCCCAGCCCGGACCAGTCCTGGCCTGGAGAGAGAGAGAGCACGCACCTTGACCTGGGGACCCCCCTGTGCGCCCTTCTCCGCATCCTCGTCCCCTCTCTCTTCCATACCTACCTGACCTCACCTTTTCCCACCGGACCACCTCTCTGTTGCTGCCTTGACTACGAATACGCCTCCAACAAGGGATTCTCTCATCGCGAAAGAGCGGTGTCACCCGCTGGGCCTCTATACAACATTGCCAGCCTTCGCTTCCGATCCTACTTTTCCTCCCCTCCCCCGGCCGCCGCCTCTCGCTCAGCATGACCTTTGACTTCACTAATGCAAATGGCGGGGGCGACGCCTTGCTCGACCTAAACTTCGACCAGCAGCTCCCCGACAGGGCCGCCTACGCCTTTTCCACCACGGCACATTCGAGTCCTTCGGCCGCGTCGGGCATCATGACGAATACGCGTATCTGGCCCATTCCCCTCGACATGGCCGTGCCGCCGCCCAACTCTCACGGCCCGGTGACGGGGTCGCCGGAGGCTTTCCAAGGCGGCTCGCCCTTGTCCAACTCGTCCAGTCCCCATAGCCAGCACTCATCTTTGCAGCAGTCGCCCTTTCAATCACCATCCAATCTCCTAACTGACTGGGCACTGCAGCAGCAACAGCAGCAGCAGCAGCAACAGCAACAGCAGCAGCAGCAGCAACAGCAACAGCAGCAGCAGCAACAACAGCAGCAGCAGCAGCAGCAGCAGCAGCAACAGCAGCAACAGCAGCATCAGCATCAGCATCAGCATCAACATCATCAGCACCATCAGCACCATCAACATCTAACGGCGCCTGATCTCGCCCAGTTCATCCAAGACTCGGCCTCCCTCATGAACTTCAATGCTTTCCCTTCAGCCTTTCACCCAACCCCCCTCGACTATCTCCCCGCTACCCAGACTGCTCTGCAAGCCAACCTGCTGGAATCGACATTCAACGCGATGCCTTCCATGGAGGAAACCGCCCGAGCTATGCAGTGGGGGAACACGGGCATGGAGAACTGGCAAGAGCTCCAGCACACTCTGCAGATGGACGGCCTCCCCCGGCTCGACAGTGTTGGCAGCAGCTCACCCACCGGCACCTATCTGGAAGTATTGTCGCTGCCTTCGTCCTCGGGTGATGGCTGGGCCATGGTCGAGTGGGGCCATCAACGCCTGGACCAATTTCAACAGGCTCAGGCGCAGAATGCCGCCATCTTCAACCCGTCTCAGACTCTGCACCTGAGAACAAACTCCGACTCTTCGGAAGGTGCCAACTCGATGGATTTTGGCAGCTTTGAGGAGGTTGCGCCGTTTCCATTCTCCCCCTTCTCACCGGAATCGGATGGGTATCAAGACAGCAACAGCCATCGGAACTGCTTCTCAGGCGATGGACATGGCCATTCCCACGACACTGTCAGTCCTACTGCTGCTGTTGCCCCGGTGCCAATCAAGGCCGAGCCATCGAGCCGCCAGAGCCCTGGAAGCGGTGCTGCGTCCGCGTCGCCTCCGTCTGTCATCCCCTCGCGCAGAAACTCGGGGCCCCGCAAAAGCCCCATCACCAAGACCACCAACAAGCCTGTTGTCCGTCGCATCTGCAACAACCGGAAGGACGGGTCTGTCGAGAAAAAGGTTGGCCGTAGAAAGGGCCCTCTTTTGCCTGAGCAGCGAAAGCAAGCCAGCGAAATAAGAAAGCTGCGAGCTTGCCTGCGATGCAAATTCCTTAAAAAGACTTGCGACAAGGGCGAGCCCTGTGCAGGATGCCAGCCTTCGCACGCCCGGCTCTGGCAGGTGCCGTGTACTAGAATCGACATCAAGGACATTGGCTACTTCATGAAGGACTGGAAGGCCGACTACGAGAGGCACATGGACCGTGGTGTGTCGATTTACAACGTCAAGGGCTTCTCGCAGAAGGAGACGCTCATGTGGATTACTCACGGCTATGGTTTCGCGCTGCCCGTCATGGTTCGTGAGGTTTTTGTTGCTGATGAGGGCTGCTTCTCGGTCGAGTGGGTCGAATCGTGCCAGTCTGACCAGGAGCCCATCGACTTCGAGGCTCGCACAGAGAAGTTGGACGTGGGTGCTGAAGGTGTCCGCATCGACGCCCTCGCAGAGTATCTGGACAAGCACATCGATGGGCCTTTCCAAGACTTCATTGACGACCACTTTGAGGGCACGCCCTTTATCACCGAGATCCTCAAGACAGCACACCGCTTCTACGTCAAGGACCGGATGCCAGTCATCAAGAAGGCACTGAAGTTGGTTCTCGCTTACAACTTGACCATGCACATCACCATGGTTGAGAACCAAGGATCTGAAGTCGCCCTGGACGGGCAGATTGACGACGAGGAGTCCAAGTTTTATGGACGGACTGTAGCTCCCGTCATGATCAATTTCCAGATCAAGTGCGCACTCGCCGACATGTGGCGCGAATTGCAAAAGGACATATTGGAAGAGCTCTCGTCCCTGTACTCGGGTGTGTACAGCGGTGAGAAGATGAAGAACTGGCCTACCATCTTCATGCTTGCTTCGATTCTACTCGCGGTGTGGGAAGAGATGCAGTTCGACTGCCACTACCGGGTGCCCGATCCTGCAGCTGTGGATAAGTTCTGCAACGACATGGAGACTACTCCTGTTGGAGTCATCGTGGGTCTCTTCCATGCCATCTCCCAGAAGCTGCCGGCTTTTGTCGACTGGGACACGCGCCAGCACGGGCACCTGCTGCACAACAATACGTCTGTTTGCGAGGCCATGACCGAAGTTCGACAGCACGTTATCAAACATGGTAAGGAGTGCCCCATTTGCACTCGTGCCTGGGATAAATCTAACTGCTGTGAATCCAGAGGCCTATTTGCGAACCCGAAAAGAGACCAAGTTCGATAGGTACGACTTTGACTCGCTGTCCAACAAGTTCCTGTCGAAGCTCGTCATCCGAGCCAACTGAAGCAAGTTGGGGCTCACGTGATTCTCGCTTCGACATTACCGCCATCGGGATCGCTTTCACCCTTGTCAAACTTTGGGGCGGCCGGCTTCTCTCTTTTGTTCTTACATTCTTTTGCTGTTTCACACGGTCATCCAGCGATGGCGTTTTACACGACCTCGACGCGAGACGAGTCGGCATCACACATACTGTCAGGCTCACCTTTGATGTTGGCTTTTCAACGCTCTCACTTCACGACTAGTCACCGCCGTACGACATGACAGCGACGTTGAATATGGTGGCGACATTTACGACGGTGCAATGACTTTTATTCGACACGAATGTATGACTCGAAGACGATGCATTTATTGATTCACGGGAGGCATATCTGGAGATAGCGAACCGACTGGGATATCTTTTGGCCGGGGTTTGAGGATATCATGCTTAGTGTTCTTTGACGGCAGAGGCAGATGAGCATGGGCTTGCGGCTTAGATAGAAGCGCATGGGAGGGGCGTCCCGAAACAGTGCTTAGGAGCATCGTCTTGAGCAATTAGGGAGGCTTGGATGACGGGACAGGTAGTTTAGTTTAGTATGCAGCAGCACTAGCTACTTGGGCAGGATAGGCAAAAAGTCGTTTCACTATTTACCGTACGGCTTATTGTCTTGGCTGTCGATGATTGGTGCACATTGTGGCGTCAAGTGAGCCGGCTGTTGCCGTATTGATGCTCGTACAGGTGATGGTCAAGGAGGAAAATGCATGACAAGCCAGAAGTGAACGTTGGTGACATATACATCTCGACCCAAGGTCGCCGGTCTGATCATCATGGAGCTAATAATAGTATCAAGTCGTTAAGGTGGATGGTGGTCCCACTTGGCAACCCTCACCTCGGCTCCCCGCGCGGGGACGCGATGACATGCAGCCTGTTTAACATGGAAGAGGAGGGAATAGAGTAGATCGGACGGCGACATTTTGCGAGGCGGGAATAGTGAGGCAAGAAAAGACAAACCACGAATCACGCAGTTCTGGGGTAATATTTCCGTTTGGCAGCGCCCGTTGAACCGCGTCGTGATGTGTCGTTGGAGTCCCATGAGATGGATGACGTCGTGCCCCGGAGACACCGCCCCGGCTCGCTGTTGGGGGCGCGCGGGGTGGGTTCGGTAGTGCGAGAGGGCAGCGAGGAGACTTGTCGAGGTACCAGCCCGCGGAGTTATTGGCGGTAGCCCACCTCGCGTAGAGCGCGACAATGGTGGGCTCCGGGCGGCTGCCGCGAAGTCCAAGTATCTGTACAAAGAGGTTGCTGGCGGCTGGAGTGAGTCAAGCGGGCCAGGTGTGGTTGTGCTCGCGCTGTCGCGCCGATAGCACAAGAACGGGCGCGACTCTTAGTTAACTAACTACAGTAGTTCCGAAAGCAGGGAGGAACAGCAAATGCGCCACTGCAGACCGTTGCGCGGCGGGGGCTTGATGGCGAAAAAGGGTGGCGGCAGCGACTCGGAGTGGCGGTTCTATTTGTTTCGACGGCGACTCCGTGGTCGCCCGACGCCGCCACTACCACCCTACTGTATTTTGGCTAGTTAACTAGCGACAGACCCCATCGCAGGAGAGACAGGGGGACGTCCGGAAAAGGCGTAAGGGCAATGCGCCACACCGGCTGTCCGTCAAGGTCGTCGGTACGCGGGGCCTCGGCTGACCAGTCGGGTTGAATCAAGTACTGGAAACAAACACGATTTTTCTGGATTCTTCCGAGCGCGTTGCCGGCTGATGAATCATGCGCCCCAGTGGCTTGAAATCTGTCACTGGGCTGCGCCCCCCCTCTTTCCTTTCTCGGCCGCCCGCCCTCCCGTAGCCTGTATTTAAACCGTCGCCCTCTCCCACTCTGCGCCGGGGAATCTTCCACTCCTCCTACACACCACCAAACAGCACCCCTAGCAATCGTGCTTAACCTTTCTTCACCTCAGGGATTCTTTGTCCGATCCGTCAACCGCTCCATTCCCAGTGACACTCACGATCTCGCCAAAATGCAGATTTTCGTCAAGACCCGTACGTTCTGTGCCCGCCCTTTCCGAGGCGCTGGCTCGCCACGTCAGCAGGCAGCACGCTAACATTGTCCCTCGCAGTCACCGGCAAGACCATCACCTTGGAGGTCGAGTCATCCGACACCATCGACAACGTCAAGTCCAAGATTCAGGACAAGGAGGGCATTCCTCCCGACCAGCAGCGTTTGATCTTTGCTGGCAAACAGCTCGAGGATGGCCGCACCCTTTCCGACTACAACATCCAGAAGGAGTCGACCCTCCACCTCGTTCTCCGTCTTCGTGGAGGCATGCAAATCTGTGAGTCACATCCAACCTGCTCTCGACGATGACTTGGACACAAAGCACTAACATGTTTCGATTAGTCGTCAAGACCCTCACCGGCAAAACCATCACCCTCGAGGTGGAGTCGTCTGACACGATCGACAACGTGAAGTCGAAGATCCAGGACAAGGAGGGCATCCCCCCGGACCAGCAGCGCCTGATCTTTGCGGGCAAGCAGCTGGAAGATGGCCGGACTCTGTCCGACTACAATATCCAGAAGGAATCGACGCTGCATCTCGTCCTGCGTCTGCGAGGTGGCATGCAGATTTTCGTCAAGACCCTGACAGGCAAGACGATCACGCTGGAAGTGGAATCCTCTGACACCATCGACAACGTCAAATCTAAGATCCAAGACAAGGAGGGTATTCCTCCGGATCAACAGCGACTCATTTTTGCCGGCAAGCAGCTCGAGGACGGCCGGACTTTGAGCGACTACAACATTCAGAAAGAATCAACCCTGCACTTGGTCCTGCGCCTGCGTGGTGGAATGCAGATTTTTGTCAAAACCCTGACAGGCAAGACAATCACGTTGGAAGTGGAATCGAGTGATACGATCGACAACGTCAAGTCCAAAATCCAGGACAAGGAGGGCATTCCGCCTGATCAGCAACGCCTCATTTTTGCAGGCAAGCAGCTGGAGGACGGTCGCACGTTGAGCGACTACAACATTCAGAAGGAAAGCACCCTGCATCTGGTGCTGCGTCTGCGTGGCGGCCAATAGTCGTGCAGGATGGTGGTTGTGTTGACTCGGAGTGTATTGCCAGCGGTTAGGCGTTACGGAACTTTGGACCAGGGCGTCGGGATTTTGAAACTGTCCCGCAGGTAGAGATATGGTGACATAGGCTGAACATCGATGACTGCGTTGTTGTCCTTGTCTCTCGAGGTTAAGAGAGCGTTTCCCTTAAGCGATTTTTTTTTAGTTCCCCGGTTTGGCTGGGGGTGACTGAGAACGGCAAGACGCTGCTTAAGACCTTAGGGGCGCAAGAACTGTAGCCATGTGCCACTTTCTAGAAAGGCGATGTCGATTGTTTGAACCTTATTCCTACATAAACCCATCGTCATCTCTGCACAGTGCTGCCTCTTTACCGGACAGGACAGATTACATACCCCGCACTGTACGCCTCTCCCTTGGCGCGGTGGATTCGTAGGGCTGCGACAGCCAAATACATTTACACTCCAAAGTTCGGACTTCGGACAGGACATCCATCCAGCAGCCTTCATCTACACATGACCCGACCAGCGTGGATGCCTTAAGCTCCTGTCGTCTTCTCTCCCTTCGCCATGGCACATGTGGCGTGGCCTGAGCGAACCGAGCATTCTAGAATCCTCGCCGCCCGCCACCTTGGCCTTGCCGAGACAGACCGTCGACGTGGCCGAAAGCTCTCAAGGCTTCAACGCTGAGGTCAGCTGCGTCTTGCGAAAACCCGTCGCGGGCCATGCCATCTTACTACTATCACCTCAAGTTCGAGCTGTACCCTTCCCCGAACCCCACCGCTAGCGAGGAAACGACTGCGGCGAAGACGAGCGAGATCTGGCAGCCGCCGACAGACGCCGGCGCATTTGACGACTTGCCCTCTCATCCCCGACCTGTCCGACCGATTGCAAAAAGCGACGGTCGGCTGCGCAGTCGTGGAAGATCCCCTCTTGACCGACCCCCAGCCCTCGGCCAAGAGAGCGTTCAACAGGCTTCGAAGCTAGGCATAATCGACTGCGGCGCACCGCGAGCACCCATCAAAGACGGCGGGCGAAGAACCGAAGTGATTTCAGACACACAGTGGTTGGAGCAGAGCAGAATTCTTCCCACGCCCTCTTCGAATTCCTCTATAGGGCCGCAGGCCGCTGTCAAGGATTGGCGATTCGGTCGCGTGCGCATAGAGACGGTCGACCCAGCAGGGTGCGCGGACGCCATGCCGGGGGAGACGAGCAAAGCAGGCCCCTCGGCGGCGCCGACCTTGGGGCCCTCGTTTGGCGGGGCTGGGACGGCGACGAAAGCCAAGTTTTTGCCGCGAGAGACGAAGAATACGGAGCTGGGCTGGGGCGTGGTCCATTTCTACCGAGACGGACAGGAGTCGCCGTTGTTGGATGCGCCGCAGCCTGGCGAGGACGGACCGGAGCGCGAGGACACTTCGACGGCGGATGCCTGCAGCACGCTGTGCATACCTGCCGTGCCGGCGTACATGACGCCGGGGGACTTTATGGGCTTCCTCGGTGACCGGTGGACGGGCGACATCAGCCACTGTCGAATGGTCATGACGTCGAGCATGAATCGATATCTCGTCCTACTGAAGTTCCGGGACGGGGGTCGAGCCAAACATTGGAGACGGGAGTTTGACGGCAAGGTGTTCAACTCTATGGAGGTGAGTTTGCTCAATTCACCCTTTCACGCCTTTACTTGCCTCATCCCTTGACACTGACATGCCATAGTCTCAAGTATGCCACGTCGTCTTCGTCAAATCCATCACCTTTGAAACACCGACGAGACCTCGCCGAAACGATCAATCTGTGGCGTCGTCGTCTTCGGCTGTCTCGAACAGCTTGAAGCCCTTTCCGCCCCCTCCTCCCAACCTCATCGAGCTGCCGACCTGCCCCGTCTGTCTAGAGAGGATGGACGAGACAAACGGGCTCATGACGATCCCATGCTCCCACGTCTTTCACTGCACCTGCCTGCAGAACTGGAAAGGGGCCGGATGTCCGGTCTGCCGATTCACAAACACGTCGTCGGAAGTCGGCTCCAGCGATGCTGATAACCCATACTCTCAGCCCTTTGGATCATCCGCCTCCAACCTTTGCAGCGTGTGTGACTGCACAGACGACCTTTGGATCTGTTTGATATGCGGCTATGTCGGATGCGGTCGGTACAAAGGCGGACACGCCAAAGATCACTGGAAAGAGACTGCCCACAGCTTTGCTCTGGAGCTCGAGACGCAGCATGTCTGGGATTACGCCGGAGACATGTGGGTGCACCGACTGATCCGCGATAAGGGCGACGGCAAAGTCGTCGAGCTGCCGGGGAGAAGCAGTCACAGTGGTCAGCGAGAAGACGAGGATGTCGTGCCGCGGGCAAAGCTGGAGAACATTGGGCTGGAGTACACGCATCTGATCACGAGCCAGCTGGAATCCCAGAGGGCATACTACGAAGAAATGATCAGCAAGGCAGTGGACAAGGCAGCCAAGGCGTCTGCCGTGGCGGAGAGCAGCGCGGCGCAGTCGAGCGAGACCATGGCCAGGCTGACCAGCCTCGAGGAGAAGCATAGGGTCCTCAGCATGGACACGGTGCCACACCTGGAGCGGGACCTGGAGCGGGAGAAGAAGAAGGCGGGCAAGGCGGAGGGGCTGGCACGCAGCCTGGGCAAGTCGCTGCAGGAGGAGAAACGGGTCAACGAGGGGCTGATGAAGCGCATCGAGCATCTCGGCGCCGACAACGAGACGGTGCGGAAGCAGCTGGACGCGCTGCGGGAGGAGAACGCGGAGCTCAAGGAGATGAACCGCGACCTATCCATGTTCATCTCCGGGCAGGAAAAGCTCCAGGAGCTGGAAAGGGAGGGCAAGGTGGAGGAAGGGGAGCTCGCGGAGGGAAGCATGAGCGTGCCCGAGAAAAAGGGCCGGCGGAGGCCGCGCAAGAACTGAAGGGATGACGTAGCGCAGGGCGACGCGGAGCATGGACGAGTAATGGTTTGCAGGATACTTCCACGAGGCATCGGACAAGACGTGACCATGACGTATAGGACTGGGGACGGAACGGAGGAGAGGAAGGATTTTTGCCGATAAGTCTGGATGCATGGTACTCCGTAGGTACGACGAAAAGGCCGTGACGGGTTGCCGTGACGGGTTGCATTGACGGACGGAGCTTCATTTGCACGCGCAGGCATCCATTCGGCTCTACTGTCTTGTCTGGGCACGGGGATTTGTCTTTAACAAGGCCCATGTGAAGGGCCGATTCCAGTGCCCGCCTCGGCCGCTGAGAGGCCGCCCCCGCCAGTTCTGTTATCGCTGCGTGGGCCTTTGTTCCCACCCCCCACACTGTCGGCCACGAAAACCAACTGTTATTAGCGCTCGCCGTCCCCGTCTGTTCCACATCGCCTCCGCCCTTTGCTCCCCCAGGTCTCCCCCCAGGTCTCCCCCCAGGTCTCCCCCCCCCCCAGGTCTCTCCCGCCGCCAACACCGACATCACCGTGTGCGACGCGCGTGTGGTGCAGCGAGGAAGAGAGAGCTCGGACGCGACGAGACGAGCGGCCCCCAATTGACTGCCCGTGATGCCTCCGGGGGACCATGACGGCCCCAACAAGGTGGCGGCCCAGCCCGAGCAGCGGCCCGCCCCGCGCAAGGAGCTGTATCCCATGGTCAATTGGAAATACGACCTGTTCCTCTATGTCATGGGCAACCTCATCGACACCTTCTTCCGCGAGGTCGTGCCCAGAGGCTCGTGGAGAGTCCCCCAGTCCGGCCCAGTGCTGTTCGTCGCCGCACCCCACGCCAACCAGGTGAGCCGACGAGGAAGCCGACGAGCAAGCCGACGAGCTCGGCGCAACAAGCTGACGCCCTGCAGTTCGTCGACGCCATCATCCTCCAGCGCACCCTCCGGCACGAGGCCAACCGGCGCGTGTCGCTCCTCATTGCCCAAAAGTCGGTTCACGGCTTCATCGGCTGGGGCTCTCGCCAGGTCGGCTCCGTGCCCGTCGGGCGAGCCCAGGATGCGGCCAAGCCCGCGAGCGGAAAGATTTACCTGCCGGACCCCGTCAACGACCCGACCCTGATTCGCGGCATCGGCACCCGCTTCGGCGAGGGTGAGGGCGAGGTCCAGGGTATGCTGTTCCTGCCGCCCGGCAAGAATACGTCGAGCGCCAGCGTCGACATTGCCGACATCATCGGCCCCGAAGAGATACGCGTCAAGCGGCCCTTCAAGGGCAAGCTCGCCATGCAGCAGCTCACGGGCCGAGACGACATCGACAGCGAGGGCCGCTTGACAAATACCAAGCTCAAGGGCCCCGCCCCGGGCTTCCAAGGCACAAAGTTCAAGCTGGCGCCTCACATCGACCAAACAAAGGTGTACGAGGCCGTGTTTGCGCGGCTGCGAAACGGCGGCTGCGTCGGCATCTTCCCCGAGGGCGGCAGCCACGATCGCACCGAGCTGCTCCCGCTCAAGGCCGGCGTCGCCATCATGGCGCTCGGGACGCTGGCCGAGTCGCCCAACTGCGGGCTCAAGATTGTGCCCGTCGGCATGAACTACTTTCACGCGCACAAGTTCCGGTCGCGCGCCGTCGTCGAGTTCGGGACCCCCTTTGAGATCCCCCCCTACCTCGTCGAGCTCTACCGCAACAACCAGCGGCGAGAGGCCATCGGGCAGGTGCTCGACGCCGTCTACCAGTCGCTGAGCTCGGTGACGGTGTCGGCGCCCGACTACGACACGCTCATGATGATCCAGGCGGCGCGGCGGCTTTACAACCCGACGGGCAAGAAGCTGCCGCTGCCCGTTGTCGTCGAGCTCAACCGGCGGCTGGCCATGGGCTACGAGCGCTACAAAGACGACGAGCGCATCACGTCGCTGTCGCAATCGGTCAAGGACTACAACTCGCAGCTGCGGTACCTGAGCCTCAAGGACCACCAGGTCCAGTACGCGCGCATGTCTATCCTCAAGGTGCTCTTCCTCTTCGTCTACCGCTCCATCAAGCTCGCCATACTCTTTGTCTGCACGGTGCCCGGCCTGCTGCTCTTCGCCCCCGTCTTTGTCGCGACCAAGATCATCAGCCGGCAAAAGGCAAAGGTGGCGCTGGCCGGGTCGACGGTCAAGATCCGCGGGCGTGACGTCATGGCGACGTGGAAGATCCTGGTGGCCCTGGGCCTGGCTCCGACGCTGTACCACGCCTACACCATCCTGGTGGTGCTCAAGGTGTGGCACGACGGGCTCTGGGGCCACGTGCCCGCGTGGATGCCCCTGTGGACTGTCTACCTGGCGCTGTGGCCGGTCATGATTGGCATCACGTTTGCGGCGCTGCGCTTTGGCGAGGTGGGCATGGACATTTTCAAGTCGTTGCGGCCATTGGTGCTGTGCTTGCTGCCGACGTCGTCGTACAGCATCCACAAGCTGCGGGTCAGACGGGCCGAGCTCAGCGCGCAGGTGACGGACCTGATCAACGAGCTAGGCCCCGAGATGTTCCCCGACTTTGACAAGACGCGCCTCATCCCGGACATTTCGAGGGTCGAGGGGGCAGGCTCGCAGACGCCGGCCGCCGACGGCCACAAGCGCCGCGACAGCGACCAGTCGAGCACAGGCTTCGGGTTCGAGGTGGAATCGCCCCCGTCGCTGTCCCGCCGCAGCACGACGCAGTCGAGCCGGGCGCTCCCGCGCAACGACTCGTTCAGCAACATCGGAGCGGTGGGCATCTTCTCGACGCGGCCGCCGTCGCGGTCACGGAGCCGGTCGCGGTCGAGCAGCGCGGGAGGGGGGCTGGGGTCGGGCGGGTTCCCCATCAGCGGATTCACGACGCTCGACTCGGCCGAGGGCTTCAATGAGGCGAGCAGGAAGATTCGCGAGGCGATGAAGTACCGGAGGAAGCGGTCGGACCAGGTCAAGATGCAGGCGGGAGAGGACGAGGAAGAGGAGGACAGCGAGGACGAGAGCAGTCAGGACGCAGCGCGGCGGAAGAGGATTTGAAGAAGGACAAGAGCGCGAGGGCGAGCGGCTTTGTATCCAACCATGAGACGGGAGCGAGGGGGGGTGACGTACGGCGAACCTGGGCGATTGACTGGTTCAAATGTATTGTAAGGCATGCGGAAGGGAGGCTTAGATTGCAATTACGGCGGCAGGGGCACTTGAAGGTTGTCAAAGACGCTGGAGAAGGCATCACCCGCGCCAGGATACGACGACACGGGGTGACCAATGACACAAACAACCAAAGAGTTTATTTTCCACGACCTTGTTTTTGCAATCGGTTGAACGGGAAGGATGCCCGGCTGTGAAGATGGCGATGGAGGAGAAGCCACAGGTCGGAGCTGTCGGAGATATCAAGGCGTGGTGGGCTGGTTGGGAGCGGCTATTATGCACGCAAGTAAGACAAGGCGGGCTGTATGTGAGACACGCAGCAGGGCTCACCTGTCACGGCGGCGGCGGAGGCGGCACAGCAACCTTGGCCGGATCTGATAAGCGGCGCGTTCGGAGATAGACCGGGGCGGCCGAGGCGACGTCGGGCCGTCGGCCGGGGGCTGATGGTGGGACCCGGCTGAGACCTGGATAGATGGCGGATATAAAACAGCATGAAAGGAATATCGTTTGAGCTCAATCTCCTTCAGTCGCCTTTTACACATACATATATTTTTTACGACTCTTTTTTTTTTCCCCGCAAAGAAGTACATACCAAGACTCGTGGGAAACAAGGCGCATTTGTCATCATCGTCGTCGCCCGGCTCTGCGGGACGGACGGACGGCCAATAGGCTCCCAGTTTGCCGGGTGTCTTGTCGCCGCGGGTGAATCCTTGTTTCGGATCTGATAAGGGAAGACGTGTCTACATAATAACGCCGAGTATTCCAGCACGTCCTGGCGCGGCCCAAGATCCCCCCCCCGTCTTTTCCCTTGCGCAACCCCTCATTGCCATAATCCTCTCTTGTCCCCCCCGCCGTTGAATCCTCGCCCTTTCCATTTTTACGTCTTTGTGAAAGGGCAGGCGCTCGGCCGCGCGCGCGGACGGAAACACGGTCCTCGGGCGTCGTTTCTCATCGTTACTTACGTCAGAGCAAAGTGGACCGATTACCAAGCCTTCCAAGTCCTCCTTTCTGGAGATGAACGAGTCGGGGTCGATGCCCTAGCCCTTCTCAGGCATCAAGGCGAGGAAGGGATCAGACAAGGCGCCCGGAAGCGGTTCGCCCTCTCCCCCGGACGAGAGCAGGCGCCGCCGGCGATATATCACGCCTGCTTGCACCTCCTGGCTGCTCCTTGCTCCTTGTCTTGAGTAGCAGCAGCAGCAGCAGCCGGGGCACGCGTCCTCGAAGACAGCAAGGAAGAAAAAGGAATGTCAGAAACAGGGGGAAGGAAAGGGAAGATGGCCGTGTCGCTCAAGTCGCTCATGTCATCGGTCCTGGGCAGCCAGCGCTCCAACGGCACCACGCCCGGACGAGGCCCGCCGGCCGTGACGGAGCTCTTCTCCAAGACGGACCCGGCGGCCGACGGCGACGAGTGCCTGCACGACTGCGACGGCTGCACGGTGCGCTACCCGCGCGGCTTCTCCGTCGACGTCGACGACCGGCTCTACGGCCAGATCAAAGCGTGGAGCACGCACCTGCTCGTGGGCACCGGCAAGACGGACTGGGTCCGCGACGTGACCCACGAAAAGGGCAGCGTCATGGAGGCGGTCGAAAAGGCCGACGCCCCAAGTAACGGGGTGAGTCTTCCCACTCTGCCGCGACGGAATCAAGCCGGCAGGCATCCCTTGACTGACGGCGCCTGCGCAGAGACTGATGCTGTCGGCGTCCAACATGCCCACCCCCCACGACACCAGTGACTACTCGGAGCCCACCACCGTCCTCCTCCTCCCGGCCTTTACCCTCGTCCACAACGTCCATCCGCTCAACGTGCCGACCCTCCTCGGCGACCTCGTCGACAAGGCCCCGACCAGTATCTCGCCCCTAGATTTCGCGGCCCTGCCTCGCTCCTTACCCAGCCGGGACCCGTCCATCCCCGCCCTCACCACCGCGCCCTGTCCGCATAGCGCCGTCATCCTCATGTGCAGCCAAAGGACCCGCGATGCCCGCTGCGGCCAGAGCGCGCCGCTGCTGAGAAAGGAGTTTGAGCGCCATCTGCGGCCGCTGGGCCTGTATCGCGACCTGCACGACGAGCGGCCCGGCGGGGTGGGCATCTACTTTATCAGCCACGTTGGTGGCCACAAGTACTCAGCCAACGTCATGGTTTACCGGCGGCCCAACGCGTTTGGGCAGGATGAGGGCGATAGCAAGGAGCCCGTCGGCGGTGGCGAGGCGGCCAACGGCCATGGCGAGACGGACCAGGGCGCGGCGCAATGCATCTGGCTGGCGCGCGTGAGACCTGAAGACTGCGAGAATCTAGTCAGGTACACGGTGCTCAAGGGCAAGGTGGTCAAACCCGAAAGCCAGCTCAGGGGAGGCTTCGACAGAGTAAAGGGGCTGACCAGCTGGTAACGACGAGACAAAGACTTGGCAGGGAAACACCTGGGGGAGGGATGGGGGATAAAAAAGGCTGAATCATAGACGCCACCCCCGTGAGGAAGTCTTGCCAGCCGTTGTCCCCGTTGTCATGCACGCGATCCGAAGTCGACAGCTCCCGAGACGCAAGGGGAAACGGAGGGAGCACACCATCGACGTCGCCTGCGCCACCTTGAGGCGGGCGAGACCCCGGTCCCTGACGGTTGAAGACGTCGTGGCGATGGCTTCGTTCAAGTTTCCATGGACTCTGCCGCTCGGCGGCCGTGCGTGCATGCTGCATGTGCCTAGGCAGGCTACGCATAAACAATCTGCAGGGACCGCATGGCCAAGCATCTCGCGACTTGCTTCTGCCTGGCCGCACAGACGATCACGGGCATTAGACGAGAGGGGGGACATGGGAGGAGTCTGGGGGATGAGCATATGCTGGGCGTTCAGGTCGTCTGGTCCCATGCCAAGCTCCCATCTCGCCTCTGCATGTATGATGATCCGGCCCATTGTGAGAGACAAACTTGAGGAGGGCGCAGGCAAGTTTCGGTTGTGTGACGATGGCAGTCAGAGGAGGAAATAGCCCAGGATCAAGAACCCCTTTGCCGCCGGCGGAGTTCTCTGTGCGTGTGCTAGCCTTGGGCTGATCCAGGTCGTGCGCGAATCAAGGTTTTGGCCCATGTGGAGTGAGCATTGGTTCGATGCGGCAGCTAGTGTTAAGGAACGGTCTCGAGTAAATCGGGCCTCGAGGCTAAAAATAGGAGGCTGGCGATGGGGAATTCTTCCCCCCTTCCGTCGGGACCCATAATTATTATTTGGCCCGGCGAGGTAATTACTGACTGTACGAATCGCCAGTATCAAGTGTTATTACCTTACCTGGGTAGTTGAGGCGAGGCAAGAAGCGAAAAAAGAACGGGCCGGCCATTCGTTTTTCCCGTCACAGAGGCCACGCCTTGACTGACTCTGCAAACCTCTTGTCACCTTTGCTCGTTGCACGACGCGATTCTGTGCGCTCGTCCTCAGTCCCGAGCCGTCTTCCCCGCCCCTGCGTCTCCACCGTGTCCGTCCAGAACCATCGGACAAGTCACGGACGTCCCAGGGTTTGGCGTTCGGCCCCTCGGTTGGGTCTGGACGAAGAACCCGGGCCTTGGCCGCTCCCCGTCTCCATGGCGCGCCCTCTGACATGCGGCTGTCGCTGGCCTCCCGACGCACCTCCTTTTCAAAACGTCGTCTCCACCGCTGGCAGTCTCACAAACGCCGGAGCCCTGCTGCCGAAGGGCGATGAGCGGTGGATGATGTTTAGAGATCGGCCTGACAGCTGGGCGCCAGTCTTGTTTTGTCCATCAGCCTGCATGTGCTCTGCAGCCAGTTTCGCAAATCCATCCGCTTCTGCCCTGAGGGGTTTCGTCAATCCGTCTGTTCAGCGGAATCCCGGTCCCTGATGGCCTCCTTCTCATCGCCCCTCCACCAGCCGTCGTCTTTGGCATCCATGGACACTTGGCCGAGTGTGTTTCGCAACACCCGGGGTCGACACATGTTGCCTGTTCGCATCGTCCGTGTTCCAGGCCCTTGGATGCTGGTGCTGTGCTACAGCTTCCATCTGACTCAAGTCTATCGAAGCCAGCGAACCTTTTCTCTCCTCCTGCGTCTTCATCTCGAATAAAAGGCTGCTTCTCCTCCCACTGTCCGTCCCTTCTGTTTTGATACTCAACAGCTAGTCTCATTCGCTCCCGCTTTGAACTTTTCTCTTCATCCTCAAGTCTGCGACTGAGTATTTCTCACCCATTGGTCTTGCACTGCAACAGAGCTGCGCTCTTGGCCTCGCATCTTTCCAATTCCTTGTAATCGCTCGTGTTGGGTTCTTACCGCACACGCATCTTCGCAAATAACATTTTTTCACCTTTTTTCCATTCCAAAACCATACTTTGTCAATATGAAGATCACCGAGGTTCTCGCTTGCGTGGTCGCCGCCTCGGCGCCGCTCATCTCCGCTGCGCCCACCAACGCCGGCGACTTGCAGGAGAGGCGATCAGTCAGTAAGTGATGACGGGAGCCAGTCACAGACTCGACAGAACTTCGATGACTGACTTTTGTGTAGCTTCTGGCCTTGACGCCAGATCCTTTCAGGCCCCGAGCTTCATTGAGGCGCGGTCTCCCAACAAGGACGAGGCAAAGGCTGCCGGTGCGATCCAGGTCCTCCAGGCGGAGAATAGCGCCAATCAGGCGACCGGTGCCGATGACAAGGACAAAAATGCTGCCACTGCCAATAATCAGGACAAAAATGCTGCCACTGCCAATAAGGACGACAAGAATGCTGCCACTGCCAATAAGGACGACAATAATGCCGCCACTGCCAATAAGGACGACAATAATGCCGCCACTGCCAATAAGGACGACAAGAATGCTGCCACTGCCAATAAGGACGACAAGAATGCTGCCACTGCCAATAAGAAGAAGGGCAAGACTGCTGCCGCCAATAAGCAGGACAAAAACGCTGCCACTGCCAATAAGGACGACAAGAATGCTGCCACTGCCAATAAGGACGACGGGAATGCTGCCACTGCCAATAAGGACGACGGGAATGCTGCCACTGCCAATAAGGACGACAAGAATGCTGCCACTGCCAATAAGAAGAAGGGCAAGACTGCTGCCGCCAATAAGCAGGACAAAAACGCTGCCACTGCCAATAAGGACGACAAGAATGCTGCCACTGCCAATAAGGACGACAATAATGCTGCCACTGCCAATAAGAAGAAGAGCAAGACTGCTGCCGCCAATAACCAGGACCAAACTGCTGCCTCGGGGGGAAGCGTAACCATCACTCGGACGGCAACAGGTCTTAGCGTCAGCGCCGGTGGCGCCAATGGCAAGGACCAAGGAAAATAGTATATTCCCGGGACAGGGACGATGATTCGGGGGTCTCGCTTGAAATGGGTCGCCCTCGATGGTGGGACTCCTCGAAGACCGACTCGGAAGGCGTGCCATCATCTTGTGCAATGGACGGGTATCTACACACGAGGAAAACAATCTCTTAGAAGAAGTCTTAGAAGAAGAAGTACTTAGGGGTTGCAAGTAACTCGCATATCGATTTCAGAAGCCTTGGCCTTGTCTCTATCGTCTCATGACCACGCATGCTTCCGAGGCTGTATTTCCGATGTAGCACTCAGTCAGACCACTTATCGGAGTTCCCCCGAGTGGCAGCGTCTTCCAGTCGCCTTGCTGTTACTGTTATCCCGAAGTTGAGAAGCATCGAAATCATCCCTGCACGCTCTCGTTGAGGAAGGGGGCTTGCGGATTGCTTTGACAACGGAATGCAATTGCCCCGCCCTTCCATCTACTAGGAGGTATCCATGATTCTTCTGTTCCCATTCTTCTGTTCCCAATGGTAGCCCGCCGATCCCGGCGTCGGCCTTTTTGATGAGTGAGGCTCTTGTCCTCGATGCATGCAAGTCGTAGATGCATAAATATATGCACACGCTAAGAATATCCCATATTGAACAAATTCCTGTTGTCGGTCCCGTCCGTAGTTGATGATATATCTTGGACCGTGTATAAAGAAGAACACGAAATCAAATAGCCTGGAACCCCAAGATATGTATGTCCAAGGAAATATGTCCAAGGAAATATGTCCAAGGAAATCGTTGTCAACGTCATTATTATACCAGAGTAGCCGAGCGTTACATGTAAGTTGGTATCGTGGGCCTTATCACCGTCCATGTCTCATTTCCTCGCCGAATTTTGCTTCTCGGTTAATTTCTCGCATCAAGTCTCAAGCATACTGTGAGACAAGGACAGACGGACGCAAGATGCGCATCCCGCTCGACTGGCCCGCAACAAAGCCAACCCCCCCCCTCCCCTCCCGGCCGCAAACACGACGACCAGGGGCGGGCCGAAGCCTGGGTCAGTCGTCGTCGACCAGGCCCTGGCTGGAGCTGCTGCTGCCGCTCGAGGCCGTGGTGACGCTGAGGTCCTTGCGGGCGGTGTGGACGAGCTTCCAGATGCCAAAGGAGACGAGGGCAAGGATGACGAAGAGGACGATGATGATGATTGCGATGACGTGGTTTCGCTGCACCATGGTGGGCTGGTGACTTGGTGGGTAGGGGGGGTTCCCTGGGGAGCTGAGGAGAGGGGGAGGTTGAATGCGAATCAAGCAAAGTAAGGTGAAGCAGAGGAACGGAACTGGGACCGCTTTCTTGGGCGTTCGCTTCTCGTGAAAAGAGGGATAAGTCTCCTTTAGAGACGAAAGCTGGAAGGTGTTCTGCTTCCGTGCACTCTTGGCGTCTGCGCCGTCTCAGCTCACAAGTCCGGTCCTTGGACGACGGAGGCTGCCGGCGGGGGGTTATCGACGGCCGGATGCGAATGTATGCAAATGTGTCTGGATGCCGACGACGGACAAAACTCGGGTCGAATCATCCACGTACAAGAGGAATATGGCGCATGTATGTATTCAATGTGAGAATGAGAATAGGCCAGAGGGATGCGGCGCACCGGGCCCGGCCGCGATTTATAGTGGTTGCCCCGCCACCGGCTTTTTCCTTGTTTTCTTTGCCAGTGGTGGAAATGGGCAAGGCTGGGAGGGATGCCGCAGGGAGCGAGGTGGGGCCGGCCCGGGTTCTAACGGGGCCCCTTCCCCTGTAAGGTACTTTGTACTTGCATGCATAATGCAGTCTCGCCAACTAAATCTCGACTTCACGAAGAGGAAAGCGGCCAAATCAAAAGGAGCAAAGAAAGATTTTTTTTTTAAATCGCGTGTCCTGACACTTGCTAGCCGTCTCGGTGGCTTAAACGAGAGAGCGTCGCACGACACGACGAATAAGAAGAAGAAGAAGAAATGCATCATCTGGCGTCCACAGAAGCAGCGTGGCACGGCTCTGAAAGAACATCTCTTCGACTATAACTCTGCTCACTGGCTGTCACCGACATCCAGCACTCGCGCCCCCTCGTGGCGGCACTTGTCCCGTCCGTAGGCACAGTAGTAGTATCCAACGCTGTGCCACATGTTTGGCGACCGCATGGTATAGCCCATGGTGTGCCATCTTTTGCCGCACGTGTCGTGGATGTCTATGACTGCATACGACGTCTGGCCCTGCTTCTTCCACACGCAGACGACGTCGCCCGGCTCCCCCTCGCACTTGTGTTCGTTCCCTGTCTCCACCGTTGGCTGGACTCTGAGATAGGCGTCGGTCCACCCAAATGGCACGCTGCCTACGGCAGACCAGTACACCGTGTGCGACTTATACGAGCCTGGAGCGATGGCACATTTGCCCGTGCCGCAGTGCGTATTCTCCTGGAGCCCACGATTAGCTACCCCTTGTCTTTGATACCAAGCGGTGCCGGACTTACGCTCAGTTGAACGTGTACGGGAGTCTGGCGCGGGTCTGGGTTTGGGCCCCTGCTCGTTTTCCCAGAAAGACTGCACCAGCTTCCATTGACCGTCTGGTTCGGACTCGCGGGAAGAGAGAGGGTTTTGAAACGCTTTGCCTCATAGACGGACCATAGGTCAAGCTGGCCGTTCCGATGGCAGCTGGGAAAGTCCTCCGCCTCATTTGGCTGCAAGGCAAGGGGCAGGTCGATTTTGCAGACGACCAAGGACTCCTTTGAGCTATGCATACGGGTGCACCGAATGCCGCCAGAGTATTCAGGATCTTCACTGACCCGGTAGCTTCGAGGGCCGACCGTCACGTTCCCCACGCCGTCGCTGTCCACGGCAAACGAGATCGGGTACTTGTAGCGGTCGAAGCCACCGCGGTCCATGGTTTGGGAGCACGACCGGTAGTATAGCCGCTTGTGTTCCCTGTTCCAGATTTCCAAAGACTTGTCAGAGTTTGTTCTGTCCTGCTGAAGCACGAGAAGACCCTTTTTAGTATCTGAGGCGGGTTGGAGATCCTGGCTGGCGAGAGCCTGGCTGGCGAGAGCCAGTCCTCGCACAACAACGAGTGCGCCGAGGAGTCTCATCGTGTCGAGAGTGAGCGCCGGAGGTTTGATGGAAAACGCTGCACGTTGCGCAGATTTTTGGAGCACGGCAGCTCTTTATATACGTTTGCGTTTCGTGGCCACCCAGCCACAATGCCAACCTTGAAGCACAACGCCAAAGTTTCCACACAAGACTTGAGTATGTTGAGGCTCAAGCTAAATTGTCCTGACTTTCCACGAAATGCGGCGCCCTGAACCATCAAACTTTGGTCCGGGCAATGATGAGATGAACAGGGCGTCTTCCCTCCCTGTCGACTTGAGAATCATGTAGCACCTGGGAGTGAAGACGCTGCATCTCGTGCCTGATCCATTTATCTAAGCAAACTTACACGCAAGTAACTCGTGCTGGCTGGCTGCTTTGAGATTCATGGCAAGTGGGTGGCCAATAAATGGCTGCATTGGTCCAAGCCCTGAGCTGCGGTTGAACTTTGCTTTGTTGCTGATCGCCCTGTATGCCGTCACTCAAGGGACCCTTGGGATGGCCCAAGTACGTCAAGCCGAGCCTGCGCTAGCATCCCGCGACAATGCAGCAGAGAGCCAAAGTGTACGAATGCCGTGACTGCATCCGTTGTGTCCTAAATGCAAGCGAGGCCAGCGTCACGCGCTGTCGAGACGCTGCATCCCCCCCATTTGCACGAAAAAAGTCGCAGCCAAGCAGTCAAAAATCGGTGATATTCATCTTACACCCAAAATACGTCCAAGGCCGACATGGGAAAAAGCTCATCGCCCTGGCATGTCGCAAAACCTTTCCAGTCAGACGGCGGGGCCCTCTTGCTCGCGAGCACCTGTTCACGCACGCGGCGCGTTGGGCAAGAAAACAGGTCAAGGCACTGGGCCCCCGGCAAATACGCACTTTCCAGGCAATCCTACCACAGGGCCCCTCTGCACGAGCCCGTCAATGTCTCTCTGCTTTATTCCGCCGCAGCCTTGTTCTCGTCGCGGATAATCTTGACGTGCCGCTCGTAAAATTGCAGCATCTGCGCGGGTCAGCCGGGCTTCGCCTCTTGACGTGGTGGGAATACGGTGCCTACCTTTTGCGGGCACTTCTTGTAGATGACAGACGTGTCGTGCTTGGTCTTGCGGCCGTTCTTCCAGATCAGGTAGACAACCAGCCTGCCACTGCCCTCGTCCTCGCAGGCATCAATCGACTCAATCTCATCCTCCCACGATCCCGCGGGGGGGCTCCATTTCTTGGAAGTCGCGGGCGGGCTCGACTCTGCCGGGTGAAGGCCATTCTTGCGCGATCGCTTCGTCGTCGTCATAGCGGCGCCTCCGCTAGATGCCCTGCCACGCTTCTTGCCCCGGGCCGCCTTTTCCGACTCCTCAAAGATCTTGTCGCGGCCGCCAATCTGTTTGTAGTACTCTGTCAAGACCTCTGACGCCGATTCCCTGGGCGTTGGCAAAGGCAAAGCAATTAGACCAGATGCGCCCGTAGAACTGATGGCGCGCCGCACTCACAGGAGGTTGTCTTCAGGCTCCCACGTCATGTCCGACTTCTTCTCCCAACCTTCCCACTTGACGAGAAACTTCAAGGATCCCTGGAGGCAGTCAGCGGTGAACGGGCGGTTGTTGGACGCGATGCCGCACGTACATCCTCGTCGACCATGTGTTTCTTGATGGCTTCAACGATGAATCTGCCAAGAGTCAGCATGTGCGTCGTGAGAGGGTCGACAGACGCGGTGGCCGTACTCATCCTCATCAAGTTCACCCTCCTGGTCCTCGTCCCCATCCTCATCTTCTTCATCATCCTCGACCTCGACGACGGCCTCGGCGCCATTGCGGGTCAGGTCGGAGTCGCCCAGGAGCTCTTCATCGTCGGCAGATACGGATTGGCGCCATGAGGCGGCGCGCTGGGGCTCGATGTCGGACGCCTCCTCATCGCTCAGTGCTGCAGCGCGTTTAGCAGGACGGCCTTTGCGCGCCATGGCCAATGGTTGAAGGAAAGCAAGGAGGGGAAGCGCGTGAGGTGCAGGGGCGCAAAGAAAAAGGTGACAGGTGAGGCGCGTCGGTTGCCAGGAGCAGCGCGTGGATTTGCAGGTTGCTGTGGACCGTGGCACGGATTGGCGGAGGGGGGAAATGGCTGTTGCAAGGAAGGCGGTGAGAGGGAGAAAACACTGGCGGACGAACCTGGCGGCATTTCTGCAGCGCGTTGGAATCGCGATCGTAGCTGGTTCAGTAAGAACATGCAATTGCGACGGGTGAATGCGACGATGGCGCGCTTCGACCTCTTGCCCTCGCTTTGTTTTTGGGCGGCCTGCTGCCACAGGTGGCTGGGAGTCGATGGTCCATGGCGCCAGGTCCCGTGACTGTCTCTGGGCTAGCCGAGCTTTACCGTAGAGAAGACGCACTGTACGGCACGACCCAATGTCTATGGCAAGGGTACCATGATAAAATACAGTGCGAACGATTTTTGTGCACTAAAGTCACGTGCCCTGTCCAAACGCTCACATGAGCCCACTGGGAAGCCTCAAGACCATCATTCTCCCTCACGCCGCCGGTGAACACAAAAGCCGGCGCTCCCTGTTGGACTCGATACGGAGCATGTCCCCGGCACCGGATGTGTCCGCCTGCATCCGACTCGTCTGCGACAGCCACGGCGCCTGTAATTTCTCCAGCTCCCCACAACCAACACACGCCATGTTGCCAAATGTCTGAGGCGCAATTGGCAAGTCTCGACAGCCCGATTCATCAATGGTCCTGCTCAAGTGACCCCTGTTACTCGTTTGGTCTCACGGGGCCACCTTTCTGAACTCACACCACGGTCACGGACTCCTACACGTGATTGCGCGAACCGCCTTTCTCGTCTCGGACAGACGCTTCATTTACACATGCTCGACTGAGGCATCTGGCCTTCCTAACGCGGAAGGAGGCGGCCACCGCAAAGCCTCGTGCTGTTGTCCTCAGAGCCTCCTCGGGCCCTAGCTAATGGACTCGGCGATGACGAGGGTGCGAGACAGTAGTAGAGGACACGCCAGACCAAATGCTGTGCCCTCTATGGCCGCCTCGATCTGGATGATGGTTTATTAGTTTGTCTAGTAGTATCGCATGGACGGCTCCCATGATATCTCCCCGGAATTTCACCTAAAACACCAGAGTCTGATTCCCGCCATGGACAATCAACTGTCACCGAGCATCTTGGCAGGATGTCGCTTTCTTCACCACTGCGCCTCCTGTCGGCCTTCACCTGTTTCCACCAGCTATTGGCCGGGAAACGATGGCTTGCGGGCGGAGAAGTGAGCCTCGGAGCCAGCGCCGCATGCTCCATCTCAGAAGTCTGCCTCCCTGCTAGCAGCTTCCCCGATGTCATGGCAGAGGGTGCGAAGCCGTCCACGGGTTCACGCCACATACTTGGGCGACCTGTCGAGGCGACGGCCGCGAAGCCGTCGGGCGGCGTATAAATGGCCGGCCATGTGCCCCCAGGTCGGACTTACGCTTGGGAAGCAATAGCACTGGCCTCGACCCCCTTGTTGATACCACTCTTTTTCAAACGCACCTGTGATTATCTCGCCAACATGCGGTGGCTGTTTATCAAAGCGCTACCGGTTATGACCATGCTGCTTCTGCAGTCGGCGTCGGCTGTGCCGGTGGACGGCCGAGATGGCCCATTAAAGGTGGTCAAGACGATCTCCAGCGCCAACGGCCAAGTCATCGATTGGATCGTGCCCGAATCGCAGGGTAAAATTGCCAATCGTCCGCCGCCGCCTCCCAAGGGCAATCGCAGCGCCCAGCCGGTGGATATCGAGACGCTGATTCCCCGGGACCCTGCTATGAACGGCCCGAAGGGCACGGTGCCGATCCTCCGGAGCGGTGGCCCCACTCCGCCGATTAAGCGGCTGCCAGAGCCGGGGGACGACGGGGCGGGCGCCAACCAAACGTCGGCCAAGGCGTCGTACGCGGGCCAGCACTGGTACGCGAGCTCGAGCCAGGCGGTTGCCAACCGCGGTGGCGGGGCGACGTTTAGCCTGTTCCAGCCGTACGTGCAGACCGGCAGCGACTTCTCGCTGCTGCAGACGGCCGTCATCCGCGGCAACGGTACCGGCCCTGTGATGCAGACGGTCGAGGCCGGCTGGATCAACTACCCGAACCAGGTGCAGCCGCCGCACCTCTTTACTTACTTCACCACCAACGGGTACAGCGGCGACGGCGACGGCCTCGGCGGTTGGAACCGCGAGCACGCCGGCTGGGTGCAAATCGACGGTCTCATCTACCCGGGTGTGCCTTTTGCGCCCGTCGCCATCGACGGCGGGGCACAGTACGAGGTCGAGATTGGCTTCTTTCTCTTCGAGGGCAACTGGTGGCTGTGGGTACTGGACCGCTGGATCGGCTACTACCCAGGCTCGCTCTTCGCGCGCAACGTCGCGGCGCCCGACACGCTCGCCGCCGGGTCGGACCGCATCAACTTTTACGGTGAAATCTTTAACAGCGGGCCGCAGATGACGACGACGGACATGGGCAGCGGCGAGTTTCCCGAGCGCGGCTTCGGCCACGCCGCCTACCTGCACAACATCATCTACCTGGACGCCGACAACGGCCGCGTCAGCTACGACTTTGACGGCAGCGCCCAGATCATCGTCAGCGACAGCGACCGCTACCGTATCCAGCCCTCATTCAAGTCTGGCGGCAGCTGGGGCAGCTACTTTTATGTTGGCGGGCCCGGTGCCGGCGGCGTAGTTGGGGGGTGAGGATGAAGCAATTGGCACGGCTCGCGACCAAGGTTGCACGGCCGAGGGGCGACTACGCACCATGGTTTTCCTTCTGGGAGACTGCTTGTGTGGTCGGCTCGGAGTGTGTTGTCTGAGAGTGTTTTCCTCATCTTCCTTCTTTTCGTTCTTGTATATACGACCTATCTTGCTGGACTACCGAACGAAATATGATCAGTGGACAGCACAGCACATGACAAGTCATGAATTTTCAACGTCTGTTAGGGTGCGTTTTAATATGACATGTAGTCCACATCAAGCACGCGAGTTCTGAATGCGTCGACTGTCAAAGACGCCATGCGCGGATCTAGATGGGCTTTGGTGGAAACACGACCTTGCATATATTGGATGCAACTGCGACCGCATTATGAGCAGCGGGCTCGAATCGAAATAGGGCCAGCGTCTCGTATTAGGGGACTGCTGGTCATGTACAGCGGGAGGTGAGGTAGGCTGGGCACTGACGAGTGGATCGGCGGCAAGACTCGACATCTGGGCAGCAGACAGTTGAGCATGTGCATATTTGTCTACTCTGTACGCCCATAACTAATAAAAGAGAAGGAGGGAAAGGGGCTGGTTGTTGGGCCGCGGACACCCGGCAGTGTGGCTCCCATCCTCGGTTGGTAGGGGGCTGGCTGCCTTTCACGTCCCAGCTGGACCAGCTCTAAGCATGGACTTGGTAAGAGTCGACCAGTATAGTTCTCCGTACATGCGAGTACCCTGGGGTACTGCAAATACACCCATACGTGTCGAGGCAGGGTTCCGCTACACAAGGCCCGGAAGCCATCATCTCATCTGCGCGTGGGCGGGCGCCGCGGGCTCAGGGGGGCCATAGGGCGCCAAGGAGCCGCTGCCAATGTACCTCTGCTACTGCAAGGCACTGTTACGCCTGGACAAGTGTCTTGGGCTCGGAGCATAAGTTATCGGCCGCCTGTCTGCATCGGGATCCGCAGTCGAGTCGGCCGTGAGACTTTAGACTCTGGCAGCCCGATCCGCAGGGCCAGGGGAGAGGGGAGGGTCCAATCGCGACTGACTGTGCCGGGCTCGCCCAGGCCCCCCAAGATGCATACAGTACTGTACTTGGGAGGAGGGGAGAGTCGCAGATAACAGGAAATGTTTCCGATACAAGGTGTGAGCCGCGGTGGGTTGTGTGTTCCTTGGGGGGGGGAGGAGAGGAGGGCCGGGTTGCGAAAAGGAGATGACACGTCCGAGGCGGCGGCAAGGGGCCCTGTTCTTAATTCCCACCGGCTGGGTAATAATCCAGCGCAGCAGCCTTGTGCCCGTTCCCGTGCACTGGGTGAGAGAATGCAGGTCCAAGGGCCGGAGCATGTGCCTGGGATTGCCCAATGCAGGTGTCTGAGGAAAAGGAAAGGATGTATTATTGTGGGTTTGGAAGTACAATCAGTACCGCACAGTACATACAGTACGTGCTTACTCTACTACTACTACATATTACCAACCTAAAGTTACCTAATACATAAGTTAGTCTTTGGGCTCACGTATACTGTAGTGAGTACAGTACTTACGCTGTGAGCACGACTTATAACGCGGCACCGCCCGCGGCTGCACGACGAGTGCGTCCGACGACGTATCAAAAGAGGGCCTCTGCCGGGTTTGCAGAGGAAGAGAGGCCAAGGAAAAGGAACCAGAGGCCAGGCCCACGATACGAGCCTGGATGCATCGGGGCGTCTGTAGAGTACAGGCAGGCTTGCATCTCGGGAAGCTCTGTCGGTAGCATTCTGTTCCAGACAATGATCAAACGAGCCTCCCGGGAAAGGGGCTTGTTACTCTCCCATGAGGCCCCCCTGATTGGACCATGTCGAGCCGACAAGGCTGATGATCCAAGGCTCTTCCCCCCCTCGATTTCATCTTATCTGGACTTGCCCCTTGGTGCTCGCAACTCGGTAGACTCGGGACGCGCTAGTCTAAGACTACGACATTCGACAGATGCTGGGGATGACGCATCGTGATGACACTTCTGTTGCGGAGGAGGAGGCAGTGACTCGGGGAGCAGTGGCCCGATGGGACGCATGTACCGCGCTGGTACCAAGCAATTTACCGTTGCAGCTCGCGTGGGTTCATTCGACGCCTTGGCCAAGTCGTCGTGGCGTCCGCTGGGCCACTCTTGGACGAAGAAGGAAAAAACGGCATGGGGCGGGCAAAAGACGAGACATTTGATGATACCTTGACCGGCAGCCAACGTGGCGCCCCTCGATTCTACAGTAGGGCGAAAGAAGGAAGGAGAGTAATGGGGCTCACGCGAGAATAAAACCCTTTGCTTTTCAGCACCGGGAATCCAGTACAGTACATGTCCATTATTGCCGTGGGATCCATGTACAGTACAGTATCGACATACTTGACCAAGGTAGGAGAACAAGGGGGCAATGGAAACTTTTGTCTGCGTTATTCTCCGAGGTGGAGACCCTTCCAACCGATAGACAGTGTCGCAGCCGTCCCGACTATTCTTGCCCGCCCCGATCAATCAATCTACCTAGATGTGGACTGCTCCGAAGAAGCGACAGGGGGGGGGATATGAGAGGCGCTGACAGGTGTACTGTATCTGGCGAGTTTCATACAGCCCATTCTCAGCATGGCGCCTACGGATAGCATGTACCGGACCTCTGCCCTCAGGTACACCTTGAGATGGCACGCCCGATATTGAGTTTAAGGGCGTCTTTGCCGGGCCACAGTGGATGTGACAACGGGCCCTATAACTCAACGGGAAAAGGGACTTTCCCTGCTCCCCATCGGCCCTCTGGCCTTGGCCTGCGCGACTTCCAAGCAACCTTGCTGTACGAGGCTATACTTTGTTGCATGGCCCGACAGCGTCTCTCGGCGTCTCCCTCATCTCCTGTGTACAGGTACCGGTCCGAGTACAGCCAGGGGTCCTGCGCGCCTTGTCAGCCAGCGTTCTTTAGAAGACGACATATAGTGTCAGAGCACATAGCGAGGGTAGGACGAGCCAAAAAGGCTGCAAGAGAATCGAGTGTAATTACAGTACCTAGATGGTGGGCAAGTCCCATAGATACCTGCAAGGTAGCTTTATAGTTACCTAGGTAGGTATTCGTACTTGAAAGCCGGATATTGGACAGTCAGGCACCGCGAAACTCTATTTAAACACGCCATTCACTCATTACTAAGATAGCGAAGCAAGCTCCTTAGTAAGACGGCTCGCGACAACTACCTACAGTACGTTGGTTAGCAAGTGATGATGCTTTCAAGCCAGGTATGTATGGAGTACGTAACTTACAGTACTGCCCGTGATCAGTGGTGGGCGTACGCATGCACGATGCAGAGCTACCAAAGGCCAGGTAGAGGTACTTGTCTTGACCACCTCCTAACAGGCACTGGTCGATGCAGAGCTCGCCTGCCGTCCTGCGCTCATGCGGAGCTCCGAGGCAGATACAGTAAAGTAGGTAGGTCTAGTATTTACTTGACAGGCTACTTCATCTTACAGGGGACAGAGACAAGGACGTACGCGGGGTACCTGGAAAACCTGCATGGCTTTGGGGGGGAAGCAAGGTCTCGAACGCGCTAGCCTACACATCGAGGGTAGTCCATCATGTACTGTACCTCCTTTCTTACGCGAACCACAACAGCTCTCCCCCCCCCGGTCGGCTCCCCATCAAGCAAAGTACCCAGTACCACACACACCCCTGAGGGCCTGCTAGGGGTGCCGGGAATATTGAGGAGAGAGAAAAAAAAAGATTGTCCACCACCTCGCACCTCGTCTCCTGACGGACCATGTACGAGCTTTTTGCCCACCTTATCTTGCCGTCGCGAGGTGACCTGACTTTCGTCCACCTTTTGGCTCACAATCCCTTTCGCCCCTGATGCGGCCGGGATCGTGCTGACGACAGCTCTCTCTCCCATCTCGAGGACCTTGGCCTCGCTTACGCTCGTTGCTTCCGTTTTCCTTTCCACGCTCCCTATGGTCCCCGCAGGCTCTGCTCCGTGCCAGGAGCTCCTCTGCCCCCGATCGTCTCTGCCATCCGACACGTGCCCTGACCCTCGCTTCCCCTACTGACCGCCCCTGCCGTCATGGCCGACTCGACGACACAGGCTTCCGAGTCTCACGCTCTCAAGAGTGCTCCCAAGGACAAGAGCTGCCCCTATTGTCGCCAGGCCTTCACCTCGTCCTCGCTCGGCCGACATCTCGATCTCTACATCAAGGATAAGAACCCCAAGCCGCCAGATGGCATACACGACGTCGACGCCATCCGGAAGCTTCGCGGCGGCATCACCAGGCGCCACCCGCGGGGCTCCCTGGGCCGCAAGGCCTCGACCCCCGCTAGCACCCCGAGGCCCTCTGCCAAGAGAGAGGCCTCGGCTGCCGAGAGCGAATCTCACAAGCCCGCTTCTATCCCAAAGGACGGCCAATATGCCGTCGATTCGACTCTCAGCAAGTTTCCTTTTGTCCCCAGGTGGGAGGCGACGGGCGTCATCAACGACATTCCCGGCAGGGTGCCATGGGACGCCGACACCCCACAAGATGCTGGCCGTCGCCCCTCCGCCATGCAGCGCACCGTGAGCAAGCAGGCCGCCCAAAAGGCCCAGCTCGACGTCAAGCAAAAGCTGGCTGATGCCATGGACACTGCCCGAGCTGCCGAGCTGGCCTTGCGCGAGCTCCTCAGCTCCTGGCGGGCTGCCAAGTACGCTAGCCCTCGCTTCTTGACCGATGCAACTCGACTGACTTGGCCACAGGCAGCACATTGACAACAACTCGATGCCCTTCGACTTCGACCCGCTTTCGCTCGATTTCCCCGCCCTCACCTTGCAGTGTCTACGCCCGCCCCCGACCCTCTTCTCCTCTACCCAGCACCCGACTTCCACATCCTGGTCTGTGCAGTCCCCCGGCCGGCGCGAGTATAGTGCTCTTCAGGCCTATTTCCAAGAAGAGTTTCAGTCTTGGAAAGTGGCCTGCGCCTCTGCAACGACGGCGGCCTTTGAGGAGCTGACGTATCCGCCGAGCGGCAACCCGCACAGAGACGCACGCGAGGCCGTCAAGAAGGCAGAAAAAGCGGCCGAGAACCTTGAGCGCCAAGTCGAGGAGCATCTGCAGTCGGCCTACGCTGTGTGGGAGTCGCTGCCCACCCAAAGGCAACAGGAGCTATGGATTCTCGAGCTGGCAAGGGGCGTCGGCAGGAAGCAAAACGAGACGGTAAAGCTCAAGGAGCAACGACACGGATTGGAACAGGAAAACGCCAATCTCAAGTCGCAAATCGACCAGTTGAACCGCCTGCAGCAGCCTCGCGAATTCAAGCTACTTTCTCCCACCACGATTCCCATCGATCGAGACCTCATTAGCTATGCCTATGAGCAAGGCGTCAAGGGCGGCAAGAGCGTCGGCTTTGACCTCGAGGACCGCCACGTCGACCTGAGCACACTCGTAACAAAGTCGATTGAGCGTTGGAAAGATGTCATCACGTCGACCCGTGCAACAGAGAGCGGCATGGGCGCCCAGAAGCCCCTCGATCAGGCAGCCTCGACGTCGGGGGTGGCGCATGGCCCTTTGCAACCTCAACCGCAAAACATGTCTCAGACGCCGCAGCTGCCGCAGACTCACCAACCCCCGCCGAAGCGACTGTCGACGACGAGCACCAACGATCCGCCGAGCGAGCAGACGGCATCGTCTGTCAGCAACACAGGTCCGCCGTCGATTGAGGAGACGAGCGACCAGGATGCCGATGCGGAGATGGAGGACGACGACAGCTTCGCCATCATGAACGCCTCGCCCGTGAAGCCTGCCCATCCGATGCAACAGCAGGCAACCCTCGACGTGCCCAGAACGCGCGGCCTCGTGCAGCAGCAAAACGCCGCCCAAGAGCTGCGCTTCATGATGCCCAACGGGGCAGGCAGATCGGCCATGTCCATGAGCCGGTCGATGGCCGGCATGAACATGGCCATGCAGGGCAACCCCCTGCAGGGCAGTGATTTGGGCATGATGCAGCCGGTTCGAGGCGACGCCATGTACATGGAGTGAGCAACGCCCTCGGGCCGCTGGGCAAGGGAACTTGCCGACACGAATCTAGGGTGTGGGAGCAAATTTAGACTGGAGAAGCGGCCGGAGGCGAGCCCTCTTTGAATCCATCAGCGAATTGTGTAATGACTACAGGACCTTAAACAGGGTGGGCCGATAGTGGCCCTGTTCATGACGCGCTAATACGAACCGCGCTTGGCTATGGTCAAAGTAGACGAGTCTTGAGCAATAGTTCTGGGTGGAATCGGTGATGAATGCTTCGTGTGTCTCTTTGTTCAGGTATTCGATTATGGCTTCTATGATTTCGATGGGTGGTCCCATCACTGCCTTCCGATGGCTCGCGGAGTTGAGTCTTTAGCACGTATCCTTCCTTCCACCTGTCCACGACTATTACCCCTAATGACATCTGCTACTGATTTTACAGGTTACATCTTGATCTGCCTTGAGCTTGCTCTTCTTCCTTCACCCGCAGTATCGTACAGTGGCCCTGCCCCAGCGCTCTCTATCGCATTTCCTTTTGCAGCTGCTTCAACCGATGTTCAACCATGCGGACGGTGGGCCTGGGCACGTGCAGGCGATGGGCCAGGACGAGGGCGCCGGTGAGGACGGCGAGACTGCCCGCCTGGTGGGCCGCGGCGAGCGGGACAGGGACCAAGTAGATGAGGGTCGAGATGCCCAGGGCGACTTGGAGGCTGACCAGGTGGACCAGGCCGGCGGCGCTCTTCTTGGCGCTCGGGGGGAGCACGGCGGCGACGCGGCCGGTGCGCGAGTAGGCGAAGAGGGCCAGGATGGAGCAAAAGGTGGTGACGGCCAGGATGCGATGGTCCATCTGGACGGTGCTGGGGTTCTCGAGCATGTTGCGCCACCATAGGTCCGAGCCATCCTCCTTGCGCGAGTAGAAGCCGTCCCACAGCTCCGACTTGGGCGGGGTCAGGCCCAGGCCCATCTTGGGGAACTCGTTGTAGATGAGCCCGGCGTCCAGACCCGCGACCAGGCCGCCGGACATGGCCGTGACGAAGACGAGAGCGGCGAGGCCCGCGGCGCAGAGGCGAAAGGCGGCGAGGGCGGGGCTCCGCGTGGCCTGGATGGCACTCAAGGCGGCTTTGGGATCGGCCAGCATGCGATGGGTGCGCAGGACGGCGAGGCCCGACAGCAGCATCCAGGAGTAGCAGACAAAGGCGGTGGCGAGATGGGCCGTCAGGCGATACTGCGAGACGCGGGGGTGGGAACCGGGGGCGAAGAGGTCGTCTTTCAAGCCCGACTTGACCATCCACCAGCCAATGAAGCCCTGGAAGCCGATGAGGGCCGAGATGCCGACCAGGTTGACGGCCATTTTGGGCGTGACCCGCCGGCGGGCGATGAAGTAGAGCGAGGGCAGGATAAAGGAGAGGCCGATGAAGCGGCCCCAGAGCCTGTGCGTCCACTCCATGAAGTAGATTTTTTTGAACTCATCGATTGTCATGTGCGGGTTGAGCAGTTTGAACTCGGGCGAGGCGCGGTACTTCTCAAACTCGGATTCCCAATCGGCCTGGGACATGGGGGGTAGGGACCCGGTCACCGGTCTCCATTCCGTGATGCTCAAGCTGCTCGCGCCATTGCCGCGCCCACAATTAGCTGGCCATCTCTCATCAAATCCATCGGAGCTTCTTGGGAAGCACCCTACCCGGATTCCGTCAACCTCGTCAAGCCGCCGAAAACGACGATGCCAAAGACGCTGGCCGCGCTTCCCAGGAGCCAGTACGCCACTCCCTTGGATGTGGTCTGAGGGAAAGCCTGCTTGACAGCCTCTGGCGCTCGAGGCGCTGTTGACTGCTTCGCCACGCTTCCCAGCGGCGGCGCTGCCGGGCTTGCGCTCGCGTATCCGCGCGGTCGAATGACACTGAGGATCTTGGGTGGCGGGCGTCGCGGAGCTTGCCGAAGGCATTGATTGCAGACAAAGAACTTGGAAGGCCCCTGGATGGCTAGCCGCCGGATTCCGGAAATGAAAAAGGCCATATCTGTCGAGGGTGAAAAGGAGCTATGGTCCCATGTCGCGAAATGGTGACGGCCGTTGCAAGCGCCCCGAAATAAGAGCGAGCTGATAGGTGGGGTGCCCTGGCAGGGGTCCCCGCCAGAGCACCTCTCACCGCCAAATATTTTCACGCGGCAGAAAACTCGATAAGCGGCGCCGTAAAAGCACATCTTGCGGCAAGACACGAACCGCACGCATCACCGTTGCCTCCCACCCACCATCAAAATGCCGGGCCGACAGGCGCATGGCAGGTCCCTCCTGGCCAATGCAAAAGTAAAGAGCTCCGGCAAGAAATCCAAGGCAAGGTCGCAGAAGAACGCCCTCGATGCGTTTGGCATCGCCCAGGAGAAATTCCCAACACGGCAAAAGAGGACCCCCAGGGTAAGGGAGCTGGACGCTGAGAGCGAACGGAAACATGCTCGGGAAGAAGACGAGGACGGAGACGAGGAGGGCGACGGGGAACCTAGCCGGAAGAAAACAAAGGTCCCGTCTCGGCCTGTGGCGGGCGACGACGCCGAGTACGGTAGTGACAGCGAGGGCAACGAGTGGCGGCTAGGGGGGCTGGCCGAGGACGACGAGGACTCTGAAATCGAGAGCGACGACGCATTTGGCGACAGCGACGATGACAAATTTCAGGGCTACTCATTCCGCGGTACACAGTCCAAAAAGACCGAGGTAGGGCTGTCTCTTGGGTGATGAGACGATTGCACGGCTGATTGGGCTTGGCAGGCCGGCGATCCCGACGACGATTCAAACGATGACGAGGGTGAAACTCTTGGCGCAGATGCTATTGACCTCGCCACGGCGCTTGATCAGTTCGAAGAAGACTCCGACGTCGAGGAGCCAGAGGGCGACGAAGAATCAGGGTCGGACGATTCAAGTGAGGAGGAATCAGACGGCTCGGACGATTCCGACGATGATCAGGAAGAGGAAGACGACGAGGCCGATCCTGCGCAGCTCAAAGCCTTGCAAGGACTGATATCGGATTACGGCGGCGAACAAGTGGACGACGCTGAAGACACGAGGAGCTCGAAGCAAAAGATTGGCCTTGGCGACCTTGGCCTTTCCAGTCTCAATGATCCGTTCATGAAGAAATCCGTCAGACTCATGAACAAGGAGCAAAAGGAGAAACGACCGGGCGCAGCCAAGAAGCTGAACGTGCCCTTGCCCAGGAGACAACAGGATCGGCTGGATCGGTCTGCGGCATACGAAAAAACAAACGAGACGCTGGACCGCTGGACGGAGACAGTCAAGCAGAATCGGAGAGCAGAGCATCTGGTCTTCCCTCTTCCCCAGAACTCTGCAACCGCCGGGCTAGACACGACGGAGATCCAACCCTTGACAGCCAAGAGCGCAGGCAATGAGCTCGAGTCAACCATCATGTCCATCATGGATCAGAGCGGCTTGTCGCTGCAAAAGAAGGCCAAGCCGAAGCCCCAGGAATTCGATGAGGAAGGCAATCTGCTGTCCCGGAAAGAGGCTCTGGACAGGAAGCGGATGGAGCGCGAGCTGAATGCCAGGGAAACAAAGCGCGCCAAGCGAATCAAGAAGATCAAGAGCAAGGCCTACCATCGCGTACATCGAAAGCAAAGAGAGCGCGACGAGGTGGCCGCCAAGGAAGCCATGCAAGAGGCGGGAGAGATCGACTCAGAGGAAGAGCGGGAAGCACAGGACCGCCGACGCGCCCTGGAGCGTGTCGGGCAGCGTCATAAGGAGAGCAAGTGGGCCAAGATTGGAGCAAGGACCAAGCGCGCCGTATGGGACGACGATTTCCGCGCGGGGCTAACGGAGATGGCTCGCAAGGACGAAGAGCTGCGCCGCAGGAAAGAGGGCAGGAAGGGAGGCGTGGACGAGTCCGACTCGGACGCGACCAGCAGCTCCGGAGAAGACGACTCCGACGACGATCTACGCCGTCGGTTAGACGCGCTTGAAGGGGGCGAGGACGAGGGGCCGCGGTCGAAGCTCATGAGCCTCAAGTTTATGCAAAAGGCAGAGGCGGCGAAGAGAAAGGCAAACGACGACTTAATCAAGCAGATTCGGCGGGACCTGGACGGAGAGGAGGAAGAGACCGGCTCCGGCGATGAGGAGGTGGGCCGCAGGCGCTTCGGCGTCGCCACAGCCGGCTCGTCGGAGCCTGCTCCGGATACATCCAGGAGGGCTTCCCGGAGAGGGCGTGCGCGGGACGACGACGACGGCGATGGTTCTGCAGACGACCACGCGACGGCGAATATCTCGTCGGCGCACGTGGACGCGGCAGCGCCAACTCCCGCAGATACGGCGGCCTCGACGGCAGGGGCCTGGTCCCGCGGCCAGCCCCGGCGCGCATCCAAGAAGAGCCCGGCCGGCGCGCGCGCCGAGGAACTCGACCTCGACGCCAACGTGCTCGTCGCCGCACGCCCTGCCGCCGCCAGCAAGCCGTCCAAGGCAAAGAGGCCGGACGCGAACGACGAAGACGACGACTCGGCATCCGACACGGAGCAGCTGCACCTGCCCCTCGCCATCCGCGACCAGGAGCTCGTGGCGCGGGCCTTTGCCGGCGAGGACGTGGTGGGCGACTTTGAGCGCGAAAAGGCCGACGTCGCCGAGGCCGACGACGACAAGGTCGTGGACCAGACGCTACCCGGCTGGGGCTCGTGGGTGGGCGAGGGCGTGGGCGCCAGGGAGAGGAGCAGGCATCAGGGCCGGTTCGTGACAAAGATCCAGGGCGTCAAGAAGAAGGACCGCAAGGACGCCAAACTCGACAAGGTCATCATCAACGAGAAGCGCATCAAGAAGGTGAGTCCTCCTCCCCCCCCTCTACCTCCTCTTTTTTCTTTACTCCCCCCCTCTCCATCTCCCCTTTCTCTTTCAACCCCCCCCCCTTTTTATCTCCTACACACAAGAGCCGAAAAGGTACACGCTGACGCCCGCCCCCAGAACGACCTCTACCTCGCCTCCCAGCTCCCCCACCCCTTCGAGTCGCGCCAGCAGTACGAGCGCTCGCTGCGGCTCCCCGTCGGGCCCGAGTGGATGACCAAGCAGACCTTCCAGGACACCACCAAGCCGCGCGTCCTGCTCAAGCAAGGCATCATCGCGCCCATCTCCAAGCCCACCGCCTAGGGGCTTCGGGCTTCGGGGCTTGGACCCTTCACCGGCGCTGGGATACACGCGCGCAAGCACGCACCGTGTGCGTGTTGTATGTATGCGCAATAAACATGGCATATTCTCTCCCTCCCTCGTCTCTTCCCGTAAGCGTCCCGCGACGGGGCTCGGCTTGCACCCATGGTTTGTAAGGGGGCATGTGGAGGCGTATTGGGTTTACGTATCGGGTTCAAGACATTTTTCCATATAGTCATCATCGAGGTTACCATTTGTGATCATTTTGTCGTTCGAGATGGCTGGCGGGCCAATTTTCGGCAACTGTTTGTGTCACCACCCGCCTCCTATTTACACGCACTACACCTTCTCTCGCTCGCCACACCAGCCTACCTCTTCGCTCTCAACTTCGGTGGCTTTTCGCCTCGTTGCGGATCCGCGTGCCTCACTGGATCCATGGGACGCTGACGTCTCGTGCACCGATCCGCGCATAATAGTAAACCGCTCATGTGCTGAACCACACGTTCGAACCCGCGGTAAGCCCTTGAAAGCCACGCCATCGCATCTCGACGCAAGGCGCATGGCGTGCAGGAGGGTCTTTCGAATCCGTTCAGCCCGCATATAGTCCGGGTACCTCATCGTGTGAACGGTATCGTCTTAGATGTTGACATTATCTGGCCCTTTCGCCGACGCCGAACACCCCAAACACCTTCACTAGTGATACAAAGTAGAAAAAGCTGACGCCGACCCAGACGTCGGTAATGATTGAAAACTCTTGCTTCCCCAACCAAACTCTCGATTGGACGCTAGTCAGGCCCGTTTCATACCGAGAAAAGAAAAGCAAGAGAACAAAGGACACCGTAAACCGCCAAAGGCGAAGAGGGAAAAACGCGCGCACCATCATCATTGTCTAGTTTTTGACCAGGCTGGTAACCGTGTCCATGACGCCGGTGGGTGTGGCGAAAAAGGCGACGGCAATAATGATGTAGAGGCCGAGGAGCATGGCACCTTCGAGGTAATTGGACTTGCCATCTTGGACAGTGTACGTTACGACCAGCACCGACACCGCGAAGGCGACTGTTTGGACTGTTTGATTCTAATGTTAGCGCAAGTCAATGCTGCCGAGCGAGTCGGAGCAAGTGTTTCTGCCGTTGGGCAAAGGAAAGGCTGGGAAGAGAAGGAAGGTGCGTACAAGTCTCGAAGTGAAGCGTCATGTCCTGTCCGATAATCCAGCCAACAATGACCAGGAAGGGGGTGACGCCAAGAGCGATCTGGATCGAGGAGCCGATAGCAACGCCCATGGCCAAGTCCATTTTGTCGCGTAGAGCAACGACGACGGCCGTCACGTGCTCGGCAGCATTGCCCACAATGGGAATGAGGATCAAACCGATAAAGGCTTTGCTGATGTGGGCGCTTTCGACGATGTCATCGATGCTTCCGACTAGGTAATCGGCGCAGATGGCGACGAGGACGGTCACGACGACAAGGACAACAGCGGCAGCCACGGCACCCATGCAAGGCTCATCTTCTTCTTCGTCGTCGTCATCGGCGGCTTGCCTCTCGGCATCGAAGAGGTTGCTGTGAGTTCGCAGCTGGAAGACCAGGTAGAGCACATAGAGCACTAGGAGAATGATGGCCGTGCCTCGCGAGAGGACAAGAATGCTGCTGTCCTTTTCGTTGGAGCCTCGCTGGTTGAGGACGCCGTAAAGCTGAGCAAGGGGTCAGCGCAAGGGTCGACGTGCAAAAGGGGAAGCACCGCAAAGCAGGCCAACGTACAGCGGCGGGGATGACGAGGGACGCCGAGGAGAGGGTCATGAGGGAGCAAGTAGTCTGGGCGACGGCGGCCGAGAAGTTCTGTTCGATGCCCAATCCGTTCTGACTGCGATGCACCAGACCGCCGAAGAAGAAGCACATTCCCATGACGAGCAGGAGGTTGGACAGGATGGAACCCAGCATCGAGGACTGGACCACCTCGATCTGGCCATCTTTAAGGGCAACAATGCTGACCTGAAAAGGGTCAGCAATCGAAGTGTAGGCGTGGACGAGGGGAACAGGCGCACAATCAACTCGACGGCGTTGCCAAAGGTGGCGTTGAGGAGTCCTCCCATGGTCTCGCCGAGCTTCATGGAAATCTCCTCCGTCGCAAAGGAGAGGACGGCGGCGAGAGGGATAATGGCGAAGAAGTTGATGGTGAAGACGGCCGTCGAGTTCCATTTGCAGGCGCCGGCCACAATGCCGATTGGGACGGTGACGAGAAGGAAGTTGACATAGTCTGTGGCGAGCTTGGGGTTAGCAAGGATGCGCAACGGGGGGGAGAGGCGTGAGAGGGCGAGGGCGAGGGCGCATACTGCTGAGGAGGGTCACCTTTGTGACATGCCAGGTATAGGCGAGGCTCCTGACGGCAACACGGTCGCTGTTGTTGCCGGGCGTGTGCCTGGAGTCAAAGAAGAAGGCGAAGGCGCCGGAGCGGTGGCGCGAGAGGGTGTCGCCTTGGGCCGACGACGAGGTTCCGCCGTTGACCAAAGGCGTGCGCTCGTCGGCGCCGCGGTTCTGCTTGTTATTCATGAGGCGGCGTATGCGATGGAGGAGAATTGAAGTTTGTCGACGGTCTAGCGTTGCTTTTGCGTTATTGATTCGTCGCAAGAGACGTCGCAGGGACGGCACGGTAACAACACAATGCAAGCTTCCTTTGAGTGCCGATATGTCTCGAGTTGGAATCGGAGTAGTTGGGTTCGCGGAGCAAGGAGACGGGGAGGAAGGATGAACAAGCCAGGAGGGTGCGTTGGAGAGGACAGGAGATATGTGCAGTGGACGCAATGGGTCCTTGCTGCTTGGTAACGGGTGGATAAAGCAGACAGAGACGGTGGGGTGTGGGCGAGCAAGCTAATGGAAGGGTGGCGCGTTTTGGGGGAGCGACCTGGGGAAGCGACCCGGGGGAGCGACCAAGCGGAATGGCAGCCAGCACGGGGGGAGGGGGGGGGTTGAGAGTGAGAGGGACGGGTGAGCGAGTGGTCCGGCACTCACAGCGAGGATGACGGGTCATGGACTCATGGGTGATTGACGGTGACGATGGAGAGTGGAAGCCGATCTTGGAGCGGCAACGGCGTGGTCTCGGGTCGACGCTACCGGGCAGCCGCTACGTACCACGAGGTGGTATGGAGCAGTACCCACCCATGTACCCTCCCGCTGCAAGTACGTACTGTACAAGAAGACCTTAACCTGATGCGGCCACCTTAAGCGATGGCCGGCCGCTGTCCTTTCCTTGTTTACTTACGCCAGACGTTCAAGGCTTGAGGCTTGAGGCTTGAGGTTTGACAGGCCAAAAAACGGGAGAGGCGTGGCGGACACTTCCGACGAACACGATGATGACAACGTCGACGCAAGGAAAAGGAACTTTCAAGGGAACCAGAATTGTGGAGGACAAGCCGCGTGCCGTCCCCCCGGCCGTCGGTTGGCTGCTCTGGCTTGGAGGCCTCTCTTCCTCCCCGGCAACCCTCTCTCTGATCTCCGATCCCACTCTGTTGTCTCATGCAGCCAGCAGCAAGCTGACGATGCCCAAATATGCCTCGCGTTTTACACATGCAAGCTGAATACACGGCGTGTTGCAGCGGCTGACGACCAGCTCACCTGCCCGCCCTTCTTGTCTCCGAGTCGTGACTTCTGCCACAGACCACTACCCACTGTACAGCGCCTGCTGAGCCCGCCTCTTCCGTGTCAGTGACCGGTCAGTGGCCGGTCAGTGGCCGGTCAGTGGCCGGTCCGTGGTGCCATGTACATATTGTACAGTACACGCCGTCGCTTCGCCTGCGCCTAAATTTACCGCGCCGTCGCGTTTCCGGGCATGCATCGAGTCTTGCTCGGCTGGGCCTAGCCTGGCAAGTGCGTCGCGGGGTACTAGACTCCGGGTACGTACTAGACTCCTGTCTCTTATAATAGCTGTGCCAAGCCTTGATTCGCTCTGTCTGGCAGGTGCTTCTCATTTTCTTGCTTTTCTGCTACGAGTTCTGCTACCGGTACGGAGTACTCCAGCCACTCAATTTACCCCTGCCCTGCCCAGATGGGCTCCAGGGGCTACGTCACACACCCTGCGACTCCCAGCGATGCGCGCTCGGGGCACCTGCAGCTTGGACTTGGCGCTGTAAGTTGTGCTGCAAATTGTGCTGCAAGTTGTGCATGCCCTGTCTGTCTTTCCAGGTTCTCTTGTCCTCCTGCACAGTGACAGCTAATAAAGCACGGTTTCCTTGTTCGAGGGAGAGGACCAAGACGTCATGGTGTCGACGCTGGTGTGCTGCCAACATGGATCCCTGGCCATACAACCACGAGCAGCACAGAGTGCTTGCTCATCGCCCCATGGTTCTCGCGCATCAGAAGCCATGCGACAATTAGTACATGCCATGCGCACATTCGTCCCATCTGCAGAGACCCACTCTCTAACACAAATCCATCGATAAAGTGCTGAGCCACCACACCATCCTTCCACCTTTGTTTCCCCACCTTATTTCAACGCCCTTTCGCCGCATCATCCTCTGGAATCCTCACCCAGGGCGCAGCAAACTCGGCCTCGTTGCTTGGCACCGCTAGTCGGCAATGCCACCTGTTGACGGGCCCTGGTGCAACTGCCCGTCGCCTTTGGGCACTGACCGTCACCAGACATCAAGAGACACGGCACGAGCAAAAGACTATAGGTTCCATTGCAAGCGTTTCCCCGTCTCATATGCAGTCGACGACGCCCTTCCTCTGGCCATCATTCTTCATCACGACAAGACATCTCCTTATACACAGCCACCTCAGATCCCGCCGAGAGCTATCAAAACAAGAGTCAGCAACCGCCCATCAAACGTCTCGTACCCGCCATCCACTCACCTGCAGCATACGCCATGAACCACGTTAGCGACGCGCCTCCGTCCAGCCACTGCGGGTCGAAGCTGCGCCCAGAGAAAAACTCCCACGCCTTCCTGGGCTCCACCGTCGCGTAGCTGGCGTAGATGATGCCCTTCCACGCGTTGCGAATCTCGTCTATCCGCCCCTGGCTGAAAAACGCCTCCCATTCTTCCGCGACAAAGTTGGGCACCCGCACAAATGGCGTCGGCGGCAGGATTGGAATCATGTGGATGCCCTGGATCGCCTCGATGCTCGGGTCGAAAAATGTCGTGTGGTCCACCTTGTTCTCAAACAGAATCCCCGCCACCTTGTTGCCGATGAACTGCTTCGGCTGCACCTCGTTGTTCTTCTCGTACAGGTAATAGACTTGTAGGCTGCGCGCAATCATCGCCAGCTGCAGGTTGCCCCTGTCCCCAGCTGTCATCATCACACCTCCCTTCTCCATCTTGGACCACTCACCTCGCTTCCAAGTTGGCGTTGCCAATCACCTTTCCCCACATCTTGAGGGCATACGCGTGCATCATGTCCTCCGAGCTCGATTCTTGATTCTGCACACGCACCACGTCAGTATCGGCCACTTTGGGCCCAGAACTTTCCTTGGCGAGCTTACCTTGCCGTCCGCCGCGGCATAGAGGCCGTGAGCCCAGCTGTGGCCATGATACCAGTCGAAGCTCCGCCACATTGGGAAGAACGCGTCCTTGGAGTTGGGATTGGCAACGTCTCTCACCAGCGTATTGACATAGTCCGCATTCGCCCGGGCCCAGTCCGGATCCAGGTGGCCAATCGTCGCGGCCGCCAGGATGTGGTAGCCGTAGTGGAAGTGGTGGTCGTTGTAGTACGTGTTTCCAAAGTCAACGCCCGCGTCTCCCGTGACATAGCTCGCCGACGAGACGGCGCCGCCCCACGCCGCTGCGTCGCCGTCAGCCTGGGTACTTTCCCGGAGGAGAGTTTCACTCACTCTCATATACCAGAGGAAACCTTTGCTTGTTGGCGGCAAAGATGTCAAAGGCCGCTTTGAGCAGCCCGAGCCCCGTTTGCGCGAGCGCCTTGTCCCCGACCATGTTGTTGACCACGTACAGAATAGTCGCAAACTTGGCGAGCGCCTGCTCTTGTCAGTCCCCATCCATTCCGTGCTCTGGGCCTCCAACTCACCTTGCCGCTGAAGTACATGGAGTCCAGATTTGACTGAGCAATCATGTTCTGGGAAATCTCCTTGGCGGCCGCGGCCCGGATCGTATTCTTCGCCATCTCAGACAAGCCATCCATGCTTCCCCTTTCCGGGTGCCATGGCGAGAAACCCATGGAGACGGGCAAGTTCGGTTCGACCATGGTCCACTCGGTGCCCCGGACCAGCCTGGCGAGCCCCTTCGTCGTCGTCTGCAGCTGGACCTGCTGCATCCGCTGCTTGGTCTCGTCGTCGAACGAGTGGACGTGATGGGGCAGCGCGTACATGTACAGATGCCCGGCCTGGTGCCCGTCCTTTTGGAACTTGAAGCAATAGATGCCCCGGGACCCGGACGTCGAGCCCGAGAGACCAACCGTCACTGGGTATATGCCAGCACCGTCATCCAGCAACCCCTCGGATCCGTTGGTCCGGGGGTCCTTGGCGATCTGGATGATGCCGAAGAAGGGCTTCTTCGACTCGGCCCGCCCGTCGTTGACGACCTTGAGATCGAGCTCATCCCCCTTGGTCCTCCAGGCGTACATGCGCCACGTCGTTCCGTCTTCGAGGTTGAATGTGTACTTGGCCACGTGCGGCTTGGGATCCCGGGTAACCCGCGTTACGGTTTTGAAGTATACTCCCGATTGAAGGACGGGAACGGCGCCGTCGAACTGGGCCGTGATGTACGGCATCCCCTGCACAAGCGGGAACGAGACTGCCGGTGGCGATGTGCTGTCCTTGCTGAGATGGACTCGTGCCGAGAACGCCGTGATGCTGTCGAGCGAGAGCGCCGTCTTGTTCCCCAGCTCCTTGGCAGATATCACCATGGACTGAATCCCAATAGGATTCAGGTAGTAAGACGAAGACTCGTTAAACCTCACATTGCCGAACACTCGTTGATGCGCCTCGACATGGCCGCAGGACATGCCCCAGCTCGCACTGGAGCCCTTCCCCCCGGCCCACTGTAGGGAGTAAGGGAACGTGTACGTCGGGGCCAGTTGGTCTCCCAGGAAGAAGTTGGCGTAGAATTTGTTGGTCTGAAGAGGGGCCTTGGACTGGATCCCCTTGCGAGGCACCGGGTGATCATGACGAATCGATATGCACGACGGCGGGGCCTTGGTATCGATGGGCTGGGCGAAGATGTCCGGGGATGCCATTGTTGCTGTAGGTGACAACCAAGTTTCGACGGCTTCTGTGGATCCGATGGGCTGAGACAGAGAAGCTGAGGTAGATGAAGAGCTGTTAAACCACAGCGGTCCTGTCGCTCCGGCTGGGCCGTGGAGTTTCGGGGATACAGCTGACGGGGTTGGTAGAGTTGGCGATATCTGGCCTGTGGTGTTGCTGGTCCTGACTTTGACTTGCACCAAACTGTCGAGCGAAGAGCCACCGGGGCGCAAAGGCTTCTGAGTCAACGAGATAGGCGCCTGTGTGTCTGCAGTGGTGGTGCTGTTTGTGTCGAGGTGCCAGTATTCCGTGGTCAGCAGAAGCCGTTCAGCGGCCAGACGGTGATCTGGGCGGATTGCTTGAGGCAGCGGCGTGGACGAGCGAGGGCCGTTGGAGGAGCTGATTCGGATGACGGATCCCTGCGCTTCAGTTAGCCAGCATAGAAAGGATAGGAGACGATGCCAGTCCATGAGGGGTGTTGACGATGACTCTGGCACAAGAGTCTCATGGACATTGGAAGCCATCTAGATAGTGCCGAGAGCCGCAAGCTGCCCCCAGATAATGGGAGAAACATCCAAGATAATAGATGGCAAGGCAACGATCCATGTTGCGTTCCAGAAGCACGGAAGCCATGCACTGTTTGCCGAGGTGCATCACTCCCACGCGTCGCTGGATCAAAGGCGAAGCATTGTTGATGTCTCGCAAGGGCATCACGCACAAGGGACGTACCTGAATGATTCAGATTCCGGAGCGGCGCCGACCAACCAAGAAGATGACAATGGGGATGATAAAATGGTTGTAATGATAGGTTGATTAAGGGATATATTAGGGGCCTAGGGTGGGCATAAGCTGATGCGTCGTCTTGAAGGTCGAGAGGTCGGAAGAGAGAGATACTTATCCTCGAGCTTTCAGGATCACCGGAGTCTGGTGGCACGAGCAATGGCGATCTCACCAGACGAGGCAGGCTTGACGAGTCTTGGCGCCTTCCCTGGAGCCCGTGGCCGGCCTTCCCTGAGTGGAAGGGTAAGTCCGACTTGTCCTCCGTTTCCTTCCCTGCGCCAAGGTGAGTCTCGTCTTGGGCAGGCAACGGCGGATTAAGGTGAGCCCGGTGGACCTGGATGTCGCATCTCAAGGCCCCCGTGCTCCATCACAGGCGCCGTAAGCCCAGTGAACAAAGCTTGGAGGATTCGTCCACGAGATATTCGTCCAAGATCCGTGATTGGTCTCGGGCGGCGCTCAGCCACGGCCCCCATGGCGTCGCATCTCATCTGACATGGCGGCCCCGATGCGCACGTAGTGAGACGCCGTCAGCATATGGGCAGTGCCTGATGACGATGAATCTAAGACGTCGGCTCCGGCCTCGGTAGCACAGCACTTGGTCAGTCACCCGGGGGTCCTGTGTCCTTGCCGAGATGCTCCTTGTTGGGCGTCTTGTTCTTGGCATGGTTAAATAACCAACACGGCTACCACATACCCACCAAGCGCCTTGTTCCCGTAGCAAACCCTCAAACATCATAGCCCCAGAGCGTCATACTTGCCCGTCATGGCCCCGCCGCGGATCATGCCTCGTAGATTGCCAGCCACATTGTTCTTCGCCTTCGTCTCGGCCGCCTGCTTCCCAGCACTCCGCACCGTTGTCATGGCCTCGAGGCGTTTCCTCTTGCGCTCGGCGCCCGCCTCGCTTTTCTCCGCCTCTTTGCGGCATCTGCGAACGTCGCGGTCTCGAAGCACCCACGGCTTGTCGAGCACGTCTCGGCGGAATTTGTCTCTCTTTTCCCACAGAGCCACCTCCTGCGCAGTGCCTCTCAAGCAGACCGTCTTCTCAATATTGATTTGTTTTTCGCCTCTGAAGGTCGATAGACCGCCTTTGATGTCGACCACGGCACCAACGTCAAGGTCTTGGTAGGGCGGCGACACCTGGAGTCCCTTCTTGTCCGCCATGCCTCCGGGCTTGTCCGTCTCTGCCGGCACGAGAAGCAGAGCCTCGATGCAAGCCCCGCTGCTGTCATCCACGGTGTACACGCGTCGACTGGTAGAGTTCTTGCCGGGACCAGCAAAGTCCTCGACGGCAACAACGACGCCGACTATGCGCACCCATTTGATCGGTAGATTCTGGTAGAAGAAGAAGTTTTCTCCTAGCCTGTCGTGTTAGCGACCTGGGGGTGACTCCAGACCCCTGACCAACAACTTGCCTTGAAAGCCGGCGTGTTGCTCGAGAAGGTGAATCTCGGACGCGCGCAGCAGACACCAGGTATTGACCGTCGGCGACAGGTGGAAGCAGTACCGGGGGTAGATGGCGGGCCGAGAGGCTTCGTGCATGGCATGGCTGATTCGCTGGACATGCTACGGATCGCGCCGTGATGCACGCAATGGTGCGAGGCCACCGTGGTGCTGGCGAGGCGTGATCATTTGGCTCCGTGGTGACTTGACAAGAAATGCGGAGTACGCGACTACATCATTATAGGGTTGCTGCAGCAATCAAGCGCCCCGCGACGCGACCCCGCGTGACCTGGCCGACCCCACGTCAAGGTCTTGTCCGGCCACGAACTTCTTCAAGGCTGTTCTTGAGCGACTGTCAAGACAAAAAAGCCATGGGACTCGTCCAAACTGACAGGCCGTATGTTTACTCTCGTGCTCAATATGGTACTGTCCGAGGTGCTCCCTGCATCTCCCGGCGAGTCCATGTGATTAAGATTAAATCCATAACGCCCGATGCCCTCCAAACTCCAGTCGTTCCATTCCCAAGTCATGTCACTTGCGCGACCGCTTCGACTTCGAGCCCGACGCGGCCCCGCTATCGGATCCCTTCCTCAGCTTGGCTGCGGCTTCCTGAAACGCTTCCTCCGAGGGCTCCTCTTCCAGCTGTCGCTTTTTGCTCTTGCGCCCCTTGGCACCAGTGGCCCCGTACTTCTCCGCCAGGTGATTCAAGAAGTTGGCCGACCGGTCTTGCTGCCTCTTCTGGATCAGCGCGGCCAGGTCACCCTCCGAGCTCCCCTTTGACTTGTTGCTCTTTTTGTTTCCGAAGAGTTTGTTGTGGACGCCGAGCTCCTTGGCGTAGTCTTCCGCTTCGGCCGCCTCGGCCTTGGCCACCTTCAGCCGGGCTGCGCGCTTCCTCTTCCTTTCTTTGGTGTACGCGGCAAAGGCGGGCACGTCGTCCTTCTCGATGGCTTCGTCAATAATGCGGCGGAATCGGGCATCGTCTTCCACCACGTTGCTGACCATGACCCTTTCATACACTTGATCCAAGTCTCCCTCGCATTCCTCAAAGGCGACCAAAAGGTCGTCCTTTTCCTCGTCCGAGCCCTTGTACTTTTTGGCAAACTTCCTGATTGCATCTGCCGATACCGAGTCCTTGTATTGTTCACGGTAAAAGTCGCTCCAGTTGAATCCTTCTGAGTCCACTATGGACTCTGCCGTTGAGCCCGTCGCGTCGTAACGTTTCCGTCTGGCTGGGTCGGAGAGCACCGCGTACGCAAAGGCGATGGATTGAAACGACTCATGTGCTGCGGCCTTTTGATGGTCCGGCACCTTGTCTGTGTCGGCCCAGTTAGCCAACGTCACGGTCGGCCGTCGTGTCACCACCGCCTACCAGGATGATTCTTGAGTGCAGCCTTGCGGTATGCGCTCTTGATCTGGTCCGCCGTGGCCGAGCGATCAAGTCCGAGCACCTCGTACGGCTCGACAGCGGGAGGCTCGCATTCGAAGCCGGCATCCTCGGCGTCTGACATCTTGGCGCGACCGTGGCGGCGTGGCGTGGGCCTCAAGACTGCGGCAGGGGAGCGAGGAGGGTAGTGTGATCGGACCACGCGTTAAGACGCGCCCTGGGCAGTGAGGGGGCAGCCAGAAAGCGCTGTTAGCAGACTACTTATTCATCAGCCAATCTCCCCGCACCGTACGGAGTACTGCGACTCGGCGAAAGCTGCGACGTAGCTCGCCAACGTCAGCGGACCCTCGGTCCAGTATTATGTAAGCGCCAGCGGTCGTTGGTTCCTCGCACACAAGCAACCAACCAACCAACCACAACATCGTATCTCCTTGTCTCACTTCTTCTGTCCTCGCCATGGGCGCCAGAACGGCTGATGATCACAGGGCGGCGATGCTGCAGGCTCTAGACTTGGCCAAGAATTCTCCTCCGAAACCAAGCAACTTCTGTGTCGGTGCCATCCTGGTTAGGCTTGATGACCATGGCATCGCTGCCAGTGGTTACACGCTCGAATGTCCCGGCAACACACACGCAGAAGAGTGCTGCCTGCTCAAGCTGGCGGCGCAACACTCCACTACAGAAGAGGGCCTCGCGGGGGTGATGAAGAGCCCTCATGCCCTCTATACCACCATGGAGCCATGCTTCAAGCGTCTTAGCGGCAAGATGTCGTGCGTCGACAGGATCCGGCGCCAAAGCGCGTGGATAAAGGAGGTGTATATCGGAGTCTGCGAGCCGGAAACCTTTGTCGGCCAGAACCCCGGCCGTCAGATGCTCGAGGAGGACGGCATTCACGTTCACCATGTTCTAAGCCTCGAAGAGGCCATTCTGGCCGTTGCAACCGCTGGTCACATCTCGAGTTGACTCGGCCCCTGACGGCCTGACAACGCTTTGGTTTCCCGTGCTCCGGGCTGCCTAGGTTGCGGGGAAAATGAGGCGTCAGCGCTTACGGAGTACTGGTAATTATGCAAGACAAGGGCGTACCGTTCTCACCATAAGACATACGAGTTGACTAGACGCCCTGTTTGCTTCTTTTCATGTAGCGAATGTCATCAGCCATGCCAGGAGGTGGGGGAATCCAAGTTGGATTTTTGGCGGTTTTCCTTCAGCCCGCGCCTGGGTGTCTCGCGCGGACAGACGCGGGCTGTCGTCTTCGCCCCTTGTCGGCATCATTGGACCAAGCGCCAAGATATTTATGCAGCGTGATCTCTGTCCGCTTCCCGTCCGGCCTCGTGGCGTGTAAAACCATCAATCAATGACCGCCTGATAGCTTTCCGGGGTTGAAGCCGCTGCCGTTCTTTTCCCTCGACTACAAAAGCGTGATTGCGCCCCCTTTCTAGAACTGTCAAGCGTTAAATCCTCAGCAGTGTGCCTCCGTCATCATGTTTGAGCGGCCAGTTGTCGCCTTCGAGCCTGGGCAGGGCTTCAGCCTGGTGGGCGCCGATATATTCGTCGACCGAGAAGAGCTTGAAGGCATCCACATAGCTGCCCGAAATCTTGCCAAAGACTTCGCCAAAGTTACCGGAGCCACAAGCGGCAACGAAAAAGTGGCAGGTCCAAGCCCGGTTCGTGTATCCAAATCGTGCATCATCATCGGAACCGTCTCCCGGTCGCCTACGATCAAGAAGTTGCAAGACAACAAAACTTTCGATACTAGCCAGGTCGACGGTAAATGGGAGTCATGGATGACCACGAGCGTGACCAACCCAAAGGAGGGTTACGACAACGGTCTTGTAATTGTTGGCAGCGACATGAGAGGCGCAATATTCGGCACCTACTCTCTCTCCGAGCAGATTGGTGTTTCACCGTAAGTTCCCACAGGACCGATAGCAAAGTCTACGTCTCACTCGGCGCAGTTGGCACTGGTGGGCAGATGTGCCTCCCAAAAAGCATGGGTCAATATATGCCCTGCCGGTTGCGACCTTTAACGGTGAGCCCAGTGTCAAATATCGCGGCATCTTCATCAACGATGAGTCACCCGGCATGGATTCGTGGGCCCAAGAGAAGTTTGGACCCAAGTTCGACTCGATCTTGTACCACTACGTCTTCGAGCTCTTGTTGAGGCTCAAGGCCAACTTCATGTGGCCCGCCATGTGGCGAGGTTACCCCTATCCGGGACGGTCTTTCTTCGTAGATGACCCCAAGAACCAGGCGCTCGCCGATACGTATGGAATAGTTATAGGGACCTCACACCATGAGCCTATGCAGAGGGCCGCCAGTGAGTGGACTTCTACCCAGCCAGATGGAACTTGGGACTGGGACAGGAACCGGGAGAAGGTGACGCGGTACTTTGAAGAGGGCGTCGAAAGGGCGAGGCCCTACCAGTCGTACGTGACGTTAGGCATGAGAGGTGATGGCGACGCGCCGATCAACGGAAGAGATCCGCAGAGGATACTAAAGGAGGTGCTGGAAACGCAGAGAAATATCATCAAGAAGACGTACGGGAGCGAGGACGGGGTCACGCGTACGAGCTCTGTTGCCCTGCCTTGGCGGTCCAAGCTTACTCTGTCGCAGAACTGATGGCCCTCTATAACGAAGTGCAGGGGCTTTATGACGGCGGGCTTCAGCTGCCCGGCGACGATGTGACGATTCTCTTTGCAGACGACAACTTTGGGTCGCTTCGTCGGCTTCCCAACGAAGACGAGGCAAAGAGATCCGGTGGCTCTGGAGTGGGTGATGCTTTTCTTCTTCCGAGTCTCAGCAGCGCTGACCTTTGCGCAGTATTACTATCACTTTCAGTACACTGGCTACCCGCGGTGCTATAGATGGATTAACAGCAACACCTTGGTGGGTGCGCATGAAGCTTTCTGCGACGCATGGCGCTAACGGCCACGGCAGGGCAAGGCATGGCATCAGCTGCAGCTGGCCTATGCTCGAGGCTCCAACCGCCTGTGGGTTTTCAACGTGGGCGATCTCAAGCCCATCGAGGTTCCGATGAGTTTCGCCTTTGATCTAGCTTGGAACGTCAAGTCTATCAGTGCCAACTCCTTCAACGACTACTTCAGGCATCTAGCTACGCGGGAGTTTGGCGAAAAGCACGCGGCAGGCATCGCCAAGGCTTGGTATGACTTTGATCGTCTGGTCGCCCTTCGGAAACAGGACCACATTGACCCGAACACGTTTCTTCTTCTCAAGCATCACGAGGCGGATACCGTCGTCGGACGCTGGAGTCGACTGGAGAAGGATGCGGCGCAGATATACTCTCAGCTCAATGACGAGCAAAAGTCGGCCTTTTTCCAACTGGTCCTTCATCCGATCAGGGCATCGCATCTCTGCACTCTGTTGCGCGTGACCCAGTATCGAAACCAGCTGTTCGCGAAACAGCGTCGGAACACGACCAATACGCTCTTCTACCGGTGTCTGAAACTCCTCGACGATGACCATGCCCTGACCCAAGAGTATCATGCCATCTCCAATGGCAAATGGAACCACTATCTTCGACAGCCTCATTACGGGTATGGGCCCACCGGTGGGCAGCCATATCGCAACATGATTGATGGGCTCTGCTATGTTCAGACGAGAGAGGACTCAAACCCGAGTGTCGGGCAGATGGGAATTGCGGTTGAAGGGATCGAGGGCGTCCATCCCGGTCACATCAACGAGGACTCGGACAGAACTCATCCGTCGCGCAAATGGCTCGAGCCCGGCGTCACGCTGCCATTCATTACGCCCTACGGGCCTCAGACTCGGTACTTTGAGGTCTTTCACCAGGGCACCAAGGCCTTTGACTGGACTGCCAAGCCACAGTATGACTGGATCAAACTTTCACGGCACCAGGGGCACCTAGAACCCAGCGATGACGACACGAGGGTGATTGTCACCGTTGACTGGTCTGCCGTGCCTCCGTTGTTTGACGAAATGACATACATTGAGATTATCGGCACCCTCGACGGCTATGAGAAGGTACACTTGACGGTTCGAAGCAGCCGAGTGCCAGACGGCTTCACCGGCTTCGTCGAGACAAGCGGCCACCTGGCCATCGACGCGGGTAACTGGGTAAGGGCGCCCTACATTCATCTGCCGACGCTTGGTCGCCCGCTGGCCGGGTCTGTGACACTGCCCAACGACACAGACTTTGGCAGAGCCGACGAGCTGCCGTTCCTGCGCTATCCGGTTTACGTGTTTTCGCAGCGCGACAACGCCAACTTGGAGCTGCAATTCAACATGACGCTGGAGACGGATCCCAAAAGCCGGATGGAGTACGATGTGCGGTGGGACGACGGAGCGGTACAGAAGCACCGACTCACTGAGGATGATCCTGGAAACGGCAACGGCCTGCCCAGGGACTGGAACCGAGCGGTGATGGACTGCGTCTGGAGAAAGAATCACAATCTTGGTCTCGTGCGCGCGGGCGAACACTTGTTGGAGATACGGTTCCGCAAGGCCAACATGATCCTGGAGAAGCTGGTGCTGGATCTCGGCGACCTGCGGTCCACGTATCTGGGGCCGCCGCAAAGCGATGTGAAGGGCGAGAGGGGCGGCTCGACGGACGTCGGCATCGAGGACAAATTGAGGCTGAAGCTGGCGATGGAGACTTCTGCGGAACAAGGTAGGGAGGAGTAGGGGTATTGAAGTCGAGGATACTTTGGTCACTCGTTGCAGCCGACGATTTCTGTATCACACACTCATGCACTCTGGGCAAGCCAAACGCGTCTCTTGCCATTGGGCTTGGCTTTGTTTCTCTCTCGGGCTGTGCGATGTGGACACAACCTGCCATTGAGCGGTAAGCCATGGGACAACCACTGATCTGTTGATGGCCTCAACAGCTGGCGGCGCAGCAACGGCAAGAAGTCTTTATTTGTAACAACAGAATGAGAGTGTAAGTATGATATTATATATACTGCTCTTAATTTATAGTCTATTTATAGCCTCTTAGATTGACTAAATAGTTTTACTGTAACCAACCTGATAATGCAATGTTCTATCTGTTTCCAGCAGCCTTCGTTTGCTTGACTTTCCATTACACGGAGCTTGGCTGCCTCTATCTTCTGCTTTCGACAGAGTGTCTGGAGTTCCGTCATTTCTTGACGATCGCGCTGCGTCATGCTTCTTCATAATCGTCGCTTTTGACATTGGTCGGGACAGCTGTTTGGGACTCGGGCTTGGCCCAGCCACTGCTCACAGGTCCTGCGATCACTGCGTCGCAGACTTCCGTCGCATATGTCGACTTTCTCGCGCCGGGGCATCCTGGGATAAAGACTGGTCTTGTCCTTGGTGTTTGCCAGAGATCTAACTGCGTCCCTAAAGAATTTATCATGGGTTTCGTCCGCGAGCCTGGATTGGAGCTCTAGAAAAGCCGCCAAAAGGTCTCTTTCGTGCGCGTCGTCGACGTGCTGGAAATTGACGAGGTAGTCCCACTGGTGCCAGAAGACCTCGTACTTCTTCCTGGCTGGTTACCACGAAGTGTCCCAGACAAGTGTTGTCGGCTTGGATGCCGTACCTATTCATTGGGGTCGCCGATCTCATCCTACTCCATTTTCAACAGCAGGGATCATCGCTCTGTCGCTTGTATCTTCAGCGCCGTTGAAGAACTATAGATGCAGGACACAGGCGGAGAGGCTGTGGACCACTCGTCTCCCAGCAGTCACCTTTCCGGATCCCTCCGATTGTTGGAAGCGCTCCCCAGGTGTCGGGTTTGGTGATGTCGATGCACACGTTGCGTAATGTCAAGTCATCTGCGGCTTTCGCGTGTCACGAATGATGTCCCCGAAGAGATTAATATCTGCCACCCTTCAGAACGATCCCCTATCAGTACTGCTCAAAGTGGCGTATCGCGCACGGAGAGGCGGGCTCGTGAGAGGCTGACTCGAGGGGCCACTTCATTACGACTTAAATAAGGGACTTAATTCTAACCATGATGAATCGGGCAGGGTAACAGGGCCAAGATTAAGGGCTCTTCATTACGGTCTGAATGAGGCGACCGTAATGAAGAGCAGGGAAAGACAGACTAACAGCGGTCACCTACTCTTGGACCCAGGGGGTGTCGACAAAGACCCCCTCTCATCATAGACATACTTCAGGCAGAGCTGCAAGACGCGAGCAGCGATCGGGCTGATACCCAAGACCTACCGCGCCTGCTGTACAGCCGCGATCAGCGTAGGGACGACCGGGTCGAGCCGGACCATGGCCCATGAATAGTCGAGAGCGCCGAAATTCGAGTTCTCCTCCATGGTCTGAGGGTGCTTGAGGCCGACAATAGGCAGCAGCCTGTAGCTCTTTGCGGCGTTGGTGGCCTCGGTCTCTGTGCGCCTAAGGCGTCCGTGTCGGAGCTGACGTAGAGCTCCGAATATTCCCTTCCGGTAGCTGGAAAAATTGAGCTTCGCCGCTTGGGTGTCTTGGCCGGCCGTTTTCCCGCTGGGGCATGGTCATAACCAAGTCCTTGTTAGATGGTGTTCATCAAGACTTCAATCATCGTGTGTCCCAAGTCAGGGAAAGAGTGTATAACGTGGATGGACACTGTAGACAAAGAGAAGGGTCTACGACTTGGGTATTCATCGTGAAGGGGCTGCTGATGCGTTGTTGATGTCGTCTCCCGGTGGGGCTTTTCTGAAGATGTGAGGAGTGGACGGGGTTTTTATCCTTCAGGAGATGTTGGGTGCTTCTAGTGAGGCGGTGCCTGCTTCAGTGATTCAGAGGTGTCTGCTGTAGTTAATTAGGCGGAGGGGCAGGTGGGGCCATCTGCAGGGATGCACTCCGTAGTCGTCGGCAGTGCTGCAGGAGCTCTTCCTTGAACAGTACGTACCTCGACCTTCACAGCAGCGGGCAACGGCAAGCAGGGGTCGGGCGGGTGGCGTTTGAATACCTAGGCTAAGTATCTGTAGTACTGTTACCTACAGGTAGTGTAGGTAAATTCGGTACGTACTTAGGTGGCGAATCAAGAACGATGAATACATGGGTTAAACGGGAGAGGCGCGTAATTAGCAGCAAAGCAGAAGCACAGCAAAGCAGAAGCACAGCAAACAGCGCCCCCTTCCCACCCTGCGGAGTGCGTCCCGTTTTATTGGAATGGCCCTGCGTGCGTGTGCGTGTGTGTGTGGCACATCGTCGACTGCCGACGTCAAACGCTGTCGCCCGCCTTGGCATTTCGTCGGGAAACCAACCGCGCATCATACATAATAGGTAATTAGGCGCTGGCCGCCGTCAAAGTGAAAGGGAGCGGGTCATAAAGAAGCTTAGCGGAGCAGAGCATCATGGTTGTCCAGCCTCGTGTGGGATAAGGAAGTGCAGTGACAGTACAGTACAGTGCATTTGCGTGCGCACGCCGTGACTTACCTGGTTGGAGTTTGTTCAAAACTTGCGGCACTTGTTGAGCGGTCAGGCGGCAGTTCACAGTCCCCGGCACGGAGTAGGTACCTCGGTACCTCGACCTGCAACAGTCGGCCCGCCCCATTCCGATGAATCTCCCCCCTTTGTGGACAACGGTTCGGAAGACAGCGACGTCGACCCGCAGTTTGAAGGCGAGGCTGCGTTTGCGCTTTTGCTGTTTCAACTCCGAGCCGCCTTCTGCCCTGTTCTCAGTCCCTTACGCGAACGGCGGGCGAATGATGTTGAGAGCCCTGCGGGAGGCCATCCAGCGTGCGTGAACAAAGCCCGTCGGTGCCCTCGCCAGTCGCCATTAAAAGACGCCGCCTTGGACACCTTGCCCTCTTTCTCCTCCATCATTCTTCCTCTGCTCTGCTCGCCTCTCTCCTCTTTCACTCAAATACCCCGGACCCGGCGCTCTTCTCCACATCGCCCCCGAGCAGCAAACCTCTAGCCTTAACAGCGGACGCTCTCCGACTCACTCTCCACCTGTGCTTGCCTCGCACACGTCCCTCCTCTTCACGCCGTGAAGCCGTGACTGGACTGAGCAGCCTTGAGCCTCTCCCACCCCTGCCCTTCACAAACCTGCGCAAACAGCTCTTACTTTGCTTGCTCACGGCCACACCGCTCGTCCCCTTCACTCTACGCATGAGTACACATATATAAACACCCAAGGCCTCGCCATTTCTTGCAATACCCTGCCTCTCTCAACAGCCGTTGCTCGACTTGTCTTTACGTTAACACCAATCTTGAGATAGATTTACCACTTGCAATGTCAGATCGCGGCGCTCGGGGCGGCCGTGGAGCCGGCGGCGGTGGACGCGGCCGCGGCGGAGACCGGGGCGGCTACTCTGACCGCGGTCGAGGTGGATATGGAGATCGCGGCCGCGGCGGTTATGACCGCGGCGGTCAAGGTGACCGAGGCCGAGGTGGCTATCGCGGTCGCGGGGATGGTGGCGACCGCGGTGGACGCGGAGGTGGCTTCCGCGGCGGCCGTGGAGGCCGGCCTCGCGACACCACGACAGAGTTGGCATATAAGTATGTTTCCCCGTCTCCGGCATTCCTTGACACTCAGTCCACTGACAAGACGCGTCACGCTCGCAGCGTCAACGGATCCTTCCCGCAGCCCGACGCTGCTATAACCAACCTGGAGGACCGCCTCATCAAGGGCCAGGCTTCCTCCGCCGCCGGCTTGGCCTCGCAGATGGCAAAGGCCGACATTCGAGGCCCTCCGCTCCAGGCTAGGTCGACGGATGTGTTTCCCTTGCGGCCGGCCTTTGGCACAAACGGTCAGGCCGTCACCCTATGGGCCAATTACTTCAACGTCAACGTCAAGCCCACGGTGCTGTACAAGTACCACTTTGAGTTTGTCCATGTTGAAACCGAGAGCACCTCTGAGAAGCCGTCTAAGCCGTCCAAGCCCCAGAGCAAGGAGGTCAAGGGCCGTAAGCTCTATTTCGCCGTCCGCGAGCTGCTCGCCACTCTCAAGGCAGCCGACAAGACCCTTGTCCTCGCGACCGAGTACAAGAGCCAGCTCGTCTCGCTCCAGAAGCTCAAGCTAGCCGAGAACCCCGTCCGCTTCCGCCTGCCCGTTGAGACGAGTGCCGACAAGTGGGATGTCATTGATGCCACCATCCACGGCCCGACCGAGGCCCCCCTCGACGCCCTGCTCAATTACGTTGCCACCATGAACGAGGCCCCAAGCGATGGCATCTTCCCCAAGCATCCCGACGTCGTCGACGCCCTCAACGTCGTCCTCGGCCACGGCCCGCGTTCCAAGCTGCACGACATCTCGGCCGTTGGCAGCGCCCGCTTTTTCCCCTTTGGCAGAGACGAGGCCGCAACAAATCTCTTCCAGGACTTTCACCAGCTTATCGCCGCCCGCGGCTTCTTCCAGTCGGCCCGCCTTGGCACCGGTCGGCTGCTTCTGAATGCCAATGTCAGCCATGGCGTCTTCCGCGCCTCGGGCAAGCTCGCCGACCTCTTTGACAGGTTCCAGATCCAACCGACACAGGCCTTCAATAACCAGGCCATGAGAAAGGTCAAGGCCTTTGCCAAGTTCATGCCCAGGACGCGCGTCTGGGTCGACATGATGCTGTCTAATGGCGAGGAGGTCCGCAGGACAAAGTCCATTCACGGCATCGTAAGCCAGTCCGAGCTGTCTCGCCAGACGCCCTCGGACAGCAAGCCCCTCAAGTTTGCCCCTAACTACGAGTACCCCGGGCCCAAGCAGGTCCAGTTTTTCCTGAATGATGGCAAAGGAGCGGGTCGCTACATTTCTGTCTTTGACTATTTTAAGACGAGTGAGTCTTGCCCCAACTCCTCCCACATCTATGCCCCGTTCTGTTATCCCTGAAGAATGTTGGCCATCGCAAACTGACGCCTGCCTGCAGAGTACAAGAGGACGCTCAAGGACTATCCGCTGGTCAACCTGGGTCGCGCAGACAAGCCCACGCTCTTCCCCGCCGAGGTCATCGAGATCCAGCCGGGCCAGTCGGTCAAGGCCCGGCTTACCATGAACGAGACGACGGCCATGCTGGATGTGGCGTGCCGCTCCCCGTATGCCAATGCCATGTCCATCAGCGCCGATGGCCGCAAGACGCTCGGACTGGACGACGAGGGACTCAACCGCTTCGGCCTCTCGGTCGACAAGAGCCTCCTCACAGTCCGAGGCCGTGTCCTCAACGTGCCTATGATCAGCTATCTAAACAACCAGCAGAAGCGGGCCGACGTGCCGCCTGTCAATGGCAGCTGGAATATGAGGAACGTGCGGGTTGTCAAGCCCGGAGCCATGATTGAGCGCTGGACCTTTCTCAACGTCATGAAGAGGAGCGATAGCCCTATCATCGAGGTCCCTGTCATGAAGGACTTTGCCAAGTTCCTGGGCAGCAGTATGGGCATTAGGATTAAGGATACGCCCGTGGTGCCGGGCGATGGCAAGATGTTCACGAGCTGGGACCGAGCTATGAGCGACGGGCTCGAAAACTTTTTCCAGTGGGCCAAGAATAACCGGATCCAGTACGTTTTCTTTGTCTTGACGGAAAAGGACAGCCAGGGCCTCTACTCGAAGATCAAGAGCCTAGGCGACTGCACCTTTGGCATCCATACCGGCGTCGTCACATCCAAGCACCTGCTCAAGCCCAACAACTTCATGTACTACGCCAACGTGGGCCTTAAGGTCAACCTTAAAGCCGGCGGCGTCAACCACCGACTCCGCGACGACGTGGGGCTGCTCAAGGAGGGCAAAACCATGGTGGCTGGCTACGACGTGACGCACCCGACCAACATGACGACGGGGCGGGAGGCGCGGGAGGCGCCTAGCCTGGTCGGGCTCGTGGCGAGCGTCGACAAGGACCTGGCGCAGTGGCCCGCCGTGTCGTGGGAGCAGCCGTCGAAGCAGGAGATGCTGAGCGGGCAGCTCGTCGACGCCTTCAAGTCGCGGCTGGAGCTGTGGCAGCGGCACAACCAGGGCCATTTCCCGGACAATATTGTCATCTTCCGCGACGGCGTGTCCGAGGGCCAGTTCTCCCAGGTGCTCGAGCAGGAGCTGCCGTCGATCCGGCAGGCGTGCCGCGCCAAGTACCCGGCCAAGGCGTCGCCGCCGCGGCTGACGATTGTCGTCTCGGTCAAGCGCCACCAGACACGCTTCTTCCCCACGAGCAATGAGTCCATGTCCGACTCGGGCAACATCCGCAACGGCACCGTCGTCGACCGCGGCGTCACGCAGGCGCGGTACTGGGACTTCTTCCTTACCGCCCACCACGCGCTCAAGGGCACCGCGCGCCCGGCCCACTACACCGTCATCCTCGACGAGATCTTCCGCCAAAAGTACAAGTCCGCCGCCGCCAACGAGCTCGAGCGCCTCACCCACGAGCTGTGCTACCTGTACGGCCGCGCCACAAAGGCCGTCAGCATCTGCCCGCCCGCCTACTACGCCGACATTGTGTGCGAGCGCGCCCGCGCCCATCGGCCCGAGATCTTCGAGGCCAGCGACACCGACAGCGTCTCCACCGGCGGCAAGGCCTCTCCCGCCGCGAGCCGCCAGGTCCACGAGTCACTCAAGGACACCATGTACTACATTTAGGCCGATGCCAAGGCGCTTTCCGAGTTTGACCCTGGCTTCCTTCTTGCTGTTTCTTTTTTAAGAACACAATTGGACAAGGGCGAGTTCGAAACTGATGGCGGGTTAGGAATTTCCTGTGCTGGGCCGGCTCTGGAGTCGTCTCTAGGATTCTTGGGCGGCAGACGATGGATCTTTATTTTTTATTTTTCAATCTTGCTGTTTTGTCTTTGTCGCCGACGCGCGAAACGCTCGCTCGGGTTCGTCATGGACAGCCCCGGTAAAGGATTGGATGCTCAGTCGCGGGAGTGGGCGAGCACAGTCGTGGACAGGCCTGCATCAGGGAGTATCTAATCAGCACCGGTGAGAATATGTGTTCTGCGGACATCATAGCGCAAAGAAAGTTAGGTTTTTATGCTCCATGGCCCAAGCGTTGGTGACTGGCGAGAGCTCAACAGTGACTAAAAATGTGCTTCCTATATTTTGGCCCCCGTCCTGCCTGTGTTTCTATCCGCCACGCCTAAGCGCCTCTTGTACTCATCGCTCACCATGACCTTGTCGGCCAGGGGCTTCTTAGCCCACTCGTCGTAGCGCCGCTCCTCAGCCCACCACCGGTCCAGCTCCGTCTTGGCCCACGCGGCCGCCTCGGCGGCGCAGAAGAGGGGCGCCTCCATGGGGATGAGATGGCCGTAGTCCGGGTGAACAACCTCCTTGACGCGGCCTGCGCGGACGCCACCGCTGCCGCCGGGCCCGCTTCCCGTGAGGGCCACCCTGTCGCCGCAAATGTCGGGCGCCGCCGACGCGCTCTTGGCGCCGATGATGTAGAGGGTGCCGGGCCGAACATTCGGCAAACGAGCCATTGTAGCGGCGCCCTCGGCGCGGTAGAACGGGTGGGAGCAGCGGTGGCCGGGGCCGGTGTCGAGATCGGGCGCCAGCTCCGGGTTGACGAGGATGGTGCCCTTGGCGTCGTAGGCGGGCCAGCTTGGGCGCATGTAGGTGAAGACTTCCTGGTGCTTGGACGTGGCCAGCGTCACCTCGCCGTCGACATCCTCGTTGCCCGACACGGGCCGGATGCCGTGCTCGATCCACCTGTCGAGGACCCTGGGATCCCAGGCTTGGTAAAAGCCGCTGCGCCTGAAAGCGTCGGCGGCGGCCTTGCGCGAGGGCCACACGTCGCGACGGTGGATGCTCAGGGCGGCAGGGCCCTGGACAAGGTACTCGGGGCTGGAGTCGAAGTGGCCAATGACGGGGTCGAGGAGGACGAGGCCGTTGAAGAAGCGTGGGTGCATCAGGGCGACATTGACGAGGGCGTTGGCCCCGAACGAGTGGCCGATGGCGAAGAGGGGGCGTGGCATGCGGAAGGTGTTGATGACTTGGACCATGTCGCGGGCATAGTCGAACCACGACGCTGGGAGGCTCGTCAGTAGGAAGCACATACTGTGATGCGAAAGACAAAGGGGGATTCCGAGACGTACGGTCATTACCCAGCTTCCCTTGGTTGAGGACACCGCTCCGGCCTTGCCACGCACCGTCACTGATCCAGATGGAGCGGATTCGCACCCCCCTCCGCTCCGCCTCGCGCCAGAAGTCATCCCATAACGGTTCGTAGAGCTCCTAAGGCGGTTCAAAAACACATGAGTTTCTTGTCTCCCACCAAGCAATCCCCGGAGGCGACTCAACCTTTGGGAAGCCATTGCCGTGGGCTCCAATGATGGTCAGGTCGCCCTTCTGCGGACTGGGATTGTCCCGGGGAACGTATTGCTTGACGTGCAGCAGCAGCTTCTCGTCCTGCGACTGGGCCGTGGCGCGCGGGTACTCCCTGATGTGCGAGGCGTCGATGAAGTGCTCGACGATGTTGAAGATGGCCGACGACATGGTTGCCGTCGAAGGGCTTGTCGTGGTGGGGGGACACGGAGGTTCGAGAGGAAGATGTGTCCGGCCTGACAAATGTTCAAGACATAAGCTCAGGGGGGAGATGTGTCAGTGATATGTACGGGTTGGATGAGAGAGGTGCGCATCGGCAAGACATGTCGATGGAGGCGTACAGTAGATGAAGAGAGCTGTAGAGGGTGGGGGGTTGGTGGATGTCACCGCGGGCCTCGGCCGGCCCAGCGGTCGGCCCCCGGGCAGTCAAGCCAAAGTTCCTACCCTGGACCCTGGACCCTGGGGCTACCCGACACACAACTCAACTCTCCCCTGTAAAAATTCTGTCCCCTGGAGGGCTGTTAGCGGCTTGCTAGCTGGGGCCAGATTTGCAGGCGACCCGACCGCGCTTCAGCTGCGGGGTCCATCGTGACCCTAACAACACAGAGGAAGACCTTAGGAGAGTTCATATTCCTCTGCGAAGCCGGTCTCGACAACACGTCCACTCGGACCTCATGGCTCTCTTCGGAACCAAGGAGCTGTGGGTATTGGAAGGTCCGCCCTTCTAAACAACGGTGGCCGGTCGCGGAGGTTTTCTCCCTGAAGGCAAGCTGCGCGACAGCCTCTGATTCCTTCTGAGGTTTTCCTGCCGCCGCTCCTCGCTATTTCCATCGCTTGGTTACTGGAGCATGGACTGCGACAGCAGCCTTAGCAAAGGGCGAGAGAATTCTGACCGGAAAAACCAAGGGTTGACCATTGTGGCGATTGCCACGCGCCTGGAAGTCCCGCTGACGGGAGACAGGCTTCGACAAGGAGCGCCAAAGAGCCTATGAAATGCTGGATGGACATCTGGGAGGACTGGCCGCGGGGGCCCTGGTGGGTGGCCTTTCGGTGGCAGGAATTCTAGATAGTCTAGCTCAGCACGTCCTGTGCCCCGTCTCGGGGACCTGAGCGGCCTAAAGGCCGCTGGACGAAAAATACAACACACACACCCGACACACAACTTATTGGGTGCCGGAAACCCACGCGAGCAAACCTTCCACTTCTCGAGAGCCTCTTCTCAAAGTTGCTCAATCAAGGCCGCAAGCACATCGCGGACTCGACCATGCTCCGCTCGCCCCGTCCAACATGTCGACGCCCAAGGTGATTCTAATGGCCGGCGCGCCACCGCCCTCGGCCCTTGACGACATGTCCTCATGCACCGTCACCCGATTCGACGAGCCCTTCCACACCCTCCTCCGCTTGCCCAACGACTCATTTTCTTCCGATGCAGACGGCGACATCCCCTCGCAGCCGACCCATGTTGCTTGGCGCTCCATCCCGCTTGCCCGCAGTCTGACGATGCTCAGCCAGCGCCACGACGCTCTCGACGCCTCCCTGCACGCCAGTCCCGACTTGTTCACCACCGCCGATGTCTCAGACCCCCTGCTTTCTCGGGACGACACGAGTGCAGAGGACGCGTGGACGCAGTTTTGTGAGCACTCTCTGGCTCAGCACCATCCCTCTTCCCAGCCGCTCGACGACAGCGTGGCCGTCGACGACGAGACCGCCCTCTCAGCCAATCTCAGCTCCGTTATGCCCGCGGACCCGGTCCCCCTCCACCTGTCCGACCTAGAGGACGTTCCACGGGCCAAACGAATCGTCGCCCTCCAACCACAGACCGTCTCTCTCAACCTCATCGTCGGCGTCATATCTATAGCCCAGCCCCGTTCAGTCACCACACGCTGGGGCCAGAGGCTCTCGCTCGTTGAGCTGCTTGTCGGCGATAATAGCGCCACCGGCTTCGCCGTTACCTTTTGGCTCTCCGCCAGCCAGGCCGAGGAGAGCAGCGTCGTCCGGCTTCGGCGCCAGGATGTTGTCCTCATGGAGAACGTCGCCTTGCACGTCTTTCGGGGCAAGGTCTACGGGCAGAGCCTGCGCAGGGGACTGACCAGAGTCAACCTCCTGTGGAGGAGCGACGGCACCGGCCATTACTCAACCCGGCGACTGGACAGGGAGAACGCGGCCAAGCATCCGCAACAGGAGAAAGCGCGGTTGGTCAAGGACTGGGTCCTTCATTTCGTCGGGCGAGATCCGGTGAGCACAACAAGAAAGCCACGCAAATCGTGGGACAACCCTCCCGATGATACGCAATGACCGAGATAGGTCTTCTTATTGTCAACTGGAAGAGTGGATTTCTTGGACCCCGGAAACTTGGTCATGATCGTGCAACACGAGCCGTGGCAGGCAACATGGATATCCTCAGCTGTGCACCGACGCCTGCACCGACGCCTTTTATATCTTGGATATGAACAATACTTCTACGCCATCACGGCAGCCGCCGTCGCCTTCTTCTTGTGGCCATCGGGGCCCTTCTTGACAGACTTCCACTCGAGGCAGAGGACGGCGAGAAGCGCACATCCGGCGCAGGCAACGGAGATGTAAAAGGTGTGGCGCAAGCCCGTCATGTACGCCCTGAGGACCGAGTCGAGGGCATCAAGGCGGCCCATCTGGGCGAGGACGTTTTTGATCTCGGAGGCGCCGCTGTTGATGAAGACGCGGCCGTCGATGCCGTTGTCGGCCACCCGGAGACCGTCGATGAGGCCGTTTTGGAAGAGCGTCTGCGCGACAGCGATGAAGACGGCGCCGCCGAGGGCCTGGAAGAACTGGACGCAGGCGGTGCCGACGGGTACCATTTCCTGGGGCAAGACGGTCTGCACGACGAGCACCCCGATCTGGAAGCCGGCGCCGATGCCGAGGCCGGCGAGGACCTGGTAGCCAAACCACTCACGCAACGGGGTGTCGACGTCGAAGGTGCTGATCATGCCAGCGCCGACGGTAAACAGAATCTGACAGGGGATAGCGACGATGCTGTAATAACCGATTGCTGTGATTAAGCCCCCAGCCATTACAGATATGATAACTGTGGCTAACAGGAGTGGAAGGATTTTGATCCCTGCTTGTACGGCACTGACGCCTTGTATGGCTTGAAAATAAAGCGCTGTGACCGTTAGCCGTTGCCCTTCACTCGGCCGGCGGTCGCAGAGCTGGACTCACAAATGTAATAGACGAGAGGGAAGAAAGCGGCGCCAAAGAAAAAGGCAAAGATCATGGCGCTGAGGACGTTTCGGTTGGCGAAGAGGCGAGGCGGCAAGGTGCCCCTGTCGCCTTGCCAAAACTGGATGGCGATGAAGACGGCGATCAAAAGGCCGAAGCCGACAAAGAGGCCGATGATGCGCGAGTTTGCCCAAGGGTAATCGGCGCCGCCCCACTGCAGGGCGAGCAGCAGGCAGACAATGGCGGGGAGGAAGATGGCGGTGCCGGGAATGTCGAGCTGGCGGATGCGGGTCGTGAAGGAATGGCCCTCGGTTTCGGCCGTGTTCCGGCTGACGCGGACGAAGAAGAAGACGATGAGCATTGCGAGGCCGCCGATGGGCAGGTTGATGTAAAAGCACCAGCGCCAGGTGACTTTCTCGGTGAAAACACCTCCGAGCAGTGGCCCAGCGACGGAGGCGATGCCCCACATGCCGCCGATGAGGCCGAAGACGAGCGGGCGCTTCTCCAGAGGCACTGCGGCAGGGCGGGTCAGCAACTCCAAGGCTTGGCGCCAGAGGCCATTGAGGACGGGTAATAGGGCTGTGCGTACTGGTCAAGGAGAGGACGACAATGGAGCCAGAGAAGATGCCGGCCGTTCCAATCTAGGGAGACGGAGGCTGGGTCAGCACAGCCGGGGAACAGCGTGGGGAGAGTCTCACTCCAGCAATGGCGCGGCCGACGATGAAGGCGGTCGAGGTCGGGGCAACGGCGCAGACCAAGCTGCCAAGCTCGAAGATGAGGACGGCGGCGAGGTAGACGAGCTTTACGTTGAAGAGTTTGTAGATGGCGCCGTACATGGGCTGCAGAGCTGTCGTGGTCAAAAGGTAGGCGGAGCCATACCATCCCTGCGGTGAATCGGGTGACGACGTGTCAGCCGAGAGAGAGTGCGAGGCAAGGCGAGGGAGCTCACAATGTCCTTGACGCTCAGAAAGTGGGCCGTGATGGCGCCGAGGGCCGGGGCGATGATGGTCTGGTCGAGGGCGACGAGGAAGACGGCCATGCAGAGAGCGGCGATGATGAGGATGAGGGTGAGGCCCGTGGGGTAATTGGGGGAGCCATGGTCCTCGTCGTTGCCTTGACCGAGGCCGCCATGGTCTTCTTGGACCCCTGGCTTTTCCTCGTCGGCGGCGAGTTGAGGCTTGGCTGGGTAGGCGACGGCGGATCCGCTCTCGGTCTGGTCCGTGGAGACGCGCTCGCTCGACAGGTTTGCCGTCATTGGAGGGACGAGGGCCAGGAAGCTGGTGGTTAACCGAAGGGCCGTCGTTTCCGGTGCGTGAAGATGCTTCTGTTTCGGACGACGTTGGGTTCAGTCAGGTGAGATTAGGTGGAGGGCTAAAGCCAACGGCCGGGGAAGGTGCTTGAAGCGCAACTGCCAACTGGTCGAGCTGTGTGACTCACCCGCCAACCGAGAAGTAGAAGCGTCAACTCTGGCCAGGAAAGCAAGGGATTAATGAGGTAAAGCGAGCGGGAAGGAGGGAAGGAACAGTCGAGGACGAAGCGTCGAGAGCAGCAACATGCACAGAAGCCCAGGCCGGGGAGGATGCGAGCGGACCGAATTGAAGAACGGCTTGGCCAAGGGAGAGAATGCTGTATCTTGTGTTTTTTCGGCCAGCCCGGCAGGCAGGCAAAGCAGGCAGGCAAAGCAGGCAGGCAAAGCAGGAGACCGACGGAGAGGCTAACCAGCTTGGTTCGTCAATGTCCAAGCTTTTTTCCCTCTCGGGCGGACGCTACCAGGCCCAACCAAGGCCGAGATGATGGATGGTAAGGTTTAATATGTCAATGTCATGGTTGTCAAGTACAGGCAGCAGAGTTGGGGTCCAAGCACCAGGGTCGTCACGGTCACGGTTCACGGAGATGCTTGCTTTGCTGTCACCCACTCTCTCTGCCGCTGCACTTCTTCTGGGCCGAGGCCGCATGGGCTTCGGAAATGCGAGCAACTATGCTATACATGCGCACATATGCCCCGCCGCCTTTGTGGGTGACACGTTGACTCATCGACTCGTCTCAAAGGGCAACGTGCAAAGAAGAAATGAAAGAAAAGAAAAGGAGACGTTTCTCGCGATCGAGGCACGGCTCTGGGGGGGGAGGGAGGAGGCTTCATGTGCCAAGTACGGATGTCGGAGACTACGTTGTGGAGCGCGGGCTTGAGCGTTGTCCGATGTCCGAGGTGTGGGGGAGGAGGCATCCACCACCATGTCCTCGTGGGGGTGGAAATGGCCGACCAAGGTCCGCAGAAGCAGCCGGCGAAGAGCTCCTCTCATGCAAGTACGGGCCAAAGTTTTGTATAAGTATATCGACAAGTGTCATTACACATTTCCACTGAACTGTAAACGTCACCATCATCCTCGCCTGCTCCCCAATCAAGCCTGTTGCTTGGCCTGCTTGTGGAAAGCTCCCTCACCCATCGTCCGGGCCGTCCAACGTGTCAGCCGTCGCCAGGTGCTCCTGGTTGACTTAGAGGTTGAACTTGTTGCTGTGCCCGGGGGACTTGCCGTGGTGCTTGCCGCCAGTGACGCCGAGGCTGTCAGTGAGCTCCCCGGCGCCGAGCGCGTCCGTGAGCTCGTTGACTTTGAGCTTGCCCGTGAGCTTCGAGACTTTGAGCTTGTTCAAGACTTTGTCGAGCTTGAGCTTGCTTGTAGTCTTGAGAAGACCGCTCTTCTTCAGAATCTTCTCCAACAACTTCTTCTTCTCCTTGTGGTCCTTGCCGAATTTGTCGAATTTGAGCTCGCCGTCCTTGTTGAGAAGGCCCTTGTTCTTCAGCAACTTCTTCAACTTCTTCTCCTTATCGGCCTTGGAATGCCCTGGCTTCTCGCCCTTTCCGCCCTTGTGCTCAGACTTTTCCTTGTGCCCAGGCTTTTCCTTGTGCTCTCCCGCCTCCTCCTTGTGCTCTTTCGCCTCTTCCTTGCGTTCTTTCGCCTCTTCCTTGTGTTCTTTCGCCTCTTCCTTGTGTTCTTTCGCCTCCTTCTTGCCAGCATCAGGCTTGGGCTCCTCACCCTTCTTGCCAGCCTCGGGCTTGGGCTCCTCAGGCTTCTTCTCCCCCGCCTTCTCCTGGCGTTTCTCTGCCGTCGCCTCCTCTTCGTCCTCCAGGCGGGCATGGAGTGGGTGCTTGGGCTTGTGCCTGTGCTTCCTGGCCATGGATCGCCTGCTTGGCATCTTCCAGAGAGATTCGGCGTCGGCCCCCTCCTCTTCCGAGCCCATCTGTGTAAATTTACCCGTCTGGCTCAGGGCCTTTGCGGCACCCTGCTCGATGTCGTCGCGTTTCTGTCGAGATTCCTCATCAGCCACAACGAGGGCGTTCTGGATCATCTCGGACAGCTCCGCAGTGCGGTCACGACGCTCCATATCCTTGGCGAGCTGGTTTGTGTGCTTGTACATGCTCATGCCCTGTTCGTTGGACTGCGTCGGCGCCGCGATGGCCCCGTTGGTGAGGCACATCGCAATGGCTGCGGCTGTACGGTACTTCATCTTGACAGCTGTGGGGGGGTTGGCAACTATGGCAGAGAGGGCGACAGAGCAAACAGTGCTGCAGATTGGGACGAAAGAGGCGCTGGCGGGGAGAATGATTTGTTGGACAAGACGGGCGACTGGGCCTCACATCTTTATAGTCGTCGTCGTTGTTGGGGAGTGTTCCAAGCCACATACCCCCTCTCCCCCAGTGGAACAGGCATCCCACAGAGGTCGTCCCACAGCTATCAGCATGCCAAAGCCCACGGTCCCGACGCGGAGAGCAAGAGTTTGCCATGCCAGAAGGCTTGCGGCGGCGCGGCGGGACAATCAAGCAAGCAGGCATGCTGAATAAGTCACCTAGCATACTTATGGCAAAGGCATCATGCCGACTTGCCCAGGTCAGACATGGGAGGAATGCCGTGGCGACGAGGCTGCCAGTCAACCGGCGTTCCTGGTGGCAGGGAAACACCTGGTCTTCGACACCTGTCGCCGAGACAGGAACTTTTTCGAGACAACGCGGCACGGGGGCGCCGCTGACGAGGGGCGGTCGTCTCTGGAAATTCCAGCAGGGCAGCGGTTGTGGCCGCCTGTCGCAGGCACACGGCCCTCGGTCAACAAACAACTCGTTGCTTGGTATTTCGGAATTTCGGAAACTCTCGGCTGCGGGAAGCCTCGAAGGAGTTCTCGTCGACTCGTCGAGCTCCTTGCTACAATTGACAGTTTGACACTGCCAAGTGCCGAGGGCGCCCTCCTTCAGGCCGTCGTCTGGTGCCTCGTCCTTTTCCAGCCCGGTTGGCGTGTGTGCGAGGACAGAGTTTCCGGTCCGTTGTTAGCCTCTTGACGCCACATGGGAGCCGGTTGGAGCTGTTGTCGTGCTTTTCCAATTACCCGCCACGCGGATGTCTCATCCATCACGTGACTGGCTCATCCTGTCCGTCAACGGCTTCAGGGCTTCAACTATAGACCGACAATAGTCCAATACAACAGGGAGCGGTTGCGCTTGATGATGATCCCGTGTGTTGCTCCATGAGCTATCGCCGCCGTTGCAGATCCCGCTTCTCCGTGTCTTAGGCACGACAGGACAACTCAACAGTGGGCTTTCTCTCTTCATGCTAGCTCCTCCAGATTTGAGGGATCGACGGCCGAGGCTATCTGCTCAAGATTTCAACAACGAGCCCATCCCCACAGCCCGCGACGTCCCAAGCCAACATGGGGAAAATGCGTCCCGTCTATACCGCTTTGACGATTCAACCGACCTCTTCTCCCCGGTAATCGTCTTGGCAAACCGCAACAGACGACTCTTCCTTCCACTACCGGCCACGCTCTCCTTGCTCATCCATCCGACTGCTCCTCCGTCGCCGGCGCTTCGTCGTCACTCATTGCCGATTCATCTCCCGGCACCCAGACCAGCAGTCCGTCCTTGTCAATCTTCATCCCCTCCGTGGGTATTATGCGTAGAGTCTTTTGAAAGTATTTGTCTCGAACCACGAGTCCGGGCCGTAGGAATGCGCCTCGGACCAATGGTAACAGTCGGTACCTCGTCGCCCGCCGAGACAGCGGCAGCAGATGTATCGTCGTCTGTTTTGCCCCCGAAAATGCAAACGTGTCGCTCGGTTCCATCGTCAGGCCAAACGTCAGGAAGTGGTGCGACGAGTTCTCAATCGTAATGTCCAGATACATGAGGCTCGGCCACGTTTCTCGCGTCTCGTAGACGACCGACGCAAGCACCCGTGGCTCTGCGCCGAGGACCAGGTACTGACCCACAGGCAGCCTTGTCGTGTTCACAGGGCTGTCTGCACCTGTCTTCTTTCGTCTCCATTTGATGAGCAAGGCCGCATCGATTGCGACCGGATGCCTGTCGTCGAGGCTGAGCTTCTGCGCCACGAGATGAAATTGTGCTTCGGCCATCGTCCTCGGCGCCGCCACGATCCCGTCTTCTGGCACCTGCGGCCTCCCGATGATGTGGCAACGCGCGCTGCCAACAGGCGGGGAGACCACCGTGTCCATCTCCAGGACACACAAATCTTCCAGTGCAAACGACGCGTAGTGGCATACCAGGCACCACTGTTGAGCGAGGCCTCTGGCCGCAACCGAGGCCGGGTCTTCTTCCCGTGAATCCTCCAGTCCCGCGTCGTCGAACAGGCTTGGCCATGGTTCCGGATGAACCCGCGGAACCAGATCGTAGTTGGCCTCGAAAGGAGTGACGATGCTCAGCTGCACAGGTAGCGCCTGCGTGATTGGCGTCGCTGCATCTGACTCGAGGTGGTACGACGCCCGCAGCTGTACATCGTGAAGACATGGGGCGTCTACTGCGTCGATGCGAACCACGAGGCCGCGTGAAGACCCGTTTTTAATGACGCCGAGCGGTATGCCTGTTATCCAGGACTCCTCTTGGCCGCACTCTGCGTTGCGCTCCTCGCCTTCGACCAGAACCTGGAAACTCGGATGATACTCCCCAGACAGGTGAACGTCCAACTTGACACCGGCCGGCTCGTCCTCGTCGTTGTGGAGGTCGACATTCAGCTCCACCACCTCGTCTGTGTAGTATTGGAGGAGCTGGCCCGGTATACTGATCTGCATCTTGGGCGGGCGAGGCTGCACATGCAGAACACGTGCATTCGAGCGCGGCTTGCGAGGCGCCCCTGAGCCAGCGCTATACCATCCCACCACAGCATCTGTTTCTCGGAATCCCAGGGTATAGCTCATATCATATGCCTCGCTTTCGTAGAACAGTGTCACGGATGACGCTTCCGCGTTACCAGCCTCCCGCAGTGGAACGGCCACTTCCAACACCCGCCTCTGACCCGGCTTCAAGGTCAAGTCGGATCGACCTCTGAGTTGTGACGGCAATTCGTCTTCGGAAGCTTCCGAAAATTCCTCGTCCAATGTTAAAGTGTCGATACACATGTTCGAGCCCGAAGGGTCCGCAGAGGTTTTTGATACCCCGTGTTCGATGATGATGGGCTTGAGGCTTCCTGTGAACTCTACTCGTAAAGAGGAAAAAGTCACAGGCTCAGAGCTCGCCAAAGCCTCGGAGAAAATTGACACTTGCGCTGTACTCTTCTCCCCTGCCTTGCCTTCCTTATTTCGGAACACGAAGCTGGCCGAAACAAACGACGACGCCGAATCGGTGGACAGGCCGACGACAGGCTTCGAGCTGGCCGAGACCCCTTCGAGAGACTTGCTCAGGTCGTAGTGCCAATGGCGTCGCCGCGTGTACTCTGGAGTAAAGGCCCTTGTTAGTAGACCAGGGCATACGAAGAGCTTCACACACTTACTGCGGTGCATCAGTCCCCAATCAATAGCGACCACCAGATCCGCACTCCCCGTCTCTACAGCGGCCTTTCTCAGCAGCCAGCTGAGGTCTTCAGAAGCATCGACCCAGCCTTCAGACCGAAACGACATGTCGTCCCACAACGGTCGAAGTACGGCAACAACATCCTCCCAAGCAGAAACCAGCGTCATTTCCCTTGCGCATTCTAGTGAAACCTCGGCGGCCAATCGAAACTGTTTGCGGGCCTGAAACTGTGTCCGGGCAGCAATGAGGCAATCGATTATGAGCTGGGCGTGGTTGACGCCCTGGCTGGCGATTGGGACTTCTCGGTATGGGGCGGGGCACATGTACGTGTCGTACATGTGCGCCTTGCTGGCGACGAGCGAGGCCGGTGAAGAGTCCGGCGCGCCTCGGTCCTCTTCGGGTATCATGCGCGCCAGTCTTCGCCGAGCGGCTGTATGACGTGCCGCCATTCGGTACCAGTATCCGGTATGGTGTAGGAGTTCCCAGGGCTTCAAGCGCTCGCCCAAGACAGCCTTCTCTGGCTGTAGGAACAGCGTCGTGGCCAAAGGTCCCAGTCCAGGAACCTCGACCTTTTCAATCAGATGAGCCATAACCATGGCCCACCTCGCCTCCCACGCCTGCCATCCGTAGTTGTCGGTCCCCCTTCCTCGACGATCAACAAAGTCGCCAATGCGGTCCCGATGGCTTTGCCACCTCCTGACGGCCAGGGTCGTGTGTCCCATCCAGAACTGGATCCTGAGGCAGCGAATGGAAATGACATCTGACAACAGGCGGGCTTCGTTCCAGCGGGGGCTCCAGCTGGGAATGATGTCGAGGACATCTTGTCCCAGCAGGATTTCATATGCTTGCTCAAACGATCGAATCGCTGGGTCCATTTCCTGGCGGAACTCGGCGAACACGGCGGCTTTGAAATCGTATCGGAAGTTCCAGTCCGGCAGTGACAGAGTCCGTGACGTACCCGTAGTGGGCGGGACTGTGGGCTGCGGAGCTATCCCGCGGGACCGCTTTTTCCTAGCATGCCGTCCTAAATCTCGATAATACTCAACAGCTGTGCTGTACAGCACAGAGAGGATGTTGTCCACAGATCGCTTCAGCTCAGCCGGCGAGTCCTGCGCTGGGATGTAGAATATTGATTTCGGGTCCAGCGCCGTGCCCCTCCGGATGCTCTCGAGACGCTCTTGTATCCCTCCTGGCGGAGTCGAGGAGCCACCGGCCTCGCCGAGTAGAATCACCGCCACCCGTGTCTTGTACCCGGATCTTGCCAGCGCGCCCTTGGTGTCGTTGATATCTGCTTTGAGTCGATTATCGTTTCCCAGTGTGTAGAAGCAAGCGTATATAGCGGGAATCAGCTCTTGGTGCTTCCTGATCCACTGAGCATCGACCAAGCCATCGGGATACAAGGCGGACCCGGAAGAGAGAGGCGAGAAGGGTGAGTGCAGTACTGGCGACGATGGAGGCGGTTCCACGGACTCTGGGAGCCGAGCTCTCCTGAGAGGAAGGCTGAGAGTCTGTGAAGGATCTTAGCGCGGACCAGCCTTCTCCCTGCTCGGGAATAACGTACTCGGCCAACGGTCTTGATGCGGAATCGGTACGGTTCTTGTCGTGAGACGCCGGTCCACGACGTGCCGTGGGCGTCGAGCTGCGTAAAGTGCTTTTCCAGAAATTCTGCGGCTTCTTCGTCCACCGGCGGGTAGTCTGACCGGAGCAAGAGCCCCTGGCCCTCGGGCTGGGCCTGGGGCTGCAGCTCGGGCGCCTTGGAGCTCAGGCCGGATACGACGAGGAACGGGACATTGTGGTCCAGACAGCCTGCGGGATATCCATCCATGGTGGCGGCGCAGGCCGCCGGCTGGGTCGAAACAGACTCCTTGGCGGGTCGCGGTGTATTTGAAGCTTGAAGGTGGAGGATTAGCCCACACCAGACTGCCCCTCCAGGAAGACGGCCTCACCATGCGGTCACTAGCGCCCAGCGCGTCCAACGATGGTCTACTCGGTGGCCGATATTTCAAACTGTGCTTTGATCATCGGATTGCGGCTCATTTTGCAAGAAACGCGACGCATCTGGAAGTCTTTCTAATTCAGAACTTCCGAGGTCCGCCTTGCCGTGTGGGGGCGATCTCGGTCGTCCAAGAAGCGCGCCCTCGTCGGATCGGATCAACACCCTCCGACGGCGCCGGAAATTTCGCCCACGGCCCCGACACAACTACAGCCGCGGAATCAAGACAACACTCGCGTCCGGACCCTCGGTGCAATCACAATCGTCCGTCTTCCCACCCGATTTGCGCAGAGACCGAGTGCTCGCCATGAGGCCGACGCATGCCCTCTCTGTTGGGCGCTACCGCCACCTCAAGCTCACCACCAAAGATGTCGGCAAGGGCTTCTACAAGGGCAACCGAACAGGGTCCATGGGTAGCCACAACAAGTACGGAGGATACCTGATTGACTGGAACAAGGTTCGCACGTATGTCGTGCCCAACCTGAAGGATTTCAAGGCACGTGTTCCGATGCCCTAGTCGCGCGTGCTAGGGTCGCAACTAACATTGAGGACGCAGCTCACGCCCTTTGTGACCCGACAAATCAAGGAGAACTCGGGAGACTACAAGGGTCTCTCGAAGGGCCCCAGGGATCCATTCTTCTATGTTGAGCAATGGAAGAGATACAATGGCGTTGATTGAGCGATTTAGATGCAAGGCGATTGCAGGTACTTTGTACGAGAGGGCATCAAGTTTAGCGATGGAGGCTTGGAAACCTCAATCGCGGCTGTACATATTCCAGCAGTGATCCACCACACACGACACATTATACCCCATACGTCGACGTTCAACATTCGACGTCAGGCTGCCGGCCTCATCAAACACCAACACTAGCCGCATTCACATTGTCCATCTCTTTCTCCATATTTGACGCGCCGGCCTCGGTCCCGACGACCGATTCAAGCCCAGGGCGCTCCGTCCCTGCCGCCAGCAGCTGCTCTGCCCTGGCCTCATTTGCAGGTTCCGGCTTGGCCGAGAGGTCCGTTCGCGAATCCACTGGTCCCGGGCTGATCGCAGGGCTCACGGACGAGTTCAAGGTCACCATGCTCGCAGTGTCTGCGTCCTTGCCCAGACTAAAGGGCATTGCGATCCCGCCGATGAATGGCCGCTTCCCGGCAACTCCAGTCTCGGGCACGGAAGTAGGACTCAGCAGCCCAGGAGAGCTTTCCTTCGCCCGCCGCATGGTCAACAACGTGGCAACTGGTGTGTCCTCACCCACCTGATCCCCGCCAGTCTGATTCTCGTCAACGACGGTCCGGCGGCGGGAGCGGCTGCGGCCTGTCGCATCGGCGGCTGGCGAAGCAGGCTGCTGGGCCTCAATGTCGGCGTAGGACCTCGCTCCCTGGCCCTCGGCACCGGTTACTGACTGCATCTCCGGGCCTTGTTCTGCCTTCTGCTCTCGCTCCACCGTCGCCTCGTCGTGCTTCGAGCCCCAAGACGACCATAGGGACAGGCCGATGCTCTTGGTCCTCTTCTTCTCCGGCGGATCGGTTTCGACTCGTCGTCCAGCTAGCGCGCTGGGTGGCGGGTGCTCGCCGGGACCAAAATCCTTAAACCCGGTAGCAATGTCCTTGATGATCTTCTTGTGGACCTTCGCCTTTGCTGCAGCATATCTCGCATCCCACTGCCTCTTCGTGGCCATCCACTTCTTGACCGGCCCCTCCTTGATGACGCCGACTTCGTTGGACTTTACACAGCATCCAGGCAGCTCGGTTTCAGGGGCTAGAGGCAAGGTGGCGCCATGGCGGGTAATGCGCTGTCGGATCATATGCTTCTTGAATGGCGGCAAGGGATCGCCTGCTTTGCCAACATGGCCAGGTGCGGTCCCCTCTTCCTCGTCCATCTTTTTGTCCTCTTCCGGGGCCTCATTGTCCGACCCAGAACTCGTGATGACGGATATGTTTCCGTCGTCCAGAATGTCGATCCCTGTCTTCTGTGCTCGGGCTAGAGCCCAAGCCCCGAACTGGGCCACGGACCGGTACATGTGCTTGGCCGGTCGGGTGAAGCTGAGCGTCGGGGCGACATGGCAAAGGTCATCCCACACTTGAAGCTGGACATCCGTCGGCTTGTACTTTTCAAGGAGCTCTCTTCCTCTGCCGGTAAGGGTTTCCGGTGACGGGGCGTATTTCTCCGGGTTGGCGCATTTGTGAGCCAGATAGATCTGCTCGTCCCGCAATATCTCTCCGCCGCCAACCATGATCAACAACGGAGGTAGGCCCCCAAGCGTCGGCTGCATGACGGGGCTCACGAGTGGATGGGACAGTAGCGAGTTGGTAGTATACATCTGATTCGAGTTAAGTCGACTCTCTTGCATTGGAAAAGGTAAGGAACTTACCTGTATCTGGTCTTTTACAGTGTTCAGCTCGCCTGCAATCATTACTGTTAGAAACCTCTCCGTGTCCGTATGGATTCCGCCGGTGGTAGCCGCATGGCCGCCAGGTTCGTTTGATGATGCCCCAGCTTTGGGAACGATGGGAGCTTGCTGTTTCGCCTGGAGCTCAGATGAGTTGGCCGATTTCTTGTGCCCGTCGTTTTCCTTGACTGCTTCCACCCGAAGCATCTGGACATCGTCACTGTTTGGGGGCGGCCATGCCCGCGACGGTTTGTGATGGAAACCCGCCTGCGGGATGTAGTCAAACGGCGCTTCGCCTGCAACGCTCGGGAAAGAATGCGTCAGGTCAACCCAAGGGCTGATTAGGATGCCCCCCGCGGGGAGGGCGATGCCTTGATTGCGTAGAACACACAGCATGGACACCACCATTCCGGCCCCCGCCGAGTCTCCGGCCAGGACAATGGTGCTTGGATGGTGGGTTTCGAGAAGGAAGAGGTATGCAGCCAAGCAGTCCTGAAGGCCACACGGAAAGGGGAACTGCGGAGCCAGCCGATACTTGGGAGCAAAGATGCGGGCCTGGAGCTTCCGAGCATGGCGCTGCATTTGGTATCGGTGCTCGTCGACGCTTCCGAAGAAGTATGCGCCGCCATGAATATACATCATGACGCGCCTTCCGGGATCACCGGTCTTCTTGCGCTGGTGAGCATCGGTCCGCATCTCGATCCATTCGGCCTCGAGAGATGACTTGGTGTTCCTCCATTGCCACCACAGCTGCCCGCCCACTTGACGGATGCCCTCGGGCCCCAGCTCTTCCCGGAGCAGCTCGGCCGAGCGGTCCAGCTGCTGCTCCGGGACGGTCGCGTCGTCGACCTTTACCCATTGAGGATGCGGAACCCACTGGGCCGTGAATGCTTGCAGTTCTTCGATGGTGTGATGTGAGGCAAAGTCCAGGAACGAGCGAATCAGATGCAGGCCTTCGTCGTAGGATAGATGAGCCGTCGGCCGTTCTCTGAGGGGCTTCCGTTTGAGATACTACAGTCGATCAGCTCCAACGTCATGGACAAGGCCGTAGACAAAAAGAAAAGGGGGGAGGAGCCAGCTGCAGGAGACAAGGGGCGCTTGACAAGGGGCGCTTGCCAATGGGCTTACATGGGAGAACAGAGTAGAGAGCACCGTGGGCGTGACGGCCAGGGAGACGGATGTTGTGTTGAGCTTGTTCATAGCGGCCGCCAGATGCTCACCATTCTTCGACTCTGCCTCACACCCAGGACGGGACAGAAGACGACGGGACAGAAGACGCTTCTCCTTTAAGCCGGGACACGAAGGTTTGGCACGGCAGAACTCGGGCCCCGTTAGTTAGGGGTCTAGGCTCGTGATGTCATCGCATTTCCTCTTGCGGGAGGCGGAATTGGCCATGCGGACGGAGTAGAAAAGTACTAGTACGCCCGGTCCCTGTCTTATTCCCCCTGCAGATGAGTACCCAAACTTACACACCAGAGGCTGAAAGGCTGAAGAGGGCCCATTATAGCCGGCGCCGTGCCTGTGGTCCGTGCAGTGCATGAACAATGCGGACAGAACAAAAAACATCACAAAAAATTTCCAGGGATTGCATCGAGCCCCCACCATCCAGACGAGCGATCAAAGATGGCCTCGTCCGCGCAACCGGCGCAGCTGACTCCAACGGGTACGTTCCAACAAAGCGTCTTTGTGTTGCCAAAGGGGACTTGTGCTTAGCCCTCGAATCCAGCCACGCGCCAGTCCAACTTTGAGCAGGCCGTCGCCTATGCCCTCCACCTCTGGCCGGCCTTGACTCTCGCGGTGCAGAACAACTGGGGCGGCCCCGATTCCGCCGACAAGCGAGACTGGTTCGCCGGCGCCGTCGTCGACCTGTTCCCCGAGTTCACCGATGCGCCCCCGAAGAACAAGGCTCCCGCCGAGCCGGATATGGAGGATGTTGAGGCCGTCTTGCTCCAGGTCATGATCGACGAGTTCGAGGTCAATGTTGACGACGACTCCGGGGCCGAAGTCGCCAGCCAAATCGTCCGCATCCGATCTCAGTGCAGCATCGGGCAGTCTGACGAGGTCGACGCTCTGAGGGAAAGATTCGAGAAGCTCAAGGGCAACAAGGTCGATCACATGTTCAAACAGGCCCTAGACGCGGACCAAGACACCGATTGGGAAACCGACGACTCGCAAGACGACGACGACGACGACGGAGGCGCCGATGTCGCCATGGACGAGGCACCTCCCTTAGTGTCGGCGCCAAAGGAGAAGCCAACCCCGCAGGTTGACGAAGATGGCTTCGTCATGGTCACCAAGAAGAAAAAGTAGACGACGTACATTAAGCCGCACGAGGAGCGTGTCACAGCCCGATCGAGCCCCCCCCCCCCCTGACGATACCCAAAGCCAAATCGGGACATAATCCGTCTCTTGGCGAAACCTCCAGCAAACTATCTCACAAGACCGAACGCCGAGCTGCCCAAATAACGCGCGCCATTGCATGTACAAAGTTGCCCACCGCTCCGACCTACATCATTCCCAGTCGTCGTCGCTGTCGTCGGCCCTTTTGCCCTCCTTGGGGCTGTTCGGGGCCTGGCTCGTCTTGCCCGACGCTGCACCTACGACGTCGTAGCTGGCTTCGCTATCCGCCACACTCTTTTCGTCGTTGGATTTCCGGGCCTCGGTTGGACTTGACTGGGATTGCGTCTGGGGCTGAAGAGTTGTGGACGACGTTGCAGAGGCTGCTTTTTCCTTGGAAGCCTCTTTTGGAGCGGCCTCGTCGTCGGAATCGTCGTCCCACCCTACTTCGTCCTCGGCAGATGCGGCTGGGGCAGTGTCAGCATAGTCGCGGGCAATTGAAGCCAATGCACTTCACCTTTGAGGAGATCCCGTCGTCTAGACTCAGCCGTTTCGATGCCGTGGCGGAAAAAGTAGTAGCGTTTCCAGAAGTCGACGTAGGGGACCCGGTCCGGCACTAGCTGCTCCATGGTGCTTCGCAGCTCGGGGTGTTTGGCGAGATCGCTGCTGATGTCTTCTGTCCTCTGCTCTACGTCAAAGTCGAGGGCCCACGTCTCGAATTCCGCACCCGACGGGTCCTCGGTGAAGCGATCGGCCGAGGCGTGTATGACGTGCAGCTGCGCATCAAACCTAGAGGTGTGAATGACGCGCCTCCCCTGCGCATCCTTGCTCTCGAAGAGCACAGTGCCGCTTCCCGGCGCGGATTCCTCGGGAGGGGCAATGTTGATGGCATCTCGGAGAAAGTCTCGCACGTTGCCGCCGAAGCGGAGAAGGGCTTCGTCGGCGGCATCTTCGGCGCGCTGGAGGTCTTTGAGGCGTTTGGCCGCCTCGAGCTGAAGCCTGGAGAGAACGGATTCGGACTGCTGCTCTGCGTCCTCGGGGGGCGCATTCGACCTCGTGGGAGTGGACTGGCTGTCGTCGCCGTCTCTTGAGTCTGGCGCCTGGATGGTGTTCTGTGTCAAAGACCTCGTGCGGCTCATGATGGACTCGCGAAGGTCGGTGAGGCCCTTTGTCGCATCTTCGCCGACCTCGGCAAGTTCCTTCTGGGCTTGATTGTAGACGGACTCGCCCTGCGCAAGTTAGGAACGTGGAGGGTTGCGGTGTTGCTATGGCGTGCTACCTGTTTGACGACCGTCCCAAGGAAGCCGCCAATCTTGATGCCCCAGGCACTGGAGGATATGGCCTTGTACGCGTCCTGAATGTCGTCGTTGAGCGATGGCTGTTGCTCGGGATGGGAGGCACTGGCTGCGACGCCCTGGTCCTTGGGATGGGCGTCATCCTGCATGTAGTCGTAGGCGAGATCCATTGTTCCAGTGATCAAGGGCAGTTCAGGTAGATGCGCCTTTGCCTTAGGTACTGTATGCGGAATGGGAGGCGGGCTTATTGCGGCATTGACCATCCCTTATCGTGTCCTCTCTCCCAGCCGCGGGGCGCAGGGCAGGCCGCGAGACACGTGCACAAGCGGCTCACGTGACCTTGCCGACAAACTTGTCTCCCAAGAGCTCCCAGGCATAATCTCGGGCTTACAGCTGCCAGTCCGAGCCGACAAGACATCCATCAGGCGTTGAAATGATGATTCCGTCTGCTCCATAACTCAAAATACATGCCATCCTATACATACATGTATTTCTTCCAGAGTATCTCGGTTTCTCCGAGCCGTCTGGGAAAGCCTGGTATCCTTCTCCTCCCATGCCCTTTGGCTTGAACGCCGCCCGGGGATTTTCCCTGGAAGTCGACCCAGGACGTTTCTTGAAGGGCCGTAGCTTGTTCATGTCTCTTGGGTTGAAACTCGCTGATCTCCCAGAAATCCCTGAATTGATCTTATGGAATTTCTCCTTGCCTATCCGCTTGCTGTAGAAAGTGTGAATGTCGCCCGAGAGACGGCCCCGCACCAACTATTTTTCGCCGACGGCGATTCTACAAAGTCACGGCGGACTCGGAGGGGTTTGACGGGTTCTCGGAGCCTTAGGGTGGGGACATGCAGCGAGAGTCGAGGGGTTTACTTTTACATGGTCGTTGTTATGCCAAGTCTAAAGGAAGAGCTCGCCCCTCCGGTGGCAGCACGTGTTCAAGCTGCCAAACGTAGGATTAGGTATGTACGTGAAAGAGTGAAACGATGATATTCGAATTACGCCCTGCATTCCCCTTCTTCATCACACAGTTGCTCAGCGTTCAAACCAAGAACGGCAGGTATCTACAGGCGGCTATACCTCTGTCCAACGTAGCATGCTTTGCATGCATCAGGCCAAAGCCGGCACGAGTGCATTCCCAGAGCCCACTCGGTGAGACCAATGGCCAGAGAGGGAAGGACCCGAAGCTGCCGCATCGGGAGCCGCGTTGCATGTGAACATGTTTGTACAAAGCATAGCGAGTTGAGTTCGGAATACCGAGGAGCCGAGGCAGCACATCTGGTGGGTCGGTGGTGAGGGAGACGTCAGATTCTTTGGGCGTCAACCAATCACTGTGTACTGGGAGGCTGTCAGGGACCCGTGCGCCGATCGCAGAGGTATAATTCCGATGGGGACGAGATGAGGCTGATGGCGGAGGCGGATTCTAAGACCAACGGCGACTTGTTCGGTGTCGTCATTGTGCATTTCTTCGTTCCAAGCTCGGACTGGCAACGAGCTCTTGTGTCTGTGGTTTGACAGGGGCAGACCGACTCACACAATGGCTCTCGAACAAGGTCCGAGCAATGGTTGAGCCAATGTCGTCATCAACTGTACATGGTGTCGATGTGGTGCTCACAGTACCTGGTGATCTTGATAGTCCTGCACATGTCAGGCACCCGCACATGATTCACCCATGCGATGGGCAACGAGGCGAAAAACATGGACAAGATGGAAATCTGCACTTCCAGGGTACCCAAGAGGATGCTGGACAAATGCGGATCTCCATGATGCCAGTCGTGACGTAACGCAGACCGGTACTTTCTGCCCCGCACCAGGTGATTGTGGGGTCCAGCGGTGACGTAAGTCGGCCAACAGAGGCTCTGTTGATGCATCGCCTGATGCCGCCCACGACGTCGTCGTTGCTCCTGCATATCGGTAGCGCCTAGCACAAGTGAATCAGCCACTGACCCGGCTACTGGCATGTGAACAGAGAGACCTGCCATGGTGTCCGGCATGTCTATTTAAACCTCCGGCTCTCCCGCCACTTCAAGGTTCTTTGCTTTCCTCCTCATCATTCCACGATATCTCATCTCAATCAATCAAAGCTCATCAGTTCCTTCAACAACCATTTCAACCAATTTACCACTTCCCATCATCCACAATGGAGACTGCCAAGAACGTCGCCAATTACCTCTCTGAGACTGTCCAAGGTGCCACGTCGGGCGCAAGCAAGGAAGCCAACAAACAGGTCGCCAAGGACGGCAACGTGGACATTAGCACTCGGTGAGTCTTGACTCGATGACACACAACATGTATGACCCAGCTAACAGCTTCATCGCAGTGCCACTGCTGCCAAAGACGCCGTTGGCGACAAGCTCGACCAGACCTCCCACGATGGCAAGGCCGATGTCCATAAGGAGGCTGCCAAGCACTAAGCCATGACGGCGATATGCAGGATCAGATGGCGTTTGGAGTGCAAGGAACTCATGTCTCTGATGGTAGATGAATTATAGAAATACCCCGAGAGGCAGCAAAATACATTGTTTACACCACAAGCTCACACCCGGGTCGTCACACGTTGGTGATGGTCTCTGGTGCCTCGGTCAGTCCGAGCTGGGTTGATGCCGGGACTGAATTCCATTCAACGCACGCGTCAAATACATGGACATACCCGCAGCCTCCAGATTCGGCACGCACCCAGCGTAGACAAATGAAGGAAGCAGGAAGCAATGCCAAGCGCATGCTTTGATGCTTTGGGACAGAAGAGCGAACAAGCGCAGAACATACGATATTCACCCTCAAACCAATCCCAGAATCTTAGCCGCCGAACACTTCACGTAGCCGGCCATGCGCATATTGAATTCGGGCGTATTTGCCGTCTTGCGGACATGGCGGGGGGCTGATTCCCGGCAATTGACTGTCATTTCGTCGGAGGGGAGGAGGACATGGGAAAGCATGTCAAACCGCGCTTGGTAGTCAGACAACAAGAGGCGATTCTAGCCTTGAGTTTCATTTCCCCTTACCGAAGCTCGAAGTTGCTGTGGGAGGCGATCAGGCCTCTAGACAGATGACCCCGGCCAAAGTCTAGCGACGGGAAGCTGACTCGCGTACGCACAAGAGCTCCGCAGTCATGACTGGGAATTCTCGCATGAGGAGGAGGAAAGCCGGTGGCAAAGCAAGCATGGCCAATCGACATATAGCCATCCCCCTTTGCCGCGCGCCTTCAGGCTTGAGAGAGGAGCCGCAGCGGGCTTGGCCAATATGACTATCGCGAGCGAGCCGTTTGGTATCCCCCTTGCAGGAAAAACACCAATTATGCAGCCGCTGCTTCCCGTTGACGCGCGGGAAATTGCCGGGTGACTCCCCAATGCCCTGAAGTCTTTGCCGTGGTCAAGGACACTATTGCCATTCTCTCGCAGGATGCAAAGTCCATGATGGCTTTCCTTCCCCTCCCTCTGTTCGGAGTCATCCGCTGCGGTGCAAATCGGAAGGATGGTGCCTTTTGTGGCATCCGTAAAAGTGCTATATCTCAGATGCTTCATGCTCGTGCTACACTTCTTGCCTCGTTTTCGGATGGATGCTCTGATGGCGTGGTGCTTTGCAAACATAGAAAAACACGCCGATTCGTACCGGGTGCTTGTTTCGCACATTGATACTGTATGTGCACCGACGAGGCGGCGGCATACAGTGTAGACATGAACTGTGTCGTCGTCAGGGCTAATAACGGCTCGTTTCCATGTGCTGGCGGTGGAGCTGCCTACCTAGTAGGTCGAGACCCGAAAGCACAGTGCGAAGGGGCTCGGTCGGCATTATACCCCCCCTTCGGGTACTATACATGTACTCTGCCCGAGGTCGCTCCTCCGGGGAATTGCCCAGCAGCTGGTACCTAGACAGTGCGTACCTCTTTGGTATGTGGGCGCTGTCGACAAGGCACACACACATTGACACATAACCCTTTGGTCGCCCCGCCGCTGTCCACACGCTATTACCACGGCCTTCTCTCTAACGCTTACAAATTCACCCTCTCGCTCCTCCTTCTCCAGCTCCTCCTTTCTTCTCTTCCAATCACTTGCAGAAACAGTCTCCCTGCAGTCATTCTGACGCCGTGGTCGCGACTCCAACCGCACTGACTAGACCTGCTTGCTGGTGACTCAGGCGCCAAGCACGCGCGCCCCCCCACCCACGACGAAACAGCCCCGGAAGTGGCGTCTCCAAGTGGCCGCCGCCTCCTCCGGTCGCCCCAGCACATCACCACCGCTTCTCACCCGTTTTCCCTCCTGGGCCACCCGTGGCCGCAATCGCTTCGAATTTCTGCGCCCCTGCGCCAGCCTCAGTCGTCTTGGAAAGCCTTTTCAATCGTCCACTTACGCACGGCATCCTTTCTCACTCGCAGACGCCCATCAACGCCGCCCCTCTGTCAGACGCAACCCTGCCGCACCTCGTGAGGCCATTCCTCCGTCATCGCCATCTCATCGGTCCGCCACTTTGCCCGGCCTTCTCTGCCTGCCCATTCACGCTTCCTGAACCCACCCATTTCATCCATCCACCTCATCAACCATGTCCTCTACCGGCGACCAAGGTGGCTCCGTGCCGCCCAATTTCTTCTTGACCCCGCATCAGCAGAATCTGCTCTTCACGGCCCTCAACGCCAACAAGCAGCCAAGCGCTGGCTCCCCGCCAAACAACGGCGTCTCACTCTCGCCAACCTCTTTCAAGAGCTCGCCCATGCCGTCCTTTGGGAGCGCCGGTTTGCAAGAGAGCCCATATCTCGACAATTACGACTACGACTTTGGTGACTCCAGCTTCGACTTTTCCTTTGCGAGCAACGATCAGGCCCAGATGATTGGCGATGCACCAGGCACCGCAAAGTCGGACTCACCCGAGAACGACTCGAATGAAAAGAGAGGCCACCCGGACGACGAAGAAGGCGACGACAGCCCTGGAAATGACTCGAAGCGCCATGAGGGCACCGACAAGGGCCCCAAGAAGCCGGGCCGGAAACCCCTCACTTCAGAGCCCACTACCGTAAGTATCGTCAACTGCCATGACTTGTCGGCCTCTGACACCGTGAATTACAGAAGCGCAAGGCCCAGAATCGAGCAGCACAGCGCGCTTTTAGGGAGCGCAAGGAGAAGCACTTGAAGGACCTGGAGACCAAGGTCCAGGAATTGGAGACGGCGTCGGAGGCCGCAAACCACGAGAACAGCAAGCTGCGAGTCCAGCTGGGCCGCATCACCACCGAGCTCAACCAGTACAAGCAGAAATTGGCCGTCCTGGCCAATGTCAACAAAGCGGCGCCCAGGGACAAGATGGCTTTTGGAAGCGCCGCCCTCAACAACCTCGGTGATGTAAGTTTCCAGTTTGAGATCCCCAAGTTCGGAACGCTGCCAGGAATGCCCTCCGATAAGCCTTTGGCATCACTTTCCCCCAACGGCCAGGTGCCCAGCCCGGCCCAAAGCCAAGGCAACGACGCCATGTTGCCGCAGTCGGCACGGCAGTCGGATGATCTGGCCAAGTTCTCGGGCGCTCCCACTCCACCCATCAGCGGCTATCGTGGGCCCGGCTCACGAGCAAGCGTCGACTCGGGCAACATGAGCCTAGGTGGCGCCTCGAGCTCGCCCTCTGCGTCATCCAACTCCAACGGCGGCCCGGTCTCGTCTTGCGGCACATCTCCAGAGTCTTCCAGTCACTCTCCGATGGGTTTCAAGCCGCTCGAGACCTTGACTACGATTGGTGAGGAGCAGCAAGCGGCCGCGACCACGCAGCAGCCCTTTGCACAGTTTGCCCACGTGGACATTGGAAGTCCTAGCTTCGACTGGCTGGCCAACCAGAACGGCGGTCACTTTGATCCGCAGCTGTTCGGCGACTATCGCGAGCCTCAGGACAACGTACTTTCCAACTCCAACTTTGACGACTTCTTCAACGACGCGCTCGATGCCGACTTCTTGAACCCTTACAACGTGCCTTCTGCGGCAACGGCCCCCAAGAAGAATCTGATTGATGAGATTGACGCCAAGCAGAAGGCGCTGGACGATACGCAACAGAACATGAGGTGTACAGAAATATGGTATGGCCACTCACGGGCGCCCTCGGCTCCCTCCACAACCATGCTAACCGGTCGACACAGGGATAAATTGCAGGGCTGCCCCAAGGCGCAGAGCGGCGAATTCGACCTCGACGGGCTCTGCTCCGAACTAACCAAGAAGGCTAAGTGCTCGGGCAACGGCCCCGTCGTGGCGGAGAGGGACTTTGACAGCATCCTCAAGAAATACATGGGCAAGGACGCGTCGTCGTCGAACTGCATGGCGAGCTCGTTGGGCATCGAAGTTCAACCAAATGAGAAGCCCAACGGGGTCACCACGCTGTGAGCTTGGCGGCTATTTCTTGAAGGAATCGGTACGTTTGGCTTGATTTTCGCCTGTACACATGTACTCTACTTGCTGGGAAGTGCCTCGGCGAAGGCATTGAGTTTGAGAACAAACAAGGATGACGGCGTTGAATGAACACGAGCAAGAGGAGTTTGCCAAGGTTAATTTGCGTACTCGATCTGCTGGACGCATCGTTGTCTTGTCCCCCCCTTTCCCCTCCGTGCAATACGGACGAGGAGTCTTTGTGCCACGTCTGCCATGATTTGTTCTTTGGCAACGGTCGGTCACGCCCCGAGACTATTGGCGGTAGTCATGTCCATTAGGACACAGCCCAGACCAGACATATGTGGGAAAGAGGACCGGGGCTGAAGGGCGGGAGAACTTCCGATCCCGCAGCCGATGTCCAGCTCCCCTTCCCCCAATATGTATAGCCGCACCGAGCTTGCGAGGCTCTGTCCCGCCGAGCAGTGGCCCCCTCCCAAACCACGAACAAGTCAGGATGCCGTTGCGGGGCCGTTGCTCCGGGCGTGTCCGGTTTCGGGGGTGGCATCTTGTGAGGGCCCCGGAGCCAAGGCTACAGTTTAATACAAGCCGCCGTGATGAAACATGTCATGTCTTCCTCGTACTGTACGTGAATTCACACGCATGGCTGTAGATATGGGCTGTCCCACGCACGGTACCAAAGCAGCTTGGCGCTCCCGCATTGCATCTGTCCAGGTGCGGGAACCCTCACGCACCTTGCTCTTCGCATCGGGCGAGGCTAGAGTAATCAGCACAAGGGGTATCTGTTGTTCTTCTATAAACACCTTGCCATCACTAGGCCCAGCTCTAAAGCCACAGTCCCTGCGCACCCGAGTTCTGTCATACATGAATATGCTTGTGCGCCTGACTCGTGTGCGCCGCGCCGTGAATCCGACTAGAGTGCAAAGAATGCAGCAAGACAAGGAAAATCATTCGCGCCTCTTGGTCGTCCCAACATGTCATGCGTCCGTGTGCAATACCCCCCCCCCACCTTTATCCAGATGCAGCAATCCGTGCCAGCATGCAAATGCAACGTATGTGAAGGCCCGAAGGCCAAATATCGCGAATGGAGCGACCATGCAAAGCACCGCCCGACCCACGTCCCGCTCATCAAGACGGGGCATCTTGAGTCATCTCTGAGGCGTCAATGGCTCGCTCTGCCTGTCCACTTGCTAGGCAGCCGAGTTCACAATGTTGACGGCGAATCTCGCCGAGTGGCGTCCGTCTCCCCGGGCGTAGAGCACCTTCCGCCGCAAACACACGGGCCTGTCCCGACGCCAAACCAACCTCCCCAGTCGATTAGCTGATGACAACCCGGGCGCCCTCCTTCCCAAGAACACCCCTCTCCCGCGGCTTGGGGCTGTTGGTTCTGCCCCGCTTGCTCTTCAGGAATCCAAACATGCCTCCCGATCCTTCTTTGGGATCAACGGCCGTGTTTGCGTCCGCCGGTAACGTTGCGTCCTGACGGGCGAGTTCAGACCAGCTGCCACTCCCATCCAATGTGACTTGAACGCCTCCTGTAGGGCTTGCTACCCGATTCTTGCTCGGCGGCGATGGCCGAGAGACATACTGACTCTGGTACTGAGGGAGTGGCGGTGCAGCCCGAGACGGACGGCCTGGTCTTTTGTCGGCCCGTTGTTGCATTGCCTTGTCCGGGACAGTGCTGGCCTCGTCCTTTTTGGCCGGCTGAGGCCCGTTGCTCGGAGCAGCCTTCAGCTGTGAGTCATCCACCCCGTCTTTTGTCGCCTCCGTTATTCTGTAGTCCATGATCAGCGCCAGTCTCACCAGCTAGAGCGGGCAGGGCACGCACTTCTTGTAAGCGGCCACCGTGTAATCAAACGGTCGGAAATCCTTCTCAATCATTCGATAAAGCTCGTCCTCGCGGATCTCCTGCTGCGTCGCGTCTTCTTTTAGCCGTTCTCGGGGCTTCTGCCGCCTCGCGCGGGCCTCCAGGGGTGCCTCCTCCAGGAGAAGCTCTTCCAAGTCGTAGGTGGCGTCAAAGTTGGTCTTGTCCGAGGATGGCACGAATGTGGGTTCTATTTGCTTCTGTTCCAGCATGTCGAAGTCAAGTTCCTGGAAGAAGTCGTTGTGTATAAAGCTTTCCCACGTAGAACCAAGACGAGTGTTGGGGTTGGGGTCCAAGGCGGCGCGAATGGCGTAGAGGCAGGTCAAAGAGACGGGGGGCTGGGTAACGGGATACTTGGGGCGGTTGCCTTGGATTTGTTGGCTGAGTGTGGCTTCGTTGCTTCCATCAAATGGCCGCTGCTACCGGTCAGCGACAACACTTTACTCTCAAAGGGTTTCATGGCAGGCGCTGGCAGCGAGAGCCAATTCCCCAAAGCCGGGGTTGCAGACGCACCTTGTTGTAGATGCACTCATAGAACAGTACGCCCAAGGACCACCAGTCGGCGCGGACATCATAGCCCTTGCCTGCGTACACTTCGGGTGCCAAGTAGGCCAGGGTTCCTGACTTGCTGGTGAGAACCCTCTTGGGGATGACATCAGAGGCGACGTTCTAAGCTAAGTGGTCAGACTCCATGTAGTGCGAGAAAAGAGATTGGGTAGACGTACGAAATCTGTCAAGTGGACGTGCCCATCGGCGTCGAGGAGGACATTGTCCGGTTTGACATCCCGGTGAATGATGCCCTGGCCGTGAATATATCTCAGGGCGCAGCCCAGCTCTGCAATCCAGAAGCGGACGGCCTCCTCGGTAAAGGTCTTTCTGGAGATGTGAAAGCGAAGATCGCCGCCGCTCATCAAATCGACCACCAAGTACCTGGGAAGCGAGGTTCAGTTGTCGGCCACGGCCAGGTCTTGGGGGAGACGTACATGTACTCGATATCCTGAAAACTGTACCGCAGATTGCAAATGAAGGGGTGGTTGACGTGCTCGAGCATGCGCCGTTCGCGGACAATGTTGCGAACGCTCTCAGACTTGACGACTATGTAACAAGATCAGCACCCAGCGCCGACTCGAGACATGTCGGCCGGTTGGGGCGGCGGCGGCGCGTTACCTTCATCTTTGCGAATGTACTTGAGGGCGAAGGACAGACCGGTATCCTTGCGCTCGACAATGCGGACCTTGCCAAAGGCGCCGCGGCCGACGACTCTCAAGAGGCGGAAGTGGTTGAGATTGACTGGGCCAAGCGGTTAGCACAGCGAGGGCGGTGCGACGGCGGGCATGGGTGGGCGAGGAGCTAATGATGCATGACGGGAAGAAACATGGGCGTGCAAAAAGAAAAGGGTCCAATGCGACGGGCGAGGATGCGGCGGGCCAAAGCACGTACCTTCGCCGGTGAGGTCGACGGGCTTTCCCTGGCCGTTGCCCATGGTCCGTGGCGGGCTGAAAGGGCAAAGATGAAGACTATCGGAGGCAGAAGCCAAGCGGCATAGTGGTCGTCGTCAGAGGAGCGGGCCGGGGGGGTTGCCGACGACGACGGGGGCTGGTCCCTTTTGTCTTGGAGCGGCACGCTAGGGCTCGCGGGGGTGCGTCAGTCGCCGAAAGGGGGGGCCTTTCTAGAAGGTGTCGACGGCTGTTGGCTGTTGGCGTCGGGGCGGGAGTGGGAGGAGGGTGGTGGTTTGGCGACTGCTATCCAGGCTGTTGGCCTGAAACGGGGCGGAGGGCAAGCCAAGGGAGACGAGGTGCATGTGGAGGAAGAGCCCGCGACGAGGGCGGCAGCGGTGCCCTTGTACAAGCCGATTGGCGGTAGGTCGCGAGCGTGGAAGGACGACGAGCAGAAGCACTCGAGAGCGGCGCGCAGGGCCCAGAGAGAGCGAGGGAGAAGTGGTCGCGTTTGAAGTCGGTCGTGGGCGAGCTCGCGAGGATGCTGCAGGCAGGGAGATGGAGACGAGAGACGAGCGGGGGAATGAAGGTGAATGAGAAGAGTTGTGACTTATGCGTATGTGTCCAAGAGAGAGAGAGAGAGAGAGAGAGGCAAAGAGGGAGGGACTCGAGGGAAGCGACATTGGCAGGGGGGCAAAGAAGGGGAAAAGAAGCGGTACCTCAAGGTCACGGCCGGTACCTGCGTGGGGATGCAAGTGTACCCAGAAGACGAGGTAGCAATCCATGTTCCCTGCCCGGGCGAGTGCACTGAGGGTGCTAGTGCTGTCGATGGCTGTCTGTGCACGGGCTGGAGGCTCTTCTGAGACTGGGTCGCAGGGAGCCGCAGCATGTCGAGAGCCCCATGGACCGGGGGCAGAGCATGTGCTGGAAAGGCAATGGCGGGTGCTCAGCCATGGGCCAGTCGGCTGCGCTGGAAAGCAAGGTTTGGTGCCAGAGCTCGTCGTCTGGTATTCTATTCAGGATACGTTACCCGCTACCTAGGCTTTGGGTGCAGAGAGCGCACGTGGGCCGTGATTGATATAGGACGAGCTGCAACGACGTGCGCCCTTTTCGTAATTCCAGTCTCTTCTTCTCCCGAGCTGACGTTGGATCTGCATCGAGGAAGGGAAGCAGCGCGAGGTGCGCTAATCGAGGTACAGTACACGGCCAGGACCACCGCTAATACTGTCTGTAATGTACCTGGCGCTCTGGTACCCGAAGCGCAGATGCAGCGTACCCACCTTGCCTTACTAGGTACCTCGCTGAATGTAGATGACGGACGAAATGCTCATCTTTCTTACCTACGAACAGGCAGATGCTGCTGTTGGCTGCAACGGCTCCAGCGCACCGGTTCGCCCTGCCAGCCGCACGGCAGGCGAGTGGTGGCACGGGAAAGGGGCCACGAGGCGACATTGGTGCCCCGGACCCAGACTGACGGACGGGGCTTACGGCAGAGGGCGACGGACGCTTTGCCTGCTCTGCGCCTCGTTGACCACGCGCTTTTGGTCCGACAGACACTCAACCCCGTCGTCTCTCTCTACGACACTCTACGAGCCACCCGTGCCGCTCGCTGCGTATTTTGGCCACGAGCCCTCGCGCGATCCAGTCGGGATTTGCTACAGTATACAGAGTACATACCTGAGAGCACGCATGGGCCTCAAATGGAGCCTTTCCACCCCCGACGTCGGCGTGTCCGGCCGCGTTCCGTGCCTCTCTCGGACGGCCTTGCTGTCATGGGGGTTTTTCTTTTTCCAACCCCGTCCGTTTTACGCCCAACGTCAACGATAATAAATTACTTGCTTTTCTCAATCCCCCCGCGCCTCCGGTTGCCGTCGCTTCTGCAGCCGTGGGAAAACCGTTTCCCGCCTTTGGAGCCCCTTTGGAGCCCTGGGGTAAAGTGATAATACTTGCCACTCTCTTCGCCGGGAACCCCTCGTCAGCATCCCTTGGCTGGCCTTCTTTTGCCTTTCTTTTTTGTTTCTGGATTTCTTGGCTTTTGCGGACGCACGTGCATCACATCCCTGCTTCTGCTTTGCACCACCTCTTACCCCCGCTCCCACTCCCTGCAAGTCACTGTAATCCGCAATGGCACGGCCACCCCGTCAACGTGTAGGTTGTATATAAACTATGTGCAGTAAAAGCCCTCCTGGTCTCCACGCGCGGACCGGCCGGCCAAGGACCAACAGCGGCCGCTTGGGTACTGTACTAAATAATGTGCTCGGAGTCCGCCGGCCTTGCAACGAGGCGAACCCGAAGCATGCCCCTGTTTGATCTCGACCGCTCTGCTGTTGGCCCTCCCGGTGCCCATCCCTGCGCATCCACGTGTGGCCGGTTGGCACCGGACCGGGCCAAGGGGGGCCACCTTGGCGCCGAAGTGCGCCCTGCAACTCTCGCCGAACCGGTCACGATCCTGCCTGTTTGTGCAAGACTCGCAATCGCAATTTCACCATAGCAGCCTCCTTCGTCCACCAGGGCCTGTGCGACCAACTTGGGCATTTTACCCCGAGTCAAACAAAGGTTCGGCCACGGCCCGTGTCCAACGCCCGCCCGCTCGCTGGCATAATAAAGCAAAGGCAGCCGTCGCTAATTGACGGGCCCGTCGAGGCAACTGGCCCACCACACCTTTTTGCAGCACGCGTCGGCAAATGGCCCGTCTTGTCGCGACTGCTTGGACGGCGCTCGGCAAATGCACTCTCAACGCGAACGCAATGCATGCATGCAAGTACTAGGTAGGTACTGTACACTCCGGGGGCTCTATTCGTACTTTTACAGCCATGCACGTCTGACATGAGCCACCAAAACCACCTCTCGCTTCCCCACTGTTCCAGCAGTCCAACGCCTTGCTCGGCTCCGGGCCTCTGCCGCCAAGTGCCGGAGGCGGTCCATCCAGCGTCCTGGTAGCTCGTGGATCCCACTGGACCGGCTCTAAACAAGACTGCAGAACCCCTGGACTCTGATACTGCGCCCAAGATAGGCATGCACGCACACCAGGGGTTCCAAGCGACTCGGCACGTCGAAAGATGCGACGACTGCTTTCCACGGGCCTTGAACCAGCCAGCCATTTCTCCCCCGGACCGGCCTAGGGAGAACGCCAGGGCTGCGCCTCGAGCTTGTCTCGGCGCGGCCGAACCTTGCCGTGCCGGCGGAAGCAATGCATTCATTCATCGGCCGTTGAATCAAGGCTCGAGTCGGCTTGCCACGTTCTAGCAATGCAACGTGCGGCCAAGACCAACCACGGATGCACGTGACTTTGATGGCTCTCCCTGGATGGAGGCAAAGACATTATTATCCCACGTCGACTTTGCCGGCTCCCTCGCGGACCGCGGCTGGGCCCTCGGCCAGTCGTAGACGCTGCCAGCAAACAAAGCCACGGCCCCAGTTCCCTGAGAAAAAGGAGCAATCCCGGGGATGGGGTAAAGGGATGTCGCGGAATGTCTCAGCCTACTCTGCTAGTCTACCCCAACTTTCCCACTCAATCTCGGGCGTTCTTTTTGCTGAAGGAAGCGGCGCAGGCACCCCTGCCGCCTCCCGTGTCGTGCAAACAGGTCGCTAGTCGGTCTGAAGTTGCTTCGTGGCGAGCCGCGAGAACGACGAGGCTGCGGCGCCGACGCTCAACGGTACCGACCATGGATGGGCGCGACGATGGGCGCGCATGGCTCGCCGTGTAGCTCGCCGTGCAACTCGCCGCGCAACTCGCCGCGGCACGGCTCCAACTCAACGATTCTCTCGGAACCAAAACCCTCGGCTGCTGTGCGGTTCGAGCTGGAGGTGAAAGGTACAACGAAATGTACACATGTACTTGGTTGTTTGTCTGGATGAATGACGTCACGCGGAGCTCAATGTCCGTTGTCGCCACGACTTGAACGATGATTCTAGAGGGCCACAAGTCAACCTGCGTCACCGCCAAAAAAAACCAGCCTTGAAGCACGATAGCTTTCCCTCCATTCACTCGACGAAACGAAAGATACCTACATTATTCCAACCTTCGGTATACACCGGGCCAGGATCAGCCATCCACCTTTCTCAAGATGCCGTCCACTCTCCGCATCTCCAGCCGGCCCCTCGTCTCGCTCGCCGTCCGGGGCCGGACAATCCACAGCACACCGCGCGCGCCGCGCCCCTACAAGGATTCGCAGGACCGGGAGTCGCTCCAGCCGCGTTCGGCCGAGAACACAAAGTCGGGCCGGGACGACGAGCTGGCAGGCTACGGCGACGCCGCCTTCGACCCGCACAAGACCAAGCCCGAGCCGGAGGGGCGGATGGCCGGGGCGCGGTCCGACGGCAATCCGCTGGAGGCCAGCGGGGCCAACCAGGAGCTGAGCAAGCCCAGGGGCGACGAGAAGTCCAAGGCGGACCGGGGCGCGGGCGACGAGGTGCGCAAGGGGGGACGCAGTGGCAGTGGAAATGCGCCCAAGAAGGGCGAGCCGGGGAGGGTGTAGGAGGCGAGGTGGCGTTTGCCGAGTCTGCATCATTATCCGCGAGTGTTGGACGAGAAGGCTGATCTGTGGGAAGATGCCTTAGAGACTTGACCTGGAGAGTGTAGATGGTCCGAGTAATCGGCCTCGGAAGTACACACAGAGATGGCAGGGGAAGAAGACGGAAGGAGAACCAAGGACGCATTTCGCTTGGAATTAAGCGTTCTTCAAAAGATACAGGTGCGAACTAAAAAGATCCGGGGAGTCGTCAAGGCTTGTCGACGGGCAGTCTTGCAACCATACGTATGTAGATGCCCAGACTCTCACCCAAGGTTGCCAGAGGCCCGATCGTTGTAAGCTCCCACTCGCCATGCAATACGCGATTATCAATTATTAGTTTTTTAAAAATTGAGGAAGCTTTCCTATCGAGCACACACTCTGCTCTGTGTGTGTATTCATCTAATTTCACTTTGGGACGTGTGTGAGCCTGCGGGAGCGAGCAGGCGGCCCAGGAAGTGCACGTCATAGACGGCTCATGAGGCCTCCAATCAGCCCTCCAACTTCTCTTTATCCTCCAGTCCTTGGAACTGTCTTTCTTCTTATTCATTCTTGTTAGCATACTTTAAACTTGTAGCCCCGCTCCCAACGCTTCCTCGGTGGTGGATTGGACGGCTCGCCACTCTGTGCGCCGTGACAGCTTACCCTTGGCAACCAAGGCGACTGGACAATAACAGTTGACAAAGACGCGCCCCACATTGAATGGGACCCGTCAGCAAGCTGCGCATCATTTCTCGAGCGTGACGCAACCTGGTCCAAAGGATTTTTGTGCGTCTGTTGGTTGTTCATACCTACATCCAGTACAGTACTGTATGCATGTGAGGCATCTACTAGGTAGGAAAGGTACCCAGTGAGTGGCACATAACGTCAGCGGCGAGTCAAAGGGCCTTCTCCTCCTCTTCCTCCTCCTCTGCGGCAAGGCCAGCTGATGCGCCGCAGCATAGTACATTCTATATCGTCCTGCAAGGTCCTGTTCGCCTCGACGCCGCTATCCTCGCCCGCCTGCCCCTCGTCTTTTGGCACTTCGCCACTTGCCCGTCGGCGGCTCCTACCAACACCCCTCTTGCGTCCTCCCAGCAGCGCCTCGCCGCAGACGACGACGACGCCCACCATGGCGTCTCCTGCCAAAATCGACCTGTCCTGTCTCTCCCCCGACAAGGACACTGACAACAAGGACGGCGCCGCCCGCGAGGCCAAGATGCTCGACGTCCTCTCCGCCGCCGTCAACAGTGCAGAGTCCACCGACGCCGCCGCCGCCACCGCCGCCACCGACCTCGACAAGCTCTACCGGGCCGAGAAGCCGGATGCCGTCGAGGACTTTCTCTGGTCCCTGTGGATGCTGCTCATCGCCACCGTTAAAAAGGTGCCTGCCGACGACGCGCGCCAGCAGCTGCTCGTCGAGACGGTCGCCCAGCTCACCAGGAAGCGCGACGACCCCGTCAAGCTTTGGGGCCAGGATACAAAGGTCTGGTCCGAGCTGCCCATGCTGGGCCCTTGCATGCGCGATGCGTGGAACCGTAAGTGCTTCGTCGGCGCGTGTCATGGCCGCTGCTGATGGCGATGCCGCATCGACAGTCCGCCCCAAGCTCAACGGTTCTGACCAAGATAACGACGCCATCCGCGAGTGGATCTCCCTCAACTCCTTTGCCGCCCGCATGTTTGGCCAAAAGCTGCAGTCCTGGGTCAACCTTGCCATCTGGGAGCTGCGCGCAGCTCTCGAGGAGCAGCTTCCCGAAGCCTCCCCCACCACCGCCAAGGACGCTAGCCTGGCCACGGCGTGTGAGTGGATCATGCACGCGGGCGAGGCGTTGCATGAGCAGGGCCTCCAGACCCAGAGCTTGGACGACATGGAGAAGCGGGCGCTGAAGCCGGGGAAGCTGTTCAGCAGCCAGACGTCTGGGCTGAGCAACGAGCGGTGGACATTCTGGCGCGAGAGGCTGGGGGAGGTGGGCGCTGGGGCCGGGAGCGGCGAACTGAAGGAGAGGGCTCAAAAGGCTGTGGACAAGATGGAGGGACTTGAGGGCTGATATGAGCTTCATGCGCATGCCGAGTAGCCATTGCAGAGTCCATTTGTTGGTTAAAACATCTCGACGTGGAGGGCAGTTTTCTTTTTTGGAGGAGAGAGAGAGAGACAGATGTAGAGAATCCTTCTCAAAACATCCTCTCAAGCTGAGAGAATCGTCGCCCGCCACTCTGCACGGTCCGTGCCGGCGGCCAGGGACGGACGCTTGCTCTTCTCTGTACGACATAGGGAGAGCAACATAACTTCATGCCAACACAACAAGGGGGATTGGAAAGATATTGGTTGCCCTTCCTGTCAAGCTCCCGCGCCAACAACCTTCAACCGTCTCCCTGGTTTGTGAAGTATGTTTTTATTTTCCACCTGTTTTTAGGCATACATCATATCGGCATCGTCCTCCTCGTCGTCGGCAGCCGCGGGGACGGGCGAGCGTTTCCTAGAGCCCATGTCCTCGCGACACATGGGACAAGTGCCCTTGCTGCGCAGCCATGGCCCGACGCACTCGAGGTCGAAGCGATGGCGGCCCTTGCAGGGCAGCTCGACGACGAGGCACCACTCGTCGTCGAGGTAGGGGACCTTGCAGATGGCGCAGTCATCATCGCGGGCGAGCGTCTTGCGGCCGACGCGGTCAAGGGTGTCGACAAACTCCTGGCTGACGCCGCGGAGGTGGGCGGGGGGGTCGTGGATATCGTCGTCGAGCGAGGCCATGAGCTGCTCGAGAAAGGCGCGGTTGTCCGGGGTGGGCGCGGTGCTGTGCAGCGTGTGCAGCTGGTCCTGCAACAGGCGGAAGAGGGCGGCCGTGTCGACGGGCGTGGGCGTGGCGTGCGGGTTGTTGTGGGGGGAGTCTCGGCCCGACGGCGAGCTGAGCATGTTGAGCAGGGCGAAGAAGGGGGCCATGTCGACGCGTCGCGTCGGGCGCCGGGGCTCCGAGAGCTCGACGTTGTGCTCAACTGGCATTGGCGGGCGTGAGCATGAGCGGGTGAAGCGGGTGCCTGGAGGGACGTCTTTTACCTTCGTATTGCGTCGCCATGGTGCCTGGTGTCGTCTTTTCCTCGTCTTCCCCTTTGCTTGCCCTCGGGCGATGGGAGAGGCGAGGGGAGTCGAGGAAGAAGAAAGTGAGGGGAGTCGGAGGAATACGGAGCGGGCTCTCGAGCTGCGAATCCGAAAGACTCGAGAGTGTTGGCGGAGTTGACGTATGCTTATGTAGAATTGGAGAGCAGGTCCAGCTGCTACTGTACGTACCTACCTAATCGGTATCCGCCTAGAGCTGCTAGTAGTGGGTGTAGGAGCAGGCAGAGGCGGCGTCGCAAGCAGGTGCCGAGGGGCGCTGGGGCAGTGAGGGGTGGTGACCCTGAGCTCCCATCTCTGCTTTAATTACCTACAGGGCGCTTGGGGCACCCCGTCCAACCGGTAGACGGCAAACCGGCCGCTATAGAGCCTCGACGCCGATCCCATCTGCGGGTGTAACTCGAGTAGAATTCTGCCTTCCGTGATTCGTATTTTCCACGATAAACCAACCTGACCAAAACGTCATTCCCGTGCCACCCCAACCACGCACCATGTCATCCCCGGCCGCCGTCATCGGCTCGACGGGCCTCGTCGGCTCCCACATCCTGTCGACCCTGCTGGCCAGCGCCGAGGCGTACCAGCCCGTCTACACCATCACGCGCCGCGCGCCCAAGGCTGCTGCGGCGGCGGACCAGCAGCAGCAGCTGCAGACCATTGTCGACGCCGACACAAGCAAGTGGGCAGCAGCGCTGTCGGGCCTCGCGCCCGTGCCCGCGGCCGTCTTCTCGGCGCTCGGGACCACGCGCGCCGCGGCGGGCAGCATCCAGAACCAGTGGAAGATTGACCACGACCTCAACGTGGAGCTGGCGCGGGCGGCCAAGGAGGCGGGCGTGGCCACCTTTGTCTTTGTGTCGAGCGGCGGCACGCGCGGCATGCTCTCGGGCATGGCGCCGTACAGCAAGATGAAGAACGGCGTCGAGGACGTGGTGCGCGACCTCGGCTTCGACCACGCCGTCATCCTCAAGCCCGGCGTCATCCTCGGCCAGCGCGAGCAGAGCAGGTTCGCCGAGGGCCTCGCCCAAACCGTCGCCCGCGGCCTCGGCAGGCTCGGCGCCGGCGTCCAGGACATGGTCGGCCAGGACGCGGACGTCATTGCCCGCGCCGCCGTCAGGGCCGCCCAGCTCGCCGCTCAGGGCAAGGCCCCGGCCAAGTACTGGGTCGTCGAGGCCAGCGACATTGTCAGGCTCGGCCGCACCGAGTGGCCTGCCGCCCCGGAGACGTCGGCGACGTGAGAGTCGAGGGAAGCCTGCCTGCTACCCACGACCTGCTGTTGATGATGGGTCATGGCGAGCGAGGGACAGGCGGATTGCTCCCGGGGAAGAGAGGATGGATTTCGAGTCCTTTAGTTCTTGTTGCTCTCAAAGATTCCACTCTAGTCAAAGTTGCCTTGCACCCAGAATATGCTTGGGCTTGCTTCACGCTGTTGTCGTCCTGTTTAATATATCACTCGCTCCTTCTTCTTCGCATCGTCCCGCTTACGTCAACAGGTTGGAATCATGCCGACAGTTGCAGCTACCCTTCGACATGCCCCCGGACCGGACCGCCCCACCGGGCCACTGACGAAGCTCGCTGCCCCATCATTAGCCTCGCTGCCTCGTCTCTGCTTACGAATTGAGTCACCGATTCCTGCTCTCGCACCCTCGCGCTTGTCTCTTGTCCAGTCCATCTTCACAACAGCGCTCATCGAAACCCACCTGAGCGTGTCTGCTTGTCATTGCTTTTCAGCCCCAGACGACGACGGTCTCAAAAATAGAATAAGAAGTGCGGCGACGTCATCATCATTCCTCTCAGTCACTCTCTCTCGCGCACTCACCCAACGCCCCGTCCAAATGTCTGCCTCGCGCCCCGACATTGTCGGCTCCGACAGCGGTCCCGAACTCCCCTACCCGCTACAGATGGAGGGCAAAGTCATTGCCGGCTTCGGCCGCGGATCCAAAGAGGTATGCCCATCGCACCCCTCATACCGAGAATAGCCCAAGAAATCGTGCGAAATTGCAATGCAAACAACGGCTCGCAGCTCGGCATCCCCACCGCAAACCTCCCCGTCGACGCCTCCCTCACCTCCTGGATCGCCGACACCCCCTCGGGCGTCTACTTTGGCTACGCCTCCCTGGCCCTGCCCGCCGACCACCCCGACCGGCCCGCCGACGACGCCGGCTTCGCCCTCTTCCCCATGGTCATGTCCATCGGCTACAATCCTTTTTACAAAAACACGGTGCGTAGCGCAGAGGTCCATGTCCTCCACCCCTTCTCCGCCGACTTCTACAACGCCCACATGCGCCTCCTCATCCTCGGCTTCATCCGCCCCGAAAAGGACTATAAGAGCCTCGATGCCCTCGTCGACGACATCAAGTTCGACTGCGACGTCGCCGCAAAGAGCCTCGCCAGAGACGCCTGGAAACCCGCCTCGGCTTCGGCTCAGGGCGCCGAGTGGCTGGCCAGGCCGCTGTGAAGACGCCTCGCACCGTCAGCTGCGTAGTCGCACCACCCAAATCATCTGGTCGAGCCATCATTGATTGTTCCAACTACCTACGTATCCACGCCGGGGTATCTTCTTCGTCATCTGCCCTCCTATCCATGCCGCCAAGTCCCGGGGTCCAGCGTCCGCCTCGCCGTCCTCGAGGGGCACACCCAGTGGATTCCACCTCCATGGGGCCAAACAAATCCAGTCCTGAAAACCCTGGCTTCAATCATGTCATAAATATTTGCCACGCAATATCTCGGCAGGCAACGAGTCCATAGTTGGCTAGGAAAGGGCTAAACCGCAAGTTGATGAGGTTCCTGGTTGGGATAATACCTCGGCAAAAACTAGACGACGCCGTTAGCTTGGCAAGCTTCTCGTCAGGCATCAAGAGAGACCATTCCGACTCACGTTCATTATGATCATCATGGGAATGTCAAAAACGTCTCGTTTGATGGTCCAGCAGTACGTGCAGTTCACCTTGCCATCCTTCTCAATGCGGGATATGCCGTGTTCCCCGTCGATTCGCGTCACGCGGCTGCTCAAGATGCTCGTCCTGTCATCTTTGCGTGACGCGTCGTCCTTGCCGTCAATCTCTTCTTGGGTCCGGTACTTCATCAGGCAGCAGTTTCGCTGCACCTTGCCGCGGCTGTCCTCGAACGCCAGCTGCGCAAAGTCGCGGTAGAACTGCACCACACTGTCATCGTCCAGCAGCTCGGCAAGAAATACAGGCTGCGGCCGGCCGCCCGTGCTGGCCTCAGCCACTGTACTCTGCACGCCGGGAGTCGAGTCTTCGGTCCGGGAGCCCTCGTCGCCGCCATTGGTGGACTCAACATTGGACGAACAGCGGACGTGCACGTTTCGGTTGGGCTCTTTGCCCAGCAGTACCTCTTTGGTCCATCCCGTCAGGGCTGTAAACTCCTTGTTAACCGCGGCCACCTCGCCGGATCGGCGGCAGACAATGGTGGGGGCGCAGCAGTGCTGAAGAAAGTCATCAAACTCGACCAGGGTTCGCTGGAAACACTTTTCCATAAACACTAGGTCTTCGCGCGTCAGGTTCTTGGTGCACGCAATAAATGATGGCCGGATCTCGCCCAGTGACCTGACAATATTGACCAGCTTTTCAAGTGGCAGCCGATCATGGAGGACCGCAATCATGTTGTGGAAGCCGGCAGTGTAGGGGTACGGCTCCCTGACGCTCGCGTAGATGGCTGCCGAGTCGCGTTGTCGCTTGCCCAGGATGGACTGGGCAATCTTGTCCTGTTTCGACTTGATCCTGGACGCGTCCGGCACGTTGGGCAAGCTACCAAAGGCGCCTGTGCTGGGAGAGCCGTCCAAAGCAGTCTGGGGGCTCGATGTCGCGTCGGTGCTCGGGCTGGTGAGGCCCGTCGGCCCTGCTGCAATGGCGTAGGCGTGCGGCAGGCCGTGCTGCAGGTTTCCTTGGGTATAAATGCTTGCACCGGCGTCGACGCCAGGGTACTCGCTGCCCAACAGGCTCGAGGCATCGTAGGCTCCGTTGGTGCCGTTGGCGAAGAGTGCTGCATAGTTGGCCTCGTTAGAGGGCGTCTGCGACATGGCGTTTTCGCGGGGAGACGTTTCAGCCCCCAAGCCCATCTTGTTGAGGATGCCAAACTCCCAGCCGGCATACTGGCTGCCAAAGTCGAGGCCTTCCAGGTCAAAGTTATACAGAGCCGGATTGCTGGGATCAAACAAGGCGTTAAAGTCCATGGGGTTGCCCTGCAGCATGCCATCCACCTGCGGCTGGGCATTGGCTGCTGGGTTGGCCTGGAAAGAGGGCGAGACTGGCGAGGTTTGAGGGTTGAATGACAGGCCTTCTGGTATCCCTACTCGACCTCGAGATTCGGCCGGATAGACGGGGAACGATGCCGTGTTGTTTTGACCAAGGAAGCTGCCTCCATGTGCCGTGGTCGACAGATCCGACTGTACCGAGTTCTGACGCTGGCCGTTTGGTCGCGCGCGTGAGGTGCTGGTGCTGTAATTGGGGCCGAGGACCGGTCCAAGGGCCTCCTCGGGTGCGTCGTGGAGATATTTCGCCTTTTTCCGCACGCCGTCCTGGCAGGCATCGGCGAGGCCACGCTTGATACAGCGCTTGCAGGGTCTCTCGTCACCTACGCAGACCAAGTTAGCTCATGTACTGACCAGTTATGATGACCGCAGAACGCGGGACCGGTATGGTACCGAAAGCTCATTGCTCGAGCCCGACAGGAGCTGACCGGAGCAAGGCATTCAAGACCCGCTTGTAGAAACTCACTTACCGCACGTGAGATGAGCTCTCTGACAGGCGAAGCAGGCTCTCCTCGCCTTCTTTCTCCTTGGCCTCAGGGGATCCTTGGGGTCGTACTTCTTTTTGATGCCGCCGGCACCATTCGCCGAGTTATCAATCATCTTGTCGTCTTCCTTGGCAAAATATTCCGACTCGTCGTCAATCTCAGAAGCATGATCCGAGACGTCGCCGGTTTCCTCCATGTCGTCGGGCATTTTGTGCTAGTCTTATAATAGCGGCGCGGCTTCGGCTTCCCCCTTTTGCTGGCCCGCGAATGCTCCTCACACACGGACGAGACGGCTATGCGAGCTCCAGTCCCCAGGCTCCTGGCCCCCCCATCCATCCAAATGCTTGCGGAACCACACAAAGGTAGGCCTCCGTCACACTAAGACTGAGCCTGAAGGAGTGAAAGGGTGGGGGCAGACCGCTAGCCAGCATAGGTGTGTAGGATGTTTTGAGTACGCAGTTTGGAAGCAAGCCAACGCAACTTGGTAGGTGAAGGGGACTTGATTACTGACTTGCTGCTCGTTGGAAGTGCTTGTCGGTTCGGGCTGAGACAGACAGATGGCCGAGACGTGGTTGGGCGACCAGAAGTTGTGCTTGCTGTCGAGAGGGGGATTGCTGTGGCTTCCCGCGCCAGGTGATCGGGCGCGTTGCCGAAACAAGAGTTATTAGACGTCAGGACGTGCTCGTATTCTCCGCAGAGTAGAGCGGGCGAGGTCCAATGGGTTGGTGATAAGCCCAAGGGCGAGGCGTTCCTGTGTAACGGAGAGGCTGGACAGGCGGGCGGCGGCGTGGACGGCTGTCTGAGGGGCCCGAGGATCCCGGGGCGAAGTGGCGCACCCAGGCAAAGCAAGTTATTTAGCAGAAGTAGCTGCTGCTGTTGGTTATGGCAGCAAGATAGAAGAGGACGGCGATGGTGGTATTGCTGTCGTCGGTCGTCGTCGAGTTCGATGATGTTGGATAAGGTCTTGGCGCGTGGCGAGGGGAGCGGGGTGGCGTTCTGGGACTTTAGGCCGTGGCCATCCTTTTGTTGCCCCTACGTCGGAGGGATGCCAATCCAAGAGGAGAGGCTGAGAGTGAGACTGTCGATGGGTGGGGGCTCAGACGCAGCTACCCGTGGCCCATGTGGTGGCCGGCATGCACCATCAACCTGGAGTTGGCTCTACCGAGGAGGCGCAGTATTGGGCAAACGGGCAACGGCGCGCAGGACGGCGTAGACGACAGGAGCTGGTGGAAGCCGCGGTGCAGCCGTCACGCAGAGATGAGGCATGCAAGACGGACAAGCGCACCACGTTTTTGCGTAGTGATTCGTCGGTAGCCGCTTGGCGCAGGCGGACAGCGCGTCGCAGTCGAGAGGGAGAAGCGGGAGTTGAGTGAATGGGAGGAGGAGAGCGAGAGTGGAGAGGGGGAAGGGGACGAGAGAGGGGAGGGGAGGGGAGATGGCGACAGCAGGTACGTCGGGCGGTTGGCGTGGTGTTGAAGAGTCCAGCAGAGCCTTCACAAAGTATCGGCAAGTAGAGGCTGCAATCCCGCCGCTCGAGGCATCCAAGTCGCGAGCACTTAAACTACCGCCTACAGTGTTACCATGGGAGAGTCGTCTAGGCTTGACGAGGCAGGCAATTCGTTGGCGATGGCGGAGTCGTGAAACAAACGCGACCAGGCGTCGACTTTGGCATGTGTGTTGCAGCGTGGATGGACGGGAGGCATGTGCGGCTTCTGAATGCGGGGGAGGCTCCCGGCGGGCCTCAGTGGTCGCTGCAATAAGATAATTAAGCCACAGGCTTACCTAGCAAGTGCTTACGTACACCCCCACCCCACTGCGGGTGACTAAACACGTGCCGAATTGGATGCAAGCCGAGGACGCTGCACCTCGGACCTGGCCAATCAAGCGCTCAGACGCTGACATGGCTCTGACTTGGCCCGAGGTTCACGGCACTGACGAAGAGCTTTGGCAAGAACTGATCTTGGTCGACATGAAACAGTTTATTTTTAAAGCTGAGGCAATATTGGATTACGGGCGTCATCTGATCCTTGACGCCTTTGCCTTTCCCTGGGGGGAAGCTTCGTAACTCGCTCAAAGTATCAAGTACCTTGCGAGCGGTGAGAATTGCCGTCGTCTCGTCAGCCGGGGCTGGGCGCCAAGACGCACCAGGGGCTGCAGGCAAGTCCGTCAGAGCACATTGGGAAATGGGAGGCCGCTCACTTTACCAGCCGTCGATTGGCAATGGCCATTACGTGTTGCGGCATCTTGACGTCTCCGTGGTTGGCAGCGGCCCCAAAGGTGACGTCTGCTTCGTACCTGGTACTTGATAAACGTGTGCAGCGTGATACCAGGTGGGTAGTTTGCCGGCCCACTTGCGGGCCCGCTTCGCTACCGATCAATGGGCACCTGCCAGATTCCAGGTACAGTACTTGACAATTGCAGGGAGGTCCAGTGAGACGAGACGGGGCACCGTGCCTGGCAGACCGCTAGGCCACGCCCGATAGCGGGTACTAGTCCCTCGAAGATATCACATTCAGGATCTCGGGTAAATCTGGGGTAGACCACAGATGAGACAACCTCAAGAGACAACCTCAAGAGGCAATCTCAAGAGACACCCTCAAGAGACACCCTCAAGAGACACTCTCAAGAGATCTCCTCTCGACGGCCTACCTACGTTATGCCTCCACACAGACTGAAATCGCACTCGATGCTGCTCCGCCAACGCAGACCATCGAGGACGGCATGACCAGCCAGCTATTTGCAGCCAACACGACGGCTGCACACCATCGTGGCCAACTTCGTCTGTCCGCGACTCGAGCCTCCTCGCATCCCGGTTGCGCGAGCGGCGGCGATACAGCATCCATCGGCGGACATGGCTGGCGCGCAACCTCGAGGGCTTTGCCCCCTCTCTCTGCCTCCAACACTTCTCGAGGTTTCCCTCCACCCCTCCCTCCTCGACGACCACTTGGCTCCTGACCGTGGCAAGTCGTACAAATGCCATCCATCCATAGGTACGCGCACACATATCTGCATGGCTTTCGGCACCATTCATCATGGCCCTGTCCGCATGGGCCGGCCTCTGAGAGATGCTCTTAGCCGAGCGGCCGAGTCTCGCCGCCGCCTCCTTTCGCAGCTCGTTCTCCTTGGTCCATGTGCGTCCGCCGCCCGTCGTCGCATCGATGCCCAGTCAACCATACGTGCTGACTCCGCTATCAGTGCATCTCAACAAATGCAGACACACGTGCGTGTAACCCACCTCGTCCTTTACTTCACAGGTTCGCGCTCCTGAATCCCGGCCCTCTCGCCCCATCACCTTCCCCTCCCAGGTCTCCCTCTCTCTCTCCATGCCGTGTCCCGCGCCCTCGCAGGCACAAGGTGTCATGACCACATCTTGACGGCAGCCGGCGTGACGTGCTGCCAGCTTGAGCTACACCAGCTCCTTGATGACATCTCCCGCCACGGCCAACCGATGGCCGCGAGTCCAGCTCTGCCCAACACGGTGGGCAGCAACTCGGCCGGGCACCTTCAACTGCCCTCCTGACCTGCATGGGTGCGGCTCCAAGTACACCGACACACGTCTGGCATGTATGTGGGCGCACAAAGACGCAGGCATGGCTTGTAGGGCCAAAACGAGGCCCTGCGTCATATCACGCCGTCCACGTACGGGCCTCGTATCTCCTGCGCTGGCCAACGCGCCGCTCACAGGGTAGGGGCATGGGCATGCTGCTCGTCATCTGATGCTGCTGACGAGTTGCCCGTTACGCTCGACATGCCGAGTCTCCTTAACGCCGAGCCTGGAGTCCCATGTCCTCGTTAGGCCGCCCGAGCGTCTCTTCTTGGCACGATTACATCCCTGTTAGTTCTTGGCAAACCGACTCTTGTCTCGAATTCGCTTGCCATATCTGAAGAAAATGTACGGGAATGGGAGCATGACGACGGTCAGGAATGCAAGCAGGGACGAAGCCCACTGGTAGCCCAGCTTTTGGTACATCTGGTTGCCGAACAGTGGGAATGCCGCTGTGATCCTGAGTTAGCATCATCTACGTCCTACGTTCGACGGCAGAAGCAGGCCGAGCCCGTAACCCGCGGGCCGCGCGGATTTCAGGTCTTCTCACCGGCAAAGAGACAGCGGATGAATGCGTTGGCCGCGAGGGCGCTCGCGGCGTACAGTGGATAGGCGTCGACCTTTTGTTGGTCGAGCTTGTAAGCAAGACGGCAAATCCTTTTGCCTGGGCGGGCATCGGTCGACTCACAAGAAAGGTAAAGATGCTGGTGAACAGCAACACGTTGCTGTGCCACGCTCATCGTCAGCACCAGATCTTCGGCAATGCGAGATGGTCAAAGAGAAGTCTCGATGCCCTGCTGGCGGCATGGGCCGAAGCAAACCTGCCTCGACCGCTGCACGAGCCAGCCGGCCAGGCTACACCACCTCGCCAAGCAGGGTCAGAGCGCGGCTGCGAGAAACGGCTCTCCCAACCCAACTGGACCTCAAGCTATGGCACAGCAAATGAACTGGCATGGGCTTGCCCCCACTCCCTTTGCTTCTCCCACAGCACGAGCCGTCTTTGATGGCCATGCTGTGTAATGCGGTGGCTGAACACGACTTACCCGGTTCCAAATATGGCCGATCCAATGATGGGAACGATCCAATGCACCCACGGATACGTTGACCAGCCAAACATGAACAGGCCGACAGGGACGAGGAGGGAACCAAGAATGGCGGGGGGGAGTCGAAACTCGGGCTCGCTGCCGTCCTTAACCCCGGTCACTCGCTCGTGCCTGCGAATGAGGTTGGCACGGATGCGGTGCCACAAGGGATCAGATGCCACTCCAAGAAGCATGGCTACCATGATGCCCAAGAAGGCCAGGCCCGTCTGCCAAGGTTGAAGCCGTGGTTGGTGCCGAAGACGAGGGGAAAGGCCCCGAAGAAGAGATAGAGGATGCCCAGAAGCAGCGCAGAGAAGATGCAGAGGTTGAGACACATGGGCTCGAAGATAAGGAGCTGAAATGGGCGAAGCAGCGAGCGCCCAACGGCGCGCGTGACCGACCGTTCGACCATGTCGGCCGGGACGATCCATCTGTCGTCTCCAGTCTCCGCCCGGAGCCTGCGCGCTTTGTTCCTCAACAAGATGGGGTCTGGCACGTTCACCCACATGAGCGCATGTCAGTGCATCATGTCCACCGAACAGATGAACGCCGAGTCCTCGAATCGGGAAGGGCAAAGAGGAAATAAGGGGTCGGAGGGACAGGGGTACGTACGGTACGTTTCGGGAACGAAGAAGATGATGGCGACCCAAAGAGCGAATGTCCAGATGATGAGCACGTAATACGTCCAGCGCCAATCAACGTTGTAGTTGATGAAGCCACCTACCAAGGGGCCGAGACTGGGCCCAATGAAGGGGGACATGGAGAAGAAAGCCATTGGGGCATGCAGCTCGTCCTTTGCGAACAAATCGCCCACGGTGCCGCCCGACACGGCCAGAAAGGCACTGCCGGCAAAGCCGTCCATGAAGCGGAAGACGAGCAGGACGGCAACGTGCTTGGTCACGGCCTGCGGGATGAGCCAGACAAGGTAGGTGGTCCAAGCCACGAGGTAAATGGGCCGCCGGCCGTAGAACTCGCTGAGCGGGCTGAGGAACATGGGCCCGAAGCTGATGCCCAAGACAAAGGTAGACAAGCCGAGCACGGAGACGATCCTAGAGTTGTGGAATTCGGCCTCCATCTTCTCGTACGTCGACGTGTAAATGGAGCTGGCACAAGTGCTGCCGGCCGGCGACGTTAGCAAGCAGGGGCGTCACCCTCTCTCTCTCTTGCATCCGCGCCATTTCTCGTTTCCTCGGATAATCAACTTACACGCATAGGCTGGCATGCGAGACGATGATGACAATCAGCCATTTGCGGCCCCAGCCGAAGCTCCGGGGGCACATGGGATCGCTGTCGCCTCCGTCCCAGTCGACCTCGAACGCATGCTTGTCCCGGGGCGGCGAACCGGCCGCCTCGCCGGCATCGGCGGACTTGTCGGATACGCCGTTGCTGTTTCGCGACCGAGTCCGATGCATGGCAGCGGGCGGCGAGTGCTGGCTGGAGCGGGACAGGGTGGAGTCGTCCGAGCCGGGGCCCGGGCCATCCGCCGTTGGCGATTTGGGCCGATTCGACAACGGCCGTTGGGCGTTCTGTGCTGGGCCCATCTTTGCGGTGGCACTGACTTTCACGTCAGGAGCGAACATCGATAGACCAACGGCATGAAGACACGCAAACCGGGGGACTTTATAAGCCGGGCTGGGACCTTGGCAAGGACGGGCATAGGGGTTGATGGCTTGAACCGAGACTAGTCCGGAGCCCGAGATGCTGCTGATTAGAAATCTTCGCTTTAGTCTCCGTCGCCGGCCATTGTCGACTCCCCAGGCCACTAGCGACCCGTCCTCGTCCTCGTCCAGGGCACCGAGGCCGCAGACGGGCAAGGGAAGCGACGGCGTCGGATATGAGGCGGTGATAAGGCCGCCAGAGCCGAGGCCGGCGCTTGGGGGAGGAACGTTGAATGCATAACCGTCAGCCTGCACCGATGGCGTCAAGACATGGGCTTGCGCGCAAGAGGCAATGAAGATGCCGCCGCACTTTGCTTCTTGGATAAGAGAGAACAAGGCGTTACATGGCCTGTTTCATGGAGGAATAGACGGATAGTGGGATTCACACCATGCACCAACGTTTGGTTTTCACAGCGACAAAATCCTTTTTACTTGCTAAATACAACACTAGCCCGCTCTTCTATATTGCACATGGATGCTGTAGTATGCCGAGTTCTGTCCGATGGCTGTTCCTGTCACGTCCGCAAATCCCATGCCGGTCCGAATTATCCGCCCCTGCCGGCCTGCACGTTATATACAACAAGTCACAAAAGCAAACAGGTGCAATCACACCATCATCAGTACGTCTCGGACAGGCCGTCCTTGGCAAAGTCGGGCACGTCGGCGTCGCACTTGAAGTCCGGCTCGTAGGCCTTTGCCGGGAGGATGCCGGCCTCGAGGCCAGCCTCGTAGCTCCACAGCGGCGCGCTCTCCGTCTTCCAGGTCCAGTACCACCAGCCCCAACCCTTTTCGAAGCTGTGCATCTGGGCCTCGGCGAACATGCGCAGGAATTTTTTGTAGTCGGCGCTGAACTGGGCCGGGTCCTGGTTGGCCTTGGAGCACGAGCACGAGGCGTCCTTGGCCGGGCAGCGCGGCGTCAGCGTCGACGTGGCCTCGTCGCCCGTGTCGTAGGTGCCCTGCCAGCGGTTGCCCCAGCCGACGCCCGTCAGGTGCCTGGCGCAGTCCGTGTCGGCCTGGGACCACTCGGCGAAGACGGTGGGGCCGTGGCCGCGGGCCGGGTCCATGCTCAGCTCCGTCTGCTGCGTCCAGCCGTCGCAGGCGTACTGCACCTTTTTGCGGTGCGTGAAATCGATCTGGTTCTCGTTGAAGATGACGTACTGGTGCACGTCGAGCACCATGTCGCCGGGAAGCAGGCCCTGCCACTTGTCGAGGCCCATGAAGCCGTCGCCAAAGACGACGAGGGCGTCGACGCCGTTGCCGCGCACCACCTTGTTGGCCGCCTTGGTCCACGACACGACGTCGCCGAGGGGCAGGAACGTCATGCGCGGCTCGTTGACCAGGCCGTAGTGTGTCACGATGTTGCGGTACCGCGCCTGCGCAAAGAACTTGGACAGGCGGTCGTGCAGCTCGAGCGAGCGCTTGGCGTTGGTCTGGCCGTCGGTGCCGTTGAACCAGCCGATGGCGCCGAACCGGCCGCTGTGGTTCCAGCCGTTCTGGCTGCCCGGCAGGCTGTGCAGGTCGAGGTTGACGCGCAGGCCGTGCTTGCGCGCCCACTCGATGCCGCGCAGCAGGTAGCGCCACGAGGTGCGGAAGACGTACGGGTCGCCGTCGTAGTTCTCGACGGCCCAGTGCGAAAAGGGGATGCGGACGTGGTCGAGCCCGGCCGCCGCAATGGCCCGGAACGTGTCCTCGCTCACAAACGAGTCGTAGTGCGCCTCGAGGGTCTTGGCCGCCGACGCCCCGAGGTGCTTGCACAGGTTGTACTCGTCGACGATGCCCAGCTTGGCGTTGTAGTTGAAGAGCGAGGGCGTGATGAAGGGCTCGAGCGTCAGCCACCCTCCCAGGTTGACGCCGCGCGCCGGCTTGTCGCCGTACGAGCCCCATTTGTCCTGGAGCGGCGGCACCTTGTCGTTTGCGCGGTTGGAGTCGTCCCAGTCGGTGAAGAGGCCCATGACGGGCAGCCCGCCCACCATCTCGTCGGTAAACGTCACGTTGAAGTCCTTTGTCGTCTGCCACGCCCAGGGGTCGAGGTACGTGTTCTGCCACTTGGCCGGTATGTTTGCGCGGTCTTTGCCCTCGAGGCTCGAGTCGGCCGACGAGTCGCCTGCCTTCTTCTTGCTCACCACCACGGCCACGACGACGACGATGACGAGAACGACGATGCTGCAGCCCAGCAGTATCCCTGGTTCTGCTCGTCAGTCCATGCGCCCGTCGCAACACGGCATCGGCCACTCACAGAGTTTCTTCCTTGACTTCTTCTTCCGAGGCCGCTGATACAGGTCCTCCTTCTCCAAGCTCTCTTCGCTCCAGCCTCCTCGGCCTCGCAGACCGGATCGTCCGACCCGACCCTCCTCCATCATCGCTCCGCTGACCACCCGCCTCTTTTTCCCCTTCTTATTGCTCTTGTGTTGATGGTGCTTTCGAGTCTTTGGCGGCGGCGGCGGCTCGGGGGCGGGCACCTCTTGTCGTCGCGTTCGTTCCCGCCGTTCGGCTCTGGGCTTCTGCCGGGCATGTTGTCGGTTCAGCTGCGCCAACGCTCCAGCCGAGAGCCCTTGAGACGACCCCTCTCTTCTGCTCTCGTCGGTCGACGTCGCCGGCCTCCTCGTGTGCGTCTTCCTCTTGCGATGCTGGTTTCTTTTGGATGCTTCGCCCCCATGTCGATGGCGAGCTCGGTTTGCGGGCCGCGAGGGGGATTCCTGCGGTGCCATGGCTTGTGGAATGCGGGCGCACAGGTGAAAAAGGGGCGTGTAGATTCTATGCGAGTGAGTGTGGAATGTCTTGCCAGCGCACGTCATCCAGCCGAAATCAAGGCGCGCTGACCCTGGCCAATTCGGCGGCTGTTGACCGGGCAACCATCTTATCAGCGGATCAGGGGGGGCTTGTCACTCAGGCGAGTCGGTACCGAGGAGGTTAGTCCATTTCGCCATGCCTTGAGGAACGAAAGGACTTCATTAGCGCGCGGGGAAAAAAGGCCCCAGACTGCTTCACCCCCACATCCTCCGCCTCTGATTGGCTGATTTATTTCCTCTTTCGGAATAAAAGATCCCGTGTGATTGGTCGCCGACCCTTCCGTCCCTCCCTCATCATTGGTCGCTGCCGCCTTCTCTTGCCCCTCTCATGCCTTGCCCTGTTTCCCCCCCGTTTATACTCCTGTTTACCCCCTTGCCAATGCCAATGCCAACCTTTCCTTTCGTCCGCCGGTTTTCTTATTGTGTCTAAAACTTGCGTCTTTTGTCTTTGCCCTTTTCGTTCATGCCTTTCTAGCGGGTTCTTCCTTCAAGTCTAAAAGTCGCCCCTCGTTGATCGCTGCTGCCCAGTGCCCTTGTCTTCTTGCCCGCCGGCGCTCCTCCGTCTTCTCCCCTCGTCACCTCACCCTGACAACTCTCCTGACTCTTCAGCGTCGCCATCCGACCGACGCAAAGCTTCCTCGACAGTCCTCTCGCTTAGCACCTCCAGCCTGGCCTGCGCGGCGGTCATCTCTTCGGGGACTCGGTTGCCCACCAAGTCTCTCCCGCACCTTGGACACGAGCGTGATGCCGTCTAGCGTTCGACAGCGCGATAGCTGCACATATAAGCTGTACGGGTCGCATTGCGAGGGCACGGCCCTTCCATCGACTTTCGTCGTCCGTGTCCCCGCAGCTCCAGGGCCACGCGCTCTGGCGTTCTGCCCTGCACCTTGTAGTCCGTGCAGGCGAAGGCTGCTGCGCACGGCAATCCCTTCCGGCTGACGTCGTTCTGCTGCCACGGCCGCTTTCGTTGGCAGTGTATCCTGACGCTCATCGGCGTTAACAAGATCGTGCCCGGCGGCATCCCGACGAAGTGGAGGTCCTTTGTCGTCGCCGATTCCAGTAATATCCCCGCCGGCGGCCGAAGTGGATCGTCATGTCGGACGAGATTCGATGCCCTGGGGACGCCTTGTCGACAATGACCTCCACCGCCGAGTAGCCGGCGCCGTTCACCAGCTTCAGCCCCTGATGGGTGTTGTGGTTCACGACGACCGGCATCCCGGCCACGAACATGAAGACGGCCGGCACGGGGATCGCGCTATCGTCGCCTTGATTGAGTACCATGATCGCTTCTTCCTCGGTCGGCAGGCCCTCCTTCCACTTGTGCTCGGAGATGAAGATGCGCATCGTCGACCGCTGCTGGACCCGGAACGCCAAGCTTGCCTCCATGTTTAGGTTCCACCGATTCCTGTTCAGCGGCGTCACCACGGTGATGCCAGTCTCCCAAAGGATCCGCCTGCCCTCGCGGTAGCACCTTGAGTTGAGGAGGTCCAGATCCGTGCGGTCCTGCACACCCTGCCGGATCCGCTTCAGCAGCCCCTGCAATTCCGGATCACCGGCGGCGCGCATTTGCTCGTTCAACATGACGACCGTCGTGAATCTCTTCCACAGCGCGTGCGCTTTGTCGTGCTGGTGCCGCTGCTCGGCCTTGAACGAGTTGTCTACGTCCCACGAGATGGCCGCGCTCGGCAGGACGATCGACCTCTCTTGGACCGGCCGGAACTGCTGAAAGTCTCCGCAGAAGAGGACGATGGGGATCCCCGAAATCTTTCTGCGATCCGCGAAGCCGACAGAGTCGCTCGTTTATGGCGTGCAGCGTCCGCGCTCGAGCATGCTCACCTCGTCGATGACAAGCACGTCCTTCTCCTGCCAGTCCATCCGAGACTGGCCGTGGATGAACCGCTCCGCCCGTTTTGTCAGCCGCACCCCGTCAAGGTCCTTGGCTGTGTTCGCGCCGCCCGCCCTTGGTCTTTAGTGAACCCGCAGGCGGGTGGATCGTGATGCCGTTGATCTGCGCCGCGGCAGTCCTGACGTCGCCGTGATCAGCAGACGATTCGAAAGGCTCTTCCCACTGAACAGCTCGACGAGTGCCCCAATGATCCGCGACTTGCCGGTGCCCCCTCGCCGCCGACGAACTGGCAGAGCTGGCCGGCATCGCCCTATTCGTTTGTCGCATCAAATCGAGCTGGCGGCATATTATTAGGAAAGCGATCGACTGCCTCTTGTTCAGCGTTAGCCGTGTTGACAACTCCTTGCCCGCCGCGAAGAAGGAGGTCGATGGGCCAAGCTGGACGCGCATTCCCGCTTCTGCGTCGCTAGCCGTCTCGTCGGAGTCGGCTGTCGTCATTTCGACGTCGTCCCCCCGAAGCCGGTCATCACCCTCCGCAACGCAGCTCGGCGATCGCTTTCCCGGACTGCGACTGTGGTTTGTACGCCTTGGATCATTCTCTCCCTTTCCCTCGACGCACTTATCTGCTGCGACTTGATAGCCTTGACCTGATCCTGCGGCGGTAGTGCGGCCCCGGAAAATACCCGCCCTGGCATGCTTATGCACCTCAACCCTTGTTCGGGAATCGCGATGGCCTCGAGCTCGGCCGTTGAGCAGAGCGCCGATTGCTGGAATCGACAGAGCTGCCGCATCATTGCCATGAGCTCCGGCGACTTGGCCGTCACCTGATTCGTGCCCACTGCGCCTCGGACGACGTCGATCAGGCGCGTTGCGTCTCCGATGTTGTTGGACCGATACGTCGCTGCAAATTCTGCGCCCGCCTCGCCTGTCTCGCCCTCCTCGACGTGGGCGACCGTGGAATCGCCATCGCCGGATGAGGCCGCCCATTGCTTGGCGTCGCGCTTTGCGTCTTCGGCTGATCGTCGAAGCAGCTGCACGTTGTCGACGAGACATGATATTCTCGGGGCCAGCGCCTCTCGCGCCCGCTCCCAGATGCTATTGATCTCACCTGTTTCTTCGCACAGAAAGGACTCCCACGGCACAAATAGCGCAAGATGCTGCACGGCTGCCCTTTAAGGGGAGGGGAGGTTAGCCACTCTGATGATGCCTGCCGGCAGGGCGGTTGCTATACACACCTCCGGTGGCACGACTCCTCGTCGTCGTTGTGGCCGAAGTCCTTGCTCAGGTAGCCATCGAGGCAGACGGTAGCATGCTTGCCCGGCCGCCTGAGCACCTGGACCCAGCGTCTCCCTGGCGCCCATCCATCCTCGAAGGGCACCTCCCCCCAGGCCGCACAGCTCTCATCCTTACTGGTGCGTTTTAGTCTAACGACCGATATGTAGTCGTATAAGCATAGCCCTCGCAGGAGCTCTCCCCGGTGCTGGTACGCCTCAACGTGGGAGATCCTCAGGCCTGCTTCTTCGACAACGACCGACTCATCCAGAGTATCATCTATGGCCGCCGCGCCACTTGCTCGTCGGAGATACGGCCACCGTCGAAAGACTTCCCAGTACAGCAGAGATGTGTTCAGGTACGCCCAGGCGCTGCTGTTGGTGAACTCGGCCGGATATCCAAGAAGATGAGCGACGACCTCGACCTGAGATAGCGGACGCTCCGTGAACACACGATTCGCCACCCTCATCAAGAACTGTCGCGTCCTGTTCCCTTGGCGGCGGCATCGCCAACAGCACCTCCACCGTCGTCCTGTCCTCCGTTGGCCGTGCCGTCACCCGTTGAGGCGGCCAGGAGATCGGCCGCGGCCGCCACACGCTTCCACACGGGTCCTCCACCTTCGTCGCGTAGTTCGTGACATAATACATAAGGGCCATGGTCTTGCGCTGCGTCGCAATGAAGGAAATGTCGTGGTTGTGCCGGAGCCCAACAGCGATAGCCTTGTTCCATCGATTGACCATGCTGTGAGTCCTCCGGATCTGCAACACCCCGTCTGCCGTGATGGCGGTCTTGTCGACCAACCTCCATGGAGACTTAAACCGGCATAGATTCCTTTCCGCGCTCCTTTGCCCAAGGAATACTTGACACAGGTCGGGCTATGCGTGTGAACCTGTGTAGCGCCGGCACAGAAGTTGGCCTCCTCGTCAAATGCGGCCGAAAACTGCTCGGTGTTGTCCAGCAGGGAGGAAATATCGGACGTCACAGATCGCTCCGCTTGCACGGCGCAGAACCCTTCCTGATCCAGATCCTATCTTGCACGTCAGCCTGGCCCCGTTTGTCCATCGGACGAGCAATTCAGGTTCTCAGTGACACGTCTTAGCTATTCTTACCTCGGAGAAGACACTATCGACGTATCGTATGATTCGCTCGCGATACGCCGCCTGATCCTCCCCGTGGATGTCGGCAAGCATCGAGCTGAGATGCGCGTTTCCGTGCAACCAGAGCAAGCCGTGAACATGAAGCGCCCCTCGTTCGTTGGTCTCCACAGCGCCATAGTACTTGCCGATGCGCCCGAATACCGACTCTTCTCCGACCTTCACGTAATGATCGAAGAACAGCTTCATCTCCCGGTGGAAGAATACGGCGGCGCTCATCGGATCGGACATGGCCAGCCTTGTCCGCTTGTACGCACTCCCAAGGCCTTCTAGGAACTCCTCGGCCGCGCCGGGATCGCGTGTCCGATATGCCGCCAGTCGCAGCTTCACCGGGTTCGTAATGTCGTTTGGGTTGATGGTGAACCAGATGGCCGGAACGCCGTAGCCAACGATGAGCGACTGGATTTTCCGCCGCATATTGAGCCGAACCTCTCTCGACATGGGTTGCCGGTGGCCGTACAGCGAGAGGCTCCTGAGAAGCTCCTTCACGCCCTCATCGGTCGTCTTGCCCGAGCTCTCCAACTCGACCCTCGCCGCCGCTAACCTTTGCGCGGTCATCGAGCGGGCAACGCGCTCGACCTTGCCGAAGTCCTTCCTCGCCACACTCAGCATGCTGACGCGGCGGTTCCTCGACCGCACCCCCATGTTGAAGACGAGAAATGCAAATATGTGGTGCAACGCAAACCGGCCACCATGGCGCCGGAGCACGATGTCGGCCCAAATCCGGAGGTTCAAGCTTCGGGAGGATACGATGTCTCCCGCTGCCGCCCCTGCCTCAGCAGCTCTACCGGTGCCTCGCAAGTTGGTAAGGGCCTTCCCCCTCGGCTATGGCCTCTTCGGCCAGCCTTGGTCCCCAACGCCAAATGGGAACAGGGTCGGGAACGTTCTGGCGAAGAAGGACGTCTCAAAGGAGTCGGCAAACTCATCCCCGCGAGACTCGAATGTATGGCTCACTGCCATCGTCGCCACGCCCTCGACCCCACCGAGGATCCGACCCACGTTCTCGGGCCCGCGCGGCCGTCGTCGGCACCTGCGCCAACAGCGTCACAGGCAAACCGCAGCTTCTCGACATCCGCCACGTCTGGCGGTCCGTCCAGCAAACATGCCGGAAGACGTCACCTCGTTGATTGGTCGAACGTTCTGATCGGGGCTAGCACCAACTCCATCACGACCCGCGCCTTCTTCGTTGGGCCCGTGCCCTTCAGCCTCGCCTCCCGTTTCCTGCCTTTGGTTGAGCAGAGCGAAGAGTTCCTCGATCTCCACCGACCCCTCGTCGTCCATGGCGCGCTCCGTGGGCGGCACAACGTGCGCCGTCCGCGTTTTCTCCCATGCGGACGGCTCGTTCCGCTCCATGCGATCATACACCAAGGCCGGCACCCCGTCTATCGGGTCTCCCAACTCTCCATCTCCGCCACGTCGATCTCGATCTCGGCGTAGTGGGGGTTGCTCCTCTTCAGCCAAACAAGAGCCCTCTCGACGACCCGCCGCCTCACCGACAAGAGACTCGACAGGTCGCTCGGTGCCGGCTTCTCCACGCCCTGCCACGAAACGTGGATCTCGTCCAGTGCTTGCAAAGGGGTGCGGGAGCACCTGGTCGCCAGCTCCTGCACGTTGTTGGGAAACACTGTGATGTGGCCCTTGACGTGCCTCGGATACCTCACGGCCTGCCTCTGCCCGCCCGGAATGCTATATCTCGTGACAAACCCATAGCAGGAGTTGAGCGAGACGAGCTTCTCTTCGACCAGCGTGAGTCCCTTGAGCTCGTCAGGGAACATGTGCTCACAGCCAAGGCGAGTGTGAAGATGGACCGCCGGCGACAGACTCCCGCGCGCCAGGCATCGGGCACACTCCGCACACACCGACACGGGCTCGCCTTCGGGAAAGCAGCTCCGGCATGAAAATGGTGAGCGGCCGCCCTCTGGCACGCAGCTTGACAGCCATTGATCCCATCTGATCTCCTCAGCTCTTTTCTCGTACGCTTGCGGTAGCTGTCATGCAGGTCCGTATCGGCAACGTGCTCGCATCGTGGAACGCCTGATAAAAATCCCGCACCGTCGACACCTTCCTGTCGTGCGGTATTGGCGTACACCACGTCTGATCGTTAGACAGCCTCTCCTTCATGGCGAAGTCTTCCTCCAAAAAACGCAGCACACTCGCCAGGTCTTCGGCCCGCAGCTCCCGACTCCTCTGCCTTCCGATTCCACTCCGAATCTGTTTTCTCGGGCGCTCGTCCGGACCAGGAAGACGTTTTCTCTTCTCCCGCCTCCGGGGCCGCCTCCGGGGCCTCCGATCCATGATTTCTTCTCTCCGTGGCTGATTCGCTTCTTCGCAAGCCGTCGGATGCGGCAGCTTTGGCGACGACTGCCCGACTACGTGCGCATCCCCTGACACGCCATCCGGCCCTTTGCACTGGACAGGCACCGGGCCGTGCTGGCGAACGTTTTCCACGCCGAACCTTGACCTCAGTCCTTGCCCTTTCCAGCACTCTCCTCGTTCTTGCTGCCGATCAAACTGCACGGGCTCCCCAGCCGCCACCCGCGATGAGCCGCCCACCTCCCTTGCTGCAGCCTCCGCCCGCTCAGCGAAGCGTCCGCTGGCTCTGCCGCGGCGTCGCCCACCCCCACAGGAGACGGCCCCGGATGCTGCGCCGTACCTGCTGCGTTGGAGACACCCCTGCGGCCTGGTACTCCCTTTACCCGCCAACTCCGTCCCCGACGGCGCTTGGGCAAACCAGACGCAATCGCTGCTGCTAATTGCCCGTTTTCTCTTAAGTTGTCGAATACCGGTTCCCTAGGCTGGATGGATCGAAGCTTCGGTACCTCCTTCGAATGAACACTCGGGACATCGCCCGCCGCCGCCGTAACACGTTGCTCCTCATCTTCAGGATCTCCTCCTGAGGCAGAAAGTGCCGATGAGGAGCGGACGATCAGAGTCCGCTACCCCATATCTCCACGTTCCCTAGGCAACAGGGGCCTCGGAAGCTGACCCGGTGACTGATGTTGCGCGGAACTTCCGCTGCTAACCATATTATGGAACTTCCGTGCTCTGTTTGACCGCAAACCGCCTCGCGGCGGTCTTCTCGGCAACGACCTCGCAATTGCTTCTGCGTGCTGTCTCCATGCGGTGTCTTCAACCACAGGTTTCCTAGGCTGAATCGGCCGGAACGTTGATGCCGCATTCGCCCGTGATTCGTATCTTCGTAACCGTCCCAGGCTCTCCCCCCGTGCTCTGCGGCCCCTCTCAGAAGCTGCCACCACATCTACACCGGCTCCTGTCGCACCATCTCCGAGCCCCGAACCCGACCGCTCACGTTCTCACCTCTTCTCCATCCCCGACTGACAACGAACAGGCTTCAGGGTGAGCAACCGCCTCGCTTAACTTCACTGCAGGACTGTCCGCCATGCTGCTGCCTCCTCGACGTCGACTGCCGTAAATTGGCAACAGGCTATAAAGCTTTGGCTCCGGAGCACCTCCACTTGGACAGTCTCGCTTGTTGACGACGCTACTTCTCCCGAATGGGAAGCTCCTAACCATCACTTCCTCATGGCCGTGGCGTTTCTTCCTTATAGCTTCCCTATAAAATGCTTCCCTATGGTACCGAGGCGATGCAATACTACCCCTCTATATTCCCCCGTTACCATGCCTATCTATGTGCGTCCACCGTCCCGGCCTCGCCTGGTCTCCACGTGCGACCTGCTACCCCGGCTTTGCCAAAAGCGACCCTTCCATCGCCGTGCTCTCTTTTGCGCACTCCAGCGAATCCCTGGCCACTGCCGACCTCCGGCACATGGAGATGGCCGCGACAACCGCCTGCCGCACACTTCAAACCATACTCTTCAGCCCTTCCAACACCATCCTACCAACCTTGCGCATCAGTTCACCATCAATACCCGCCAATCCGCCTCGTCGAGCAACAGCCACAAGGCTGCCGGCGATAACATGTCCATGACGTCCCTCATGCAGCCGGACTACCCTTCTAGATTTGCTCCCTCGCCAGCACCAATGTCGCATCAACGGCCTTAATGCTAAAGCGATAGCCAGGACCCCTGCCTGTCCTCTTGTAGTCGCTAGCCACCGGAGTCTCGACTTGCAAACCCTCTTGGAAAGTTCTCGTGACCAACTCGCATCCTCCTCCTCAGGTCGACCCATATATCCGACTTCACCGTGTCCCAATAGTAGACTCGACACGGTCGGCACCCGCCTCGCTCAGCCGCACGCAATGCCCATCCAACTACCGACGACCGTCAAAAAGGGAGTCCTGCAATACTACCATAACCTCTTTCTTTCCTTCACTCTCATTCGTTATTGCCCCCTTTGCTATCTACTCCATGCAACGATGACACCGAAGGGGACTACTGGACTTTCTTTCTCCGCAGTCTTACCCACACTAACCTTACCGTTCGCCGACCTCCAACTTCTCGCAACATAGCCATCACCCCTACTCAACTTCCAACCCCCTACTTCACTCACGACCACAGAACCAGATGGTCGAGACTGCTCGAGAACCTCGCCAGCTCATTCCCGCATACCCCCGCTTCTGATCTATCACCTAGGTAGCATTCACTGACTCTCAAGTCTCCCCGACCCGAGCCACGAGCCCTCTTTCGAGCAGCAAGAAAACCTGCTTTATAGGATGCCTACCTCTACTCTGCCTAACCCTCCTTTACACTTCCACGGTGACCACATCTGCCATGTTCTCACGATGTCGGCCTCCCAGCTCAACGTCGATACCTCGTCCTCCCGCGGCAACCTCTTGACAGCCAGAAAATGCTGGCGCCGACATGTCCATGATGGCCTTTGTCCAGCCCGGCTGCCCGTCTAGGTTCGCCTACCAGAATGAGCATCGTGTCAAAGGGCTCAACGCAGAAACCCTAGCGAGGGTCTTCCTTCCAACGCCCTCATGGCTGTCGACTCCAGAGTATGCAGCAATCCGGTCAGATCCTGACAATCCATCGACCTGCATCTTCTTGAGCCTTAATATTTCCATATACAACCAACAGATAATCCCCTCGGAATGGACCGAGCAGTGGTTCTTTATGGTCGGCCGTGTTCATCCCTTTGCCCTGACGTGGAAATCGAGCGACGTGATAGCTTCGAGTCGGAGGATGACAACATTACAGAATACACCATCCCGGCTCTCATCGTCCGCGACCACAGCTACCAGCCGTAGGTGTATGCTCCAGACCTCCGTCACCACTACCATCTCTGACGATGGCCACAGAGTCATCCTCGCACCCTCGGCTCGGCGGATGCCTTCCCAGCGATACAACCCATTGTCTCCTTCACGGGACCTGTCATCGGTTCCGGCCGCGACCTTCTGCATGGAAACTCGGCTGCGGCCCTTGACGACACCCAGCTGAGCTGTTGCGGCTTTGTCCAGCTCTCGACCTTTATCTGTCCTGGGATTCCGGGCAAAACACCCTTCAAGGGCTTTCATCCCTTTCAACTTTTCGTCATCTTCCCCATTCACGCCAATCCTTGGACCTCCTATGCAAGAAGATGACCGAGAGGCGCGATAGCCAGTTCCAGCCGAACGCTCTCCTCACCTGCACGGGCAAAATCGCCGGCTTACTCGATCACCAGATCATGACACATGCCCCGGCCTTCGAGCAAGACTATATCTTCATCGTCGTCCCCGATACATGGACTTTCCTTGACAGGGCCATGTCCAACCAGGCTTCTGCGACACAGCTACTGCCGACGACACCCAAGGGCTCAGTCGGCAACCCTCGGACTATAGCGATGCGTTGGCCAGGTTTACCTCTACCAAAAACGCAATGCCGCCCCAAGCGGCGCCTCCCACGCCGCCTGCATCTAGGTCAGTCGATCCTTATGATGACATCAAAGCGGTCATTGCCCGATCCCGACCAAACCCCAACCAAGAGACCGCGACTTTCTCCAGAAATTTCCACCATAGTCGCCGCCTGTGATAGTCGAGGCCCCGCCAAATCCGACACTTCCTCCCTTCTGTCCCACGAAGACCCGGAGACTCAGAGACGGACACCGAGCCAGTCAATCACCCAGCCACATCCGCCTCTGGCCCTATCAGACCTCCGGCGTCAATCTCTTCCCGACCGCACCGCGCCCGACATCCGCCCAAGAATATTCTGTAAAGCAACGAACGAAACAACACAACATGACAAGGAACATGTTTCATCATCCTCAAACTCAAGTGCGAAAGGCCCTAATGGGATATTTCCTTCTCCTCTTGCTCTCCTTTTCACAAAGACAATCCAGTCAAAACTTCTCCAATATACTCCTTATTCTGTTTATATCCACCACTTATAGCACCTGTAAATCCTCAGAGCCTTCCACTCGCCCACACATGCATTACCCACCCACAACTCTCTTCACCCCTGCCGCCTCTCCACGCCCTTTGCGCCTTTGCAAAGCAAAATCTCCCTCCAGCGGCCTAGCCTGCCTCCCCGACGCTCTGTCTCGGTTTCACTCACGATAATGCTCTACGTCTCTCGCCGGATCTCCATCTCATATCTCTTATCTCACTCTTCTTCCTGTCTTCCTCTCACTTCCCCTGTCTCCTATCTCCTGTCGCCAACTCTCTCCTCTCCCCGACTTTCTCCTGTCGCCATCGCCAACTTTCGTTCCGAAAGGCCTCTTTGCGCGAGCCGCGGCTGGCGAGCCTTCCCCTCGTCCCCAAGACTGATTCAGCCCGAAGGGCGTTCTACTCAGTCAGAAAGATTCGAGCATAAAACCTCCTCTGATTGGCTAATTGGCCTGGCTTGTGCTCAACTCGTGCGCGGATTGGTCGGCCGATAACGTCACCAAATGAAGGCCCGCAAAATTACCCTGAGCGTTGACTAGGTAACTGGCCAGCTTGGCAGGCTCTCCAAGAGCTTCCAGTTCTTCCTTTCTTCCATCCATGCCATCAATTTACTGGGTCGCTAGGCACTCTTTACACTAACCTACATAGCGGCTGCTTCTCTTTCTGCCCAATCTATCAAACTAATCATGTTACTAACGGTTTATAGGTTCACCTATTACCTCGGCAGCCGGCCCACCTCCCAAGATTCTCCGGTTATTCTGTCTCTTCTAGCAGTCTGAAGGGTAAGAGGTGGATACATATACGGCCAGATGGAGGACGACATACCCCAGGCAGTTCGGAATTGCCATACCTGCAAGCAAGACCTGCCCGAAGTCGAATTTCGAAGCGTCAAGGACCCTACGAAGTTTACAAGAGACTGTGCTAGCTGTAGGGCACGCCGAAAGGAACGGGTAACCGAATCTCGAGCCGCCGTTGCCGCAATGCGGAATTTCGCCTTGAGGCTATCGCCACGCAGAGCCACGAAACGGACCGATTCTCTAGCTAACCTGACGCCTCCAAGGCGGGCTGCGCCAACGCCTGCGTGTGTGCAAGTCTTACGACCCCCTGCCACATCTACGTTATGCCGTGCCCTGGCGCCCGCACTCCAGGGACTGCCTAGACCTCTGCCGGGGCCATCTACCTCAAGCGCGGTAGAGGACCTTCCCCACCCTCCTACCCTTGGCCTGCCAACAGTAGTTCTGGGCACGCCGATTCCAGAAACGCCAATTCCTCAAGGCACTCTCCCATCGGCTTCTGTTGTGCAAGGCACGCCTATACCGAAGGAATCGCCTCGTACCCTCCTTCATTACTGCCACAGAGTCGTCGCCGCGGCCGCTATACACGTCGAGTCAACATTAACCCCGGCCACGGCCACAGCCTGAAGAGCGACAGTTCGATCAGATAGTTGATCCGCCTTTTACAGGGACCTTGACTTGCCTGCCCTTTGTGAGGGGGATCGAGCCCTTGTGCGCGAGTTCTATACTGCCCTGAATGACGACAAGATGCATAGTTGCATTCGCTGCCAGGAGCGTTGGTTCGATATGAAGCGAAATAGCTTGAAAATCTGCAGCCGCTGCATTAGTCGAGACAGGAAGAAAGGCCCCAACGAGCCCTACTTCTTTAGCGCTGCGAACAACCTTGACTTTGGGGAAGTCCCGAGCGATCTACCCGATCTAACGATGGTCGAGGAGATGCTCATTGCTAGAGTTCACGTACATGTGAAGGTCCTGCAGGTACGTGGCGCTCAATATAAATATCGCGGTCATGTTGTCCACTTCCTTCGCAATGTTGGCAGGCTATTTGAAGAGCTCCCGGTCCTACCTGAAGAGCTAGATGTCGTCCTCCTGCGGCCTCCTAATATGGAGGGCAGCCCTCGCTTCCGGCAACAGTTTGCTCGCGATTTGCGGGTACGCCGCTCATGCCTGTTGGCGTGGCTGCACTACCTACAGCGCCACCACCGGGGCTATCGCGATATCGTCGTGAGTCAGAATCGCTTGCACCGGCTTCCTCTTGATGGCAACATAGTTGATTCCATTGCCAGCCAAGTGGCTGACATACCTGACGGCGAGGTCCCCAAAGGCCCCGTCGAGGAGGCTGTGGAAGAGGATCCTAGCGATGCCGATGCATCAGCGATCCCGAATTTGCAGGTTACCGATACCGAATTGAACGCTCTGCAGTCCCGATTTCTTGATGGTACCCTAACCTGAGCGTATGACTGATGTGGAGCATATACCGTGTAACGCGCAGGCTCACCACCAGATGCCGCTGCCTTCAGTTCGCAGGACCCCCATCGACGAATTCAACCGTTCCCAGCCGCTGCTAACGCTTGCATTCCCTACCCTGACGGCAAGGCCGACTTCGTGGAGCCTCGTTTACGGAGCATCACGTTCCAGGACTACCTTGCCCATGCGATGAGATGGCATGACGGACGTTTCGCCCGCCATAAGACGTGGCCTTTCGTCGCCCTCAACACGCTGTTACGTGCGCAGGTCCGAAAGCGAAGTGACTACCTCGTCAAGCAACGCGACAGCCGCCGTCAGCCCCTTACACGCGCCGACCTAGAGGAAGCAATGGCTGAGCCTGACGAGCCGGAGGCTCAGGTCCTGATCCAGTCGATCACGCGCCAAGCCGCAGTAATTAGGGCACCCGGCCGTATTGGTATAAACAAAGGAAGGAGTTGGAAGCATATGCCTATAATCTAGGCAAGCCCGGCCTTTTCGCTACTGCAAGTGCAGCCGATTACCACTGGGAATCCCTATACCGCCATATGCCTCGATTTGACGAGTGGCAAACAGCTCCTGAGGCGGCGCGGATGGCTCTATCCGGCAACTACTGCGAGACAACGCCCACATCGCTGCGTACCACTTTCATAAGCGTTATGCGCTGTTTAGGGCTATTGTCTTGAAGCAGAAGTTCAACCTAACGGACTCTTGGGGCCGCTACGAGTGGCAGGGCAGGGGTTCCAGTCACCACCACGGCCTATATTGGCTAAGTGGCCACCCAGACTTAGATCCTGACAACGATCAGTCCCGGGAGCAATTCGCTCGCATCTGGGGATACCACGTATCTGCAGTGAACCCAGAGCCACAGCGAATACAGGCTCCTGGGGAAGGGAACCCCCTGATCGGTAATCTACTGGAACATCCCCTTACCGTTCAGTTCCTATCGATGGTAGTCAACCGCGTGCAACGCCACCGCTGCAACAACTACTGCATGCAGCTCAATAAGCATACCAAGCAGGTGGAGTGCCGCTTTGATTTCCTCACGGCCAGCGCCTACTAGCCTCCCTTGACAAGGTTCCTCACTCTAAACACTGGAGCTTTAGGGGCGAGCGGAACGATGGCCAGATTAACCACTACAACCGCTTGCTTACCGTTGCGTGGCTAGCCAATACAGATGTTTCGCCTTGCACGAGTCTACAGCAGGTAATCGATTACGCGGCCAAATACTGCTCCAAGTCGGAAAAGAAGAGCGAGTCTTTTGCCCAGATTGGGAAGGCCCTGATGCCCCGGGTCAAGGACCACAACCCCTTGATTTCCTTCACGTCAAAGCTCCTCAATCAGCTGGTTGCGGAGCGGGATTACTCGAAGCAGGAGGTCAGCCACTTGCTCCTCGGCCTGCCGTTACAGGAAGGGTCACGAACTTGCCTGTACGTCGACTGTCGTAATCCTGACAGGCATTCCCGCTCCTCCGTATTGACGGCGATGAGGTGGACGAGGCCCCAACGTTTACGAAAAGTACACTCAACGCCCGGAAGCCCTAGCGGACCTAAGCTACGTCTCCTTCCTGAAATGCTGGAATTTCCGCCCTAGGGACCCTTCCAAGTGGAAGCAATGGCAGCCAGGCAACATTAACGGCAGGCCTCGAGTGCTGGTTTACTTTCCTCGCTATCAGGCTGATCCAGAAGGTCAACAGTGGTCAGATTACTGTCGTGTAAAGCTAACATTAAACCACCCACATCGGCGGGTTGATGATCTCCTCACAGTTGACGGCCAGCTTTTTGGTTCTCACGCTGAGGCCTTCTCCTATTGTTGGCAGCATCACAGTCATGGTGATGACCATTACGGTCGGCCAAAAGAGGCTCGATTACAGCCTCAAGATGATCAATACGAGGCTCTGCCTGTGGAGGAAGAATTTGATGACGAAGACTGGATTCGCCTCGCCGCCCTTTACCTGACAACTCCTTACCCAGGAAGATCTTGACCTACTTGGCCGCCGCGATATCGACATCAATTACGACTGGACACAGCATGTGGGTACTTATCCGGAACTCCGAGACGGCTACTGGAAAGACCTTATCGCTAGCCACCCCATGGCCAACGATGTGGAGGTCCTTGGCCCTCACTGGCGTAATACGCTGAATACGCAACAACGGCTCGTGTACGACACATTCATGGGCCACTTCCAGGCGCAAAATCCTGCTCAAATCCTTCTCCACGTTGATGGTGGTGGTGGCACAGGCAAGTCGTTCCTTATCAAGGTGCTTTCTTCCCATCTTCAGGCAGCCGCCCTACCGAATCCTAGCCCTATATGCCGCGTGGCGCCAACAGGCGTTGCGAGTAACCAGATACAGGGCAGCACCATTCATTCGTTGCTGCGCCTCCCAGTAGGCGGTACTTTCACCGACCTTCCCCCGGCCGACGCAGCCGCCCTTCAGTCCCGCCTACGGCACATCAAATACCTCGTTATCGATGAAAAGAGCATGCTAGGGCTTGAGCAGCTCGCGCGGATCGATTCCCGTTTGCGACAAGCCTTTCCACAGCGTAACCTCGAGTTCTTTGGTGGTGTGAGCGTTGTGCTTGTGGGCGATTTCTTCCAGTTACCACCAGTCCGACAAAAGCCCCTGTATTCGACTAGCACCGGCCTGTCTTCGTTGGAAAGGAGAGGGCAGGTGGCCTACCGCCTATTTGACCGCACCGTCTTCCTGACCACGGCACAGCGCCAGGCTGGTGATGATCAGGCCCAGTTCCGTCAGGCGTTGCAGGAACTGCGTGATGTAAAGTTATCTATACCATCCTGGAACCTCCTTAGCAATCGGGTACAGGCCAGGCTACCGCGGAGCGAGCTTGACGGCTTCAGGACCGCTTTGCGAGTGTATTCTACAAGGCACGGGTCAACCAATACAACCACGAGCATATGGTGCATCTCAACGCCCCGGCAATACAAGTGGAGGCAAAGAATCACGGCAACGGCGCTGGGCAGGCACCAAGCAACAATGCTGGCAATCTATCTAACAAGTTCCCTGTTGCTAAGGGCACCAGGGTGATGCTCACGACTAATCTGTGGCAATCAGCTGGCCTAGTTAACGGTGCTCAGGGTACTGTATACGATATCGCCTGGAGCGCAGGCGCCGATCCATTGGAAGACCCCCCAGCCGTTATTATGGTGGACTTTGATAGCTACGACGGACCGCCGTATCTAACAACTAACGAGGGCAGGAAAATCTCACCCCATCCTGCCAGTCAGGCGGGACTTCCTTGTGGGCAACGAGACCTGCGCTCGCACGCAGTTTCCCCTAATCGTGGCGTTTGCTATTACTGTTCACAAATGCCAGAGCCTAACAAAGGATAAAATAGTTACTGATCTCGCTACACGCGACTTCCAGGCCGGTATTAGCTATGTTGCCGTCTCACGGGTTACCTCGCTCCAAGGCTTACTCCTTGAGGCGCCGTTCGATCGTCAGAGCCTCTATAACCACACGCCGACGGAAGGTTATACGCCTGCGTTTCCTACGTACTGCATTCACGGCTAACTATGAGACAGGGATGAAGATGCGCCTCGCTGACCAACAACGGCGTCAGGGTCAACAGCTGAGCGATCCACTGTATCCACCACTCTACCGTGACTAAACGTCGTCTTCCTACAAGCTACAGGGAAGGGGGGGGGGTACGATATAGGGTTATAGTTAGACTGGGCCTGCCAGGAAGTAGTTCGAACGGCTGGTTAGCCGCTGAAGGCGGAAGGGGGGTTCTAGTGGGTACCCCTTAAGAAAGTCGAGTGCAGGTATACGATATTCACCCTTCGGGCTGGATATTCAGCCGTTAAGCCCCTTGCATTGGCAACTTAACGGGTGTTCGAAGTATTTTAGTTTATATTGCTGACTAACGGTGATGGGCGGTTACAGGCAGTGTTTCTTAGGGTTACTCGAATATCACGAGCTAAAGGAGGTTCAAGGCGTGTCCTTTATCCGTCGTCGTCCAGGCATCATCACTCATCCAAGGCGTTGCATCGACTCTGTCACCTCAGGAGCTGGGGGTCTGTCTCTTGAAGAAGCTTCAGAGAGCGGAAACCATCTTTCCTGAGCATAGGGTTACCTAGCTGACCCTTTGCGCTGTCCGCGACCGGGAAGATGCTGCATAGGTGAGAGAGATGACCTGCGGTCACAGATCCGAGGCAGTGTGGAAAGGACATTAGGAGGTCAGCCTGGTGCCGTGTTGTATCCACGAATGTAAAATGGTTGCAACCATATAGCACTGCACGGCCTCATCGCGTACCGGTCGGCTTGTAAGTTGTGTATAGCAATGCGAGCCATCGAACCGGTCTATCTGGCGCAAAAGTTTCGACTCGTGGAATGCCTGTGTCCTGGAACAGATAGAGTGGATGCGCCACAGCAAGCACTCTTTGGTAAACAGCTTTGCGGGCTGCGTGAGGCAAGCCAAAAAGGTTGGTGACAGGTAATGCTGTATGCGAGGCGGAAGTATAGTCTAATGGCAAGCCGATCCAGGTGCACATACAGGTGCACATACAGGTGCAGCTTGGCCCAAGAGTAGATCCTGTTGGCGTGCTGCGCATTATGTACAGCTTTTCGAATTGCGGTGACTCAACAGAGGGTTGGTTCTCTTGGCCATGACAAGATCTTTGATTCTCGGAGATGTAGCGACCGACAAGTGTCGTGTCCAAGGCGGGCTTGCAACATGGCCTCTTGTTCCCGTGGTCTGCATGTAGAGCAGGGAGAAATGAGGACAGAATGACGGCTTGATGGGCAGGCTTTGATCGCGGTCAAAGTCCATGCACGCCCATGCGTCATCATAGATGCGCAGTGCAGCAGACGGTTCAGGGCATCTGTATAGAGGCATTAGATAGCACAGACTCACTGAGGCTAAGATTCCTGGGAAACACAGCCCCTCCCACTATGGAGCCACCACTGTCCGACCTTCCCCATTAGTGTATTCCCCTATTCCCCCACTGCAAATACTGCCTCATAGCGCCTTTTTTTTCCCTTTCCAACCTTGGGCCTTCCTGACCCTTCAGCATTGTTGCGATGGTGCGACCTGAGCTCGCTGAGGTCGTCCACGGTTATGCAATCGTGAGACGGCCTAAAAAGGTGGGGATATTTGCGATGCAAGAAGGCGCCTAAACAAGTTAGGTAGGGGACTTGGCAGCGCGGGGCAAACCGATAGCCAACATACGGCCAATTACGAGTCTACTATTTCGATATTCACGACTCAATCCTCGGCGGTGTGGGATAAAAGTCCCCAGCTCAGACTAAAGATCCTCCGAGGGGTGCCCAAAAATACTCTCCCCTGCGAGAGCCAAGCATGTTTTCGGCCAAGTGAGTGTCATGCATCCATCTCCTGGTTAAACAGCCCCGATGCAAGTTCCGAGCCTACGACGTCCTTTACCAGGTCTACTTCCCTACTGCATACGAGGCACCAACTCATACCTACTACGTACACGGATTGCTAGCAGCGGCTCAACCGCTAATCTCGAGTTCGCGAAGCAAATTGGGGAAATGCTAGAGCAGTTCTCATACTTTTCAACAGTTCAATACGCTTAGTTCAAGAACCAACAAGATAGAGATACACAGGGTAATCTCTCAAATATCTATTTCCAAGCCATTCTAGTAGTCTTGTAGGCACTCGGACCGGTGTATCAGAAACTCCTGGAATTCTTCCAACACCTCACATGAGACATTATCCTGGAAAGGAGCAAAACCGGGGATGAAAAGTGATTTGGAGAGTGACCGTCTGCCAAACATTGCCAACGGGCTTTTTGAAACATGCCGACAATCTCAGGAAACTTGTGCAATAAGCGGTAATTCATCGCGGCGATGTCGGGCGAGGGCGTTATGTATCTGCGTTGCCGTAATGCCAGCTAATCCCGGGTCCTGGTGAGAACGGCCCCGAAGCTGCGCTGCGATCACGGCCGGCCTCATGCCATTGTTATTCATCTCGACGATCTCGCAACGGTATTTCGAGACGACCTCGGCCCGATACTTTGCCTGGGCCATTGCATCGATAAATGGGTGGTTGTGGGCGGGCCCGGACGGGCAAGAGACCAGCCAAGAGCCCCTCCCTTGGTCGAGCTTCAAGGCCAACCGGTACGGACATTCGGTCATTTGAGTGCTCGTCTTACGGCGTTTGGCGATAGCCTCATTGCCGTAGTCGACATACTTCCGGCCCTTGGAGCAACGCAAGTGCACGTAGGTTGGGCTGGCCGCGTTGGGCTTCTTGGCGGCGACGGAGAGGGCAAAGCCCTGCTCTCGAGCAATTGCATCACAGGCCTCTCGGGCGGCCTCGAGGGAGGGGAAATTGCGACCAAAGAGCGACTCCATAGTCTGGGCCGTTCACAGCAAAAATCGCGGTGCGAATAGCTTCAAGATTGGCGAAATGGTTGATGCTGGAAAATTTCTACCGGTAATTACATCATGTAGGGGTGTGGAATGTGCAGGATTCGGCGCTGCGCCTCGACCAGCCACATAGCTTTTTAGTGTGCTGCCTAACTAACCGGCCGACCAAAAGTCGGGATCATGTGATATCAGACCTCTGGTCCTGCTGCCTGCCTACTGAGGCTATTTACGAGGAAAAGAGAGCTTTGTTGAGAGGCTTAAAAGACTGTGTTGATTGAAGCTAAAGAGCGCGTCTGTAAAGCTCGCTGTGATGTGCAGAGATTTCCTTGGGCTCTTCCCCGATTGGCTGACAGCCACTACTTATGAGCCTGCACGTGATCCTTCCCGTGACCAATGCGGTCTGGATCTGACTGCTGTAATTAATTATCGGCGTATAAAAGCGTCACTGTGAGGAAACCACGGGGTTGTGCAGGCAAAAAAGTGTAGTGACACTCCAATAGATGACCTGGCAGTGGACCCTATATGCCACGGAGGTGCTGGTGGCAGCTGACAGGCACAATGACAATGCAATAGCAGGCATTATAGCCATTACTTTCTGCGATGCCCAAAGGGGCATGCTACAGACTAGCGTCTGTTACTCTCAAGCAGGGGCTTCAGAGCACAGTGGAAGGTATAGGGGTCAGAAAGGTTGAAATGAATGTCCTGGTCTATCTATCGGGACGAGTAAAGGGCTTTAAGCAGGTATAGATACCACAGATAACTAGCCAGAAGAGGGCACGGGGATGTCCCTATACCTAAGTCAGGCTTGCATCATGTCCTTATGCTAGGAGAGTCAGGTTGGTCCGGCAGACCCTTTGGCCCCACTGAGCATGACTCTGATCTCTTAGTCTGCTTGGTCTGATAGTTATAAACTAATAATATATAGGAATTACCTATAAGATTCATATTATAGGGTGTGCCTACTGGGCTACTAATGATGGAAGCAGACGAGGGCATCAGGGGTTCAGGGACGCTTCCGGTGGCACCGAATGCGGCGGCTACTATCTGAGATATATAGGAAGTCATACAAAGTCATACACAGTTCTAGATATCTATTTCCAGCTTGTTTAGTATGGAATCCTGCTAGTCCCTGCGCATCATGTATATATATATAGTCACAACTTACACCTACGGAACCCCTCTTTCAGGAAGGATAGCGCAATCTACACACTCTCTCTATATGCGAGGACCTAATAACTAGTGATATATTTGTAGGAAAGGCGTCTATAAAAAATCTATATTTCCTTGTTACTGTGAGTTCTTTAATCCGACATCTAAGGACCAAGATAACTTGCACCTGAGTCGACTGGTCTGGGGCATCCTGAAAACATATTGAGAACAAACAGTATAATAGAATCTGTGTATACGTCGTCGTTTGAACACCACCCGTTACACATGCCAGAAGATCAAGAAGATTCGTCCCATCTCTAGAACTAACTATATTCAGCCTGGTCTCAGCACACATACGCTGCTCGTAGTCACAACTCATTACTAAATTCACAGTTAGCTCTTTGACCTGCACTTCGCTTTTCAGCCTCAATATGATTCCGTCTCATGTAAGTCATCCTGGTCCACACTCTCGGCCATCCGTGTAGCATTCCCCGCTTCTCTCGGACCGAACTCGATAAACGATATCCGACCAGAGAAATGTATAAAGGCGATGAGATTGTTCACATGGCTGAAACAGATTCTCCGATACTCATTTGGAAGCCAGAGCATGTTGTTCATGCCCCAAGTCACCCAGTTACCTCGGAGGAATAAATTGCTCTCACGATCTTGTGAAACAGCCAAACCAGGGTGAGATGTAGTGATGCTCTTCACGGGTAACACTCCTTTATCAGTCTCCAAGTATGGACCTTTCTGAGAAAAGGCAAGTTGATTGATCTTCGTTCCGACCTCAGTGGCCTCCATAGCTGCGCCTGTTGCCGAATTCCAGAGTCGAACGGTTTTGTCCTGAGACCACGACGCTATCAGCTTGCTGTCCTGTGAGAAGGCAGCAGCAGTCACGGAATTTGAATGCCCCTCCAGAATATGCAGGACAGAACCAGTTTCTACATCCCAAAGTCTGATAGTCTTGTCATCTGATGCTGACAACGCGACTTTGCCGTCGGGTGAGAAGGCCATAGCATTGACAGTTCCGGAGTGGCCCTTGAGTGTCCGCCTAGTACCTCGCACTCCGTTCCAGATGCTGATGTCATTAGTATGTAATATCGTTGACGCCACCAGCTGACCACAGGTATCGGGCGAAACGGCCAAAGCAAACTCTGGTCCGAGTGATGGGACTGATCCCATCTGGAATACTTGTAATATGGCACCTTTCCTTGTTTCCCAGAGCCACATCGTCTCTGCGTGATTCGATGACGATGCCACCAGCTTGCCGTTAGGAGAGAAGGTTAAGTTGGTACTGTCTTGTCTGTCGATAACTTGAAGGGCGGCGCCTGTTGCGCTGTCCCAGATCACAGAGGTGCCGTCGACCGATGTCGATCCGATAAACTCGCCATCAGAGGAGAAGGTTACATGCACAACGAAGTCTGAATGGCCCTTGAGAATGCGCACGGTGGCACCTGTCGCTGTGTCCCAGAGCCTGACCGTCTTGTCCCATGATGCCGTGGCTATCAGCTTGCTGTTGGGAGAAAAGGCCATGTGACGAACTTGACCTTTGTGGCCTTCAAGGTCATGCACCATGGCACCCGTCGATACATCCCAGAGTCTCACGGTTTCTTTTGCATTGGCATCTGACAAAACGTCAACCGCCATTGACGCCAGCAGCTTGCCGTCAGGAGAGAACATTACTTTTGTGATTCTCGTTCCATGACCCCTAAGAAGTTGTATAGTGACTCCAGTTTCGATAATCCAGATGCTAATAGTGTTTTCTGATTTTAATGCCACCAGCTTTTTGTCGAGTGAGAATGCCAAACGCCCGCGTTCATGGCCGCCTGGAGTCCATAAGATAGCGCCAGTCGCCACATTCCAGAGCCCGCCTGGGCCGAATTCTGTTTCCGGTGCTAATAACGTGCCATCGGGTGAGAACGCTACGTCGGCGGCGGGTTGTGGCAGATCAAAATTTCGCAGCGCAACTCCCGTGGCTATGTCCCAGAGCCTGACTGTCCGATCTGCTGATGCCGAAGCCAGCCTCCTGCTGTCGGGGGAAAAGACTATTGCATTGATATGCTTAGAATGACCCTGGAGAGGCTGAGGGCAGTGCCTGTCGTAGGGTCCCAAAGCTTAATGCTGCCCCCCGTCTGTCGATCTGGTGTTGATGCTAGAAGCTTACTGTTCGGCGAGAAGGCCAAAGCCCCAGTCACGGTGGAGTGACCCTTGAGTGTCCGTGCAACAGTGACGGTTGCAGCGTCCCAAACCTCGATGCTATTATCGTGCGATGCCAGCGCTACTAGCATGCCATCAGGGGAGAAGGCCCCAGCACTTGTGTAGTGCACATCGCTGGGCAGGGCAGTGCCTGTTGCTCTATCCCACAGCCAGAAGGTACTTCCCGTCTGAAAAGGCTTGAGCGATATCGATGCTGCTAACTTGCCGTCCGGCGAGAAAGCGATATGCTTCATATAGACCAAATTGCGATCAAGAGCATGAAGAGAAATCCCCGATTTTAAATCCCAGAGATTGGTAACTTCGTCTGATGCTGATGCTACCAGTTCGCTATTAGGAGAGAAGACGATGGTATGGATCGAGGTAGAATGGCCCTCGAGGACACGCAAGAGGATGCTCTTTAATATATCCCAGAGCTCGATGGTTTTGTTGTCTCGTACCAAAGCCATTACTCTTCCGTCGGGCGAGACAGTCTCATGATCAATAGATGAAGGGTTGAAATAGTCACTGGAAGTCTCCAGACTGGGAGTCTCTCGAATATTCTCCCGCCCTGCGTTCCAAAGCCTAACCGTGCCATCTGGTGAACTAGATACCACTAGCTTGCCGTCGGGGGGAAAGGCTAAAGCGGAGATTGAAGATATATGGCCCTCAAGAGTCTGCTGGAGGGTGCCTGTCGCTGCATCCCAAATCGTGATGGTGCGACCTTGGTCTTTTCCTAACGTGGCCGCCACTAGCTTGCCGTTTGGCGAGATAGCCACGATCGTATAGAATCTTCCTTCTCTAGATCCACCAACATGAAGCGCCCGCCCGCCAGTCCCTGCTGCTGTATCCCGGAGAAGAACACTTCCGTTATTGTGTACTGAAACTATCAGTCGGCCGTGTTGTGAGACGGCGATGGAATGGCCGAACATGCTGGGCAAAGCGTCGATGGTCTGTAAGGCGGCGCCTGTCGCTGTATCCCAGAGCCTGATGGTGTTGTCATCTGACCTCGATACTACCTGCTTGCCGTCTGGTGAAAAGGTAAATGTGCGGATATGTGAGGAATGGCCCACTAGGTTCTTGAAGACGGTGCCCGTCTCTATATCCCAGAGCCCAAGCGTGTGGCCTTTATCACTGGATTCCCCGTCTGTAATGGCTAGGAGCTTGCCGTCCGGCGAGAGCTTGGAGGCTTCGCATAAAAAGTACCCAAGTTGGCATCTATGTTCGCGAAACCGAAAGGTATGAAGGGTGGTGTCTGTGCCTGCCGCTACATCCCAGAGTTTGACAGTCATTGATGTTTCAAAATGTTCTGGGCAGGACGTATTATGATCCGCCGACAGCAGTTTGCCGCCCGAAGTGAAAGCCAGCGATTTGACTCGGCGAGGTAACATGAGAGTCTGCACAGCGGCGCCGGTGGTTGTATCCCAGAGTCTAATGGCCAGGCTGCATGCCGACGCCAACAGCTTGCCGTCGGGAGAAATGCGATTATCTCGGGCACAGTTGTATGGCCCTCGAAAGTCTGCGCAGTAACGGGCTCCACTGCTTCGACATTGTTGGCAGCCTGTGAATCCAGCCAGGCACTTGCTTCTCGAACTGTCTGCGAACGATGCTATTTTCTGGAGTGAAGACGAGCGCGGAGCTGTATAATTGAAGAGGCGCCTCTTCAACAATTGATCGGTTATGGAGGATGAATCGCTTTGCATCGTAGACGAATGCGGCCAGCTCGTCAGCAGCATCGGCCTGAACTCAAATCATTGTTACTACATGGGCGGTTATTTGGTGATCAGAATGGTAAAGCTCACCACAAATCTCGATTCGAGTGAGGATATTGCGAGGACTCCATCGGATATTGCCCTCGTCAAGCTCAGCGCGTCGAACCAATGGAGCAGATGCTCCTGCATAAAGGCAAGTATCTCGCCATGGTAGCCAAGCAAGTTATGCCTGGCCGAAGGACGAGAATCCCAGTCGCACAGGTGTTTGACCCAGTAGACGCATGAGTAACGTGTGGCGGCCAGTGGGTTCGGCTCGGGCTGTTTGACTTGGTCAATGGTGGTTCCAGGAGAGCCCAGGCCGTACAAGTCGGTAACGAGGGTGTCGGACATGGCTTGCAGTGACCGTGAGAAGATGGTATAGTGCATGTGCTCTATTCCAGTGGGAAAGATCTCGTCGTATATCGTTCCAAGCAGAAAGTCCAGGGCAGATTGATGGACGAAATAGACGCTGTCTTCTCGGAGGGTCAGAAAGGAGCCACAGAGCCTTACAATCTCCGCCAGTGCTTCGTGGTCGTTGGAGACGCCGTCGGGCATATCAACAAACGACGTCAACTCCTTCAACGTGATGGGTCGGTAGACAGTCGAGACGACGGCCAGGATCTGCTTGCAGAGATGGGCATCATCCGAGCCGGAGATTTGGGCTAGCATCCGCTTATATAGGGCATCAAGACCGGGAGGGAATGCACGCAGCCTGGTGAGTGTATTCCATCGCTTTACCTTTGGATCTGCGAGCGCAAGTCAGACTAGGGATACCCAGAGAAACGTGTCGTTGGCGTTGGAGGATAAGCCGTCCCGAACAGCATCCCGAGTTGCAACGTCGTACTTTTTGAGCCGCGCAAATCGGTCTACCTCGTAGGAGATATATATGCCAACGGCTGCAGAAATGGAGTCTTGGTTGAGCTCGAGACATAGCCGTACTTTCTGCGTCGCAGTGTCCAACTGTTCTTCGATGTTGGGCCAGTTACGGCTCGAGACGATCCACTTGAAGCGCGAAGACGCTGATGGCTTGTCTACGATGAGCTTCAGGAGGCGCTGCAAATCGGTGGTACATTCGTCGAGCGCGTCTATGACCACGTAGGCCCTTTCCACGCTCTGGTCGTGCAGCATGTTGGCCAGGATACTAGACAGGGCCACCCAGGCATTGACGCCCTCAAAGAGCGCCCGGCCCTTAACGTCGTACTCGCTGCGCATGTGCGAGATAAGCAACGGCCGCTGGAGCACAAGCATGTAGATCAAGCCGCGCAGGACCGAGGTGGCGGTGTTGATGCGCGAATCGGTCGTCTGGCAAAAGAAGTAGGAGAGCAATGTTGTACCTTGGGCCTTCATCGAGGCCTTCAGTTCGTCTATGATGCCACAGAGCAGCATTGTCTTCCCCTTGCCTGGATCGCCCTTGACCCAGAGCAGTCGGCTCTGCTCGTCGTCTCGCCATCGTCGGAAGTCGGCGTGGTCGAGGATCCAGCGGTATGAGTCAGTGAGGAGGCCACCCTTTGCATCTTGAAGGTGCATCTTATCCTCGCGCGGGTCGGTTACGTATAGATCTTTTAAACATTGCTTGTCCCGGTCGTCTTGGTGCCTCTCTTGTCGTAGCCTAATCTGGTCCTGGATGGTGGAATAGATATCTTGGAACTTGGACTCCTGGAACTGTGCCGTGGTGGCGAGATGCTGAAGATGTAGCTTGATCTGTTCGGTATTGTACTGCTCCGCGTCTCTCTGCACAGCGGCCTCGGCGTTCTGGATATCGTCGAGTTGGCCGGTCCAGTCATCGCACTTCAACACGTCCCTGATGACGGTAGCGGCTCGGTTCCGGTAGTAGAGACAGACGCTCTTCATCTGGTACAAGAGAAGCTTTTGGTAAAGCTGGACGATATGGCACTCGAGCTCGTCTTGCAATCCCGTCGACCTCTCCGCCTTGTTTTCATCGAGAAGTAGGTCCACCAAGTTCCAGTACCACGCCGTTCTCGAGAGCACATAGGCGATTCCTCGGCGGTTGATGCTCGTCTCGGTGATGGGGTTCGAGAGGATCTGTGTGTACGTCGTCAGTCGTTTATCATGGAGATTGACCAAGCTGATCCCACCTCCAGCCCAAGGCAAACCCCGACCCAGGCGACGGCAGCTTTCGGGGCTGCCCGGACCGCCTTATCAGCCATTTCCCTCACGACGTGCACAACCTGAAGCATATCTTCAATTTCCTGCTTGACCGATGCTTCTTTCTACGTTCGCTCCAGGCCTGCCTAAACCAGCTGCCTCATTTGGTGCCATCTCGTCTCTTGAGTCTGTCCAATCTTGTTTTCGGTTGGTTCCGAGGCGGGAGCCGACTCTTCCTGGCGGAGTTGATTCGACAGGATCTTCTCGTAAACCTCGACTATTTTGGAGTCGCTCAACTTGACTTGGTCGTATGCTCGGTTCCACAGCCGTTCTTGTAGGCCTGGTGACTGGGCGTTGTCCTCGGGGTCGGTAGAAGCGGGCACAGAGGGGGTTAGCTGAGCCGTCGACGAGGAAGAAGAGGCCACGGCTGGCTCCTGCGGGACGGCGTGTTTTGGGAATCTGACGGCTTTCTTGAGCCAGCTCGGCGCCATGCTGGTGCGGAGACGGGATGATGATACCTGGACCTGCGGGAGTGTGAAGACTCGGAGAGTGTTGTCCTAAGCTGCACGTGGAGGCTTCGTCGGATGAAATGCTTGGGCTGTCGCCGTGATGGTTGGGAAACAGAGAAACAAAGCTGGAAGTTGCTCGCTTGGCTAATGCCGTATCCTCGCTACGCCACCCTTGTTCAGTTTTGCTTCCAGTCTTCGGTGCGGGGAAGTTCCTAATCTCGGAGCTGAGATCTTGATCATGGCAGGGACACAAGCCACAAAGTGCAGGTGGTACCGTAGGAACTCAACAAATCCGTCAGGTCTTGGCGGCGTGGGACAGGGGGGAGCGCAGGGATTAGCCCCGCAGCCAATTTGTATAGGGTACAGATCCACTCGTTCCAGCCCGAGCCAGCAAAGCTTGACACACACTTTCCTGCTCCATAGAGGTCTTTTTGAGGCTATTTTCGCGATGCCGCCCTTGGCGAGCTTGACAGGAACCTCAAGCCCGGCCCGAAGCCAAAAGAGCCCGGCAAGCGGGTCTTTCGAGCCAGTCAGTCTATCAATCGCGTTGAACGAAGCTATTCAGACCGCAAGAAAGATGAGGTTAGGATGTTCCTTACGCATCACCGAATCTTCGATCCATCGTCGCCACACGCCAACGAACGAGGCTATCGTGAGCCCACAATTAGTGAGGTTGCAAGGCACTTCAAGATCCCACGGACTACAATATCCAGCTGGGCTTCCAACCCACGCTTTATTGAGGAGGCCAAAAAGAGGGTATATCACCCTCGCTGGCCAGAGCTCGAGGAGGAGCTTGTCAAGCGGTTCATCGCTGCCCGGGCTAATAAATCCATCGTCACAGTCTCTTGGTTCAAAAGACAAGCTAGAAGTATCTTCAAGAGCCTTAACCCAGCGGTAGACAATATCTTTACTTTCTCAAACGGCTGGTGGGGACTCTTTCGACGAAGGCACGGTCTCGTACGTCGAAGAGTGACGAAACAAGCGACTAAGCGCCCCGAAGAATACATCGAGATCGTCAACAGCTTCCTCCGCTACATACGACGCGTCAGCCGCCGGCACAAGCCTCAAGTCGCCCTTGACGCTATTCTCAACTCGCCTACACGCCGCTTTGGGAAGCACCGTATCCTTAACCTCGATGAAACGCCTATCCCATTTGAATACCTCGACGGCTATACATATGAGCAGCGTGGGGCACGTACTATCGATGGCAAGAGCGATCGTAGTGGGTGGAATAAGAGGCAGGCTACATTAATCCTGTATATCTTTGCAGACGGCATCCAGAGGTTGAAGCCGAAGGTGATCTTCCATGGGGCCCCGCCGCCGTTTGGAAGGATCATGCAAGACGAAGGGCATCTCTACTCGCCAGAGGTTACTGTTGAGTTCAACGAGACTGCCTATAACAACGAGGAGCTATTCAAAGACTGGATTCGTGACGAACTTGCCCCTATCGTCAGCCGCAATGATGACTTCCTCCTTGTGATGGATGTGGCTTCTTTTCACAAGACCGATGATGTGCTTCATCAGCTACGTCAGCACAAGGTTGTGACCGCGTTGATCCCGCCGGGCTGCACGAGCCTTCTTCAGCCTCTCGATACAGCTATCAACAGACCTCTTAAAGACTGGCTTCGCGATGCTACTGACGAGTACGTCTCCGAGCGTGAGGCTCGCGGTCTCACGATGTGGTCTATACGAGAAAAACGCATCATGACAACCTTCGTGGTCGCCAGCGCCGTCCGCACCCTCGAGAGCCGGGCCGAGCTCGTACAGAAGGCGTTTCTCAACTGCGGCATCAGCATCAGGCCCGACGGCACGCAGGATATAGAAATCCGCGTCAAAGACATCCCTGCCGCCGCGATCGATTTTACAAACTGGGAGCAGGCTCGAGACGTCATCGTCAAAGACGAAGAAGGCGTCTCGGGCCTGCTTGACGAGGAGGAAATTGTCAAACAAGGCGACGAGGCAGAAGACCGAATAGATCGTGAGACTGGGTTGCTTGTGCTTCGTTGCCTAGAGCTCAAGGCATTGCTACGGGCTCGAGGGCTCTCAACAATAGGGAAAAAGGCAGTCTTAATTGCCCGACTTCTCGATGCTGATTCTATAATTTAGTACTAAAATCCCTAGTAAAAATAGTATCTTAGTCTAGCCAGAAGAATGCTTGCCCTTCTTGCCACTCGCGATATACACCAAGCTGGGCATCAAATTTGCTCCAACGCTTGCCGCGGCACTCAACACGGCACCAAGGGCTTCCTCCTTGCTGGAGGACAGTCTCAACATCGTGACGACTTCGTTCCCTGACCCAGCCGTAATGGATGCCCTCTTTAGTAAGGAAATGCCCAATTTGACACCAAGGCTTGAGGGCTGCTTATACTGAAGTCGGTATTCCTGTCCGACCTCAAAGCAGGCAGCGGCTGCAAAGTCGTCTGTAACATCTACAACCTCGTTAGTAGCCTTGTGGATAAGCGCGGTCATTAACGCCTACAAATAACGTCAATAAATGCGGCAATAGCCATCGCGAGAGCTTCAAATTTAGTATGTTTGTGTGTGGGCTGCCTTCTAGCTTTGCTGGCTCGGGCTGGAACGAGTGGATCTGTACCCTATACAAATTGGCTGCGGGGCTAATCCCTGCGCTCCCCCCTGTCCCACGCCGCCAAGACCTGACGGATTTGTTGAGTTCCTACGGTACACTGCGTAACCAAACAGTCCATTTGGCTCTCTCCATGTGCTGTCAGCAGCCCAGTGGTTAGCCCTCCATAATGTAGCTGGCCCAGCGCACGAGGCCAGACCGTCAGAAGCGGAGCCGCGCTTCGGCCCGATGTGGGGCCCGGCCTTGCTCCGCCCCGACCCCACGGGAGCCGCTGAGCCTCGAAACCGGTTACGACATAGCCGCAGAATGACGCCTTGATATGGCGAGGCTGCAAACCGGGCACACGATCCGGCCAATGACTCATCGTCGCATGTTAATTCCAAGTTGTCTGGTGAGACTTGAAGAGGCCATAAGTCGCCTTTCCTTTTGCCTTGAACTTGTTTGCCAGCTCTGGTGGTGAAACTGCTGCGCCATCTGGAAGCCATGGCGTCCATTGTGCCTGGGGCAAAGGGCATATGGCACTGCTTGCAGGCGGATCGGCCCTAGCCATTCCGGCAAAGACGGGAAAGAAAATGGTAAAAGACTTTCATTTCGGTACCAACGTGTTGGAAAAGACTGATCAAGTATTCCTGACCATGTGGGAAGCCTTGCTGCGATATAGCAGTTTTGTACCCTGTAGGCCCCTTTTAGTATTAAAACGGTTCCCACACTTAGATCCCGAGGCGCCTGAGGCTTCCAAGCTTCAAGTCATATATATATCAGGGCTTTCCAATACGAGGCACGGAGTGATTACTTCTCACGGAGAAAAGCACTTTGGAGTAAGGGCTAAAATAGGATTTGCCTTGAGGAATAAAGTGACAAAAGGTCTTAGTTATTAACGACCCCTTAGTCAAAAACGGCGCACAGGACGGCTAATGGGAGTCTCCAGAGTGAGTCACCACGTGGCAAACTGAAAAGAGCCTCTCACACTCTGCACTCCTCGCCTAGACTGTCTTCACGTCCGTCTATTACTATTAGCTAATTTATATAAGCACTCTGGAGGCGAAGTCTGCGCTATTTCGGGGTAGGATTAGCTAACTCTGTGTAGGACATATCTACGAAGCATCAATAGCCCCCTAATTAGTAGCAGGTCATAATAGAACGCAACTTTTTAATACCAGCACGTTGACTCGCTAATTTTGGAACTAGGTCCGGCTGTTGGCCGGGCAACCATCTTATCAGCAGACCAGGCGGCGGTGAGCCGGATGGGGGCCACACCAGAACCCCGCGCAAGGCCGTGGCAAGCCGAGAGCCTCATCGTCGCCTCCCTCGAGGGAGCTTTGAAGCCCTCCCCCTTCCCCCTGGTCCTCAATTCACGCCAAATCTGGGAGGAAGTATATTGCAATCATGAAACGACTCGTCGTTGGTCAGATCAAGGGAGCCAGACCGTCCCCGCTGCCTCTCCGGATTGCTCGTTGCTACTCGACGCATCCTCCGAATGCGAAGCTGAACCTGCCCATCGACTACTCGACAACACCCCTGCTGGCGCACAGCAAGAGGCCGGCCCTCGGAAATGCTAGCGAGATCCCCGCCGAGGTCCGCAACGGGCCGACCAAGAAGATGAACCTGTTCCAGGCGATCAACGATGCGCTGGGGGTCGCCCTGGCTGAGGACGACAACGTCTTGATCTTTGGGGAAGACGTGGCCTTTGGGGGCGTGTTTCGATGCACCATGAAGCTGGCCGAGACATACGGCGCGGACCGAGTCTTCAACACGCCCCTCACGGAACAGGGCATCATGGGATTCGGCATTGGCCTGGCGGCACAGGGCATGCGGCCGGTGGCCGAGATCCAGTTCGCCGACTACGTGTACCCAGCCTTTGACCAGATGGTCAACGAGGGCGCCAAGCTGCGGTATCGGGAGGGAAGCAACGGCCCGCACGCCGGCGGCCTGACGGTACGGATGCCGTGCGGAGGCGTCGGCCACGGCGGCCTGTATCACTCGCAGTCACCGGAAAGCCTCTTCACCCACGTCCCGGGCTTCCGGGTCATCATGCCGCGCTCGCCCATCCAGGCCAAGGGCCTGTTGCTGGCGGCGATCCGAAGCAATGACCCGTGCCTCTTCATGGAGCCCAAGATTCTCTACCGAGCCGCCGTGGAGCAGGTCCCCGAGGCGGCGTACGAGCTGCCGCTGTCCAAAGCCGAAGTGCTCAAAGAGGGCAAGGACGTGACCGTGATATCCTACGGCCAGCCGATATACAACTGTCTGGCCGCCATCCAGCGCGCAGAGGAGGACCTGGGCATCTCGGCCGAGCTGATTGACTTGCGCACCGTGTACCCCTGGGACAAGCAGGCGGTGCTTGAGAGCGTGCGAAAGACGGGGCGGGTGCTGGTGGTGCACGAGTCCATGGTGAATGCAGGCATAGGCGCCGAGGTGGCGGCCGCGATCCAGGAGGACCGGGACACGTTCGTGCGCCTCGAGGCTCCCGTGGGCCGGGTCGCGGGCTGGAGCATCCACAACCCGCTGATATTTGAAAAGTTTACCCTTCCCGACGTTGCGAGTGAGTAGAGCCAAGCCGACGGGCGCTGTGTCGGGAGAAGGCTTTGCTGACAGCGTGGACAGGAATATACGACAACATCAGGAAGAGCCTGGCCTATTGAGCAGCGGAGGAGGATACCTACGAGATGGACGGGCAGGGCGGCTTTTGGAAATGTACGTTACGTACCGTGGATGCCTGGAATGGAATAAAGTGAAGCAAAGCGTATTGGATATTGGACAAATCCAGTTTGTTGGCAGGATTTCAGGTCCGTGGCACAATGTCCGCAAAGGCACTCGAGTACGGGCACGGCACGGGGTATTGGTGGGGTCCTCTTGGCGCGTTCCATGAAACCCCCTCCCTCTCCTCCACCTGCTCGCCGCGCCCCGCCCAAAGCCGCTGTAGGCTGTCGCTGCATCCACCACCCAACAGCCCAGCCTCGTCTGTCTTCTGCGCATCGCAGCTCGAGTCCGCAGCCATGTCGCAGCTTGATATAGTCTCGTCCTTTGTCGAGGGGGCGCCGCCCGGCGAAGTACGTCTCTCTGGCCCAGTCATTCATGCCCGGTATGAGCTAACGCGCCCGCAGCTCGCAGACGTCGTCGCCGGTACGCCTGAGCCCTGGCTCGCGGCATTCAAAGACCGATTGTTGCTAACGACACCGCCAGATATCAAGACGCTCACGCTATCCTCTCCCGACATCATCTCCGATCTTGCGCCGGCCTTTGAAAAGTACAATGAGGAACAGCTCGTCACTGTGAAACTGCCCGGCAGCAGTCAACTTGTGAGCCGACCCTGCTAGCCTTGGACTGCTGGCCGTTCCTTCGACTGACGGTGCTTTGCAATTCAGGTCCTCATCAGCTCACACAACTCGCTGGGCGACGGGCGATACTACGATGTCGAGAGCTCGTCGAGCTTCGCCTTCGACCACAAGACACAGGCACGTCCGAGGCCACGGCGCACGACCGCGATCCAGTGGCTAACTTGGCCCTCAGAAACCAAGCGCCGTACAAAGTCATGTTCTCGAAGGGCCGCAAGCGGATTTGGTGTGAGTGTCACTGGGCGACATGGTGCACCCTGGCCGTGACTCTGATGTTGCTGCAGAAAATCGACACTCAAGAGTGTGGGGAGCTACGTCAAGGAACACTTTGCCAGCGCAGCCTGCGGTGCTTACCCCATCGAGTCCGAGTCCAAGATTGCCGTCGTCATCGTTGCCAACAAATACAGCCCCAACAACTTTTGGTGAGCCTATCCCTCGGGATGCTGCTGGTATGCGGGGACTGATTGTCTGCCAGGAACGGACGTTGGAGATCGGTGTACGTCTTCGACCCGGCATCGGGGAGCTTGGAGGGGTCCATCAAGGTCGACGTCCACTACTACGAGGATGGCAACGTGCGGCTGCTCACCAACAAGACGGTCGCCGCCTCGATCCCTTCCGGTACCGGAGGCGGCATAGCCAAGGAAATCTCCGCGGTGGAGAAGAAGTACCAAGAAGAACTCAACAAGGGCTTCGTCAATTTAAGCGAGGGCGCCTTCAAGGGCCTGCGGAGACAGCTGCCGGTGACGAGACAAAAGATTGAATGGGACAAGGTGACGAGCTACCGGCTGGGACAGGACATTGGGGGTGGAGGGGCCAAGCGATAGATGCCAGCCTGCCATGAGCGGGGCGGGTTGAAGGTCAGATACAGGTCCAGGTACATGGAATCCAAGCAAGACGGGGCACATGTCGCTTCTTCTCCGCCTTTGGTAGCAAGCAGGAGGGGTGATGGGTCGATATCCTCGGGTATGCGCCGCGTTGGATTCGATTCTTCCCATGGTTGGTGCGGTCCCGTCTCTCACAGCACAAGTCGGAGCTGGCTGCCGTACTTGAGACGGGAACGATGGTCCAATTTACGCGATGAGTGTATGCTCAGGGTCGGCGGGCGAAGCTGGCTGTAGAGTCGGCTTGTCGTAGGCCGGCGGTGCCGGTGGAAGATGGCTTCCGAAAAGACATCAACTACTTATCTTACGACCAAGCGCTGCAGATGGGGAGAGTAATAATACCACGTCACATCTTATCGTCCCGGCAGCAACGGGGCTTCGGGAAAGACTTTGGGACCGAGCATGTGCTTACCGGCCCGGGCAGAACATGGCTACATACACATCGAATGCTTGGCCGTCAACGCAGCGGCTTGCCTTTTGGTCCGGCAAGCAACTATATAGCTGGGGCTTCAAGTGCAGAGGGAGACAAACACCGGCCGGGCCACATGGAGCCTATACTCTATACAGGGCGCAATGTACAGTAGGCGGCCGTGGCGGTGAGTTCGTCTACCTTTCAGGCACCATTGGTCCGCTGGAGACGGGTCCCGCGGAAGGGCGAATCAGAGGCTCAAGGCGGCAAATTCAAGGCCTCTGATTGGCTGTGTCGCCCTCCTGCACGCCTCCCGTCGGGGACGGAACTTAGGGGGAACCGAGGGACCCTTTTGCTTCGTCTCGAATCTTTTCGCATCTTCAGCTGCCTCCTCCTCCTCCTCCTCCTCCTCCCCCCCCCTCTCTGCCTCTCTCGCTCTCTGCCCCCGTCCCACACGAGCCAAAAGCCACGGCGTCACAGTTGCCGTCTGGACCAACATACATCGCCTCACACAGTCTGTGCCGCCCATCTGGCTTTTTCTTCGCCAACCCCCCAAACCACGTCTCAACCCATCCGCCGCCAAAATGTCACAGGAGTTCACCTACCAAGATGTTGCCGAGCACAACACCAAGAAGGACATTTTCCTCGTCATCCATGACAAGGTCTACGACTGCGCAAAGTTCATCGACGAGCACCCGTACGCCTCTTCTTTCCTCTGAACCTGGCCGTCCTGTTGCTAACGTCTTCCTCCGTCCCGCAGCGGCGGTGAGGAGGTGATGCTCGACGTTGCCGGCCAAGATGCCTCGGAGGCTTTCGAAGACGTCGGACACAGCGACGAGGCGAGGGAAACGCTGGACCAGCTGCTCGTCGGCACCCTGAAGCGAAAGGTGAGTTGCATCGTGATGCACGCCCTCCAACGACGCGCCCCGCTGACGCGCCCGTGCCCTCTCGACAGCCCGGCGACCCTGCCCCCAAGGCCGCTCCCCAGACCTCTACCTCGGGCGCCAGCAGTTCGGACCAGACGGGCATCGGCATCGGCCTCTACGGCATCCTGCTCATCGGCGGCATCCTCGGCTACGCGATCTTCCAGTACATGTCCCATCGTGAAGAGAACCAGCACGCGAATGCGTGAGCGCGCGCCTCGCCCGAGGCTGCGAAACGAGCGGCGTCGGCAGCGGAAACCCCGCCCGTGCCGGAATGATGTACGAAAGATATCGACACGCCCCAATGGTTGGCCTTGGAAGCTTCTCGACTTCTCGCCGAGCAAACATTCAAAGTGTCCGCTACACTTTGCGCCACCAGAGAGGCGTGCTGAGATGTGGGTTCCGTGGGTCGATTTTATTGTTCCCCTTGTTTGAGTCACGAGACGGAGCAAATGGCATGGCAGTTCACGGTAGATTTTTTCGCTTTGTGGAATCTACGCGATAGATACAAAAACGTGTAATTGGAGACAATCATCAGCATCTGCTGGGCGGCGCACGACCTCGTCGTCCAGCCAGGCTGGCTTGAAGGACTGCTGTAGACTGCGAAGAGTGAACACGGTTTGCCTCAAGCCACACCGGAAAGTCACATTCGAGTTGTGCCGCCACATGACCCCACAGGCCCCGACCCTCATCAATCAGCCTTGCCCGCCTTGACTACCATCCTTTGATGGTCACACCACGCTCTCTTTTCCTTTTCCTCTTCATTCTCCCTCCTATCGTCGACAAACCTACTACTTCTGGCACCCATTTCGCACGCTCCTGTCTTCGCCTTCTCCTCGTCATCGCCTTCTGTTTGGCCCAACATGTCGTCGTACCTGGAGAAGCAGTCGTCGGCCTTTCGGGGGACGCTGGCGTCGGCCGCGTCAAAACTATCCAACCCAAGCAGCGTCGTCAAGGCATCGTCGCTGGCGCCGCCCTCTCCATCACCCTCGGCAGCATCAGATAGCGCGACACCGACTGCCAGGCGCAAGCGCGATGCGGCCCCCGACGTGCCCTTTTCGCAGCCCCAGCTGACGGGGTACGGTGCCGAGGTCAAGACGCAGATGACGTTTGCCGTCGAGTACCTCAAGAAAAAGGGCGACTCCAAGAGTATGACGGACATCATCGACCACCTCAGCCTGCGCAGCTACTCGGAGGAGCACAAGAAGGAGCTGGCCGAGGGCCTCAGGGGGCACCCGCGTGTCGAGTGGAGGCCCGACGCGAGCCTGGCCGAGCAGACGTGGAACACGGGCTCCTACGCCCACCGGCCCATCATCCCCGGCGTCAAGGACGCGACGTCGCTCCTGGCCCACCTACAGCGCAAGACGGACGCCTCGGGCGTGTCAGTCAAGGACCTCAAGGATGGCTGGCCCGACTGCGAGGAGACGCTGGCGTCGCTCGAGCGTCACCACAAGGTGCTCGTGGTGCGCACCAAAAAGGACAACTTTCCGCGCTACGTCTGGCTCGACGACCCGTCACTCAAGCACACAGTCCAAGCCGAGTTCCAAGTCATGTGGCACCGCGTCCCGCTGCCCAGCCTCGACGACATGCACCGCAAGCTCGTCGCCGTCGGCCAGAAGCCCACGAGCGAAGACCCCCTCAAGCTGGCCCTCGGCACCGGTGGTAAGGCCAAGGTGCAGAAGAAGAAGGCGAGCAAGAAGATGGGCAAAGCAACCAACGTGCATATGGCGCACTTGATGCAGGACTACAGCAACTTGCGGAGATGAGCGCCGCCCTGTAGCGCCTGAGCGCCGCCTCGAGGCTGTGCTTGCCGACGCAGCACCACGGGCACAGCGGGTCGGAGAAGACGTCGATGGGCACGAGGGCAGGGGAGTGAAGAGGTCCGTCACCGTCTTGCTGCTGCGGCTCTTCGAGGGCCGCCATACTCCCGTTTCCTATCATCCAACGCCCGATTCGTTATGAGAGGTTGGGGCAGGATTGTTAGGAGGGAGAGGAATATAATAGAAGAAGAAGAAGGGGCTGGCCCGAATTGAAGAGAGGCGGCGAGCTGAATGAGGAGAAAGGGGGTTCTTCTGCTGCGTTCATTTGGCCGCCGGCTACGGTATTGCCTATAGGGTTATATACCTATACAGACGCATTCGGACTCTCATCCATTTCACCATGATAATGGTGAACGTCCCAGTGGTCCCGAGATTGGCCAGGCGTCCCCCCCCCCCTCCCGGATCATCGCCACGCGGCCATGAGAATGGGACGCTCGCACAGAACAGGAGACGGCTAACAAGGCGTATAGCACAAGACTTGACTCATCAGCCAAATAACAACGATATCACCAAGTCGCCGAAGCACCATCAGCTTCTCTAAAAGGTAGGTACATACAAAGTGCTGCATGCATATATCTCGTCGTCGAGCGAATCCGCGCCGCCGGACTTGTGACTCCGCAATGGCGGGCATCCAGGCCGGAGCTACACACCGCCAAGCCAGGGCAAAAGCTGCAGCCCGCTTCGTCACGACAACTCCTCATCTTGCTCCTTCTCCTCTTCTTCCCTTCCCCCTCGTCTCGCGCCGTGGACCGTTGCCAAGTGGCGCCTGGTTGCGTCTTTCGGCGCCTCATCCAATGACAGAGAGAGCCCGCTTGCTGCTAGGAATCCGGCACAATCGCTGCCTTGCCTCTGCCATTTCGTCGAAGTGTAGGTTACCAAGTATCGTATCCTACTGGACCGAGTTCACGACCGAGTACACGCCAAGTACAGTCGAAACGAAGTCAGCTTAACACGCCTTTCGACGTGGCATGAGCACAGGATTCATGGGGCCACCTGGATTATATATTCTGAATGGCTCATGTTGGACCACCTCAATTGTCGCCGCAAGCCCGCCTGTTGATTGGGCCGAGGCCCGGGCCTGCGGAGAGGCCTGTCATGCATATCACACTGATACGGTGACCTCACGCCCCTTCTCTCCCCTCTCCGCCTTGTGCCGGGGAGACGTCTTGCCAGTCAGTCACGTCGTACAAACTACGCCACCGCCAGTTCCTCTCACCCGTCTGGTAGCTGGCCAATGGCAAATCCATTGTCGTGCTTGCGCATTCTCACCCTTCCACTCTCCTATTCTACCTATCCATGCCCGTACATCCATCCTCAAAGCCCGAGCCATGCCTCCCTCCATGCCGTCCTGTCCCGTCCTCTCTTTACCCAGAGAAGCACCAGAGCCAGTTTCGCGCTGTCCGATTGAACTCCTTCTAACCGTCAACCCCATTCGTCATGCAGATGGATACAAGGGGGGAATGAAAAGTGAAAAAGAAGACGTCTCAAAAGTCGTAAAGTTGGCATATCGTCCGTCTATTGTCAACGGCCCCTGACCGGGAAAACCCCATTCGCAATGAAGATGATGAAAATCGAGGTCGTGGGCTGGGGCCGGCTGAGGCGCCTGGGCCGCACGCCCCATGAAAAGACCGATACACGCCACTGCGCACAAACCAGATAGTCATGATTTATATAAGTAAATGGGAAGAGGGAGAAGAAAGAAACAAAAAACAGACGTCCAGTGCATGAGCCGCCGGGAGAACGTGCTCATCGTCAGGCACGTCTCAGGGCTGTCCGCGTCAAAGGGCGTCCTCGCAATGATCCACAGGGTATCGATGGGCCACTTGGGCCCGGCAAGTTGAGGCAATCAACAAGGCGCCGTCCGCCAACGATAACAAGTGCGCCTAGGCCATATGTACAAGGCCAGTGTCTGTGCCCTGGGGCCGGCGCAGCTGTGGCGCGGCCCCGTAGTACATCTGGCCCATGGCCGCATGGTGGTGATACGTATCCGGCTCGGGATACACGTAGCTGGCCCCATTGTGCGAGGACGACGGCACATGCGACGGCGACTGCCAGCTGACGGCCGTCATGTGGGGGCTGCCCCCGACGCTCCCAGAGGCCACCTGGTGTTGCTCTAGACTAGGTTCCAGCGTCGGCGGCGGTCCGTAGCCAGTGGGGTGCGATGTCGGCCGGATTCCGTTGGTAGTGTATCCAGCCGCCGACGCCGACGCAGGGCTAGCTACGCGGAGGTGCGGGGGAAGCGGCCCGCCCTGCGTAATGTACTGGAAGTCGCCGGCGTGGCGGCCCATGCCGTTCGAGGCAGACATGTCCATGTTCGGCGACATGGACATTGTCCGTTGTGCAGGCGACGGCGTCGTCATTGGGGAGCCGTGGCTTGAGATGTGTTCGCCGTCCGATCGGCTTTGGCCTGCATTCTTGGTCTTTGAAGCGGCCAGCGCCGCGGCTGTGGCGGCTGCGGCCTCCTCAATCGTACCGCTATGATGGTTTTGGTGGCGGGTAAGAGTGGTGCGCCGGGTAAATGTCTTTTGGCAGTCGGCGTAGGGGCATTTGTACGGTCGCTTCCCGGAATGAGTACGTCGATGCCGAGCCAGAGAGCTGCTGTCGCTGAAGGGCTGTGGCTCGCTATTAGCCGCCAAAACATCGCATTGACTGATTTCACCGACGCACCTTGGCACATGTCTCGCAGTGATGTGGCTTTTCGCCCGTGTGGACGCGCTGATGCACAGTCAGGGCGGATCTCTGGATGAACTGTTTCCCACAGTTGGGGAAGTCGCAGACGTGCGGCCTGACGCCCGAGTGAATCCTCTCTGTAGTATTCGGGTCAGTCGACAGCTGCAAAACGCATTCAGGGGCTCGCATTACCGTGTCGAGCCAAGTCGCTCCTCCGCGCAAAGCCCTTGCCGCACGTGCTACACGGATAGGCTTTGACGGGCGGTTGAGGTGGCTGGGCCTGCTGAGGCATATGGTGCATGGTCATATGGGGCATATTGGCCATGGTCCCGGGCATGTCTGGGTAGGCGGGCATCGACATGGTGTTGGCCATGGAGGTTGGCAAATGCATTGAGGCATGCATGACGGACGGCGAGCCGTATGAGCGCGGCATGCTGTGAGTCGTCGAGTACGATGAGTGCTCGGACATGTGAGGCGAGACGGATCGCTCCATGACGGGGTCGGGCTTGACGAGGGGAAGCTGATGAAGCTGATATTCTGCAGAGTGTGCGGAGAAGTGATGAGAAATCGGACCACCTTTTCTGTTAAGCATGTTCGTCAGGTCCATTACCCAACGTCGAAGCCGGGAAACGTGTTGCTACTCAGTCTGACGGATCCGGTCAGTCCATGCTTCGCGGAACGGAAGACTCGAGGAGGGGCAGACGTACGCGGAGACAGACCAAGCCGGTGTCTCACGGCACGGAGCCAGCGATATAAAGGCGACCGGATTGCTCTGTCCACCAAGGTCAGCGGGTGACTCGGGCCACGGCTCAACGACAGGACCAACAGTAATGACAGTGGAGAGGCTGGGGAGTGTGCATGGTCTAGGCAGTTGGGATCGGACAGTTGGATGGTCATGATTGCCCGAGCTTGACGCTACGCGAGCTTGGATCGCTGGCTGGCCAGTGGTCCCATATGGCAGACTGCCAAACCCCTGCCCCAACAAGATGTCGAGCTGGACTGGATATCGACTTACCCTCTCTGTTGACTGTGCCAATGCCGCCTCCAGTGTGGATTGACTGAGCGGATGGTCCCGTGACCACTTGAAGGAGAGACACGGCCACAGGGCCCAACCAGTTTTGCTGGTCCTATCGTTTGGCGGTTCAAGGTCGCAGATTGAGGCAGCAGGTCGAATCCGAGGCCGTCGCGGCGGTGCTGCCGTCGTGGTCGCAGGATGGCGTGGAGGCCGTGAAGGAAGTAGTCGAACTAGGAAAACGACTCCGAGTGAAGACGTTTTAACTGGTTCGAAGCCAGGTTAGAAGACGAAGATTGGCGGTGTAGAGTTGAGTTGTCGGGACGAAAGTCAAGGCCTAGCACAGTGTTCTGGAAGAGACGGCCGAACAGAGGCTGGAACGAGCAATCCCAAGACCGAGGAAGCGAACAGTTCGCACTCGCGTTGGTGGGTGAAGCTCGCACTGCTCGTGTCCGGACAGGGCCCTGACAAGGCTTCGGCGGACCGCGCAGACCACCAACCAGGCAAAGCTCGGCCGCCGTTGAGCTGCCGAAGCGGGCCGCGGCGACTTGATCGCCTTGACGTCCGGGATATGGAGTCAGGGAGGGGACTCGGCGATGCGACTCGATCCAGGACGGCTCGGACGGGTGTCGCGCTGGATCGAAAGGCCCGACGCGACGGGGGCAAAACGGCCGATGGGGGAGGGAGGACCTGCCGACGGGAGCAGTTCCTCGTTAGGTGCGTCGCGAGCAGAGTACGGGAAGAGTGTGCGTCATAAAAAAAGAAGAGAACCCGAACTGGGGATGAAGTCGCGGCGCACCTTGGCCCCGGAGGCTCGCAAACGTGGTACCTTGGGCAAGGTAGCATGGAATGCTGGGCCAAGCACGAGTAATCACCCGGCTTTGGGATCGGCGCGACGTAACTGTTTTAGGGGCCAAGCCTCTGAAGTTGGGGGGCCCACAGCGATTAGAAAAGGGGGGTTTAAAGGAACGACAGCGACAGGGCAGAGGCGCTACTAGCTCTGGTGGGCTGGCGGCGTACAGCAGACCCGGGGGGGGCGGCATGGAAAAAATAAAATGGTCTGGGGACGACTGAAGGAGTACAGTAATTACATGCTGTACTCCGTACAGTACGTAGGTACTTTGTGCGCGCAAAGGAGAAAAAGAGAGAATTCTTCCGAAGAAGCCCAGCGCAAGGGTGTGCTAATGTGCCCAGCCTGAGGCGGGCGATTACCGCGCAAAGGTACGTAACAGGGATGGATGCCGGCGCCGCAACAGAAACAAACAAGGGACCGGGGGGAAAGGCCTTGAGCCTTGATGAAGCAAAAGGAGAGATGTCGAGTGGCCTGCGTACCTTGAGATTTGACGGCTTGAGAAGAGACGGAGAATGGCCGTTGGTCCCGTTGGCGGCGATGGCCGTGAGGCGAGGATGGCTGGCTGTCCTGTGCACACGGGCGAACAATCTGGGGCCGGGCGACGGAGCAGGCGGGGACGGCATCAAGGAGCAAGGTCGTCGAAGTGTAAAAGGCGGGACTGACTGGCCGAGGCAGGTTGTGAAGACGACGAGAGGGGGACAAACGATGGGCCTTGGAGAATTGAAGTTATCGAGGCGCCTGCAAAGTATCAAGGTACCTACGGATACAGTGCAAAAGATAGCGCAAGGCAGGGCCTCCCAAGTACGTACTACCTACCTAGTACCGTTCGCTCCTACGCTACGCACCTGCCTTGCCTACCGTTGTGGGGTTGCAACTGCCAGCTCGGGAACTACAGGTAGGTACTTTAAGTTCTGTACCTCTGAAAGTCTCTGCTTGGCGCCTGTCTGTGCAAGTCCAGTAATACTCCGAAAACAGCATCCAGTTCTTGGGGCATCGCCAGAGAGGTGCCCAAGAGCAAGCAAACGGCTCAAGCAGGCAAGCGCCCATGGGGGAAAAGCACAGCCAACGCGCTTCTCCGTGAGACCAAAAGGGTGCTCGGAGTTCTAAGTTATACGCTAGATGGATGGGCTGCTGGGATACTGCAAAAGTATTCCTACCTGTTGTTTCCCCCGGTGTTGGGTCGCGGAAGGGTAGAGATACCCGGCTTAGATCTGGCAGTTGGGCAGCAGGTTTGCCGACTTGCAACTGCCAATGAATCCCGTTTCCTCCGCAACTGCGATGCCCTCGTCCCTGCACAAGTACAGTATCAATGATGCGAATGTGCGAATAGCTGGCCGCCACCAACGCCGGCCACCATCCTGTTGGGCCACATCTCCTCGCTGCCTGTGCCTGGGATCCGCCGTGTGCTGCTTGACAGAGCAAAACAGAATCAAAGGTGGGACAAGGCCGTATGGATTGCTGCCCGCTGCTACTGTACCCAGGCTGTGTTGATCTCGGACGCCATGTTCACCTGCCAAACGACCACGCATACCATGCCCGGCGAGAAACAGTCTTCCGCAGCGGGCAGCCGGCGGCCGGTCCAGCTCCAGGCCCAGGCTCCCAGGCCGAACCATGCAGGGAAGCCCTTTGACATCGTGGCTCCCGCCGCATCGAAACGGGGTAGAAACGGCTATGGGGGAGGGCTGTGCGCGCACCCGGGGGCGAACAATCCGTCGACATGGCGCAGCATCGTGCCTGTCTGTCCTTGTCCCCGTTCCCACCTCGCAAATGACGTTATTAATAGGAGGGCGAAAGCGCTGGTGCGATATCGAGCTCGGTTGGACGGACCCAGGGGTCATACATGTCCGGCTCCGCAGGCCTTCCTATTGTCGCCTTTGTGCTGAATGGGATGCAAGGCGCCTCTTAGTCAGGGCGGCGCTGTCACCGGGCTCGAGGAGGCAATGCGAAGCAGCTGGTTTGGCCTCGATCTCGCGATGATGCTGCGTCCTCGCGGCTCTCTTCCAGCTGCCATTGCTTGCCGATAGAGGGACGTTTGGTTTGCGCCGCCCCAGGGTGCGTCCGTTCCCGTGCCGTCTTTCTGTCTGTCTGTGCCAGCGACGACGTGGGGCGACGACGACCATGTCGGCCGCAGAAGAGGCACGCACTGCACGTTGGCGCTTCTTCATGAGTACTGTGCGCCCTTTGCTACAGCGACTCCCCCCGTTTCTCTCTCTGCCCTTTCGGTCCTGCGTGCGGATCAGGGGGCGGCGTGTGCACAAGGCCACCTCCCTTTGGAGGGGGCTATTTTCAGTGCAACGCGAGCCTTCCGCTTGACGTTTTGCACGGTTTGCTGTGCGCAGGCACCAGTCTGGCTTGGCATCTCAAGTGAGTCGCATCCAGAAATGCACCCACAGCTGTACGTACGGGATATTCGCCCGTTGGTCCCGGTGTTGGCGATGGGAAGAGACGGGGTCGTCATTTCGCGGCCCTGGTGCTTGGACCAACGTCCAACGGGACGGGTCGTCTTGGTGTGTGCCTGGGATACCACCCGCAGGGCAAGGAAGCATTTCCACGTTGTTGTTTTGTTGCTCAATCCTCGTCGTGCTTGCTGCGACTGCGAGCGAGTCCAACGTCAAGCCTAGTCGACCACGACCAGGAAATACTTGGAGCAAAATGAGAGACTCGACCGTTGGTGACGAGTTTGTCAATGACAGGCCCGCTTTTTAGTGGCTGCCTGCCAATGATCTTCTCCCCTTTTTTTGACAAGCAACAACCCATGGCATGATATCACCGCCTCCTTTTTTTGGTCTCCAGAACACTAGTGTGTCTCTCAAGGCCTCCTGGCGCCTAGCCAAAGCACGCGGGCACAAGACAGCTTCGCAAGCATGGACGGGCCCGTGCAGGCGGCAAGCAGGGCGTTTTGCTGTCGACGTTGACCTCGCAGCAGCAAACCGTCCAAAGAAGGAGGCAAAGTACATAATCATGCTCGAAGTCCATAGTCCATCTCGAGTACACAATGGGTGCGGATCCTCACACGATTGGTGAAACAACTTGTCCCTTTCTTCCCTCAAGGTACTGCAACCTGCATAGTTGGGCTGTTGAAAGGGGTGACTGCTCCGTCCGAGGAGACAAGATAAAGTGGTGAAACGTCCCATCTCGGCTGCCAGGGACCAGCCACCAATCAGCAGATGCAGGCAGCCGAGATGGCAAGTCTTTGTTTCGCATTTTGCATTGTCAGCCTGCCTTGCCCCCGTAAAGTGGGTAGCCATGCAAGAGGTGGCGGGCTGCTGACGCCCGATCATTCCGGTACTGCAAGCCGTGGGCTTCTAGAAACCTTCTAGGGTGCCACGCAAGAGCAAGACCAACTTTGTGTTGGCATGGAAGCTTTTTTGTCTTACTCTGTGCCTAAGCATACCCATACCGGGACGCATACAGTAACTCATACCCATCCATCCATTGAGACGGCACCTTGGCAGGGCAGTGGACAATCTTGTCCTGTCTTGTCGCGACTTACACGCAACTACCGAGATGTTCATCAATCTCGCACACCATGCACAGGGTAAGCCAGGGTAGCATTGCGTCTCCCATCATCCACGTTTCCCTGCGTCGTTGGCGTTTGGCGTGTTTCTAGAGCCCTTCGAGAAGTGTCCCCGGTGCATAAGGGCTGACTTGATGACGCGCTCTCGCTTGTGTAGCCGAACGAATCCCGAGGGGGGACAAAGGATTGTTGTAGCGTGTACTCGATGTCAACTCGCCCAGGGAGAGAGACATGATCGGCAGACAGTGCAAACAAAGCCCGCCATTGCTCGAGACGACGACCCCGAGTCCATCACCTCGCCCGTCTTGGGAATTGTCGCATCTCGAAACCCGGCTCGCAAGTGGCCACAGGGTAGCCTTCCCCTTGGAGATTGAGGGAGCACACCTTGACCGTCCTGGAGGTTCGGAGCCACGATAACATGCAGGCGCGTGGAATGCTTGGACATGACGCACCGCCTGTGTCACCTTGATTCCCGCTGCAGGTCTGCATGCGACAAAAAAGGTCCTTGTTGCTAAGAATATATACACGAGCGCGCTTCAAGCCCCCCCGTGCCAAGAGCACTTATACCCCGACTCCCAAGATAGCTTGCTCGCACGTCACTGCTCCCTGCTCATGCTCGGCGAGCGATCGACAGCTCGCAGCTGCAGACGCCACAAGCAGCACGTTGTCGGGCTCTCGCCAAAGCTGCACACGGCCGCCTGGATCGTCGTGCCGTGCTGGCGGGAGCACCCGATGGCTGGCACACGCACACACGCGAACACGCACACACAAGCCAAGCTCGGTGATTTGCATGGGCCATGACCACGGAAGCCAAAAAAAGAAGCCGGGCGCTGCACGCGATGCGGGACAAAAAAAACAAACCATAATTCGATGGACTATCAAGACGTCCGGACAGCAACGTGTTGTCCAACCGCATATCCGTTTCGGCCATCCGCTCGCCCTCCTCTCCTGGCTGCTTCGACGACATACAACTCGTTGCCCTTTGCCAACAGGCGAATCCGGCATCACATCATGATCACAAAGTACCGATACAAAGTGCAGGGTGTCAACGTACGCAGACTCATCGTCATCACACTGTCCTCCTACCCACGTGCACACTCACACACGCGCGATCCTCACAAGGCCCCTTGTCGTCCTCGTTGCTGCCACCGCCCAGCCAACGGCTGCCAGGCCCCCCCAACCCTATTCATGTTGCCCCTCGACAATGGAAACACACAGTCACCGCCGGCTCCAACTGCTCGGATATCCAATGGCAGTCGAGCTTGGCTCGTCTTTGCCCTCCAGCCACCGAGCCAGCCATTGCCTCTCTTATTCCCGGAGGCAACGAGGTATTGCGGCCCACCAGCTCATGGGTGAAGGCCGTTGGGGAAGGGGTGTGTGTGTGTGTGTGTGGACGTGTCGTCTGCGGCATCGGCGACTCCGTATCTCTCTCCTGACCCCCCTGTCTCTCCGGGGTCGGGCGCCTCGAAAACCCCCAGGCGGAAACGTTCTAGAAAGCAAGCCGGGTAACACGAGGAGAGAGGGGACTTAGACTTATCATCCCATGTTGTGCGAAACGGCCCGGACGGATGGACGTGCTTCAGCAGCCAGGGCCAATATGCCAAGTGCCGCTCCTCAAGCATCACGAACGACGACGCGGCAACAACCGGGTCCACAATCCGATCCAAACACCGTCTGGCCTTGTTGTTGCCGCTCTGCAAACAAACCTCCGCGGCTCGGCCCCAAGAGGTGAATGGTCCCCCATCGGAGCCGAAGCACACATGCGCTTCTCTCGCTGCAACTGGGCCCTTTCGACGACGTCGAATCAACAGCCGACCATGCCCCCTCCAGGCCCAACCGATCAACAACCACCGCCGTAAATGTCCATACATGCTGGCAGATAAACATCCATACTGTACCCAAAGCTGTCCACGTGCCGGCGCCAACAGGGCTCATACGCTCCATGTCACCGCCCTGGTACTGTATCCATTAGTTCGCACCATGTCGGCAGAGACGAGCCCCCGTGTAACAAAGAGTCGCCCCCCGTTGGTTTCGACGCGGCCTTCCCGTGACATGGTGAGCGAGTTGTTGGCCCGCGCGGCCTTGTTGGGCACCCAGGCCATGATAACCCCTGCAGGCCTAAACGGCGGTCAATGGGGCTTCATCGCTCTCACCGGCACGGGAAACATCCGGCAAGAAGAAACTGCCACTTTGGCTGGTTCCTCATGGTTGAGCAATCCCTTATTGATAGCTTGTACGCCTGGTCTACTCCCGTGGTAAGCCACAAACGTGATTGCTGAACTTGTTGCAAGCCCTGTCTTTGGACCAACACGGCTCCACCGTACATGTTGTACCACGACAAGGCCTGGCAGGGTTGTCATCGAGAGCATTCCAAGGAAACGGAGACGACGGAGACATCTTCACCTGCACTAAGCAGACCAACTGCCGCCGCTGCCGCCGCCGAGGCCCGCCGTGCCCCATCTGCATGCTGTTCAGTTCAGCCTCCAAGGACGGGAATCACAGATGGCACATCTTTCCGGTTACTGTTTCCATCACCTTGACTTGTGGGAAACTCGTGCCTGACTCATCGGCGGGGCGCCGAAGACAAAAGAAAAGCTTACAATCAAAGGGCAAGAAAGACAATCATATTGATGCCGCCCCAAGGCGAAGCTAGCAAACATGCGCACTACCAGCGCGGCTCTTCACGTTCGTGCATCGGTGTTCTCACGACATTGTCATCGCTAAAGGGGTCGTCGTCGTCGTCATCTTCGGCTCTCTTAGCGGCAGCGGACTTATTGACGGGCGGGCGAGGAGGACGCGCTGGGACCATGATGGAGTCCGGGGGGCGGGGGATCGGGGGAACGGCCGGCTTGGGCGTCGGTTCGAGGGAGAGGCCGGCGAGGTCGGGGGCGTGCGTGCCTGGAAGCGGGTGGGCGGCCTGGTCATCTTTGGTCCTGAGGGCAGCCACTGGGCGTCACACCGTCGTCAGCAAACGGGTGGGAACAAGGGGGAAGGCAACGTGAGGCCTAGGGACAGGGAGTAAGCGTACTTCGGTACATGTGAGCTTGCTGGGCGAGTTCGTCGTCCGAGTCGCTGTCGGCGTCGATGGATTGGTCCAGCTGCTCAAACGACATGAGGGCATGGACAAGCTCGTCGTTGGCGTGGAGCAGGCTGCCGAGCCACTGCTCGCTTTCAACGAGGTGAATCTAAAAGTATAGAATTAGCACAAACGGACTTGTAACGCTTCTTCTCGCGAAACCGAGAGAACAAGACGAAGCTCGTGACGAGTAAAAGGAGCCAGATAGGAAGGAGGTGAGAGGCTTGAAGCGTACATAGCGTAGGATCCTCCGACGGAGCTGCTTGCAGGCCTCAAAATGCTGCACGGCCTCTCTGTTGTTCGAGATGCGCTGGCGCTCGCGATTGATGCTCTGGAGCGAGTTCTTGAGGTTTGTCGACTCAATGGACGACTCGGCAATGATGGACTTGATCTTGTCTTTTTCAGCCTCGAGGTTGAATGGCCCTCGCTTTCCTTTGCTCTTGTCCTTGTCCTTGTCCTTCTTCTTCTTCTTCTTGTCATAGAGCGAACCTTCACCCCCCCTGGCGGCTGGCGCGGGTTGAGAGGGCCATGGCCTGGACGAGGGCCCGGCAACGGGTGGTCGCGAGGCGCGCTCGGCTGCCTCTTCCTCCTCCTCGTCTCCAAAAGGGTTTTCCGTCTCCCGGATGACCTTTGATTTCTCCTGCGTAACGGCGACTTTTCTCTTTGGGAGTTCCTACATTTTGCGTAAGACTGTCAGTCAATGAAAGAGACCGGCGCCCCGATTTCTGTCCGTCCTTGACTCGTCTCTTCTTGCCACCTGTGCGCCGAGTACTGACCTTGTGAAGGCGTGCGACCCGCTCTAGGCCTGGAGTAGAGGCGTACTGCGACCACTCCCGAAACAGTTCGGTGCACTTTCTCCTGACGGCCGGGTCCGAGAGGCCAGAGGTGCCGCAGACTCTGAGGCGCTCGAGCAAGGGCTCGTCGGCAAAGGCACGCTGGAAGCGCGAGCCGGCGTTTTGGATGAGGCCGTCAAGGATGACGAGGGCGCGGAGCTGGCGGTGAACGTTGCCGTACTTGAGCTTCTTGCGGATGGCCCGGGCCGCCTCGCTGGGGCCCGAGGCCTGGAGCTTGATGACCTCGACGAGGTCGGGGATGCCGCTGAGATCGTCGACGTTGTAGCCCTCCGAGGTGAGGTTCTCAACGTTGACGGTTACCGCCGAGTACGGCTTCTTCTAGGGAGGGAGATGGAGTGAGCAATATTGCCGATGAGGGGGCAAGATGAAAGATGCCCAACGAATAATGCCTCAAGCTTCACACAAAGTATCGGGTTTGATGACGGCGCAGAAAAGGCGCATTGCAACAGCATCAAGAAGGCGCGTACCTGTGAGAACATGACAAAGGGTGATGGCCGAGACTTCAAGCTCAGCTCAAAGCCATGGGTGGACACTGGAGCTGCCCTGATATTGCTTTTGCTGTCAAATGGTGAGGCACGGTTCATTCCAAAACCCCGCCTAGACGTCTATTCTCACCTCGACCCCTCCCTCACTCTCGGCGTCACACGGGCTCGCAAGGCTCGAACCCGACCCAAGCAGAGGCGGACAGTCGACGGCCGTGGAGAAAAGAATTCTTCCCTCGGCTGAAAGCTGGTCGGTGTGGACAAACGAAGGCGTCGGGCACGGATTGCACGACAGCAGAGGGAATGCCTGCGGGCGGAGAGCGACGGAGACTGGCAAGCTCGGGATACAGGGGCTCGAGCCTTGCAAGGACGGCGGTAAACGATGGGCGACGGTCGGCGGGGGAATTCGATCTTTTATTGCTTGTCCCGGGGCTTCAAGTCCTGCTTCAACAGGAGCGAGTGGTGAAGGAGGAGAAGGAGGAGAGATGGACTGCTCGTTTGCGTGCCTGAGCTACCACAAGTACCTGGGCGTGGGGCAGAGCAGTGTGACGTCAGCCACCCATAAGCTCAACTGAAGTGACAATGCCGATGCTAACAATCAATGCCGACAATTCATCTCTCCATTGTCTGATCATCTATCCAATGTCATTGGCTACGGCATGCTCCTTCTCCCACCCCACTCGGTATCGTCGGACAATTCCTCCATTCTCTCACCATCACTCGGACGGGACTGGCTTGTTGCACCATGCAAACCGCGTCGTGCCATTTACCCGGAATCCGCGGCAAACTCTCCATGCTCCGGTTGTCTCTGATGCTTTGGGCATGAGCTCTTTTGTGTTTTTGCCCTGCCTTATATAAAAGTCATGTATGTGATTTTTTATGTGGCCCCTTCTCCAGCAATCCTAGTCCTTTCTCCAAGCTTATGCTTGTCCAGATTCTCACTCCAGTCGACTGGTTGATGTCGATGATACCGCCCTTCCAAAACTCCGTTTACGCCTGTTGAATGGCGCCGCCTCCCATGCTCGACAGAAAGTCAAGCTCTCTCATCCAGTGACCTTCACTTCTGCTTCTTGCCGGCAGCCCTCTCGCGTTCCCGCTTGGCGTAAATCTCGGCTGTAAAGGGATCCTCGTAGCGTAGCGCCAGGACATAGACCAGGCACACCCAGCCCGTCAGGAAAAGGCCGGCGGGCTTGCCAAACAGCAGGGCCGAGCCGAGGAAGCTCATGGTGGAGCCCCAGTACATGGGCGCGCCGCAGACGTTGAAGGGAAATCCCGTCACCATGTCGTCCATGAGGATGCCAAAGTAGTCACCCAGGAAGGTGCCGGTGATGCCCAGCGCCCACGTCGACGAGATGACCAGGACGTTTCCGCACAGCAGCAGCGTGTAGGCGGCGGCCTGGGAGTAGGGCGTCAGCAGCAGGGGGTGCGACGGCTGTTCCTGGATGGCCGTCTTGTAGATGAAGTCGCGGACGAGGCCGAGGGAGAAGATGGTGGCGGCGAGAGCGTAGCATGCGGTACGCGAGCGGCCGCCAAACAGCTTCGTCAGTATCTTGTTGTGGTACTCTAAGGGGCCCCGTCGTCAGCTGCACAGCTCGACACGGCAGAGACACGGGAGATGGGACCTTGGCGCGCGACGATACTGTGGGAGTTGGGCGCGTTAGCAGCTGGTCATGGGCGGGGGCGGCCAGACGACGGCGACTTACTTCCAGAACAAGGGGTTGAAGGCAATGGAGCAGGCCGAGACTGTACAGACGAGCAGTTAGACAGTAGACGACGCTCGAGCCACGGCCGACTTACCCACGAGGCTCTTCTTGCCGAGGTCGACATGGCGGGCAAGGTCGCCCACCAAAGACACGATGCTGACCATGGCGGACGAGCTGTCGATTGGACGAAGAACGAGATGCAGAAAACCGAGAGCAGAACCTTGCGCCTCTTGCACGTCAAACCAACCTTCTTCGGCCACAGAGCAGTCTTGCGAGAATTCGATTCAACAAAGCCAGCTTGCGAGGGGGAGCGGGTAGCAAAGGGACAAGTTGCCAAGGTTCCTTGGCAAAAGGTACCACCCACCAGCTGGGCGTCATCCTGCAGCCGCCCGTGTACGGTACGTACAGTACAGCCTCGGCAATGGAGAGATGTGGGGGGGGGCCTGAAGAGCCCTGTCAGCCAATGGGAGGTTGAACCTACCGCCATTCACAGGCACACAGTGACTAAAACCCTTCGACGATTTATCCTATCATGCATCAAAAGTGAATCGAGTGCGTGCGATAAAGGTTGCCCCCCGTCCGAAATAGCAAACCCATCCATCGAATACACAATACACTCCCGCGCTTCCAATCCGACACAACGGCAACAAGTTCCAAGCAACGTACTTGTCGTCCAAGAGGATAGATAACCGGTGCCCGAGAGCCAAGTCGGTTTCTCTCCGACGATTCCCTGTTGATCGAGATGGTCGAGCCGACGAAATAAACCCGCCGCAAAGTCCAACTCGAATGCGTATTCTGTAGCCAGCCCAGGAGAATTTTTTTTTGAGAGAGAGCGTCCTGAAACGGGATAACGCCCCAGGCGCACTGTCGCAGCTGGGCTGCGCTACATCCACCCATCTGACTCGCACTCGTCTTCGTTTCGAGCGACAATGCCAGACCATAGAAAAGCATCTGCCGCTTGGCCAGACACAAGCAAACGCTCCGACTGGCGCATAGTTGGTGCGTACAACACCGACACGCATAGTGAACGAGGATCGGGAATGGGGATGAAATAGTGTCTGAAGACGGCAGCGGTGCAAGTCCGTCTTGGAAACATGTCATTGTATGAGGAAAATAAGACAAGAGAAAAAGAGAGGTCAGGCGTCTAACTCGATGGATCTTGGGAACTGCATGATTCCTGCCACGACGGATTTGTCAAGGCCATCTCCTTCCCCTTGCGCGTACGTACGCCAGGAGCTGCTTTAAAGGGTACGTCGCGACGCACTTTGCATTGCCCAGCGCACAACGAATCAGTCGCTCTTTCAGCTTGTGGGCCTGGATGGCGATGCTGGGATGCCTTGGCCGAGACTTCAGCATTCATTCATCATGGACACGGAAAGCCTGGTAGAGGCTGTTGAAGATGCAACCCAGGGCCAGAGATAACGAAGACACCGCCACCATGTCCTCTGCCCAGAGAGGTGGGCAGTTCCTTACTTCCCTCGTTGACTGGCAGCGTCGTTTCGTCCCCCGGTAGTACCAGTCCACTGGTCTTGACACCCGATGTTGCCTCCACACCAATGCCGTCCCTCCGCCGCCACATTCCCGGCACCTTTCCCGGCCCCGTCGCCGTTGTCTCCACTTTTGCCACTGCCCCGGCCGTCCCTCGGCTGCAATCGCCCATTCGGGGCCAGCCAAGGCGGCCGGCGCCAACCTCAAAAGAACAACCATGTACGGCATGTATGTCCGTCCTTCTACGGGGCTGAATGTTGGCAATGTCAATGCCTGCGAGTGGGCAGACACCTGCATCAAGGACTGACGCCTGCTTCTTTCGCTTTGACCATTGCATTCATCGTCGTGCAATACCTGTATGCCTAATGCCACAACCACTTCCATAGCATCCCGCGGGGTCCCTTTGAAAGAAGACCAAAAGCCTCAAGAGAAGCCACGTTGCCATTCATCATCGTCCAAAGAATTCAACGTCCACGAGGTTCGTCCCTTCTTCCCCGCTCCAGTGCGGCTTGCTTGGTACCCTGTTTCCGATAAACTCCTCAACGCGACCCGGCCGGGCAGTGGCGCAGCCCTTGTGCGATACTCCGAAAAAAAGAAAAGGAAAGGACATGAAACGGCCCCTCCGTGAAGCCCGGAATTGTCAATGTCAATGACACGATGCGCGCTACCCATGACGCCCTCGCCTCGCTGCGGCTTCCGTCGTCAAGTTCATCAGCTCATTGAGTCTTGCGCAGAGACTCGGACAAGTCCCCCGTGGAGGGTTAGAGAGAAAGGAAGAAGCCGACAAGAGGGGAGGAGAAAAAGAGAAGAAAGGCGAAATAAATCAAGGCTATCGACGGTTTCTCGTCTTCTTGCCCGCCGTCGCGTCTTCCTCCTCCTCGTCTTGTCCCTTTTTAAGATCCTCGGTCAGACCCCACTCATCCTTGTCGTACCAATCCTCGCCGTCCGACAAGTCTCTGTTAGGGCCGCAGTGTGCCTCGGCCTTGGCCCAGTGCAGGACGTCTTTGCGCAGCCGCTCAGCCTTGAGCAGTCCGTGGTGCAATTTTGTCGCTCCCCGGCAAATCTCCTCTTGTTTTTGCACGTAGAGCGCGAACAGTCTTCTGATGTCCTCAGCCTCGTGTTCCGGTAGACCAAGGTTTCGGTCTGGTCTGGCACCCACGGGCGCAGCGAACATTGGATGGATAAAGGCGTGCTCTGGGGCTTCCGATGTGGCCGACCGACTTTGCTCGCCTGATCTTCTTGGCTCGAACCGATGATCTGTCGTCGCTTCGGCACCCTTCATCAGCGAATCCCCCCGTTCGTCCTCGACGTGCGACTCAGTTCCCTTTTCATTGGTGCCCTCGTGCATGCCGTTGTCTTCGCGGCTTGACTTGTTCGCAGCGTCGTTGACGTCCTTGTCACGCCCCAAGGGTCTATCGCCTGTCCTCTCGCCTTCCTGGCGCGCATTGGATGGCTTTTCACCATTGTGTTCCTTGGAGATGGCTGTTGCCCCATGTTTTGATTTGCCGTCGTTGTTGCCGGCCACCCCTGCATCCACCATTGGCACGTCGACGTTGTATAGCGCCCCTTCCGGCCGGCCGCCACCGGAGTCCACCGCGTCATGTGCGCCTTCAATATGGTCCCCTCGGGCGTCGCCGTTCATTGCCTCTCGAGGCGATGGCTCGGCACCACTCGCTTTTGCCAGACTCTGAAGGTGATGGGCGACATGGTCCTCGGTGTAGATATTCACGTCGTTTAATCCGACCATCAGCTCACAAGGCATCCACGTGCCGTCGCCACAAAGGGACGTCCACAGATGTCTGATGTGCCATAGCGATTGATTTTCTCTGCGTGTGAGCTCGCAGCTTTGTGAGACCAAGTTGGTGAGAGTCTTGGAGACAAACGGTTTCGAGAGGGTCGAATGGGTAGGGAGGGCGGTCGAAGCGGTCAGGGGCGCCAAGATATCTACACGTCCTCCATGTTAGACTCGTCTTGTGGACCTAAAATGCTTGGGTAGGCTTGACGCACGTTCTAACCGGATGTTGGCATATGGATTGAGCTCCACGGCGGCGAGAGCGGCTTCGCCGATGCGCCCGTCGTCGTCGTCGCTGTCCACCTCGTAGCCTTCGTCGTCGACTAGTGGCGGGTTGCGGTGAATGATGGCTCTCCGGGAACCGGCAAAGTCGACGAGCTGGGCCAAGGTTAGCCGACCAGAGGAGCTCATGACGGGCGCGTTTTGTCGCAGGGTTGTACCTCCTTGTATGCGCTGGGCCCTTGTGTCGGCACCAACTGTCCCTGACGCGCGAACCGCGCCCTCTTCTTCAGCTTGTTGCCGCGGTTGCCGTGATTTTCAACGTCGGAGTCGGAGTCGGACTCTGCGGGCGCGGCCGAGGTTAGCTGAAGCGCTGCGAAGAAGCCATTGATTGCAGAGATTTCTCACCATAAGCCTTCCTCTTGAAGGCTTTTTTCATGCCGGCGATGGTCTCGGCAAAAAGGACCTGTTGAGATGCCATGGCGGGCAGAGTCACCAGAGGGCAGCCGACGGGGGACGTGAGTGGGCGGAGAGGCAGGCTGTCGCGGCGACCGAGCGGCGGCGGCCAGCGACGTCCTCAGCAGGGGCAAGACGAGCCCAAAGCGTGGTCCGAGAGGGTGTCGACAGAGGCGGGGGTTTCGGTTCACGTCGTGCGCAGCGCGTGGGAGCGGTGCTCTGATACCAGAAAAATATGTTCTTGGGGGGGGACGCGAAGAGCGCAGGGCCAGAAAGGCGAGACGAGGCTGACTGTGGCTGCCCTCATTCCTCAGCGGTTACGGCGGCCTCTTGCGCGACAGCTAATTATGACTTGGCGGCCGAGGCACGGCGCTTCACTTTGCCCGATGCAGCTGCCGGGGATTAGGCGGCGCTTACGTCATAGGAGCAAGCGAATCAAGGTCGGGATGTTGGTTGATGGATCGAGAAATGGGGTTTGGCCCCTGTTCTGGTGGGAATTATCGAGCTGAATCAACCACAGGCTTCTATACTTCGACATCTACAGTCACTACGCTTCCCGAGGACTTGGAAAAGGCTGTCACTACCTAACAGAAAATTTAGCAAAAAAATCTCCAACATTTCAAGCCTTGAACTCCAGCATCTGTCGATAATCAGATGCCATGTTCTTCCCAGTACTTTGGCTGTGCCATTGAACGCCGCCCAGAACTCGACCCGACGACGAGCAGCACAAGTTCCAAGGCAGACCATTGCCCCAACCGCCAAATACAGGCCCAACCGTCTTTGAAGACGCAGCATACACTCCGTACAGAAACACACATTAACCTTGACAGCTACAATTGTAGGTTAGTACCTCTGCTCAACCTCTCGGATCAAAGTGGCTCAACTCACATCTCGGGAGAGCTTGTGATCTCCTCAAAGACCTGAAGAACCTCGAAGCCCATCGCCAAGAGCGGCTCGCTCGTATCGTCTACAGCCTGGGTAAGTCAGCATGCAACTCCAATCCTCTGACCACGGTCTTCGTACCCAACTCAGCAATGCCTTGGAAGCCTTATGGCTCTTGCACTGCCGAACACCCATGAGTGCCAGCCCCTGCAACACGAGCGTCGACTGTGGAGTCGGTGGCACGATGGGTGCAATGATGCCGGCTACATCATCTGTATGCGACAGCAACGGAGGAATATGCGTGATAAGGGCGCTATTCTGTCGGCAGATAATGACGGCACCAATTAAATTCCCCGTCGCGTCCTTGGCGCGTACAATGCCGCACGATTTGTTTTCTGCCAATGCGTGTCTATAGAGCTCCGAGACTTCGGGGTTTGCGTTTGCACGCACATGGTGGAGCACACTGTCGGCGTTTTCCAAGCCGTGTATCAAGTCGAAGCTGATGTTGGTCCTTTGAATGCTCTGCAGCAGCCCCTCCGGGACGAGCCAGTGGCCAAGGTCCTTGATGACCAGGTTGGTCAGTTTCCTGGGGAACTGGGTGTCCCAGCCGCTGCTGCTGAACCATTCCTTGATCGTGCTCAACTCTATGTTTGATGGAATGCCGAGAAAAACGCCGGGAAACGTCGTTCCGAGCTGGACCTTTTTGATTCCCCGTTGCTGCGCGAGGCTTTTCAGCGCTCGCCGATGCAGAGACCGTCCAATGGACACGTTTCGCTTTCCCGGGTCGACAAACAGGGCGCCCAGGATGCCCACGCTGCCGACGAAGTAAGTGGCGACGAACCCATAGAGCGCCTGCGTGCTGCTGTTTCGCACCACGAAATGGGCCTCCTTGATGCTCGGCACGTTCAGTTCCAACGACGAGGCGCTCGTTGACCGAAGAAACTCAAGATCCGGCGCATTTGCTCGATGGACGGCTCGGAGGAGTTCGTTCAGGCCCTTGGCATCGCGCGACCGATCGTACTCTTCCACCAGCCAGTGCTGCCTGGACTTGAGCACTTTCTTGCTCTTGCGGAGAGTCCCAGGCATGCTCCCGGCCGGGTCAATCTCGCCGACGAGGACCCGAACCAAGGCAGACATGGCGTTTTCTGTAAAGTCAAAGGTACAGATGTACGTGCCGATGGACTTGTCCATGGCAAAGTCATACGGAGAGCTAACGGCGACAACTATCAGCTGCTTTTTGTTCCCCCTGCTGCGGTGCATTGAGCATATCATGTCGACGTGCTTGGTGAAGCCTGCTTGGTACAGGTTGCGATTGGCATCTGCCGTAACAATGATGATGCACGATGCTCTGTTTATGAGATTCTCGTGGACGGGCCGGACTCCGTTGGCCGTGTAGCTTGTATGGAGGAGCTTTTCGTTTCGATACCGAGCAAGATTCTTGCCGAACTCGCGAAACACACCCTCTCCGCTCATGATGGCACCTCTTTCCCTGGCCTGGTGTGCCCAGACGTCGTGGTTGGTGGGAGCGTCCGAGTAGCTGTTCTTGGCCTCGAGCAGACTCTTGGTCATTGAGGATGCCGGCAGAGGCTTGACCAGGGGCGTGAGCAAGAGAAGCTCCTCGCCCGGGTGCAAGGACCCAGACAGAGGGAGCATTTTCTCCTTGTCTCTAACAACAGTGATGGACTGATCGTAGGCCCGCCGGGACAAGGCCATGTGCGAGGGGTGGAGCTGAGAGAGAAGAGGGATTCCGGGAGGATTCAGGGCCTTTGACCACGAGGTGCACGTCGCCTTGAGTTTGAGGACCCGCCTTAGCGACATGAATATTCTCTCCTTGGTTATGATGCCATTTTCGTACCCCAGCTTGAGACCCTTGATGGCCTCGAGCTGGACGTCGTAGGCACGACAGAGGAGGACGAGGTCACAGCCAGCTTCTACGGCCATGACAACGCCATTCTGTACGCCAAGGTCGTGGCTGAGGGCCTCCATCTCCAAGCACTCGGAAATGGCAACCCCCTTGAAGCCGAGCTCGTTGCGCAGGAGATCATCGACAACCTGGTCAGAGAGGCAGGCGTGGCTGACATTCATGGAGGGGTTGGAAATGCCGCAGCCGCCCACAAACATGGCATCCAGCTTTCCCGAGGCAACGGCGTTCCGGAAGGGCACCAGGGCACTCAAGCTCAACTCCTCCAGCGTCTGGGTGATGATGGGTACATCGAGATTCGACCCGAGGAAGTCGAGGTTCCCGTACGAGGGGAAATGCTTGCCACACGAGGCCATCCCGGCATCGCGAATACCTCTGAGCGCGGCCAGGCCGTAGAGAGAGACCTCCTGGGGATCGTCTCCCGTGGCACGGACGCCGAGCGGCTGGTAGCGAGCGTTGTTGAGCACGTCCAGGACGGGGCCGAGCATCAAGTTGACGCCGCAGGCCGAGATCTCGGTAGCAGTGGCCTTGGTGACCTCGTACGCCAGCTCGGCGCGGCCGGCGGCGGCAATGCCCATGGCGCTCGGAAACTGACAGACATAGTCTTCGTCAAAGAGGCTGTTGACGCCGCCATTCTCCTGATCCAGGGCGATGAGCAAGGGGTGAGGGTGACCTGCATTCTTGGCAATGGTCTGGAGTTCCTGCACGAGCCTGGCGGTTTGTTGAGCAGCTAATCATGAGGGTCAGTGAGGACGTTCCTTGCTCGACGCAGAAGCAGCGATGTCAGAGTATGGAAACACGAAGTGGGAGGAGTACGGCAACGGCAATGCCGAAGTGAGGCAATGCGGGAGGAAAGAGCAGAGAAGCGCAAGGAGACGACCGACATTTGAGGTTTTTGGCCGTCAAGATGATGGATCCGAGGTGATGATCCTCGATGAGGCTCTTGATCTGGGGCGTAACCTCTGTTCCATCCCAGCCCATAATAAGTATATGCCCTATGGCCCTGCAGAGACAGCCACGAGGTTAGCCGAACAGCTTCGGGACGAAGCGGTACAAGCAGATCTGGGCTTGCTTACCAGTCGAGGTTCTGCCATAGTGGGTCCAAGTCGCCGTCGGCCATGTTGGATGGGGGATTGGGGTTGGTGGCCATGATGCAGCCAGACTCGAGATGGGCGAGGTGTCACTGTCGGGCGCGCATCTTGGCCGGTGGGCGCCGGCAGTGGTGAGATGTCTCGTATGGTGAGCTCGGAAGACACGTTTGCTTGCTTGCTCGAAGCCCGACGAGCCCCCAAGCTCGAGAAGAGCGCCCTCTGAACAGAGATGACCGGGCACGCTCGCCCTCGCGGATCAAGTTCGGTTATCGCGTCGAGGGACCGGAAATGGGTCCCGGGGGAAGTTGGTGACTTCGGCGCCGATCCACGGGCGGGCACCCCACAGCAGGACTTGACGCCGGAGCTGGTCTGGAGCCGAAGCTGAAGATGCGAAAGGCGGGGGATGGCGTCTGGAGGTCACCTGCTAGTAGGTAGGGAGGTATGCACGGCACGCCGGAGGCAACGTGAGGCTGGGAAAATGGAGAAGAGAAACCTGAGTCGTCCACTACAGTGGGGTGGAGGTGCTGTTAGCGGGGAAAGACATAGGACCCCTAGTAGACTCACTACGGGCGGGACGCCCGGGGGGGGGGGTAAGTCAGAACCTCGACGGAGCGGGAGGCAATTCAACGTTACATACATGACGGGACCAACCAATGCATCGACCGCCTCCTGGTCTGCGTGTTGACATGTCGCGAGCGCACGTTCCGTTACATGTCGGGCGCATCAAGGCAGCACTCCCAGACTCCGGCTCCGGCCCTCGTGGCAAGAGCCGGACGGCACCACGCCATCGCCCTTTGCCCGACGACGCACCTACTGTCCGTAAATGCCGGGCCGGAAAGCCAAGGTTTCGTGACACATCGTCATGTGCATGTATGAGACGACCTCACCTCAGTATGGGTGCTCACACAGTGCCGTCGGGGCCCGGCCGACGTACTCCTGAGTACCCGCTACGAGCTGGAGCTACTTCGTTACCACTACTATTAGGCCTCATACACGTGGTTCCGTGGTAAAGACTGCGGCCCCCCCATGCCCGCGACTCATCGTGGCCGGAACTTTTCCTTGAGCTCTCCCTTGCTTCTCTCTCCTCGACTGCCGTCACATATCATCAGATAACGCTACCGCGTAGCAAGACGGACAATGCCCATCGCACTCTCTCCGCCGACCCAGCCACGGAACGGCCTGACCAAGTTCACCAACTGTCGGCTGGTCAAGGGCGACAGGTTCGTGAGCGAGGATCTCTGGGTCAGCTCCATCTCGGGCAAGATCATCCACAGCCAAGCAACCTTTTACGACGACCTGAACCTGCCCGACGAGACCATCGACCTCGGGGGGCGCATCGTCGCCCCGGGCATGATCGAGTGCCAACTCAATGGCGCCTTTGGCTTCAACTTTTCGACCCTGCTCGACGACATGACGCAGTACGGCAAGAATGTCAAGGAGCTCAACCGACTGCTCATCCAGACGGGCGTCACGTCCTATACGCCTACCATCACCAGCCAGCGGCCAGAGCTGTATCAAAAGGTAGGCCCGACCATTTCACCGTTGGCCAACCAGCCCGCCTGACATTCCCCAGGCCCTGCCGTATCTCGGTCCGTCGGGGGGCCGGCGCATCGCCGATGACGGAGCCGAATCGCTGGGCGCCCACTGCGAGGGCCCCTTTCTCAACCCGACCAAGAACGGAATCCACGACGTCGACGTCTTGATCGAGGCTGAGACGTTTTCGGACCTCGAGGCCTGCTACGGCGCCGAGAACCTCAACCCCAGGGCGCCCGGCGACACGATACCCGTCAAGGTGATCACGGCGGCCCCAGAGCGCGGACAGATGCTGAGGCTGATCCCCGAGCTCACATCGCGGGGCATCATCTACTCGGTCGGCCACTCGGAGGCGACGTACGAGGAGGCGTCCGAGGCCGTGGGACAGGGCGCGACCATGATCACGCATCTCTTCAACGCGATGCGGCCGCTGCACCACCGGAACCCTGGCATCTTTGGGGTGCTGGGCCACGCCGAGAGCCTGCCGCGGCCGTACTTTGGAGTTATCGCCGACGGCATCCACCTGCACCCGACGACCATCAAGATTGCCTTTAACGCACATCCAGACGGCTTCATCCTCGTCACCGACGCAATGCACCTGGTCGGGCTGCCCGACGGGGCCTACCCGTGGACCAACGGCGACCAGACGTGTAATATTGTCAAGAAGGGGTCGGAGCTGTTGCTCGAGAACTCGGCGACGATTGCAGGAAGGTGAGCGGGCATGGTAAGCGAGGGCAATACGCATAGCCGCTAACAAGGAGACGAACAGCTCCATCACGCTGCTTGAGTGCGTCAACAACTTTCTGCAGTGGTCCGGCACGGACATCCCACAGACGCTCAGGGCAGTGACGTCGACTCCGGCGGCCATGCTGGGGCTGCAAGGGGTCAAGGGGACGCTCGATCCGGGAGCCGATGCCGACTTGGTCATCCTTTCCGAGGAGACGCGAGGCAGCAGTAGCCAGCTGGTGCTGGACGAGGTATGGAAGTTTGGGACGAGGCTTTACCGAGCGGGCAAGTTGAGGTGAGCAGCGTTTTCACCTGCTGCAGCAGCGGCATGAAGATGGGGTAGGGGCTTTTTACAAGGAGTCTCGGCAGAAGCCTGGGTGATGATGGACTGATGACGCGCATGGCACGATGACTAGCCCGTCAATGCACGGCAAGGGGCATAAGATTTACTTGTTTCCTACCCTTTCCCTGCCAGCTTCCTGATATGCACGTTTTTTCTCACTTTTCCGCACTTCCCCACACGCCGCGCGAGACGCAGTAGGGGAATCTTTTAGGAGTGGTAGACGGGTTATATAGCATTCTGTGGCGTATCGCGTGGTAGACACATACCGGTATGCGCGGGAGCGCAAACGCACGAGACGGGAAACGGGCCAATAGATTGCACGAAGCAGTTGCATTCATCCGAAGGGGCGTGCATGCACGCTTGGTTGCGTGTGTTATGTGCCTGACGGTGATTGGCGCCACGCGCAAGACAGTTTGTTTCTTTTTCCGTGCAAGCTTGCTTTCTTTTTTATTTGCTGAAGACGCTCATAAAAAAGACGCGGGGGTCTTGGAAGACTGACTCACACGACCTTGCGTTTCTTTTTTCTCGACGATGAGGGAAACGCCGCCAAGGCCTTCTAGAAGTCACGGACCGGATCGTGCCAAGTTGACCACCAATCGCGCACCGGAGAGGAATGGGACCCCGTCTATAGTACTGGCTGCTATGCATCGCGCGTCGTGCCGTGCCTGGATACGGCAATAGTTTATGCCCTGCTGAGTGAATTGTACCTCTAATCTCCATGCGCTCCATACCTTTTACACAAGTGCCAGGTGCTGGAGCTTGCGACAGTCATGCGTCATGAAAACTTGGCTGGTTCATGAGGGCGATAACAGCCGGCCACGAAACGGCGACGAGAAAAACCAGGGGAACCAAAAGCAGGCTCAAGAGACCCCCCCCGGGTGCAACCCCCGGTGCATCGACGGGCGCTGCGGCTCTGGCGACGATGAAAAGTAAAAGTGGGTGTCGTTGACGGAGAACGTGGCCGCCTTGTGGGGGAACGCGCGCGTTGCTAGCGTCGACCAGGAACTCTGAATGGCCCGGTGGCATCACTTTGCGAGCAAAGAGGCAAAACGGACAGTCCACCTGCTCGATAGACGACAAGTGTAAATCACCTACCTCAAGCAGCAACCTCGGCCTGCCGAAACCGCCCTGCCCGGCCTGAACAGGCACCCGAAACAGGATGTCGACGATGCCCTGCTGGAAGATACAGGTCACCCCAATCCATTACGCCAAGCGGCTGCACGGCTCCGTCCCATCATCAAAGGCCAAGCCCGGCCCTCGCCAGGACGCAGTGGTTAAAGTTGCCGTCGTCGAGCACGCCATACAACACAGAGTGTACTGTGCTGCCGTCTGCAGTAGAACAGTGGCGTCTGTAGCACCGAGAATGCCAGCCAAACGCCGCTGTCGTCGGAGCCCGGGCCCTCGGCGGGTGCGCAAGTACAGTAATTACACGGCCGTTCGCTCCTCGCTTCCCCTCCTCCAGCGCTCCCCTCTCCCCTCCAGGTCCCCCTCCCCTCCCTCACGGGGCCACCCCTCCCGAGTCCCCAGTCCCCCCTCTCCAAAAAATGAGCAAGTCGGGCATCCCAAACGAGTCGTCGCTCTGCCTACAGTAGTAGGTAGTAGATTGCAGGAGCCGGGAGGGTTTCCCCCTTCCTCCACATTGCACGGCGCCCGAGTCCAGCAGTCGTATTCGTCAACACGCACCTTGACCCCGACGGATATTGTGCGCTGCGCTGCGCTGCACTGCACCGACCGGTCTGCCCTGCACTAGACCGCCCCAAGCCCCAGCTCTGTCTGCCGCCTCGTTGGGTCAGTCCACCGCCATCATCACCATCATCATCCGCCGCCGCCGCCGCCGCCGCCCCTCACCGTCCCGGGCCCGGCTTCCCGTCGCTCGCCATCGCCGGCTATCCTTCTCGCGAAACCCCGTGGAGGCGTGGCGTTGTCTCGATTCCTCTGTCTGGCCCCATCCCGCAGCAGCTCTCTGCCTCTCTCTGGCGGCGGCTCTGCGGCTGAATCCTCGGATAAAAAATACCCCCTCCATCGCTGCCCCGATTGGACCCTTGCGCGCGGTGTTGACGCCGGGCGGATCATGCCATGGCCACATTCAACTCGATGCCGGCCATGACAGCCGCTGCGGCCAGCGAGACCATGGCCATGGCCAACGGCTCCAGTCAGCACATGGCCATGGAGCATTTTGACCACGCTCTCAATTTCGACGAGGCCCTGCTGTGAGTCTGCTTCCCTTTTGCGCCCTGCACCCCGCTGACCACCCTGTCTGCCAGAGACGGCGGCGCGCTTGCCCCTCTCCCCTTCACGCCCGCCTACGACTTTGAAAGCTTTGCGACGACGTTTGAAGATCCCTTTTCCTACTCGGCCCGCGCTTTTGAACCCACCCCGAACCCGGACCCCCTCCACGAGCCGTCCTCGCCCCAGGAGCTGGACAATAAACTCCTCGGCTTCTCGGACCCCATCCGCAACTTCAACGTCGTCAACGACGCCGGCAACATTGCCGATCTGCACCTGAGCGCCGAGCTCTACGGCATGTTCTTCGTGGCCGAGGACGTCTTTGGCGGAGACAGCACGGGGCGGCCCCTGGAGCTGACGTGCTATCGTCGCAATCTTTGGCAGTGCTCGGGCCAAATCACCTTGCCCCGTACCGTGTCGCATCTCATCGACGAGCAGGGCCGGCAGTTTCCAACCTTCGAGCTGTCCGCTTCCATCTCGGCCCTCGAGAGCATCGAGGGCAAGGCGACGGAAATCATCTCGATCCCCTGGAAGAGCTCCAACCCACCGCCCAATGAAGAGAGCAAGGTGGCTGCCGCACCGCCGTATATCCCCCTCGACCTCGGTACCGCCCCGGAGCTGGACGCCACCCGCGTCTCTGTGCCCGTTTCCTGGAAGCGCCTACAGTTCAAGCACGCCACCGCCAACAACGGCCGGAGAAAGGGCTTGCAACAGAATTATGTGGTGCAGATTAACCTGCTCGGCAAGGTGAAGTCGGGCGAGACGGTCAAGATCGCTGAGATCCAATCGGGGCCCGTCATTGTCCGCGGCCGCAGCCCGCGCAACTTTGACAGCAGGAGAGACGTCCATCTAACGGGCGAGAAGAGGATGGAGCGCAAGAACACGGTTGGGCCTGATGGCACGACCATCAAAACGGAGCGAGAGAGTCTGCAAGCACCAACGCAGAGGCTCCAAGGTCCAGGGAATGTCTCGGTACGTCAAATCTTCCTGAGCCCCCAAGGTGCCTGCAAAGCTAACGCGGGCAGACGCCTACTGCTGAGTGGGCAAGCCACCAGGCAGTGCCGCAGCCAAGCCAAAGCCCTCGCCCGGCCAAGAGAATGGCCGTTTCACCAAACGTCGCAAGGCCACCGGTCCCGCCCTGGTCAGCGGACACCAACCCTGGTGCCAAGTCCGCGCCGGTATCCGGACAGCCTCACCGCGGGCATAGCAGCCGGCACAGCACGGCAGTGCCTATCAACCTCTCCCTATCCGAGGATGAAAAGAGCCCTAATCGCTCAAGCGCGGAGCTGCAGAGTCCTCAACTAGGCAAAGCATTGCCGGCGGCGGGCCAAAACACCGGGAACAGCCCTGCCGACGATCCCGACCCCCTATACGAATACTTTCCTCTTACAGTCGACGACTGGTAAATGCCCCATATGGGTATCCCAAGTAGGCATAGGCGCCAACTGACTTTTCTCAGGATGCCTCCCGTCGATGCAGTCTACAGACCGCATGTTGTTCACCACACCATTGTGCCGCCCGAGATCAAGGCGCAGCAGGTTCGCAGCAAGACCAAGCGGTACTTCGCGGCCGAGTGATGTCTGATTATATATGCTGGACGCTGGCGCTCACCAATTCGACATTGTTTCCAGCGCTCGGTGTTGTGGGCAAGGTGCCATCTTCCTGGAGAAGTCGTACTTAACTGTATCATATTACACTACTTTGGGCATTTGAGTCGAGTTTTTTTGTTTCTGGGCCGGTTGCTGGAGGCCATGAGCACAGCTGGGCAAAACATCACGAAGAGCGTGCCTTTTTATACCCACAGACACTGTTTTTTCTCCATATTCCTCTTCCCCCGCTTTTTCCATGGTAAGGCGGTCTTACTCATTTTTGTCTGCAACCTTCTTCTTTTAAGAACGAGCGAAGCATAACGGAACCAGTCGCTGAAATGTCATGTTTTCTGCTTGTTTCAATGTCAGTACATGTTGGTGAAATTCTCAGAAGTGGTGTTGGCTACGATGAAATGGTGCCTCCTTGAAGCCAGGCTTGCCCTTTTTCAAGGGTTGGCTCAGTCAATAACTGCAGTTCTTACCTGTTTCTGGGAAGCATTCGTGCATCCTGCGCTGTGTCAGTGACGAGGCGACACTTGATACAACTTTAGACTTGAGATGACTTGAGACGACTCAACGAGACCTGGCCGGCGCCTCGCAAGGCTTCCCGCTCAACTGCTTGGTATGACGGCCTGGGGAGTTGGTAGAACTCCCACTGCGAGGATCTTGCAGTCCTGTTCAGGTGGCTGGCTTGCGCTTCGAGAAACGACGGTGCGTGGGGCGAAGCCAATCACACGCGGTTCGGTGGACGAGTCCCGCTGCTCCAAGGACACGAAGGGAGAGGAGGTGTATGCGGCGGTGAAGCATGATGGTCGGGCTCGATAGACTTCGGCTGGCAGCTCGCATTTCGGCCGGTCCAAGGAGGGGAGCCAAGATTTGGCGTGGTCTGCTGATTCTCGCGAGCTTTGCTAACTCGAGTTGGTGGCGGTCGATGGTGAGGTGCCATAGGAAATGTCTTGAGATGACAATTCGTCTAAAAAGGGTCAGATTTGCGATCAAGAAGGACGGAGGCAGAGTTTGGGAAGGAGAGGAGAAGAAAGAAGGGAAGAAGAGAAGAAGGGAAGAAGAGAAGAAATAGGAAAGCGGCAGTTTCGAGACTCCCGCTCAGACGACCCTGGCACGAGGACCGGCAACGCCTATCCGTCACGTCAAGACAGAGAAGTCATGGGCCGTGTCGATACACGTGGCTAACACGCCCGCGATACTCGCGTAACTGGAGGCGATCCAAAGACGTCGAGATGGCGTGAGGGATTCCAGTCATAAGTCTCGGTGGGCGGTTCAGATATGCTCACTGCCTGCCCCAGCCTTGACGATGAACGTCCCTCCTGGGGCCGGCCGACTTGGGGAAGCTGAAAAAGTAACCAAAGAGTAACGTCACACTTCCCCCAGATGGCGAAGCTCATCTAGCAAAGAAAGAAGTGTAAGAGGAGGGAGGGGAGGGCGCGGAGATTGGGAACAGCAATCATGTCCGGCTGGGAAGGGGGGGGGGAGGGGACTGGGTTCCACCTCGATCCGAGTACGACATAGGGCAAAGGTCAAGGCCACTCTGCTCAGGCGCACCCGGAGCCACAGCACAGGGCCGGGTGCAAGTGGGTAAATGGCTGGCTCATATGTGCATATACATTTAAGCCGCTGGGCTGGTTGGTCCCCCCGAAGGAAGGCTTTCTGATTTCACGAATGGGATATAAAGTTCTTGGGCGCTGGCGTTGTTTGCTCACGAAAACAGCAGGTAGAAGAGGCAGATGATTTGATATTCAATGCAAGATGGGGTCCACCCGATCGATCCGACCTCTACGCCTTGTTTGGAAAACCTCGGCCCCGCCAAGGCACCGGCAGATGGTCCGGCTGTCTGACAGGATGCAACGTAATGAGCATGTCTCGGCCAGGACAAAGACAGAAGGAGAGAAGGGCCGGTGCGTCGAGGAATAGACCTGGCTGAGCCGATTCTCTAAGATGCGGCAGTTTAACCAGCATCTTGGAGAGATACGATGTCCAACTTCCAACTTCAACACTGCAGCAGTCTGCCGAACCGCAAAACATTCGACAATGTGCATTTCACGTATCGATCGCACGAGAACGCCCGCTACCTATAGTTCAACACATTCGCGAGGAAGCCCCTTACTCCGAGTTTCCATTCGAAGCCTGTCCCACACATACTGGCTTGTACCATCACGTTCAACATGGCTGACTGGTAAGATGGTATCTACTGTTTCCCTGTAGTCCTTTGAACCAAATGTCTAAGCGTACAAATCATGTCGTCACGAAAAAAGACCGGGGAAGAGAGAAAAGAAGACGGCGCGTGTAAGCGAGAGTGTGGGGTGAGGCGCCTTATCGAACCCCCGACCCTTCGAAAAGCACACGACAAGGACAATCACACGCTGATGGCGTTGGGGTGCCGCGTGACCTGCTGCTCCGGGTTGGGTGTTAGCCTCGTGCTGAGGCCCGGCTCGGGGATGCGTGAGGCCATGCGGTCCGGAACGAGGTCCGGCGACACGGAGCGGATGGGATACTCGGTGGCTGGGGTGGCGCGAAGCAGCCGCGAGGTCGTGGGCTGTGGAGAGAGAATGGTAGGAGAGGAAACCTCGTCGACCTTTGTCCTTGGCACGGGCCCGTTGCCGGTGCGGACCTTGGAGGGCAGGATCTGTTCGAAGCCAGCCTCGCGGGCCACCTTTTCGATGCTCTTGAAGTACTGGGAGATGATAGTTGTTAGCAAGCACAGAGTGTATGAGAAGACGCTTTTCAGGGGTGGAGAGGAGAGATCGAAGACGGGGGGACCATCTTGACTCACCTTGACCGTCTTGACCTGGAGCTCGAGGGTGGCATCCTCGTCGACGACAATCATGGGATGGGGATGCAGCTGGAGGCTGGAGAGGGTCCACATGTGGTTGACGCCCTGCTCGATGCAGCGCTGCAGGGCGAGCGACTTGCGCTGGCCGAGGATGATGACGACGACCTCCCTGGCCTCGAGGACGGTCTGGACGCCGACGGTGAGGGCCATGCGGGGCACCTTGTCGACGTCGCCGTCAAAGAAGCGCGAGTTGGCGAGGATGGTGTCGTAGGCGAGCGTCTTGACGCGGGTGCGGCTGGCGAGGCTGGAGCCGGGCTCGTTGAAGGCGACGTGGCCGTCCTCGCCGATGCCGGCGAGGAAGAGGTCGATGCCGCCGGCGGCCTTGACGGCGTCCTCGTAGGCGACGCACTCGGCCTCGAGGTTGGGGGCGTTGCCGTCGAGAATGTGCACGTTGGACGGGTGGATGTTTACGTGGGCGAAGAAGTGCTTCCACATGAAGGAGTGGTACGACTCGGGGTGGTCTCGGGGGATGCCGACGTACTCGTCCATGTTGAAGGTGACGACATTTTCAAACGAGATCTGCGCAACCTCGTCAACCAAGGCGCCCTGCGAGAATACAGGAACGTGGGGGAAGGGGGGCCACACACCTCGCCGGCCTTGTACTTGTCGACGAGGATCCGGTAGACGCCCTGGGGGCTGGAGCCGGTGGGCAGGCCGAGGACAAAGGGGTTCTCGGGAGATGGGTTGAAGGCCTTGATGCGGTCGACGATGTAGCTGGCGACGTAGGAGCTGGCCGCGAGGGCGTCGTCTCGGATGATCAACCGCATGCTGGCGGGCCTTTGGTTGGACTGTGGTATTTGATGGAAGAGGAGGTTTGGGGCAGCGCACGACGAGGGATGGTTGGGAAGGGGGTTTAGAGAATAGCTCGAAGAAAGGGTGTAAGCAAGGTAGTAAAACTTGGCGTCGTCTTTGCTACTGCTGCTTGGGGGAAAGCGAGGAGAGGAGAGGAGGCGGGTTGGGGGGACGAGTTAAGGCATGTGGTGACTGCTACTAGTTTGCCGGGAGGGGATGAATGGGAGAGGATGGTGCCGTGGAGAGGGATCCAAGATGACGACGGTGGCAGCTTGAACCAGGCCGAGGCTCGTTCACTTGCACGGTTTGTGTGTGTCATGGCATGGCATGCAATGGGATGATGGCGGGTTACCTTTGCCCTCCCTGCCTCCAGTCAGTCATGCCAGCACCAAGGTTAACGTGAGCGAGGGTCTCCGTACAGTCCAGGCTCGTACCGTGAGGCCATGTATCGCCCATAGACCGGTACCTGCGGGCAGCTCGGGAGGTACGTGGCATTTGCAAGAGGCCGACGATGGGAGGTGGTGGGAGGAAGAGCCGCTGCGGAACTGCCGTGTTAGGGGGGGGGAGGGGAGAGACGGGCAAAGCAAAAGGATGGGTAAAGGGTGATTGGCTGGCCCAGGTCCGTCGAGCGTCTCCAACGCAAAACGGGTTGGTGGGCCTCCCAGTGGATGGTGGACTGGATGGAACGTCACCCACACTGAGCAGTTTGACAAGACAAGAGGCCATCTCTTACATGGGCTGATTGGGGGTGCAACTTGTCAAGCGGATGGTGATGAGCAGCAACTGGGTGAGTGAATGGTCGCCGTGTATGGTCGCCATGTATGGTCGCCATGTATGGAAAGCTGCGAGCCAACGTAGGGTCTGCCTGCGTCTCTCTTTCTTTCCTTTTTTCTTCGGCATGTCAGATGTTGCCTTGCCCTGTCCCGAGCCTCGTTCGGGGTGAGGTTGTATTACCTATGAGCGAGCCTTGAACACAAGTGCAGATTTGTTGTTTCTCCGGGCCCCGGGAGGTGGTGGCGGGTTGGCGTCTCCGCCGTGTCTCGCGGCCCCACCCACGCCGAGGCTCGACGCCGACACCGGAGAGAGGGACGGAGGTGGTCTCGGCGTCACGCGAAATGGATTGATTGATTTGTCGTCGTGGTAGCAGAAGCCTGCCGTTGTTGGTTGCAGCGAGCGAGCCCCATGTTACCCTCGAGCAGCTCTGGGTTGTCTGGCTGGCGCTAGCGGTCGATCAGGGCGGGAGAAGAGGGATGGATAATTAGATGGATGGATGGATGGATGGATGGCTGTGGTCGGTCTTCACGATTGCGCCCGTCCGTGGCTGCTATATAGTATTTCGAGGCCGACGAGTGGCATAGTTGTAGCGGCCGTCCCAAGGCAAAAAAGGATGAAGCCTTGCCTGTCCAAGTTGTCGTTGTCTGCTTGTGCAACTCGAGCCGATGATGATTGGACTCCCGCATCTGGAGAGAGCCGGGAGAGGCTATTGCCAGATTGCCAGGTCCTCGATGCTGTTCAGGGGCAGGGGTCGGTGTCATCGCCAGGCGGCGCGCGCCCAATCACATGAGCAACAATAGAAGCTCGGTTCCCTGCAAGCTACGCAGTGCAGCGCTAGACCGCCGCAACGTTACAGCCCGGGGTCGGGGTACAGGGGGCTGGGTACAGGGGGCTGGGTACCACCTGCAGGGCTCCTGTAGGGCTCACCCGCCCACGCCGCCGATTGGCCAGCGCCGTGCTGCCCTGTAATCCTGGCCCGGCCTGCACGCATCGGCCGAGACACAGATGGCAACCTTGGGGGGAAAACGTCACCACAGCCCATCGTCTTAGCCCGGCCAGGCAGCCAGCCAGGCACCGACGACACGGCGGCTGCTGCTGCGGCTGCTACTGCTGCTGCTGCTGTCATGCCAATACAGGCCATCCATGCGCTGAGAGGCCGCCGCCGCCACCCCTGGTCAGCTGTCGGGGCGCCGGGATGGGCCGCCGCTGCGCTCGACAATGGCGGCTGCCATCACCATCCTCAACGGCCTATTCCTCGTCTCCTTCACCTCGCATCTCCGTGGCCGGGCACCACCACCCACCCCATTACCCCGAACCCCCGTTCGCATCCGCGTCCACCTGGACGGCCGGCCACGATGCTCGCTGCCACCCCCCCTCACCCCGGCACAGCGCTGTCTAATTATCGCTCCTTGGGCCCGTCGTTCCTCGACATTGGCCGTGGCCAGGACAGACGGCCGGCGCTAAGACATGGGCGCACCTTGCTGGATCCCTGGTCCGACGCCCGAGGCTCGCCACAGACCGTCCGTCCATGGGCTGTCCTCGATGGATGAGCCCATGGCAATGTGGTGGCGGCGGCGGTGGTGGTGGTGGTGGTGGTAGTGTCCATTCGCACCTACACCTACACTTACACCTACACCTACACCTACACACACGCATACACATACACATACACATACACATACCACGCACACATACATTACACACACGCACGCACATGCCTACATATGCCACTTGTCCCTGTAACGTCGACTTCCCCTCCATCTGCTGCTGCCGCTGCCGCTGCCGCGTCCCTGCTTCCTTTTGGCGCCATCCGTCTCGCATCCGTCTCGCATCCGTCGTCCATTCTACCTTATACCACCACCTCCTGAGACTGACGTTCCTCCTGCAAGCTCATACACCTTGACCGGCCAGGTTTCATCTAGACGTGGCGCCTCTCGCCAACCAGGTGCCTGTCGATCGGCTTGCAAGACGCCATCTCTTCTTCGAGGCACCGCATGCTACCTTGTCGCCGGTCCAACTTGAGCCTCCCCCCCCCGAGCCCCCTCTATTTACACTCCTTGTCCTCCCCCCGCAATCTCATCTTGGCTTGCCCTGGCGTCTCGTCTTTCAAGGGTCACTACCAATTGGCAGACCCCTGACCCTCGACTCTCGTTTACTTCATCTTCCCAAATGTCATGCCGCCGCTCGTTTCTGCAATGACGACCTTTCCAAAAGCCTTCATCGCCGTCATTGTCAAGAGCTTGCTCCGTGGCAAGTCTCTGATCCAGGCCATTTTGGCCTACTGCATCGCTCCCATCAAGTCCGACCCCTCCTCCGCCTTAGTGCGCGCGCCTTCGGCCAAGAGTCTCCAAGAATTCCTCAAGGATGCCGAGGCCGCCCTGCTCGGCCCCGTCAGCGGCCATGGCCTGCTCGACTTGTCCGCCGGCTTGAAGAAGCAGTTCTTCGAGCGGCTGCAGACAGACATGCAGTGCATGCTGCCTTCCTACAGCCACCGGCTCCCCACAGGCAACGAGTCTGGGCAGTACGTGGCCGTCGATGTCGGCGGCTCGACGCTGAGAGTCGCCCTGGTGGAACTGCGGGGCCGCGAGGCTCACCAGGGCAAGCAGAGCGACATTGTCAGCATGCGCAACTTCCGCATCGCCAAGGCCATCAAGGACCTCGAGGGCATGGCCTTTTTCGACTGGATGGCCGAGAAGATACGGGAGACGCTGTCGACGGGCCTCAGCCGCGAGCACGGGCCCGACAAGCCGATACCCCTGGCATTGGCATGGAGCTTTCCCCTTGAGTGAGTGCTTTTCCTTTCCGCCGCCGGCGCCGCGGCAAGAGCAAGACGGGAGCAAGACGAATCTGACCTTTTCTACGGGCAAACCTCGCTCGGCGGTGGCAAGCTGCAGCGCATGGGCAAGTGCTTCTTGGCCGACAGGGGCTTGGTCGGCGAGGACCTGGGCCGCATCGTCAAGTCGGCCTGTGAGCACTGCGGCCTCAACGTCGAGCTGCGGGCCATCCTCAACGACTCAAGCGCCTGTCTGCTGTCGCGGGCCTACTCGTACACGTCGACCCGCTTCGGCCTCATCCTCGGCACCGGCGTCAACATGGCCGCCTTCCTCCCCGTCAGGGGCATCGGCAGGCCCAAGTTTGGCGTCCGGCCCGACGGGTGGTTCGACCAAGCGAGCCACGTCATTGTCAACACGGAGCTGGGCATGTTTGGACACGGCATCCTACCCATGACGAGGTGGGACCGCCAGCTGACCAAGGGGCACCCCCGGCCTGACTTTCAACCGTTGGAGCACCTGGTCAGCGGCATGTACATCGGCGAGATTGTTCGGCTGGCCCTCGTCGAGGCCATTGCTGCCACCGGGATGCTGGGCGGCGTGGTCCCGCCATCTCTCGAGAACCCCTATTCCTTGGGCGCCGACACCCTCTCTCTAATTGAAAGGTAGCACGCATGGCCACCCAAGTTTCCGTCACTTTCCAGGACCTTGCTGACAGATGGGACAGTGATGGCACATCCGAACTTACCGAGGCCATCAAGATATTTTCCCAACGGCACCCCTCGTCTCACACACCCACCACCTCGGACCTCGTTGCCGTCAAGGCCCTCGCATCCTTTGTCTCGGTGAGATCCAGTGCCATTGTTGCCACCTGCGTCTTTACCATGTGGTACTGTCGACTCGAGGCCGAGGAAGCGTACATTTCGACTCTTGCCGAAGGCTCACCCGAACGATCCAGGGCCGAGGCCGACATGGGGCTGGAAAGCACGACTGTTGCGTTTAATGGCAGTGTAATTGAAAGCTATTCGGGGTACCTCGGCAGTTGCCAACGATACGTGGACGACTTGGTCGAGAGCAAGGGCCTGGCCGAGCCCCGGAGCATTCACCTTGTCCCGGCCAAGGAGAGCTCCTTGATGGGAGCGGCAGTGGCGCTGGCGTGCGTTGAGCGGGACGACTGAATGAATGACTTTGGGACAACCTTTTCACGGGACGGACACTCGGCTCCGTGCCGTGCCTGGAGTTTATGTTGATGTTGGATTTGGTCTGCTGCGGGATCGGTGGAGACGCAGCCTGACACAGACCCTGCATTTAGAGGTGCGGGATTGCTGGAGTCGTATACGCACTACGGAACAGCTTGGATCAGGGAGCTCGATGACATCCCAGGCCGGTCGAATATCGAATATGGCGGCTCAGGTGAGGGTGGAGAGAGCGAGAGCCTTATGACTGCTGGCTTTGCGATAACATGTATAAAGCAAGCTTGCTCCGTACAAAGTACGAAGACGGTAAATAGAGTGACCAGGTATCTGAAAAGGATCTGAGTAAGTACTACAAGGTGCTCGTTAACTGCATAACGCTTGGTGAGGAGGCATTGCCAGCTTGATTCTTCCTGGTTTTTGGAGAGGCGATGACGTGAAAACAGACGCGTTGAGGGCGACAGAAGCGCGCCGAGGAGAGACATTGCGCTACCGGTCTCCATGCGCCGATACGGGGGCTGCGATGAGTAGCTGTACTTGTTGACATCATGTGACTGCCTGCCTTGTTCGCGCGTCCCGCAGCTCGAGACCCACCAAATATGTACGGACTACGGAGTACCTGTTAATTACTTCTACGCGCTCGCACAACACAAAATACGGGCGGACCGTGAGGGCCACCGCACCTTTACCTCGCTCTGGCACCGCTGAGCTTGACCTTGGGCCTTATTTACTATTGTAATACCTTTTTCCTTCCTTGGACTCTCTCCGATCTTGGACACGGCTCTCTGTCGCCGAGATACGCGCAACACACACACACGCGCCGAGGCGCCGGCAGACGCAGCCATGGCAGAAGCGGGCAGCGGCGGCGTCTTCAGCGAATGCTCCATCGCCTTTGTGCCGAGCACGTCGCTCGCGCCCAGGCTGATAGGCGAGGTGAGTCGTCAACCTTGTCTCCCCCCCCCTCTCGCCAACTCGAGCCCTACGCGTCCCCCCTCTCTGCTGACCTGCGAGCCTCCAAGCTGTCGCACGTCCTCGAGGACAACGGCGCGTCTGTTTGCGAGCCGCGACGCGACGGCTCCATCCCCATCGAGCGCGTGACGCACATCGTCTCCAACACCATCGACTTCCCCCAGTATGTCGAGTCGCAGGCCATCATGATCCCCGTCGTCACTATGCAGTGGATCACGGCGTCGATTGCCCGCCGCAAGCAGGCCCAGGTCCGCCCCTTTTCCCCGGACCCGCGCATGATCTTTGCCGAGGTCGTCGTCAGCTGCGCAGATCTGCCCATCATGGACAAGGAGAGCATCGTTGGCGCTACCATGGCCCTCGGCGGCCAGGAGACCAAGGATGCCAGTCGTTTGACGACGCACATCTGCGCGCTGCACATGGACGATCCCAAGGTGACCCATGCCGTGAAAAGGGGTTTCAAGGGCAAGGTCGTCTTGCCGCACTGGTAAACCCAGCTCTCCCCCCCCTTGCAAGGGTTTGTTGTGTCTGACCACGTGTCTAGGTTTGACGACTGCTTCAAGCTCGGAAAGCGCATAGACGAGGGCCCCTACCTGCTGCCAGACCCCGAGATCCTGAAGAAGAGCCCCGAGGACGAGCTTAGGATTCCGGTAAACACAAACCTGACCGATGCCACCTCGGTCAACCCGCAGTGGGTGCCGCTCCCGTCCGACAGTGATGCCGTTCGCCCCCCGGCCACCGTCTTCCAGGCCCGGAGACTTCTCCTCTCCAAGGACCTCAACATATCCGCCCGCCTCACCAAGATCGTCGAGGAGATCGTCGTGCACGGGGGAGGCAGGATGGTCGAGGACGTGGACGAGTGCGACATGTTCATCTGCCAATATCGCGATGGGCCCCAGTACGTCCAAGCGTCCCGCTCGTGCAAGGACGTGGGCAGCCTGTCGTGGCTCTTCTACCTAATTGTGCATAACCAATGGCGCAACCCCCTCCATCGGTTGCTGCACTACCCGATTCCCCGGGACGGTATCGAGGGCTTCAAGGGCCTGCGAATTACCGTCTCCAACTACGGAGGCGAGGCCCGCGTCTACCTCGAGAACCTCATCAGGGCCTGCGGCGCCGAGTTTACAAAGACGATGAAGGCCGACAACACCCATCTCGTCACGGCGCGCGACACGAGCGAAAAGTGCAAGGCCGCCCCCGAGTGGGGCGTCGCCGTGGTCAACCACATCTGGCTCGAGGAGAGCTACGCCAAGTGCGAGAAGAAGCAGATCAACCTCGCCAAGTTCAACCACTTCCCGCCGCGGACGAATCTGGGGGAGATTATCGGTCAAACCTTTTTCGACGAGTCCAGGCTCCGGGAGTTGTACTACCCCGGCGGCGAGGAGGCCATGTCGCCCCGGGCCAAGAGGAAGCGCAAGATCCTCGAGGCGGCAGAGGACAATGCGTACCACAAGGGCCCGGCCGAGGGCGTCGTCATCGGGCGGCCTCCCGACCAGGGGCGCGACTTTGACGTGATGCGAGACGACGCGGCCGCCGACGGCCAGCAGGCCAAGTCGCGTACCAGCCACACCGCCGTCGAGACGCCGGTTCGGTCGCGTCCGCGCACCCTGGGCAAGGAGAACGACAGCCCCTCGGTCCTGTCCACGGGCGGCCGCAGCGCCAAGGCCAAAGCCCGGGACATGCTGCAGTACATTGCGCCGGACATTGCCCTGTACGAGAAGGAGAAGAAGCGGCAGAACAAGGCGGGCGCTCCGTGGGGTGGCAAGAGAGCCACCGACTTAGCCGAACGGGAACACAACGTCAAGCTGGCGCGGAAAGCGTCACCGGACGAGGAGCACGACGAAGCCAAGAGGCCGGCCAAAAAGGCCCGTCCTTCGCTGCCCGAAGTCGAGATGCGCATCGTCGTGACTGGGTTTGCGAGATGGGTCGGGGACAAGAACAAGGAGGACAGTGATAGGGTACGTCTGGATCAGTCTTCACCGCTCCCCATGTGTCTGTTTCGGGGAATGCTAACTCCCCGTGTGCAGCGAAGGCTACGTGACCTCGGCATACAGATTGTCCAGGAAGGCCAGCCCTGCGACTACGTCGCCGCGCCCAAGGTCGTCCGCACCGTCAAATTCCTCTGCGCACTGGCGCGGGGGGCCACGGCGCTGACGACGGATTTCGTCGAGGCCGTCCTCGAGAGCGGCGAGGTCCCCGCCCCAGACGACTATGTCCTCCGGGACGAAGCAGCCGAGAAACAGTACAAGATGAATCTACAGAAATCCGAGGGCCGGGCCAAGTCAAATAGGGGCAGACTTCTTCAGGGCATTCCCATATTCTGCACGGAAAAGGTGCGCAACGGGCCCGAGAGCTACCGGGCCATTGCCGAAGCCAACGGCGCCATCTTCAAGCTGTACCGAGCGCGCAGCGGCACGATCATCAAGCCAACGACTGCCGAGGAGGACGGTAACGCGCCGCCGGAACCTGTGTATCTCCTCAGCACTATTGGCACTGAGGAGCAGCAGATGTGGCCGCGCTTCAAGGACATGGCCGCCAAGGGCAACATGGAGCCGCGCATAGTGGCCCCGGACTGGCTCCTCGACGTCGCCATGGCGCAGCAGGTGCGCTTCGACGACAGGTTTCTGGTGGAAAATTTCCACAAGGACGAGCTGAAGTGAGGAGAGCTGGGCTGCGGAGTTTTGGAGTTTGGCTCCGGCGATTGGTGTGAAGGATTCGAGTGCTGGCTTGTAAGCCATGGCTGAACCGGATTGTATGTCAGGATATGCGTTGGAACGGGATACCGACGCCCGAATGGATCAGAAGAATTTAACGCCAAGAGAGTCCTCTTGGCCGAAAATCTGAGCCTTGCCCCTCTTGACCAGGATGTTGAGCGCCTTAAGAAGTACTTGACTATCCATCCCGTGTAGCTCTGCGGGTGCGGCCGTCAGCACAGGCAAGGTTGCGGAAGGAGAGGGCGGCGACTGACCGGTGCCCCTCGTGGCCTCGCCGTCGGTCAGCTCGTAGAGCGTCAAGACGCTGTCCTTTTGGCTCGAGTCCTCGATATAAGCCTCGACGACGGCAGCCCACTCATCCGGCTTCCTCCAGTGGACAAAGACGACGTCGCCCGAGTCCTTGGCATCGAGGTACTCTGCGCGGCCGTCCCTGCGCATAAAGTCGAGGAGGTCGCGGATGTCGGCGGGGCTGAGGCGGCGGTCGATGCGGCGGTTGCGGAAGAGGTCCGAGTCTGCGGCGGCCGAGAGATGCAGGCGGAAGAGGCGGTGGTGGCGGGCGTAGGCGAGGACGAGAGCGGACCACTTGGACAGCTGGGCGTGGTGGGTGGTGAGGTTGGTTTGGCGGGTGAAGAAGGCGGGGAAGTGGTATTCGCGGGGGAAGGGGAAGGGGGGGGACGATGCTGCGTCTTCTCCTGCTGGGGCGGGTGCCGGCGCTGTGCTGGCCATTGTGTGGGTTGTTTCGGCGGCAGCGATGCTGGTGATGATGTGCGTTGTCGAGAGAAATGCCTTAATTACTGCCATGACGACGCAGCGTGAGCCCATGGTACAGTGCATAGCAGCACCTGGTTATGCACTGACGCACTGTACAGCACCCTGACCCTTGTTCTTCAACCCACATTGACATTGACATTGACTGTATCTTTGGCGACTGCTGATCCAGGGACCGGCTTCCGATAAGGCCAATTCAGAGCCAATTATCGCGCGCGTCAGTCAGCTCCCCATGCCACCCTCCGTGTTCCACGAACCCTCCATCAGCGCAGCCGCTCTTCCGCACCCCGAGATGCCCCGAGCGTTCTCCTGGATAATCGACGGGAGTGGCTTTCATTTACCAAGAGACTGTTGTTGGAATCGGCGGCCGAAGACATCCCAGCGACATCGCCCCATGGATATGCGCCATCGGCAACGCCGAGCCCCGGCACTCTTTCGGCGTCGCTCGCCTTCCTGGATCCACGTTGATCAGGCCCAGCCCTTTTCCGCGGACAATGACAGCTCGACCGCGTCGTTGAGCTGATTGGGCGGGCCTTGCTGCTCCAGCTAGATAATGAACGGCTCAATGATCCGCGAAGGACCAGCAGCCATAGCGTCTCGACCCATTCACATAATGGTTGTACGACGTTTCCCAACACGCCAAGCTTAAGAGCTGACATTCCCAGCCCGCGCTGGCCGACCAACTACTCTCCTACCCGTTACGTATCAACAGCACAGCCAGCGTCAACCTCAACCATGGCAGAAATACCCAAGAGAGTTGTCGTGGTAGGGCTGGGCATGGTTGCCATGGCCTTCCTGCAAGTCAAACTCTCACTTCTCTTGCCTTTGTCCGTCAGGCTGCCAGGCTGACCTCGATGCAGAGAGAAGCTCTTCAAGTACGACGCTCGAGCGAGGGAGTACAGCGTCACCGTTTTGGGAGAGGAATCACATCTCGCCTATAACCGAGTCGGTCTCACGAGCTTCTTCCAACACCGCAAAGTGGACGAGCTCTACTTGAATCCTCTGGAGTGGGCAAGTCGTCCGTCTACGCTTGGATCGGGCTCACCGATGTCTAACCCAACTGCAGTACCAAAACCTTGCCAAGTATGCGTTGACATACCACATCAAAACCAAGGTCATCGGCATCAAGCCCACACAAAGGTCCGTTCTCTGCCAAGATGGGAGAGTGGTGCCGTACGATGTCCTTGTTCTTGCCACTGGCTCCAACGCCGCGCTTCCCCGTCAAACCCCTGGATACGACGCACGCGGCGTCTTTGTCTACCGCACCATCGACGACTTGACCAGTCTGATAGACTTTTCCAGCGATAAAGCAGGGACCGTCGGCGCCGTGGTTGGCGGTGGCCTGCTGGGTCTTGAAGCCGCCAAAGCCATGATGGACTTGGAGTCCTTTGCGGAGGTGAAGCTCGTCGAGCGGAACAAATGGGTCCTGAGCCGACAGCTAGACGAGGACGCGGGCAGCATGGTCGTTGGTCAAGTCAGAGACCTCGGTCTAGATGTGATGCTATGCAAGAGAATACGGCGCATCAAATCAGACCAAGCTCATAACGTCACGGGGGTGGTGTTCGAGGACGGCGCGGAAATGGACTGCTCGACTGTGTGTTTCGCAGTCGGAGTAAATGCCCGGGACGAGCTGGCCCACGAGGCTGGCATTGAATGTGCCGAGGCTGGCGGCGGGATTGTTGTCCATGATGATTTGAGCACCAGCGATCCGAGTGTCTACGCCATTGGGGAATGTGCCAGTTGGCAGGGCCAGACGTTTGGCCTAATCGCCCCCGGCGTCGAAATGGCCGAGGTTCTCGCCTTCAACCTGACACAGGCCAAGCTTCACTCCCCTCGGAGATTCAAACGACCCGATCTCAGCACAAAGTTGAAGCTTCTCGGAGTTGAAGTCGCCAGTTTCGGCGACTGCTTCTCTGACCGCGACGGACCGACGCGTCTTCCTCCTCGATATGCAAAAAAGCTTCACGGCGGGGAGCGGGAACCGAGACCATCCAGCAGCACGGTCAAAACGTTGACGTACAAGGACCCCTTTCAGAATGTCTACAAAAAGTACATATTCACCGCGGATGGTAAATACCTTGTTGGTGGCATGATGATTGGCGACACCAGCGACTACGTGAGGCTGGTGCCCCTGGTCAAGAACATGAAGGAGCTCGACATGCCGCCGGGCCAGCTCATCCTCGGAGCGCAGAAAGACGGCGGCGGCTGGGATGACAATCTCGACGACGACACACAAATCTGCTCCTGCCACAATGTCACCAAAGGCGACATCGTCAAGAGCGTCAAAGACGGCCTCTGCAAGGATATTGGCGCCATCAAGTCCTGCACCAAGGCCGGCACCGGGTGCGGCGGTTGCATGCCTCTCGTCACCACAATCTTCAACAAGACAATGGCGGTCATGGGCAACGAAGTCAAGAACCATCTTTGCTCCCACTTCAACTTCTCACGCGCCGACCTGTTCAACATCATCATGGTCAAGCGGCTGACGACCTTGCCCGAGGTGATGCGCGAGGCTGGCAACGACAGGGAGAGCTCGGGATGCGAATTATGCAAGCCCGCCGTAGCGAGCATATTCGCATCCTTATGGAACCGGCACGTCATGGAGAAGCCGGTCCATGGCCTGCAAGACACGAATGACCGGTTCCTGGGCAACATCCAGCGAAACGGCACCTACTCTGTTGTCCCTCGGGTGCCAGGCGGCGAGATCACGCCCGACAGGCTCCTCGTCATCGGGGAGGTGGCCAAGAGGTACAACCTGTACACCAAGATCACGGGGGGGCAACGCATCGACATGTTTGGCGCCAGGAAGCAGGATCTTGTCGAGATATGGGGCCAGCTCGTGGCGGCCGGCATGGAATCCGGCCACGCCTATGCCAAGTCGCTGAGAACGGTCAAGAGCTGCGTCGGCACGACTTGGTGCCGGTTCGGAATTGGCGACAGCGTCGGCATGGCGGTGCGGTTGGAAGAGCGGTACAAGAGCATACGAGCGCCGCACAAGATAAAGGGCGGCGTGAGTGGCTGCGTGCGCGAGTGTGCAGAGGCTCAGAGCAAAGAGTACCTTTACCATAATGAATTCGAGTGTTTCCACATGCTGACGTAGGCCCAGCTTCGGTCTCATTGCCACGGAGAAGGGCTTCAACGTCTTTATCGCTGGAAATGGCGGTGCAAAGCCCAGGCATGCGCAGCTTCTGGCCAAGGACGTGCCGCCCGCTGAAGTCATCCCCATCCTCGACCGGTACTTGATGTTCTACATCAGAACGGCAGACAAGCTGCAGCGCACAGCCCCTTGGCTCGAGAGCTTGCCCGGGGGGATCACGTATTTGCGAGAGGTGGTGCTCGAGGACAAGCTGGGCATCTGTGCATCTCTCGAGGCGCAAATGCGGGAACTCGTCGGCAGCTTCTTTGACGAGTGGGCCGAGGCCATCAAGAGCCCGGTCATGGCGGCCAAGTTCAAGCAGTTTCAGAACACGGACGAGGGCGTCGAGACGGTCGAGGTCGAGAAGGAGAGGGGCCAGAGCCGGCCTGTCTACTGGACCAAGGGCTCGGCCGAAGAAGACTTCAAGGGCTTACGGGAGAGATGGAGCAATGCGTCGTGGCACGCAGTCATCGAGGCCTCCCACTTTAATGGCGCCGACGCGCTGCCCAACGGTATCTCGGCAACCATTAAGCGCAGTGACACGCAGCTCGCCGTCTGGCGCTTCAGGGGCCGGTTCTACGCCACGCAGCAAATGTGCCCTCACAAGCGCGCCTTTGTGCTGTCAGATAGCCTCCTAGGCCAGGACCCCGGTAACCACGGCACGCTCAGCGACGACAGCGTCGTCTCGAGCGCCGAGCGGTCGCCGTGGGTCTCTTGTCCCCTCCACAAGCGCAACTTCGACCTCGGCGACGGCTCGTGCAGCAGCGACAAGGCCCTCTCCATCGCCACTTTCCCCGTGGAGGCCCGTGCGGATGGCATGGTCTACCTCAAGCTGCCGCCCGTGGAGGAGCTCGACGCGGCACTGGGCACGAGCCGCTGGAAGGTGCGCAAGGGCGAGAGCGGCGAGGCACCGTTTGCGGAGCTGGATGGCAGGATTCGGCGGACCGGGCAGCGGGCGAGGAAGCCCAAGGGCGATAGGTCGGGCGTCGGCGCAGCCGGGACGAGCATGGCAAAGCCGGTCGAGCTGATGGCCGGGGGAGGCTGTGGGAGGGTGCCGGAGTGGTAGGCAGCTTCTGAGAGATCATGGCCACAGTCTTTTTTGCACATTGGCCGCTCTGGACTAGAGATGTCGGCGGTACGAGGCAAAACGCCGTCGACTGCGTGTGCTGCTGTGGCTTTTGCGGTTTTCCCCATGCTGCGCAAGTGACGGAGCGCAGTGATTTGATGACGCTCTTCGTATACTTGCCGCCTCCTGTCCTGCGCCTTGTTGGCCGGACCTAAGGGGAGTTGGCGAGTCGTCGTGCCCGAATGAATCTGACGCAGCATGAGAGGGCGCATGGAGAGAGAGACCGGGGGGGAGGGGGGGGTGCCGGAAGGGAAGCTCGGTAGGATGCCCCCCCTCGCCCCCCCCGATGAGCTATTCGTGTCTATGCCGTACGGAGTATGTATAGCGAGCCCGGCTGGCAGACCGTTGCTTTGCACGAGCCTGCATGCATGTGCAATCAAGCATCCGCAGCATCAACACCACCAACCAACCAAGGCCCGGTGACCACCCCTCCTCCTCGCCCTCGGAAACCGTCCCGAAGCCCCCCTCCTCCTTGGGGGCCGATCGCAGCCCGAGCCGGCAGACCGAGACCAACACGCAACCTCGATCGATCCCGTACAGTTCATGGCTGGGTATCATACATGGGAGAAGGAGGGCAGCAGTCATTTGATAAATACCCCCCATGTCTTGACCCGGACCCTTGCCAAAACCCGCCAGGCAGGCTACCGTGACGACAAGCAAGCAGAGCATTACGGCAGGCAGCGAGCAAACCAGAAACCCAAAACAATAAAAGGTGGTCTGACCCGGAGACAGCACACGGAAATGCAGTGTCACAAGGACAGATTCCCTGTTGTCAGATGGTCAGCAAGAGAGCAAACAAGACGTCGGCTTGGCCCTCGAAAACTCTCCCTATGCTCCCTGGCGGGCGCAGCGATACATACATCTGTGTACACACTTTCGGATATCGCGCAACCTTTGTCCAACTCTAGCCGAGCAAAGTGATAGACATGGCCGTTCTATCCGAGAGGGACAAAGCTGCCTCCGAGTACAAGGCGTAACATGTGCGGGAAAAGACGGACCGGTCACGACGCATGGTTGAAACAGAGGCAAAGCCTCGAACGCGACCCTCTCGCTGCTTTGGTCTGTCTCTATGTTTCTTCCCGCCTGATTCCTACCAGTTCATGCTCCACCATTTTCCCCTCCCTGCCCGCGTTTTTGTTTGGAATATATTTACATATCGAGGAAACCCACCTGCGCACGAAAACGTCAGGGGAAGTGTAGCAGACGAACTAAGGGGAACAAACAAAAAATCAGATCCACTAGTCGCCGGAATCGCCTGTCCATGATCGTGCAGTATTCATAACATGTCAGTGTCGTGCAAGAACTGAAATCAAGTGGAGTGTCTTGGTATCTGTCGCACAAGAAAATCCTAAACGCCATCTTGCCGGTCCAGGGCCATCAGACATTCATGTCTTCGGTATCGCTTAAGCTGCCGTATCCAGTGTCGTTGTCCGGTCCCGTCAATGTTTTTGTCGCCGCAAGACACCTCTCGACCATCTTGTTCCGGATTTCGGAGCTGACACCGCACTTCCTTGCGCGCGGTCTGCCCATCCAGAGTCTAAGATTGCTTGAAAGCTTGCCCAGAGTCACCTCAAGCTCGTGCTTGACAGCCTCGTGCTTCAACAGGTGCTTCATCAGCTCCATCACTGCAGTGAATCCCAGGAGTGTCATTGACGACATGTGCTCCGACTTGGCGATGCCTTCCACCAGGCCCAGACATCGCGTGTCTGCGCCTGCCTTGGATTGGATCCGTGTGAGCCGAGCAATCGCAACCGCGCAGTCGAGGGTGAATGTCAAGTCTCGGTCAGGGGCGCGTGTAACAGGTCCAAACATTAGGGTTGAGCCGCTGATGGTGTTTTCCGCCCTCCCCGTCGCCATCGCCTGGCGAGCCAGCTCGATGTTCTCGCCACGAGACCCCTTGAGCAGAACCGCACCGGCCAGGGCCGCGCGGATCTGAGCAGCGGAGCCCCTCGGCGCAACCTTGATGGCCAATGCGATATTCTGCTCCTGGCTTCGCAGCGCCGGTGCATTCTCGTCCAGTGTGGCAGTCAGGACGTGGTGCAAAACTTGAGTCGACCACCAAGCCGCAACAGCGTCCATAGGCGAACCCACCGCCGCGTCGTCAACCACAGCATCCATGCCGTCAATGGAGTTGCCGGCGTTGTGCGTGGTATCCACGTTAAAGGCCAGATTGTGGGCTCTTTGCACGACCGAGGCACTCAGCACATCATCACATTCCTGTTCGACCAATGCGACGAGATGCTCTGGCAGCTCATGCTCGTGCGGGGCAGCGGAGCCACGCCGGAGCCGAGCAAGCAGACGATTCAGCTGACGCGCCTCGTTCCACCGTTTCCTGGCAAGTTTTGCGGCGATTGCGTTGATGGCTCCCAGCTGCCAGTTGCTGTTGCTCAAGTCCCACAAAAGGACGCGGATGTGGAGCGCTTTGAGCATCAAGCGGACAGGTGTCGGGCAGGTGCCCGAAGCGAGCAAGGTCAAGACAAGCCGACTCCTGCAAATGTCAATGTCCTCCAGCGAGTTGCGAGTCGAGCGCGATTGACCATGCCTTGACGCGCGCAGTATCTTGCTCTTCAGTCAGTCCAGTCAACATCTGATAGCCATGGACGCCAATGGCATTGCGCAGGCTCAGCTTGATGGCCTTGAGGATCAGCGCAGAGGCCTCGAGGAGAAAGTTGTGCCGAGGAACCCAGACTGTTTGGATTGCAGTAAGCCACGCTTGGCGGCGTACGTCGATCGACGACGCCAGGGACGGCGCGCGCTCGAGTCCAGTCGCTTGTTGCTTCTTGACCCTTTCACCCGACGATGCAAACAGCGACGGGACAAGGATCCACAAGATGGAGCCCAGGAATAGTAGCAGCTTGAGAGACGTGTAAACGTGGAATCCCATGACGTGGAGGTCGAGCGCTGACGACGCATGCCCAATAAGCTGCAAGGGTATGGCGAAGAGACCCCTGCCCTCTGGCTCATTGTTGCTCAATTCGTCTTCTCGCACGGCCTCTAGAATCATGAGGCCAGCAAGAGAGCCAACCATGAGCTTTCCAAAGTACGGGCTTGCGTTTACCCAGCCGGTTTGTTGCATTTGCTGCTGCTGCTGCTGTTGCTGCTGCTGTATCTGCTGCTGGCGTATAACGGCCGGGTTGCCTCCACGGAACGGCTGCGGGGGCACCGGGTACGGTTGGCCGGCAGCCATCTGGGCCGAGATGATGCGCTTCATGTCTTCGGGCACATTAATCATACCGGCCGGGTTGGCATTGCTCTCTTGCGCCGTTGCCATAGGCGAATTAGCAAACTGCTGTTGGCTCTCTTGGGGATATTGCATTGGAGTTGGGGATGCTGCATCGGGCTGATGGAACCGTTCATGGCGCCGGCCATGAAGAGCTTCTCAAACGCCGCAATCCTTTCCTTCATGGCGCTATTCTCGTCCATCAGGCGACCGTTGCGTTTCTCAAGATGGCGAATGTACTCGGTCGCTTTGCTCAACACCTGTTCCACCAGTCAGTACGGTGGCAAGAAGGTTACGTATGGACACGTCCGGAGATTGCCTACGGTTGCCTTGTTGAGCTTGTGCGCAGGTGTCAAGCCGTGGAGCTCTTCGCGATCCTCGGTCGTATCCTCGCCCCTGGCGCTCTTGGACATGATCCTCGCTAGGGACGCTGTCGCGCAGCGCGGCGATCTTGTCGTTGATGTTGGTCCGGTACCTCTTCTCGATCATGTTGTGGGCCGTCTTCTTCACGGGCTTATCCTCGTCGTCTACATCATCGTCGTCTTCCAGCTCGTCAGACACCTTTCGCTTTCGGGAATCCTTCCTGCTTGTTGGACCCATCAGCTCGGGTGAAGAGCCAGCTCCGGCCTTGACCTCGCTATTGGCCGAGTCGGGGCTAGAAGCGCTCTTGGGCGAATTGTACTGCAAGTGAGGGGGCATGGCGATGTTTCGAAGTTCTTCATGTGACATGGTCTGAGCCGTACGAAGATGTGTGCCTGCAGTCGGGAGCTTCCTCAAGCCAGGATTGCCCTGACCGGGCCCAAAGACGGTCGTCGGGTCCACGTTGGGGGGTGGGAAGCCATCAAACGAGGGAGACGAGGCCTGGGCCTGGGATTGCGGGTGCGGGTGCGGTTGCGGTCGCTGATGGGATTGTGATTGTGGCTGCTGCTGCGGCTGTTGCTGCGGCTGATCAAATGCGGGTAGCGGCCACGAGGGAGCCACGGACCCAGCTGAAACGGGAGGTGCGGTGCCAGCGGGATTGACGTCGAACGAGTCGAAAGTGGGGTTGACTTGGAAGTCCCAAGGCGAGGAGCCGTAAAAGGCCTGACCGCTGCTGTCGGAAGGTGCGTTTGATGCCTCGAGTTTGCTATCGGAGACGGCGCTCGCGTCGCCCATGAAGCCGAAAACGGGCTCATCGAGCCCGAAGCGGCCCGTGGAATCGTCCTCAGCCATCGAGGATTGCGAGTTTCGGGCGAGGCGAGGCGGTGCCAAGGTGGAAAGGGATCCGATGCCCGAGGCGAATGGGAGCGCCAGGAAGGCGTGCGGCAGATTCTGCTCGGCCAATCCTCGACGTGTTCTGGAGCCGTCAGCTGGCTCGAGGCTGGCCGAACCCACTGGATGCGGAAGTTGTCGTGGTTCGGTGGTAAGACGTCAAGGGCGGGAAAGACGCAGGCGTGCGGTATTCCCATGCGCTGCGATAGGGGCGTATAGCTGGCTGCTATCTTGGCCGGGCGAATTGCGGAAACGGGGCCAGAATCGGTTCGACGTGCTCGGGTCAGAGAACCCAAATCGGTTGGGAAAACCAGGAGTTGCACCAAATATAGCCAATCCTGGAACCGAGGGTCTGTAGGCGTATGTAATTATGTAGGTGCGAAGGATGCTCGGACGGAGCGCCAGAAGAAAGATGGGGAGTCGGCCAGGAGGAATTTGAGACGACGGACGGACAGACAATGTCGCACAACGCGCGTGCCCGCAACGCCTGGTTTTTCTTCTTGGAGAGGACGAGGCGCAAATGGGCGGTAAAAGTTTGATGTATTGTATTCCCTAGTCAAGCGACGAGAGAGGGTGGCAGCGGGAAGCGAGCGCGCAAAGTCAGCAGGGGTCGAGACTGCAGCTTGCCCCTCCCAAGAATTGCGACCGGTGCAGCAGCCAAGGCGGACTATTTCGAGACAGACAAGTCGACGGGGGTCAAGGCCGATGGGACGCGGGTGCCGGTTTCGTGTCCGCGGGCTCTGCGCCGGAGCCTAATGCCGAGAATGGCCCTGTTGGTTGATATTTGCCTCGACCAGCTTCGGATTCGGGGAGACGGCTCAAGTTGCCAGCGCCGAGTGCAAAGGTCAGGCGACAGGGATGGCCAACGACCTTTTAAACGAGCGGAGGGATCGGTGGTGAAACACAGAGGTTGAAGGGAATAAGGAGAAAAAAAAGCGGAAAAAGAAAAAAGGGAGGACGGATGAGGGGATGGGCTGCCGAGAAAGGCAACAAGCATGGCAGACTTCCTACGTACAGTACAGTACAGCACCTCTAGTACTACACTCGGTCGGGACGGAGGATTCAACGGGTGCTAAGCGGGTGGCCGGCCCCTAGCAAGTACGTACTGTGCCTGCTGCAATGTACGGCAAAGGCTCTGGAAGGCCCTGCAGGAAGCGCAGCTGGTGCTGCCCGTAGTGTATTAGCCCGCTACCTACTACTAGTACCTACCTAGGTAGGCACTATAGGAGGTACTGTACGGAGTACTGTACAGAGAGCGAAGCAAGGCAAGTGCGGGCGGGATGTATGTACTGGTTCATGTGGGCCTGCAGGCCGTACCATAGTACGTACTGATTAGTGTCCTCGATGCGGAGGCAGGCAGCGCAGACTGTGAGCGAGAGACTACGCAATCAGGCCCACGTGCGACACGCAGAAAGCAGTCTGTAATAAAGTGCCTGACAAAGCGGCATGGGAAAATGACAGGCAGAAGAGAAATCGACAAGACGGAGAAGCCTCGCTCGCTACGGGGGGGCGTGCGGCATGTGCCGGATGGATCCCCAGAATAATCGTACGATCCGGGACGTGGGAGGGTGTGGTCGTTGTCGCGCGCACGAGGCAGCAGATGTCGGGCTCTGATTGGCTGTTACCGCGAGACACTTGTCGAACAAGGCCCGTGTACTTATCCGTACATCCAGGTCACCAGCCCCCCAACGCCTGCACCGTCCTTGCAGACTGCCATGAGGCCGGGCTGGTGGGTGGAGACAGCTTCCGCGTCATCTATCCGTAGGTAGGTAGGTACCTACCGGTATCTACCCATCAGCCTAATAATAATAATAATAAATGTCGTCGTCGCCGCCTTACGCTCCACACATCATCGGCTCCTTTGGCAGAGCAGCCCTGCGCGATGGGAACATGCTCGTTTGATGATGCACTGGTTTTGGTACAGATATCTAAGCCAAGCACTGGTTTTGGTACAGATACCTAGGCCAAGGTCCTGTTCGTACATGCATGCAGCTCGGCAAGGACGCACAGTTGTTCCATGTTCGCTGAAAGTACCTGACGTGTACTTTGCATGTACAGCGGAGCCGTACCGAGTGCAGAGCAGGGTGTTGCCTGCCGGCCCGTTGCGTTTAGCACCTAGCGGCGTGTAGTTCGCCTTCGCTCGGTTAGCATCCAGGCGGGCCTCGATAAGGCCCGCCAAAGGCGAGATGAGCCATCGGGAGCAATGGATGTGCCGATTAGGTACAGTAGATTGCTTTGCGGGTTGAACTGGTCCTTGTTCAAGTCCGCATCTCCTTCTTTCCTCGCTAAAGTCCACAGATGCTCCTCCTGCCTGCCGTGCAGAGTCATGCATCCGTACCTGCCTTAGGTAATGTCGTCACCCGCCAAGGCCCCGTTTTCCCCACGCTTTTCTTTTTCTTTTCTGGCGCCTCCCTCCTCCGTCCCCAGGCCTCCTTGTTCTCTTTGTACGAAATATTCGTAGTTAGTTAAACTATCACTACCTACCTACCAAGTAGGCTTGATCGGTTGCCAGTGACTTGAAAGCAACGGCCAATCCTAAACTCAGCCTGCCAGGACATACAGCACAAACATGAACCATGCACAACGCAGGCAGGCACCTTGGTCGAATCAACAAGAGTGGACCTTTTCTTTTGATCCAGCACCCCCCCCCCCCCTTCCACCTGTTTTTCTCCGGTGCAGCAAACTCAAGATTATCAATCTGCACTGGATAATGCGAATGGCTGCAAGGCAAGACCGGCGATGCGGCACTACGAAACTCTATCGGCCGTTCTCTGCGACTCAAGGCAGACTGCGTTACTTTGACAAAAGTGCATAGACGAATTTCGAATCCGCTTTGCAGCTTGTCCATGTCTCTGCTTCAAGTTTCTACAAAACGCGAGATCAAGTCCGGGCTGAGGATCCAGGGGGCACCGGTGTCTGCGAGCAACCGGCCGCAACGCGAGGGCAGACTACCGGCCCCTGTACTCCGTCGCTTGAAGGACTCCTTTGGTCACGGATAGTTTCTTGCCCCTGCCGCAGATACAAGAAAAAAACCCACGATGCGTCATTAGTTAGCACCCATCGTCAGCTACCTAGACGCCGGCTATCGCTCGTCCCAAGAATGCCTCCTCCTTGGCTCCTCGGCTTGGCGCGACGCGGGCCTCCGCTCTCGGCCCTCCTCCCTGCACCGCCAAATGCTATTGCCTACAATCCACGTCCGTCCTTGTCCTCTGGTCAGCGGCGATACCACGTAGCACACCCATGTGCAAAGCCAAGGCGCAGTTCTGTATGTGTATGTATGTATGTACGTGGCAGATACATGCTGCAGCCCAACGGGCCGACTGTTGTTGACCAGAGCGGACGGAAGCGCCAGGGCAAGACTTCATCTGTCAGTGTCTGCTCGCTTAAGCAAACAAGATTCTTCAGCTTCGGAGACATCTTGCCCATACAGCACACACACACACAACCAGAAAGGCGAACCCAAAGCACTATACGGCTGCCATCAGACAACTCATCTTCTTGAACCAAGACTCACCTGTATACCTTTGTCCCAGTACCATGTACATACGCGGATGAACGGCCCCGGCTCTTCACTTACTTTGCTGTGGTGCTGGCGCTCGCAGCCGGCAGTTCGCATCTTATCATGGATGCATGTAGCGAAGAGCCACCGTGGCCTTAACACGCCTCCCGGTGGCTGAAACGTGTCCTGCTGAGGAGATAAGGAGGGAAGGGGGTCTTTTCTTCCAATCCAGAAAACAAGAATTCTCGGCTCTCCGACTCTCTCGGTCTACATTGCGCCGTGCCCTCTCTGAGTCCGTCGGCGACATGCCGTTTGCCTTTGTCGCCGGTGGGCGAGGGACCACCTGCCGGGCCGGGATGGTGGCCTCGCCAACCGATTCAGCATCCCTCCCCTGACCTGGGTCCTGAGGGAAACTCGGGCCCTGTCCATCCGAACGCCTGATCCGGGCGTCACTGAGGCTTGACTTGACAGTGACGATGCTGCACGGCCCAGAGACCGGCATACCTACCTCTACGCTGCTGTGCTCGGTCACAAAAAGACAAAAAGACCAAAGAGCCTTGACCCGCATGCAGTACTCAGGCGTGTGCTTTCTTTGCCGCAGAGTCAGAGAGGTGAATCGTAGGCCTGGCTACACCTGTTTTGTCCGATCTCGACAATGTCGAGTCACTTGAGCCAGGTTGCCTTGATACTGAACAAGACACTCTTGCAGCCCACTTGTGCTACCGCTTGGGGTCGGCAGAAGCCGCGGAAATACGCCGACGGCAGTGACACACACCGGCAAGGCTTCAAGATACAGTACAGTCCGGTAATGAAAAAGCTGTGATATATGTGCCTTGGTATGTAGGTGGGCGTGTATACAGATCTTTCGCCTCCGCCCCCTTCTCGCCTGCGTCTATTGCTCCAACCAAAAGTCGCATACACGAAGCACTTTCAGGCACGCGTTGCATCTCGAAGAGCGCGGAACGGCGCGAACAGAATGCGGGATGCGGTGCTCTTCAAATTTCCCCCCCCCCCCCCCGCCCCCTCTCTGACTCGCGTCTCCCTTCCTGCCTGTCACTTGTCATGCTCAGCCCGGAGGACTTCCTCCTTGCTATCTGGAGCTTGTCTAGGTATTCTCTGTCCTCGACTTGCCGACTGCAACCGAGCAAGGCGTGACCCACCACGCCGTCGGCAATCTGTGGATTCACTTCAAGATGGCCCCCCCCCCTTTCCGTCGATCTTGGGATTCGAGGGTATTGGCAGGCGTGGCGACGCACTGCCCCTCGTCCAATTTCAAAGCCGCCGCCGGTGGTAACCCCCATCACCCAGGGAAGTTGCCGGTGACCGTGCTACCAACTTTTGGTAGCGCCCGCCTTGATCCCGGTTACATGACGGGGGAAGGGAAGCATATCGAGCCCACAGACTCTGCCATGTGCTGGGCAGGTCGAGGTTCGGACCTCTTCAGGGTTGACAGCTGACTGCCAAGGCTAGCTCGGGGCCCATCCCCATCACACATTGGTGATTCAGGGCCTGATATCTGCATGTCCTGATTATGGAAATACCGGCATCTTACCGCGGTCCTACCTTAAAAGTTCGTCTTCGGGCTACGTTGTGCTGCTGTACAAAGTAGATGGCCAGAGTTGATCGGAGTAACTGCCGGGCACATATCACATACAAAGGCTTTGGATAGCAGTCTTTCAAACGCCCCTCAACGGCCAT